GAGATTCCACCCAACCTCCTTTTTTTGCCATTGCAGTCCCAGTTCACCGAGAAAATGATTACACTAGACCAGTTTGCATTCTGCTTTAGATTGTTGTTGTTGTTTAGTCGTTTAGTCGTGTCCGACTCTTCGTGACCCCATGGACCAGAGCACGCCAGGCACTTCTGTCCTCCACTGCCTCCCGCAGTTTGATCAAACTCATGCTGGTAGCTTCAAGAACACTATCCAACCATCTCATTCTCTGCCGTCCCCTTCTCCTTGTGCCCTCCATCTTTCCCAACATCAGGGTTCTCTTCTCATGAGGTGGCCAAAGTATTGGAGTCTCAGCTTCACGATCTGTCCTTCCAGTGAGCACTCAGGGCTGATTTCCTTAAGAATGGAGAGGTTTGATCTTCTTGCAGTCCATGGGACTCTCAAGAGTCTCCTCCAGCACCATAATTCAAAAGCATCAATTCTTCGGCAATCAGCCTTCTTTATGGTCCAGCTCTCACTTCCATACATCACTACTGGGAAAACCATGGCTTTTACTATACGGACCTTTGTTGGCAAGGGGATGTCTCTGCTTTTTAAGTTGTTGTCTAGGTTTGCCATCGCCTTTCTCCCAAGGAGCAGGCGTCTTTTAATTTCGTGACTGCTGTCACCATCTGCAGTGATCATGGAGCCCAAGAAAGTAAAATCTCTCACTGTCTCCATTTCTTCCCCTTCTATTTGCCAGGAGGTGATGGGCCCAGTGGCCATGATCTTGGTTTTTTGATGTTGAGCTTCAGACCATATTTTGCGCTCTCCTCTTTCACCCTCATTAAAAGGTTCTTTAATTCCTCCTCACTTTCTGCCATCAAGGTTGTGTCATCTGCATATCTGAGGTTGTTGATATTTCTTCCGCCAATCTTAATTCCGGCTTGGGATTCATCCAGCCCAGCCTTTCGCATGATGAATTCTGCATATAAGTTAAATAAGCAGGGAGACAATATACAGCCTTGCCGTACTCCTTTCCCAATTTTGAACCAATCAGTTGTTCCATATCCAGTTCTAACTGTAGCTTCTTGTCCCACATAGAGATTTCTCAGGAGACAGATGAGGTGATCAGGCACTCCCATTTCTTTAAGAACTTGCCATAGTTTGCTGTGGTCGACACAGTCAAAGGCTTTTGCATAGTCAATGAAGCAGAAGTAGATGTCTTTCTGGAACTCTCTAGCTTTCTCCATAATCCAGCGCATGTTTGCAATTTGGTCTCTGGTTCCTCTGCCTCTTCTAAATCCAGCTTGCACTTCTGGGAGTTCTCGGTCCACATACTGCTTGAGCCTTCCTTGTAGAATTTTAAGCATAACCTTGCTAGCATGTGAAATGAGTGCAATTGTGCGGTAGTTGGAGCATTCTTTGGCACTGCCTTTCTTTGGTATTGGGATGTAGACTGATCTTCTCCAATCCTCTGGCCACTGCTGAGTTTTCCAAACTTGCTGGCATATTGAGTGTAGCACCTTAACAGAATCATCTTTTAAAATTTTAAACAGTTCAGCTGGAATACCATCACTTCCACTGGCCTTGTTATTAGCAGTGCTTTCTAAGGCCCATTTGACTTCACTCTCCAGGATGTCTGGCTCAAGGTCAGCAACCACACTACCTGGGGTGTACGAGACATCCATATCTTTCTGGTATAATTCCTCTGTGTATTCTTGCCACCTCTTCTTGATGTCTTCTGCTTCTGTTAGGTCCTTGCCACTTTTGTCCTTTATTATGGTAATCTTTGTACGAAATGTTCCTTTCATATTTCCGATTTTCTTGAACAGATCTCTGGTTCTTCCCATTCTGTTGTTTTCCTCTATTTCTTTGCATTGCTCGTTTAAGAAGGCCTTCTTCTTTGGAAATCTGCATTCAATTTCCTGTATCTTTCACTATCTCCCTCGCATTTTGCTTGCCTTCTCTCCCCTGCTATTTGTAAGGCCTCGTTGGACAGCCACTTTGCTTTCTTGCATTTCTTTTTCATTGGGATGGTTTTAGTTGCTGCCTCCTGTATAATGTTGCGAGCCTCCAACCATAGTTCTTCAGGCACTCTGTCCAGCAAATCTAAATCCTTAAACCTGTTCCTCACTTCCACTGTGTATTCATAAGGGATTTGGTTTAGATTGTATCTTACCTGTCCAGTGGTTTTTCCTACTTTCTTCAGTTTAAGCTTGAATTTTGCTATAAGAAGCTGATGATCTGAACCACAGTCAGCTCCAGGTCTTGTTTTTGCTGACTGTATAGAGCTTCTCCATCTTTGGCTGCAGAGAATATAATCAATCTGATTTCGATGTTGCCCATCTGGTGATGTCCATGTGTAGAGTCGTCTCTTGTGTTGTTGGAAAAGCGTGTTTGTGATGACCAGCTTGTTCTCTTGACAGAACTCTATTAGCCTTTGCCCTGCTTCGTTTTGATCTCCAAGGCCAAACATGCCAGTTGTTCCTTTTATCTCTTGATTCCCTACTTTAGCATTCCAATCCCCTATAATGAGAAGAACATCCTTCTTTGGTGTCACTTCTATAAGGTCTTGTAAGTCTTCATAGAATTGGTCAATTTCAGTTTCTTCAGCACCAGTAGTTGGTGCATAAACTTGAATTACTGTGATGTTAAAAGGTCTGCCTTGGATACGTACCGAAATCATTCTATCATTTTTGAGACTGCATCCCAGTACAGCTTTCGCCACTCTTTTGTTGACTATGAGGGCCACTCCATTTCTTTTACGGGTTTCTTGCCCACAGTAGTAGATATGATAGTCATCCGAACTGAATTCGCCCATTCCCGTCCATTTTAGCTCACTGATGCCCAGGATGTCAATATTTATTCTTGCCATCTCATTTTTGACCACATCCAACTTACCCAGGTTCATGGTTCTTACATTCCAGGTTCCTATGCAATATTTTTCTTTACAGCATTGGACTTTACAGCATTGGAGGACAAGTACAAGTAGATCCAGAGCTGATGAAGCGGCTGGGCCAAAGCCGAAAGGACGCTCAGTTGTGGATATGCATGGAAGCGAAAGGAAAGTCCAATGCTTTAGATTAACTTTCCCATAATAATTGATTAAATATAATAACATCCCCATCTCCAGAGAGGCGAACCTGCCCATGCTAGGTTGCAGGGCTAATAAAGGTAAAGGGACCCCTGACCATTAGGTCCAGTCGTGACCAACTCTGGGGCTGCGCTCATCTCACTTTATTGGCCGAGGGAGCCGGCGTACAGCTTCTGGGTCATGGGGCCAGCATGACTAAGCCACTTCTTGCGAACCAGAGCAGCACACGGAAACGCTGTTTACCTTCCTGCTGGAGTGGTACCTGTTTATCTACTTGCACTTTGACGTGCTTTCAAACTGCTAGGTGGACAGGAGCAGGGACCGAGATACGGGCGCTCACCCCATTGCGGGGATTCGAACTGCTGACCTTCTGATCGGTAAGTCCTAGGCTCTGTGGTTTAACCCACAGGGCTAATACTACTGCAGGGCTAATACTACTGCAGTAAAGGGCTACCAACAGCTGTGCTGCCCCAAAGCACCTCTTCATTTTGGAGTGAAGTACAGATGGCCAGGAAAGGACCTTTCAGGATGTTTGGACCCCTGAAATGGGACTGCTCTCCCTCAGGAAACTCTTGACACCTGGTGAATGACTTTTTATTTGCCTTTCTGGCACTACCTTTGTTTATTTTAACTGCTCAGTGCTGGTATATCTTGTTGTACACTATACTTCTCATCTGCTCCTATACATTAAAAGTAGTAGCATGCCAATTTAAACAGTCATGGCTTCCAGGAAACAATCTAGTTTGTTAAGGGTATTGAGACTTGTTAGGTACAGCGGCGAAGCAAGCCAATCAGGCGCCTGGGGCGGCACACGTGCCCTGCGCCCAGGGGCAGGGCCAGCCACCCGCGGGGCAGGGCAGCTGGGGCAGGATGCTCTGCGGGGCCTCCGAGGAGTCTGCCTGCCTCCTCCCACTCAGCTGCCCTACAGCTGAGGGGGAGGCAGCGGGCGGACCATTTGGGGCATTTTCTCAGGAGAGACGCATGGCCCGCGCGCACTGCAGGCCCTGCGGTGAGTGCTGCCTGGCATTTTGTCACGCCCCCCCTCAGTGGTGACACCCGGGGCGCACCGCCCCCATCGCCCCCCTTCCTCCACCCCGGCTAGATGACACCTATTCCCTTCACAGAGCCACAGTTCTCAGAGTTTTCTGGGAAGAGGAAATTATTATTAAACCACATTGCAGATTATAGGTCTGAAGGTGTGAAGGACACTCAGAAGAGGAGATGGATATGTCTCTGGGGCTTCCTCCCTTCTTCCTTCCACACTGCCCTTGGCCGAAATGGAAAAGCGAGAAGCAGGTGTCACTCCTGCTGGGACTCCATATCAGGTCAGGAGTCCCAAGAACTCCTGCAGTGCCCAGGCTTCCCTGAGTCTTCCCCTGGCCTTTGCTTTGCTTGCAGCAGTGGCTGCTGCTGGAAGAGAGTTTGACACACAGAGGAAAGAAAGCCAGATCTTGTCACAAGGCCAGGTATTTTTCATGCATTTATTCATACAAAAGGTATAATAACTTATGAATGTCAAACGGGCACAGGAGGACATGGGTGGGGGAAAGGGAGAGACGGGTGCCCACGGTGGCCTGTGCCAGCCCAGGAATCAGCACGGTCTCTGCAGAAGGACAGGTTGGGAAGGCCCTGCCTTGGGGTGCTGGCAGGTCTTTCTCAAGGGCATCTAGGAGGCTCCAGCAACACCACACCACTGCAGAGGCTGCCAAGAGCACCCAGTGCCAGCAGCACCTGCTGGAGTTCTTTGGCTGCCCTGGGCACAGGCAGGAGGGGGCCTGCAGGGGAGGAGTGTGGGGATCTACTTCCAAGCAAGTGTCATGGTTGTGCAGGGGCTTCAGAGGCTGTGGCACACAGAAGTGGTGTTGAGCCAGTGGACAGGGGATCCCAACTCCCTGCAGGAGGAGTGGAGGCAGGCAGGCAGGAGGGCAGGTGGGCAGGCAGGGACCCTCAGCTACTTGTCACATTCCAGGTCCTGGGATCCTTCGCCGCTTTCATAGTGCCTCTCGCAGAATTGCTGAATGCGCCGACAGGCCTCCACCATCATCTCCTCGGGCACTGTGATCACCACACGGAAGAAGTTGGGGTATTCAAAGCACTGTCAGAAGAAGCAGAAGAGGACCATTGAGATGGCATCAGGGGCCAGGAGCCACCATGTGGATCCTTTACAAGGCTGACTCCCTAAGGAGTGGCGAGAGAGCCTCGAAGGACCATCTCTGGTGCCTTGGAAATCCTGCACACACCAGACTCTGACACCAAGACCAGGTAGGATAAATGTGAAGGAGTTTGGGGTGGGCGTGTTAAGGGGAGGGTCAACACCTCCTGCTTTGCATGCAGAATATTCCTGGCTGATCTCCCTGCCTTTCCCAATGGAAAAGTCTGGGCAAGGGGACACTCTCTCCAAGCGAGATTTGGGAGAGCTGCTGCTAGTCGGTGTAGAGTCGACCAAGGGCAAGCAATGTGGTGACAGCACCTGTGGAGGGTCTCTGCCTTGCTTGTTGTTCCACACAAGGAGTGCTGAGAAACCAGCTTGTCAGTTTCTCACAGAGTTCTGGTCAGCCACTGTGAGAACAGGATGCAGAACCAGATGGGCTATTGGCCTGATCCAGCAGGCTTGTCTCAAAGAATGGTGCTGCCGGCAAGTGCAATGGCCATTCTCCAAGGCCCACATAGCAGGAGGGAGCAAGCGGCTGGGATCTGGGGAAGGGAGCCTCACAGCACCTCACAAGGTGCCATTGTTCAGCAGCCAGGGGTGTGGGCGCTGAGCCAGCTGGCACTGAGATTGTGAAATGCAAGCAATGTCCCCTCATGCCTTGCGAATCACAAGCATCTAGAAGAAAGACTAGCTAAAGGAGAGGAAAGGCAGGTGGGGGCTAGCTGAGCAGCAGAGGCCCAGGGAAAGTGGAGCCGAGCCGAGTGCTTCTTCTCTGCCAAGTACAGCTCCCGGGGCTCCAGTAACTCCCAGGGCCTCCCATAACTCTTTTGCGAATAAAGATGCTCACCGTGGCAGGCAGACAGAAGACAGACTGCTCAGCAATGAGCCTCTCTGTGAATTCCACATCATTCTCAAACTCTGGAAAGTGTTCCATCTGAATGCCCACCTGCAGCAAGGAAGAGGAGGAAACACAGAGTTAGGGATGATCTGCCTGGCATTTGCCCATCTCAGGGTCAAAGCTGGGCAAGTGACAGGAAGCCACTCACCATGAGGTACATGGCTCCTGACGGCCGGACAGGCTGCAAGCCGCAGACAGTGGAAAGGGCATCATAGCAGAGGTCAGCATTGGACTGCAAAGGGAAGGAGGAAGGAGGAGGAGTCAGGTCAGATTGCAGGCACAAGCATCCCAGGGTCCCCACTGGGACCACCCAACACTGTGGTGTTCACCATGGATAAAGGCTTAAAAGGGTACATTGTTGATGAATTAAAACCTGCCCACCCTGGGAACTGATGGGACCACAAAAAAGTGACCTGCTTGCCAGCCGTGCCCACACTTGCACTGTGTTATTTTCCCAGTGCTCCTGGTGTGTGCATTCCACTGTGTGCCCCCGCCCCATCCTGCAGCTGTCATTTCTTTCCATGCTCACTGCCATGAATATTGGGTCTTCCCAGTTCTGAAAAGAGCAAAGCTTTTGACACAGTGTTTGGCTCTGATGTGCTATGTGGTGGGGAATAGTTCAGAGTATATATTACTACACTGAATGAAAATAAAATAGGGACGCTAAACATTTACAAGAGCATAGGAAACTGCCTTGTACCATTGGCCCATCCAGCTCAGTATTGCCTGCACTGACAGGCAGCAGCCCTGCAGGGTTTTAGACAGAGAGTCTCACCAAGCTCTGCCTGGAGATGTAGAACCTCAGACTTTCTGCGTGCAAAGCAGATTGCTCTACCATTGAGCTGAGGTCCATCCTTCCGAAATAGCATATCAATGGAATCTTAAAAAGGAATCTATGCAGAGATTTCATTAATATGCACATTCATTTAACTGTAACAGTTTCACTGACCAATTCATGCCAAGATGGATTATTAAATGAACCAATCAGTTCCAAAGGGCAAAACAGGGAGGGGCTGTGGGGGCTGTGCTGAGCACCTCATTGCCCCCTCCAGGCCAGTGCAGCTCCCCAGGGTGAGAGGAGTCACATTGTCCACTCCCACCACCCAAGCGGTGTTTATGGGCTGGGGAGCATCCCTGTTGCCCTCCAAGGAGTTGGGAGAGATAAGCAAGAGGGGCTTTGTGAGGCATAAGCACTCCCTGGTGCTCCCCACCCTCCCCATTTTTAATAGTTCTTTTGGTCTAGTCCTGCTTTTACTTATGTGTTTGTTGTTCCTATTTCTTTTCTCCCTTTCCTTTCAAAGAGAAGGATGAAGGATGTACCTTGAGAAAGCTGAGGGTGTTGTGGTAGAATTCCGGGGACGTCTGGCGAAGGATGCGGCTGAGAGCTCCCTGGACAACTGTGCAGGGGCCCAGGATCCTCTGGCTCAGCCTCAGGAGGCCGTCTCTGATCTGAAAGATGCACAGAGGTGGGAGAGCTCAGTAGGGAGAGGCTCGACCTGATCCACAAGATGATCTAAGAGAGTGAAATTCCACAGTCACAGCAAGAGCCCTCTTGTGGCTCAGTGTGCCCCCAAACCAAAGGCAGAGCTGGGAAGGTGGGAAGGAAAGTCTGCATCCTACCATGGGTGCAATGGAGGGAACCTGTGCAGAACTCGCACTGGTGTAGAGGGCACAGGAAGTGGGGGAGGCATCTCCTGGCCCCCTCAAGAAGCAGCTGCTACTCAAACTAACTTGCTCCTGTTCAGAGCCCATTTGGAGTAGGGGGCATCTTGGGCAGTCTTTCACTGACCAGACCTAGTAGGCAGGGGACACTGCCTCCTTGACATCCTAGCACAGACAGTGGGCATTGGGGCACAAGGGCCGCATGAATCAGGCTCAGAGGGTGGCTGTGAAGCGGTGGGGGGCATGAACTCTTTTCCTCCATCACACCAGCTCCTGGACCGGATGCAGAAATTCAGGGCAGCAGCGAGTTCTGCTAACTTACCTCCTTCCCAAAGATCTCCCTGCGATCATGTATGAGAATCCAGCCCATTCTCCAGCCAGGCACCAGCCACCTCTTGGCGAGGCCTCCACATGAGAGGATAGGCACGTTGGTGCTGAGCTTTGCAAGCGACTCGTATTTGCAGTCTTCAAACACCTAGTGGGGCGGGGGAGTGCAGAAGGAGGAATACCAGAGTAAGTAATGATGGAAACACCTAATGGGCGTGTGAAGCAGGTAAGGGGGATGCTAGTGCAGCTGGCTGTGACTGGGAAGAAGACCAAGTCACCTCAGGCAGACCCACCCCACTCCCTGCTTTCCCAGCGATGTGTCTGAAGGTGGGAGGGGGCTTCTCCTGGGAAGAAGGGTTCCAGCTGCTGTTCTTGGCCTTCTGAGGGGCCAGGGGTGCTTCTGCCTCACTCACCATGTCAGCGTAGATCTCATCGGCCAAGATGGGGACACACTGCCTGGAGGCAACTAAGACAGACAGACAGAAAGAAAGAAATCTAGTCAGCCCCCTGACTCTGTTTCCTTCTTTCTTCCCCAGAGCAAGGCCTGGGATAAACACACACACACACACACACACACACACACACACACACGGTGAGGGATCCTCACCTGCCAGGATCTTCTGGAGGTGGCTTTTGCTGAAAACGGAGCCACAGGGGTTAGATGGGTTGTTCACAATCAAGCAAGCTGTCTTGTCATCCACCAGCGACTCCATTTGCTTCAGGTCAATTTCCCATGATTTCTCTGGCTGCAGGGAGAAGAAAAGGGAGGAAGAGGTGAGGAATGCCCCCACTTCAGGACCTCAGCCTGGTACCCATGAACCAGGCTTCCTGCTGGGGTCAGGGTGGGCCGGAGGTCCTGGGCAGGTGAAAAGGGATGGCGGTTGGAGCAACTGTCGACTGGTCAGGATACTGGCCCCCCTTTTCTCTTCCAAGGGCCCTGCAACACCTCCCAGCCTGGGTTGGGGCCCTGTCCAAAAAAGGGGAGATGGAGAACAGGTCCCCAGGCCTTGAACCCAGGTCAACAGGCAGCCCTTCTTTATAGCTGAGCTCTGTGGAGAGGCAGGCAGAGCCCTGCAAGGGAGCGCCTGCTTGTCTTCCTGCTTGTGCCATGCCTCTCTGCAGGCATTGGCCACCTCCTGCCCCAGCTTACCAAGAGGTTGTAGAATTTGACCTCGATGCCCAGGGACTGAGCCAGGGTTTTGTAGAGGGAGAAACCAGGCCGTGGCACCAGGATGTTCTGCCCAGGGTTGGCCAACACAGCCAGGGCCAGCTCAATGGCCTGACTGCAGCCACTTGTCAGGATCACGTCCTGCAAAGGAAGAGGGAGCAGAGTAGGCAGCTGTGAGCCTGGCGGGTAGCAACCACCAGGAAAGACTAGCCCCGAAGAAGCACAGAAGGGGAGGGAGGTGGGAGGGAAAGGTTTCTTCACTGGCTCTTTCTGGAAATTCCTGGCCTGGAGCCTGGAATGAAGTGGGGGTCCCTGCTGGCATACAGAAGGTCCCAGGTTAAATCCCCAATGGCATCAACTTAGTCTGGGAGAGACTCCCTGCCTGAAACCCATGAGAGACGATGTTGCCAGTCAGTGTGGACAATACCAAGCTAGGTGGACCAGTTGTCTGACTCAGTATAAAGCAGCTTCCTGGGTTCCTAATAAAGATTCCAGGCCCAGGATCCTTTCTGAGCAAGCTCCAGTTCCAGTACAGTGAGTTGCGGAGGTCCTGGCCAGGGTTTGCAAAAGCTAATTTTCGCAACATCCCCATCAAGCATCAAGGTCAGATGGCAATGCATGCAGCAGTCAGGGTCAGTTACCTGGGCTTCCAAGGGGGCTTCTGGACAGGTGTAGTAGCCTGCGACCACCTCCCGGCAAGACAAGTAACCTGTGCAGAGGATTCCCAGAAGAGTTGGCATGTTAGATTTTGCAGCAAAAGCAAAATAGGGGCTGCATACATTGAAAGCATCTCGCAGGACTTACCTACTGAGGGGGCATAGCCATTATACTGCCCAGAATCCAGGGCCTCCTTCATCGCTTGGATGACCTCATCATCTGTTGGGAGGTTCCCAAACACAGTTGGGTCCCCTGTGGGGAAACATGAGGGGAATCCATGTCATTTGAGGGTGGGGCATTGGCAGGAGCCCCCACCTCATGGTCCCTCCATAGCCCACCTGCTTACCTATGGACAGAGAGATCAGGGGCTTCTGGTGGTTGGGCTCCACCTTCATGCTGTCCACAATGGCTCGGATGGGATTGAAGGTCCTCTTGGACATTTCGGAAGCCCTGACGGCCCAGTGGGCCTTGCGGTTTTTCCCCTTGCCCAGAGAAGGGCCCTTCCCGCCATTGAGGCTGACGTGGACATCGAGGATGGAGGGCAGGGCCGTCTTGCCATTCACGTGGATCAGGTAGGATTCCATCGCTGGAAAGGAAGTGCAAAGAGCAGGTGGGCCGACATCCCTGATTACACAATCCTCTCTTCAAGGCTGCTGTCTGTTCAAGGCCACTGCCATGGCAGAATTGGGTGGAGACATGGGCATGCCCCCCAGATCAAGTAAATCAATAGAAATACTTAACTGACCAATCATGTCGATTCTGCCGCTCCCCAACAAAAATCCCGGCTACGCCCATGGGTGGAAGCACCAGTCCTGAGCAGGCAGCTCTTAGTTCAGGAGGAGCCAAGTCAGCTGCCACATCCCCCTAGAAGGACCCTGATCAAGTCTCACAGCAGGGAAGCCGGTAAAAGGGGGTGGAGATGTGCGGGGAGTGGGGCAAGAACTGCAGTTGGGCCGGAGGCCAACTTGGATGAGGGAAATGTGTTTTCCCTCTATGCCTTCCTTCCCACAGTGGTAGGGACAGTATGTACTTGGCATGTGAATGACAAGACACCACTGGTGTGTGTGTGGGTGGGTGGGTGTGTTGTGTGTGTGTATGTGTGTTGGGCAGGCTTTGACCGAGTTCTCTTTCAAAATATACTTGTCTAGTTGTGCCTAAGTGCTGGAGGTGGGAGGACACCCCCATTCTTCACTTTGAAGTTCATCTCCAGTATAAACTCACTGGTTGACCTCAGGGAAGCCATTCTCTCCCAACCTACCTTTCAGGGTTGCTGTTAGGATGAGTGAGAGAGCATTGTTGAAGCACTGTTAGAACTCAAAAAGGGGTGTATAAATGAATTTTGGTCTACTATGAAAAATCTTGTAAAGTGTTTTAGGCTGTTTGTCTTTAAGCCATGATTATTTTTTTTAAGTCAAATTGATTAATTATAGAAACGGATTTAAGAACAAAAGGGAATAATTTGTCAGGAATTTCAAATGCCATTTGAGAAGCCCAAACAGTGTCGTCGGAACCTGAGAATCACCACCAAGGGATCTTATGGGCAAGATCCAAGGGCTGAGCCAGCCACTGAGGGAAAACCCAGCAAACACTGGACCAGGAGAGAAAGGGAAGTGACCCTGCACTTGCCTTGGGAGAAATATGACTTGCATTGCCCCCTTCCCTCCTTCCGTCCCCCTGTCTCGCTCCAAAGAATCTGGCACAGCTGGAGAGAGCTGAGAAGGCAAAGCTGGTGAGATGTGGCAAAGGAAGCAGCAAGGTGAGTGAGAAGCAGCTGGTGGCTCCCTGGGCAAGAAAAGCACACGAGAGGCAGGGGCACAACTAAGAAATCTTCAGTGCCAGCTGCAAAAGGCTAAGGAACCTCTTCACACTGGCTGAAAAGTCATTTCCTCTCTGTACTCCCAGAATACAACAATAATCATAATATGGCAGTAAATTTGATTGCAGGTGTGGTGCCACCTGCCTCCCAAGATAAAGCCAGCCTGCACCCTCCGCCCCGAGCCACCTCAAGTCCTGGCTCGTCTTGGAACAAGCTACACAGACGTCAAAACCACTCTCCACAGACGCCAGAATTCCTCAGCTGCTTGTTCCAGAGCCTCCGCTGGCCCAAGAGGCCAGGCCAGTCCCTTTGCAATTGTCCACCTCCAGGTTCTCTGTTGTGTCTGCTCAGGTTAGTCCTGGTCTCCGGAGGGTGTACATGCTGGTACAGGGGTGTCCCAGGAAAAGCACCCGAGTTCTGCCTCAGCCACTTTGTTGCAGCCCTTCATGCGGTGCTTGTTCCCCGCAGAGGACTCCATCCCAGGGACTGTGGACACCAGCTCAGACCCCATCAGGCTTACAGGTGGCACCTCAAGGAGCCTCTTACCTATGTGGCAGCAGCTGCAGCTTTGTGTGGTGGCAAAGGTGGGCGAACGAGGCACCTCTGATGAACCTGGCAGGCCGCTCTGCCTGCTCTGGAGCTGCTGAATGGGGAGATCAGAGCCTTCCCTGGGCCCTTTTATGTGGGATAGGCGGGCAGGAGCACAACAGGGCCCCATTGCAGATTCCCAGCCAAGAACTGGGTGTCAGCTTGGAGACCTTTAATGATTGGCTGATAGGGAGGGCTGCACTCCCCCCCCCATCAGGACACACAGACACACCAACTCAGTAATAGTCTAGCTCCAAACATCTGGAGCAAACACTGCCTGCATGTTAACCCTTCGACGGCAATCTCCACCCCCACAGCTCCCCGATCTTGTTTGTGAAGTGCGAGCACAAAATTGGTTTAGGGCCCCTCCCAGTCTGGCCTTGGCAGGTCAGGTGAGTATGCCACCCCTCCAGTACCAGGGGCAGCCAGATTGCAACCCTCATTGCTGGAGAATATTGGGCCTGCAGAGGCTGGGTGCCCACAGTGGAGAGGGGTGTGTTAATTTCCTCAGTGCCTCAGTGGTCCAAGGCTTAGCCTGGCAGTCTTGGCCTGATGCAATCAGCTGCATTCATCCCATCATCTCCAGCTCCACGTTGCAAAGCACTAATGAGTCCCAAATGTTCCCCCCCACCCACATCCACGCACGCAAGCAAGCGAAGAGGAGGTGTCCCGATAGCAACAACAGTCCTACCGCCCTCCTCCAACCACAGGCAGCCAGCCCCACCACACCCCCAGCAGCTGAAGATCAAAGGGTACCTGCCTGACAAGGACCCCATTAATCTCCAGCAAAGAGGCAGATCTCATTTCTGGAGGGGTGGTGGAGAGCTAGCCTAAGCAGCTAATGGATGTGTTTCTACCTCGGGCCTAGAGGGAGAGAAAGAAATTGGTAGCTTCTGAACAGCCTGGCTCAGAAAGCACTCATGAGCAAACAATGCCCACCAGTCAGTATAGCTGGTCAAGGTATAGTTGCTGGCATTGCAAGGCACCCTTAATTACAGGCTTTGCCTTCTCTGGCTGGCACCAATAGTTTTTCTGTGCCAAGGAGCCCCCCTCCCAGCTTTGCAAGTGGCACAATGTCTCTTCCACAGCCAGAACAACACTGAGGGCAGAGGACAGGATGACTGGCAGTGCCAGGTCAACACCTGTCCCTCAAGGCCAATTCTTGGGCCCCATCAGGCTCACCCTCAAGCGTCAGGCTCTGTGACCCCTTTCCCCCTTGCCCGGCCTGAAGCGTTGCTGGTGCCAAGATGATCTGCCCAGTTCTGCAGGCTGTAGCTGCAGCAGAGCGAGGCTGGCCTTGAGACATTTCTCCCCCACCATAATGTGCCTGGCAAGGCACCCTGTCTCCCTCCCTCTCTCCCTCCCAGTTGATGCAAGCAATGACTCTGCCTGTCACCTTGCAAGGTTCAGTCGACAGGAGCCCTTTGGTTCAACTTTGCATCAACTGATAGCCTGAGTTACGTAAGGCTGGCAGTCTGCAGGCAGGAGGGAGGACTGCTAAACATTTGGGACCTCACAAGTGCTGCCCAAGAAGCCTCCAGAAAGTGCTCCCCTCAGAAAGGCTGGGCGGCAGGCATGCTATGGGGGTAACACCACCTGAAACCTCTTTTGTGGGGCGGAATCCCTGGACAGAGCACAGAGAATGGTGAGGGGTCTATTTAGCACTGTGGGAGAAAGATTCCCTGCAATGCACACAGCATTGCTCTTCCAGTAACCCATCTGCAGCTCTTCCAGTAACCTATCCCAGATGCTCTCCTTTCCTTCGGCCCCAGAAGTGCAAAGCCAGCAGCAGATTCTCTGGCACCTTCCTACCCAGGCTCCTCAGTCACCTCCATCCTCGAAGTTTTCTTTACGCACAGCACAGCCGGCAGCATCCAGAAACTCTCCCCTTCCCCTTCTGCCTACCAGGAAGGCACCTACAGCTTGGCAGGGGCCCTGGTGATGCTGCTGCAGGAAGCAGAAGTTGGGCAAGTGGGTGCGGCTCCTGCTGCCTCTCTGCTCTTGAAGGGGCAAATGGGCTGCAGTCTAAGGGGCTCTTTGCAAGGCCTACCTTGGGGAATTCCCCCCTCCCCATCAGGCTTTCAGCCACCACAGCATCCTCTGGCTGTTTTGTTCACTTTCTGGGGGTTTGCCTCCATCGCCTCCTTCCTCCCCAAACATGAGGACTGGCTCTAGGGAGGTTCCTGCTTGCAGACCCAACAGCAGCCTCTCCAGCCTTTTGTTTATCAAGAGATGCCACTTCATAGACTGGGGGGGGGGGTGGTCCCCCATTCCTCTCTCCCCTTTGCAGTGCTTGGGTTTCACTCTCTTTTAGCTGGATTTAACTCCCTCCTCTATCTGCCGTCAAGCTGCACCAGTAAGAGACCTTATTTCTATCCAGCACCAAAGATCTGCACAGGGCCCCCCATGGAGGACAATGAACTCCGTGCCTTGATGGGTGGGGAAGGTTACCATGACTTGTGTTATGAGACTCTCCGCAGCAAGCCGTTGTGCAATGGGAAGGGAGGGGAAAGGAAGGCAGCAGGAACCACTTTCTCCCATTTGTGGAGAGCTTTCACCCCCCCTCCCGCCCGCCCCTCCTTTGAAGCCAAGTCAATATTGGCTAATTTCATCACCAGTGTTTGGTTAGTGACTTCACATTCTCATCCTCTTGCATGGCCTGTTGTGTAGCGGCCTCTGCCCTCTTCACCTCCATGGCCTTGGAGCAGCCAGGTGCCAAGCAAACAACAGGAAGGCTCTCGGATGACTTCAAGGGGTGTCTTTTCACATATGTCATCCACTTTTTCAGGTGTCATTCTTACGCAATTGCCAGGAACAGGGCAGGCACCAACCACCTCAGGTTCCCAGCCACTCCTCCGGCTCCACACAGCATAGCAAAAACAAATGTATTCCACATAGTCAGGGATAAAACCGCACAGCCGATTGCTTGGGTGCAGCTAAACACATTCCTTGAATTAGGCACACTGTGTGTATAATTTTGAAAACACAAATTTCCCATGTCACAACACAGATGTCAGATTGAGGGATGTGTACTTTCTTCAGAAACTCACAGGCTGTTGGCAGGGAGCGGGGAGGACGGTGCTCCACTGAACTTCGTTCTGGACTCTTCTTTCTGCTGTGGTCCCTGTGACTCTTGCTTGGATTCCTTCTCCCCAGTTTACATAACTGCAACTCTGCTCTGCTCCATATAACAGTCCATAGTGAGTTTCCACTGGCTGGAAATTGTTTCTAATGTGGATGGTGTATCTGGATCCTCATTAAAACCATCTGCATTTCAGAGGCTTGTTCCCCACATAGCCAAAATATTTCCCTAAGAACTTTATGCAAAAACCAGGACAACTACTGGGTGTCATTATCATGGTTAAAGTTTTGCCCTTCAATTCCTTGACTGACCTATCTCCCAAAACTTTGAAGGCAGAGAACCACCCCCACCCCCGAAACTGGAATACAGATCCTCTGTCAGAATGGACCACCCTAATATTAGATCGTCCATATTTCCTTTCTTCTTTTTTTAAGTTTAGGAATGGCTAGTTGGTGGAAATTTCCTCTCACGGTATGCAATTGCAGGAAGAAGAAGAGGAGTTTGGATTTGATATCCCGCTTTATCACTACCCGAAGGAGTCTCAAAACGGCTAACGTTCTCCTTTCCCTTCCTCCCCACAACAAACACTCTGTGAGGTGAGTGGGGCTGAGAGACTTCAAAGAAGTGTGACTAGCCCAAGGTCACCCAGCAGCTGCATGTGGAGGAGCGGGGAATCGAACCCGGTTCACCAGATTACGAGTCTACCGCTCTTAACCACTACACCACACTGGCTCATGCTGTTGATTGCAGAACAGCCAAGTGTCATTGCAGCTCTTCAAGGCTACTAATCAGAAACTTCCTTCTTGCAGGATCTGCCTCTCATGTTTCCCATTTAGGACATTTGGATCATTAGTGATTAATTTTCTCTTAATTACCATTTGGTATCGCTTCAGCTCCATATAGGTACCAAAGGCTGATCCAGTTGCCATTTTATTTATTTTAATACATTTGCACATGAACTTTACAAAAGCTAGCAAACAATAAAATATTTTAAAAGGAGCATTTAGTTTAAACCAGTCACCACTAAATACAGTAAAGCAGCAGCAACTGCATTACTAACTCACATAAAAAGTCAATAGAAGGCCAAACAAAACAAGAAATGTTTTCAAGAGCCACTTAATGGTGATGACTGAAGAGGCCACCTGTATGATGGCGTCATATGTTGAACTGACAACATCATAGTAGGTAAACATCAGCAAGAATGCCTGAAGCCAATTCCAGACAGGTATTGGGAGAGGAACCTGAAACAGAATGAAAAGTGCAGATTTGCCATGTCAGAAATTACAGGTAAATGTTGAGGACATAGGTTAACCAAAGATGGGCTAATACCTGATGCAACTAAAATCAAAGCCAGCATTGGAATGCCTGGTCCAAAGAATAAGGTTGATGTACAAAGATTTCTAGGAATGGCCAGGATCTAGCAAAGTTTTTTCCAAACATGACAACAGCATTCACAACAGCACGGAAAGAGTTATTGGCTCATGACGCTGCATTTCACTGGATGCCAAACTGCAAAGGAACATTCAGGCAGTTCAAGGGGCTGCTAGAAAAGGCAAAGTGTCATGATTTGAAAGAACCAGCAATAGGGATCATTCTGTGTTGCTGAGGCTGAAAGCCTTGTCTTTTGTACCTGCTCCCCTTCCCAAGCACCAGCAACCACCTTACAGGACTGCACTCAAACATTTGGCTATTAGAAGAAGCATCCACTGCTATTTCATCACCAAAAATGGTAAGTCTGGGGGAGCAAAAAAATACCAAAAAAAAGGAATACCTAATCCTAGAGCAGTATAAACACCAGCAAAAATCACAGCAAGGAGAACAAAATGAAACAGGTGTTCTAAGCAAGTACCCAATGAAAGAGCAATATTTTCACTTGTCATTGGAACATGGGAAGCTGCCTGAGAGTCAGCCCATTGGTCTATCTAGCTCAGTACTGCCTGCAGTTACTGGCAGCAATGGCTCACCAAGTTTCAGGCAGGGAGGTTCTCTCCTACCCCTACCTGGTGATGCTGTAAGGCAGGCTTCCTCGACCTCGGCCCTCCAGATGTTTTTGGCCTACAACTCCCATGATCCCTAGCTAGCAGGACCAGTGGTCAAACATCTATAGGGCCAAGGTTGAGGAAGCCTGCTGTAAGGGATTGAACCTGGGACATTCTACATGTAAAGCAGATGAAAGAAGTTGGGGTGATGTTGGTGGTAGCTGAGTTCCCAGGAAGTGTGTTCCTGAACTTGATAGCCACTACCAAGCAGGTCTTCCTCACATGGCCTTCCATCACCTTGAATGAATCTAAGTTAGTTATGACCATTAGCTTCAGTGGGTCTGCTCAGAGTGGAACTAGCATCAAATACCAACCATTATTTTTGTGCCTTCCTTCCTTGCCCTGCAGCCTTATAATACCAATACCAATACCAATACCAATACCAATACCAATAAATAAATACATAAAAAAGATAGCAAAATATGATAGAAGCTGATGGACTCAAAGGAAGCTGATGTTGTTACAATAACATTGTGCCAATTGCCTATCTCAAAATCAAAAGTTGTGGAATTTCAGAAAGTTCTGCAGATTCTAGGAAGTGTTGTTATGTGCAACCCAATCTCTGAGCGGTAAAGTTTCAGGGGTCCCAACACATACCATGGGTTTGGTTTCTTTGGAATTAAGGCTGCTGTGTGAAGGCTTATTGTGTCTTTGGGATACACAATTTATTTGTACGTATGTGCAGGCAGAGCATAAGGCAGAAGGACTCTAAGCATAAACACTCCAACAGCTCTTGTTCCCCCATTAGGTTTATAGTGTCTGTATAGATAAATTACAGTGAGGGGGAAAAGTATTTTATCCCCTGCTAAATTTGCCTGTTTGCCCTCTGATGAAGAAATCCATAATTTTAATGGTAGGTTTATTGTAGCTGTGAGAGACAGAATAACAACAGGAGACTGACAAAAGAAGAATGGCAGACAAAATTATTGGACTACGCAGAATTAGATAAAATGACAGGAAGGATCCAAAACCTGCGGGACCAGAGATTTACAGAAGATTGGAAGAAATATACGAACTATTTGAAGAGCAATTGTAATCAACAAATTATGCTAGTAGGACTACAAGACGTTTTGTAAGGAGAAATATATGAAATATTGCAAAGTAGAGAAATAATAGATATATTAGTTATGAGATTTAAATGTAATAGTGAAGGTAAGAAATGTAAATTGTAAAAAGTGAATAGATTGGAAAATTTTCAGATGTGATTGATGGAAGTAAAAAATATTGTATAAGTTATAAAAATATGTTTAATTACTGTTGAAAATATGTTAAAAAACTAATAAAATTTTATATATATATAAAAAAGAATAACAACAGGAAAAACCCCAGAAACCCAGAAGACAAAAGTCAGAGATTGATGTGCGTTATAATGAGTGAACTAAGTATTTGATCCCCTATCAACCAACCAGTCAGGCTACCTGGTATCTTCACTGTATGTAACGAGCTGAGATTAGAAGCACCTGCTGTAAGGGAGAGGTCTTACCTGTAATCCCAGCTCGTTACAGTACCTGTACAAAAGACACCTGTTGAGAGAAGCAATCAATCCAGCAGATTCCAAACTAGCCACCATGACCAAGACCAAAGAGCTATCCAAGGATGTCAGGGTCAAGATTGTAGACCTGCACAAGGCTGGACTGGGCTACAAAACTATTGCCAAGCAGCTTGGTGAGAAGGTGACAACAGTTGGTGCAATAATTTGCAAATGGAAGAAACACAAAATAACTGTCAACCTCCCTCGGTCTGGGGCTCCATGCAAGATCTCATCTCATGGAGTTGCAATGATCAGGAGAACGGTGATGAAGCAGCCCAGAACTACACAGGGGGAACTTGTCAATGATCTCAAGGCAGCTGGGACCATAGTCACCATGAAAACAGTTGGTAACACACTACGCTGTGAAGGACTGAGATCTTGCAGAGCCCACAAGGTCCCCTTGCTCAAGACAGCACATGTACAGGCCCATCTGCAGTTTGACAATGCACATCTGAATGACCCAGAGGAGAACTGGGTGAAAGTGTTGTGGTCAGATGAGACCAAAATCGAGCTCTTTGGCATCAACTCAACTTGCCATGTTGGGAGAAGGAGGAATGAAGCCTACGACTCCAAGAACACCATCCGCACTGTCAAACATGGAGGGGGACATAATATGCTTTGAGGGTGTTTTTCTGCTAAGGGGACAGGGCACCTTCACTGCATCGAAGGGACAATGGATAGGATCACGTATCGTCAATCTTGGGTGAGCATCTCCTTCCCTCAACCAGGGCATTGAAAATGGGTCAAGGATGGGTATTCCAGCATGACAATGATCCAAAACACACAGCCAAGGCAACAAAGGAGTGGCTTAAGAAGAAGCACATTAAGGTCCTGGAGTGGCCTAGCCAGTCTCCAGACCTTAATCCCATCAAAAATCTGTAGAGGAAGCTGAAGGTTTGAGTAGCTACACATCAGCCTTGAAATCTTACTGACTTGGAGAGGATCTGCAAAGAGGAGTGGGACGAAATACCTCCTGAGATGTGTGCAAACCTGGTGGCCACCTACAAGAAACGTCTGACCTCTGTAATTGCCAACAAGAATTTTGCCACCAAGTACTAAGTCATCTTTTGCAAAGGGATCAAATACTTATTTCACTCATTATAATGCACACCATTTCTGACTTTTGTCTTCTGGGTTTCTGGGGTTTTTCCTGCTGTTATTTTGTCTCTCACAGCTGCAATAAACCTACCATTAAAATTATGGACTGGCCATTTCTTCGACAGAGGGCAAATGGGCAAATTTAGCAGGGGATCAAATACTTTCCCCCCTCACTGTAAGTCTCTCTCTCTCCACCCCTGTTCCATGGTAAGATTGGCAGGCTTACTGCCCCTTTCATGGACATGCACCTTACTGACCCCACCTCACACTAGGGCAGGTCATGGAAATCTAAGAAGATGCCCTTTAAACAGGCTGACTGCTGCCCTCCCTTCACCTGCTTGCTACTGAAAGAGTCAGCCAACTTCACATGAAAGGACACTAGAGTGAAAGGAACCATGACTAATTAGGAGAGCTTTCTGCTATAAACATGTTTGCTGATGTTTTAATGATTTTGCTCAGCCTATAGGAAGTAATGTTAAAGCGAAACATCCCATTCACGGTGGCTGAAAATGTTGCTTGTTACAACAAATGAGAACTAATGTATCTTAGGAACCCACAGAATGAGCTAAAGTATCTCCAGAGGTTGTGTAATCAAACACTGAAGTCAAGCAGTTTCAGATAAAATACTAGACACCCCCATCCCCATGCACAATGCACTAATGACATTTTGTGACATTCTTGGCAGAGCTGGAAAGGTGCTTATTTTAATGCAAGAGAATATTTTATTTCATAAGAGTTATGGAAGATGTAATGATAGGAAATGGGAATGTGTCTGTTAAGTGGCAGCCTGGAGGAATGAACATGGGGGGCACCAGCTGAAAATGGAGACCAAGGGCAGCCAACGCTTCCCAGAGAGTTCAGTCTGAGCAGGAGTTGCACAAATCATGTTTGTTTTATGCTTCAGTATCATTCAAGTTTGGAACAGCAAATCTTGCAGGGAGCTTCCCACAATGACATTGCTACAAATATGTCCTAACATCCTTTCCACGTGGCACTGCTGCCCAGTCTCCTCCCACTTCCTAAAATCAGGTGCAAGGATGCCAACTATGTGGCACACAAGTTCCTTCTGGCTTTGTCTTTTCAGATCCAGATAACTGCAAAATACCCTGTGCTTTGGTTATACCGGTTTCCACCTTCCCTCTTACAGTTTCATGGAAAATCCCAGCAGCAATCCCTAGCAAGGCCAAGAGGGAGGGACAACACAGCTTTGTTTGTCCAGAGCACGTGATTCATAACTTTGGCTCCAGGCTGCCCTGAGGGTCTAACTAAAGTATCTCTTTCTTGTTCAAAGCCATAGGCCACCACAATTCAATACAAAAATGGTAATACAGAATACATGTGAATATGCAGGTTTCTTAACACACAGTATTGCATAAAAAACACCTCATGCTTACTGTATTTTTCGCTCTATAACACGCACCTGACCATAACAGCACATAGTTTTTAGAGGAGGAAAACAAGAAAAAAAAATTCTGAATGAAACAGTGGATGTATCATTTTTGTGCCTCATGCTGTGGCCACAGACATGTGATTTGACGGTGAGTTTGGGGTAGCCCAATGCAAAAATCCTGAGAATCCATGTAGACCTGTGCTTTGTAACCACTTTTTTGCACAATTGCAGCCCTAGGCAACAGTGGGTGCATGATTTTTTTTGGTGCAGGCTGTAGCCATGGACATGCTATGTGATCTGATGGTGAATTTGGGATGACCCAATGCAAAGATCCTGAGGATCCATGTGGATACGTGCTTTGTAACCATGTTTTAAGTGGGGAGGGAAGGAAAAACACAGAAGGGACAAAGAGCACGAGAGGGGTGTGCAGCTGGCTAACAATGCAGGAGAGGGGTTTAACAGGAGGGAGGAAAGGAAGGCAAAAGTTTCCCCCACCCACCCAAGCCAGCCCCCTCTCTCTGTCTCTCTCCCACCTGCATGTTTTCTGGCTGCCTGCGAGTCCCTAGAATGCTGGACGCAGCAGCAGCAGCATGGAGAGGAGGAGGTGGTGGCTATCGGCTGCGCTCCTAGCCGAAGGAACCTGAACCGGATGGGCTGGAGCCTGCTCACAATGCGACTAGGAAGGAATTAGAAGGAAGGACGCGATCCTTTCCTTTCACCTCTGCTTGCCAGGAGGGCAGGGAATTTCCCTGCTCTTTGTTGCATTTGAGCAAACACAGCAACCGAAAACAGAAGAGGGTGGGCAGTAAGACCCTGAGGCAGAATGCAGGAAAGCACCAGCCTCCCCTCCTCCGTGACGCACTATCTGATTTTTGCCTGATTTTTGCCCCTGCACTCGTGCCAGTCGGCTCCAGGGACCACACATTCGCTCAATAATACGCACAGACATTTCCCCTTACTTTTTAGAAGAAAAAATGTGAGTGTTATAGAGAGAAAAATACGGTAATTTAAGTACAACTTCTCTCAGAAGCAAAGGGGACATGGACCCTCCATATAAACTTGTGCCTACACACTACAAACATAACAGAGCAAAAGCACATCCCATTCACACACAGCCCCCTCCTTTTTTTTCTGGCTCTTAATTTTCTAGCAGTCAGAGTTCTTTTTGCAACCTAGATGGTAATCAATACACCACTGCCAGCTAGCAATGTACACATCTGTAGGGGAGTGGGGTGGTGATGGTGTTCCAACAGGATACCGGTAATTATTTTGAAGGAGAATTATAAATGAAGGAGTTTTTTTGTTTTCTACACGCTGCCAGACTGGGTGCCCCAATCCAAAACGTGACCATGGTGTCAGGGTAGAGCAGCTTTATCTGTCTGCTCCCTGCTATGGTTCCAATTTGGATTCGGGCCTTGGAAGTTCCCCTACCCAAACACAGGCATGCAGACTGCTGGCTTGAGCATGTGTGTATGCAAATACACCATCTTAATCAAGTCTATACAGGGGACGAAACGGTTAAAGCCCCATATTCCCCACCCACCCACAAGTCCAGGTGGGGCTGGCTGAGGGCAGAGTGAGGTTGGTAGGGTTGCACTCCATTCACCCTAATGGAGCAGCCTCCACCATTCCACTTGGACCTTCTCATTGTGCAAAGCAGAAGTTCTGCCTCTAGAAATGCTGCTTAAAGTACTTCGGTCCCACAAGTCTCCAAGAGATACCTAGATGGACAAAATGCCCCTGAGAAGAAATACAAAGAGTATTTCTTAAGATGCTGAATCAGTGACCACAAATTGCTACGGAGGAGGCCTCCATAAAATGCTACTACCCAAATGCAAAAGAACCCCTCTTCCTCCCTCATCAAAATAATTCAATGAAGGATTCAGAGCGAAGGGAGAAGTGTATCAGAGCCAAACCTCGCCAGCTTCACCTGAGTGACACCATCTGGCTAGAAAAATGCAATGGGGGGGGGAGGCAGAAGCACTGGCTGGCCACTAGGTTAGCATTTCCCCAAAGCCCTCAGAACCCAGTTACCAATGGCCAACTCACACACTCCTGAGCCCATGCTTGCCTCACCCTTACCGTGAAGGCATCGTAGAACTTCAGGCCATGGAGAGGAGGCAGGCCTTTGGCATGGCAACCACTTGAAATATAAAGAAGACAGTAAGTGAAAGGTTCCTCCCATCAAGCCATAGTGGCACAATGCTCTCTGCTCTTGCCTACCCTTGAGATACAAGGTGCCTTCAGCCAAGATAATGGTACCTGGGGATGAGAATCTCTCGGGAGAGCCTCTGGTTGAAATTCCAGCCGGAAAGCAGAGGAGGAAGGTGGTGAAGGTGGCAGCCAGGTGGAGGAGAGAACGCAGAAAAGGTCTCCTCCTTGGATGGGCTTCAGTTGCTTTCTAGGGTTTGGCCCAGCTGCATTTGGTGAGAAACCCTGGGATACAAAGAATGTAACTTTTTTTCTGAAATCAGCTTCTGAAATCATGGGACACAGTTATATTGCCCAGATTAGTGGGTTATGTTTGTGTAAGAGAAGACAGAGAGAAAGTACGGTAAATCCCTTCCCATTGTTACTTTTGGGTAGAGCAAATGAGTAATTGTTCCACACTCAAAATAATGAAGGTACCAAAAGTAATTGCATTTTTTGCAGACAGACAGCCTAAACAGGGTCATAAATGAAGTCATGGGGGAGAAGAAGTCTAGCAACTGCAAATACCCATGAGCACTGAATTAAGCCTCCATGTCCAGAGGCCAAATCTGAGCTGCTGTAGGTGGGCAACATCCTGATCCTGCTTGTGGGACTCTCAGTGGTGTCTGACTTGTCATTGTTGGAAACAGGATGCTGGGCTAGAGGGGCTCACCTTGGCCTGATCCACCTGCTGGGCTTCTCTAGTGTCAGGATGGACTCTAACTCCTATCAGCCTCCTCTGGCCAGCATGGCTGATGGTGACAGGGATTTTGTGGTGGGCTGTAGGTTCCTCATCCCTGCCTCCTGCTTTTAGCTGAACAGGTGAATGAATGAATGAATACCGTCAGAACAGAGGATCATCTACCCTCTACTTTAGCTGGCAGCAGCCACGCCCTTCCCATGGGCTTAGACTCTTTCTCTAGTCCTGCTCAACTGGACGTGTAGAGGGTGAGCCACGGATGGACAAGCACTGAGTGGTAGTGGTTCTATTCCTTCCTGCCCTTTGGTTTCTGTGCAGTCCCACAAGAATGAGGAAGGGCTGCACCGGGTCCATTTCTGCACCCCCTGATGCTCAGAATCAACACAAAGCCAGTGAGGGAGACCATCCAAGGCTGAAAAGGGCAGTGCCATCATCAGGGTGCTGAGAAGGATCTCCAATTCTCTCCTTTCCCTCTAATCCTGGATTGTTACCAGAGTCAGGTATGGCCAAGAGTGCCAAGAGACCGCTGCTTAGTGGGGCAGCGCTTGGTTGGGGCAATGGGCGAGCAGCCGAGTTGGGCGGGAGAGGGAGGGGCGCACTTATGGCGGAGAAGCCCTGGCGCCCTTGGACGTCTTTTCCCGCTCCATCCTAAAAAAAGCCATCTTGTGGTGGGACCAGGAAGGCCAGCGGCCACCAGGACCACCGAACATCGGCCCTGGTCGGGCAGCAATAGCGGTTTGTCCGGGGACTGCCTTGGGCCTTTCCAGACCCGCCCTGACTTCCTCGACGGCTGCTGGAGAAGCGCCCCTCGGCAAGCGCCGGCAGCGACGAGCCCCCTCTGTCGGGCGGCGGCTCCTAGGCGAGATGGACACCTGCCTCCCACCTACACCAACCCCGGCCAATCTCCGCCCAGGAGGTGGCGTCGCCGCGCTCACCTGGGACGCCCCACCCAGACCTCCCTGCGCGCTACCAGGCTACGAGCCATGGCGGACGCCGGGAGGAGACCCGGGAAGCCGCGGGACTGGCATCAGGACCGGCCGGCGGTGGTGGCGGTAGGAGAGCAGCCGTGGCCGTGGCGGCAGCAGCAGCACCAGCAGCAGCACCGCCCCCCTCCCTCCCGAGGCACCACACTGGCCTCTTTGGACGCCCCTGCCGAGGCCCGAGGCGGAGGCGGCCTTCTGGACAAACCGCTATGTCGCGCCCTGTGCACGGCCAGAGGTGAGGGCCCCGGGCCGGGTTAGATGTCCCTACTGGCCCGTGATGGGGTGGGTCAGGGCGGTACGATGTCGCCGACCCGCCCCCTTCCCCTCGTGGAATGAGGCGCCCGGGCTGCGATGGGGGGGGGTGCGTTTGTAGCTCCTCCTCCTCCCCCGCCGCTGCCCGCTGGTGAGCTCGGTGTGCGCGAAGCCACTGGCAGCTTCCCCAGATGGGGCGGGCAAAAGGGCTGTTGCCTCGCGGGGACGGGGTGCTTGCCAGCCAGATGCTGCCACCCCCCTCTTCGCAGGCTGCCCAAAAGTCGCGAGGGGCAGGCCTGTGCAGCGGCATAGCGTGGGTTGTCAGCACCGGGGCAAGGCAAGTAATTTGCGCCCCCTAACCCGGGGCAATGCAAGTAATTTGTGCCCCCTAACCCCTAACTTGCCGCCGCTGCCAGCTTCTTCTTGCTGCTGCCTGGTCTGGTCTGGTGTGGTTCTCTTCCGCGCTCAGCGCTGCGCTGGGCGGCCGCTGCACTGTCCCTCCCCAGATAGTCCCTCGCTCTCTCTCCGCACCGCACGCCTGGCACCCACCCCCTCCACAGTGGGCGGCGACCCAGCGGCTCGGATCGGATTCGCACAGCCAGCACTGCAGTGAGAGTGAGTGAATGAGCCAGGTAGGGGCAGAGAGCTGCGAGTGCGAGCGCGCCCCCCCCAGATGTTGCGCCCAGTGCGGCCGGCCCCCCCTGCACCCCCCATGCTACTCCACTGGGCCTGTGGCCCCACAGCTTGCTGGCAAGGGCACTGAGTGAGTGCTGCTCAGCCGTCAATCCTCAGGCCTCCGTGGTCAGCACAAGCTCCCTCCAGGGAGTGGAGTGGCACCCACGAGGCTTCCAGGTCACCCCAGTTTCCTCCCGGCCTAAAAGAGGGGTGAATAAACTTTTTCAGCCCAAAGGCCATATTCCATTCTAGTCAACTTTACAGGGGCCATATGGCCAGTGTGGGTGGGGCAACAAATGTTAATTTATTCACACATCCCTTTCTCCCTGTGTCTCCACCAGGGGAGCAAGATAAATTATCAGAATTCAAGGGGGCATTCTTGCAGCAGGTAAAACACTGCAGGGGCGTGAGGTGAGGCTTGCATGGGGCATGGCCTGGGGAAGTCCCAAAAGCCATGTAGAGGAACCCAGGAAACCATATTTGATGCCTGGGGTTCCCTATCCCTGGTCTTAAACTAAGGGTGAAACATGAGGGGAGCTCTGAGGTCACTACCCCAGGAATGAAAAGTCTTTCAATGTGGCATTGGGGCAGAAGATGCCCTGGTAGAAACAGGGAAGGAAGGATAGTCGCTGCCTGCTCAGATATGCTCCCTTAACCCCAGTAAGATTTGGGATCCAATCTACCCACAAAGCTGACCTCTAAGAGTGGGCCTGGAGGGGCCAAGTGCCTTCCCCGTTTCTCCATCTTCCACACAGACTGAGGGCCCCACAGCACTAGAGAAATGGCACTAACAGCACCCCTCTGCCCTTGCTTCTTCTTAGCCTGCTGCCAACAGCTCCAGCTCCTCCTCTGCATGCTGATTGTCATCTGCAGCTCAGTCTCCTACAATTCGACAGGTGGCTACACTGGTCTTTTCAGTCTGGGGAGCATTTACTACTACCAATACGGCGGGGCCTACAGTGGCCTCAGTGGAGCTGACGGGGAGAAGGCACAGCAGTTGGATGCTCAGTTCCACCAACTCAAGGTGCCACCGGCCCAGGTGGCCATGGCGGTTGGAGGGGCGCTGATGGCCTTTGCCTGCTTCCAGATTGTGGCTAGTCTCTTCCGAGTGCCCTGGCATTGCCCAGCCTGGCTGATAGCGGAGGCCATTCTGGATGTGGCCATTGCAATTGGTCTTGTGCCAGCTTTGTACTTCTACTACCATCGCCTTCACGAGATCTATGCCTCCTCTCTGTGCAAAGAGCGAGAGAACCTCTACCAGAGCAAAGGCTACAGGGGCTTTGGCTGCAGTTTGCATGGAGCAGAGATCGCTGTGGGCTTCTTTGCTGGGGCGGCCATTGTGGCCTTCGCTGTTGCTGTTGTGTTGGCTGTCCGTGGCTTCAAGATTGTCCGGACCCTCCAAGCAAAACCATCATCACACAGCTATGAGCCCTAGCTTGGCCTCTGCTGCCTGAGTTGAAGGGAGAGCAGGATGGAGCAGCATATTAAGCCAAGCTAAGCAGTGCCTTTGAACCATGTACAGTGGTGGCAGTGATCACTTTCTGTCTAAACCTTCACAGTTTTGTAAACATTCTCCAAGCTCCTATTTCTTTCCCATCATACATACCGATGCAAAGTCTAGCAAGACTACTCCCTGCTCCTCTTTAATATAGATCATCACCTGTAATGCAAGAAGACCAACTTGGTCCCATCACCAACCAGCACTTGCTTTCTTCCCTCTGCATTCCTTTTTCCTTTCTGATCATGCCCTTAGAGTGAGACTGTTGACCAGAGACTTTCAATATATGCCTTGGGGCAAAGTCCCATCTTGTTGGTACCCCCAGAAAAAACTCCAGTCCTCTTATAGAAAGCAAAATCTGTGTCTTTTTCCACCCACCCCTTCTTACAATGCCAGAGAAAACGTTTTTCATTCCTTCTTCCATTCACCTCATTGAGCTGCTTCCTTCATGAGGAAGTTACACATTTGCCTTGAAGGCAAATGCTTCTACTAGATGTTCTGTGCAGTCTTGTTTCAAATTGTTTTCATTATGGAATATAGTACTTTTGTACAATAATAAAACCACTACCTTGGTAATTCACTTTAAATGCGTATGTCAAAAGACACTAGAGATCTTGGACTTCCTTGCTTTGGGTTTGCTGCATTTGACCGCCTCAATGTAGAGAAGCATCTTCCCCCCCCCCTCTCACACACACACACACACACACACACACAAAACACCTGCCAGTGATGTGCAGTGATGAGGCGGAAGAGGGAACTCATCCTCCAAGCAAAAGCCAGCTCACTTCCAAGGGGTGCATTTAACTGCATTTCCAGCAATACACACAGAAGAACTGCAACACCTTGGAACACCTACATTCCCTGAGGTCCTATTTAACTGAGCATTTAGTACTCTCTTCCTTGAAACTCTAGAGCTTTTTTGGCACATTACACCAACATTCTCTCAACAGCTCATAGAAGGCTGTCTCCCAAAGCCTGGCAGTTACTGTGGTCCCAAAGGACAATTCTGCATATCCAAAAACATTTGTCCAATAAAACTTTTTCTGTAGCTTAGTCCCACGCCCACCCCTCAGAAAGGAAGGCGAGATTTGAGAAACCTTTGAAGGAAGAGCTGGGAAACAGGGGCCTTCCAGATGTAGTTCGCCCATCAGCCCCAGGCAACGTGCTAAATGGTCAAGGATGATGATTCTAGTACAGCAACATCTGGAAGGCCATTGCTTTAATGTGACAATTTTTTGAGCAATACCCAACCCAGTAGGACTGCCACCCTCTGCTATACCTACTTTAAGGGCCAGAAAGCACAATTATTGTAGGAATTGTGTTTTTCAACCTATTTGTACCCTGCCTCCTGCAGGCATAGAGGTATCCTATACTCAATGTGCAACACCTCAAGTTAGACTGGGGTTTAGGTACCAGCCTGTGTTAACAAAAGAGCAACATAGTTAAGTTATTCCACATAGGCTCTCCCTTCACAGTAAGTCTGGACCTTCTTCCAGGGAGAGGGAGAGGAAGATGGGCCACTGTGTAAAAAGATCCTTCAGTTGAGGGGCGGGGATGCTCAACTCCCAGCTCCCATCATCCTCAACACCTAGATGGCCACAGGTTCAATTGCTTCAGACAGCGTAGCCCATGATAAAGGCAGCTGTAGAGTTCACAGGTGGGTCATATCTCATTTCCAGCAGTCATCAGAGCTCCTGGCTGCCTCTTACAAGGGAAGGAGATGGTGGAGTGGTTAAAGCAGTGGTTTTCAACCAGTGTGCTGTGGCACCGTGGGGTGCCTTGAATGATGGTAAGGGGTGCCGTGGGCAACACTGGCCTTTGTCCCTCTTTCCTTCCCTCCCTCCTCTGATGCCCTCTTGCGTTTCTGCCTCCCAAAGCCTTGCACAGCTGTTTGTTGCAGCAGCTCCCCAGGTGAATGCTGCCTCTGGAGCTAGCTAGAAGGTGCTTCCCAGGCCCTTGTGGGGCAGGGTGAGGCAGCACTTATTGGGGGGGGCAGCTCAGAGACCAGAGGTGGTAGCTGCAGCTGCCAGAGGACTCCCAAGGAGAGGGGAGAAGAAAGGAGGCTGAGGGAGCACTCCACAAGGGAGGGTGTTCAAAAAAGGGTGAGAGGCTGCCAGCTCTGCAGGCAAGGGGGTGACATAATTGGGCTTCTTAGCCCTACAGGGGTGCCACAGAAAGAATGTAGTTGGTCAAAGGAGCCATGGACCCAAAAAGATTGAAAACCTACAGGTTAAAGGGTTGGACTAGAATCTGGGCTGAAATCTCCACTACAACCATGACATAACTTTGGACAGTTACTCCAAAGTCTTATCCTTTCCTTCATAGTTGCTCTGAGGACATTGGGGGGATGATACCCTTCAGTACTACTTTGAGCTCCTTGCAGGAAAGGTGACCTTACTTCAACTCTGTGTCCCCTGAAGGGATACTTGTTTGTGCAAGACGAAAGGACTTGCCAACCCCTAACTCCCAGCTGTCTGACCTGCCATCATTAGTTGTGGGGGAGGGGGTAAGGGGGGGGGGACAAAAGCCATCATCTTACAGGTTCAGATTGCAACAGGAAAAGAGTCCTTGGTGCTGCCATCTGTGTCTTGCCATACTCCCAACTCTGCTCATCCTATGAGGAAGAGGAAGCTCAAACCAAATACATTTCTTAGTCTTCGGGGATCCCCAAGGCTCTTTTGGCTGTGGTGATGAAGAGCAGACTTCTTCTGAATCTTGTTTGGTCTCCACAAGCTCCACCTCCAGCAATCCAGCTGGTGAGCTTTGCATAATAATTGTTGGCTGCAGAATCACAGGAATCCCATTCCCCACTGCCCTAATTTCATCCTGTCCTCTGTGAGAGCACAAAGCCCCATTCCCCACTGCCTCAATTTCATCCTGTCCTTCATGAAAGCAGCACTGCCAGCTGGACACACATCAAGTCTCACTGGGGGGTAGATGAGAGAGGCAGCTGACCACAGCTCCAGTCAACAGGACCTCAGCAGCGAATCATTTGCTAGGATAGTGTATGTCTAGACTCTAGAGGACTTCCTGTGGCTCTTGAAGTGCTTCTGCCTGGCTCCCTCTCTCCCGTCACGCAACCCAACAGCGGGTGCAGACACACCTTCTGTTTCTGTAAGGCAAACAGGCTGGCAATGAGCTTTAGGAACTTTAGCCAATCATAGATGGGAACTCTAAAGTGTTTTCCCCCTTCTTTGCTGCTCCTGGAATCCTACACATGCCCCCCTAACCAACTGACTTCTGCCCTGAAAACATCTCTCTTAGGGAGTTGTCATACTTTGGAATCTTGGCCTTCAAAATCAGGAATGTCCTCTGCTCAACATGCAAGGAGCTGCAAAACCAACTACTAAAAGCAGGAAAGGTCTCATTAAACCGCATGGTCTTTATTTTCAGTGCCAATATTACAGATACAACACAAACGTCCCAGGAGGAGAACGAATTCAAATGGAATCCAGGACTCTGACAGACTCAGGAAATGAAAAGGGCTGAGGGGGGAAAGCAGCTTTGCAGTGGAGTCTTGAGATGAGTCTTTCTGCAGGCAAATGGTGCCCCCCCTTTCCATCTTTAAGCAACACACATTTCCTTTCTACCCACCTACCACAGCTGACAGCCAAGGATCAGACAAGAGGAGTTCCAAGATTTGGGGTGGGGGCACGCTGAAGAGCGACTTGCTGGAAGGAGCAGCCAGTCTCGTCCATCATGATGCTTTCTGAGAGGGAGGCACTGGCCAAAGAGGGCTTGACGTTGCTGCCTCCACCACTGAATCCTCCAAAACAGAGCTTCTGTCCAGAACAGCAGGTCCACCTATCCATCCCCTTCTCAGACTCAAGCCACTGCCCTCGGGGTGTGCAGTCAAGCGTAGAAAAGGCCCCCCACGTCAGGGAACTCCAAGGAGAAAGGGTCACCAGCATCCTTGGAATACATTTCCAACATGAACTCTGGATGAAAAGTGCCTGAAGGTGGTAACCCGGCTAGCAAGGAGCCGAAACAAAACTCGCTTCACTCACTCACTCGCCCACGCCCACCGGAGGAGAGAAGATGGCAGGCGGGGAGAAACAGTTGCACATGCCACAGTGCACCTCCCCTCCCCCCTTCCAAAACAAGGGGAACGTGGCTTCTGTGGCAAGTGTGGCTCAGCAGCCAGGAGAGGAGAGAAGAGAGAGCGAGCCAGCAAGTGTCTTAAGAGATATGCTTCATCAAGGTGAGCAAGGCCAGTCCTCCTGCTCTGCAGCAGCCGCTGCTCTCGTCAGCTCCCCTGGCCATGGTGCAAGTGGGGGGATTTCTGGAGTCACAGCGCTCTGCCCAGCGTTCCTTCGGCCAACCAGGTGGGGTGAGGAGGGTGGGGCCAGAGCTCACTGCCAGGACTGAGTGGGGAAGTTGTTGACTTCTGCCAGGTCCTGCATTGCTGAGCCCTTGTGATTATATGTCAGCTTGATCCGCATGCGGAGCTGTTGCTACAAACGGGATGAAACAAGGAGAGGTGAAGAAGATCTGGGCAGGAGGGGTGAGGGGACCACTCTTGCAGAAGCTGCAGTGGAACCACCTCAATTTCGTTCAGTTAAATGGGTGCCAAAAGGCACAGAGTTCATCCAGCAGGACTATGAAGCTAAAAGCACCACACAGCTGTTAAGATTCTGCCCCTGAAGGTTCAATGCCACCCCCACCCACCGAACAGAACAGCCACAACTAGAGGCCTTCAGAACCAATGTATGACCTGTACCATCAAGCACTCAGAGGCTGGGCACCACTCCCAGCCCAGCTGCTCCTTCAGCCTCCATGCTGAACATGGTCACTCACTTGCTCATTTGCTCACCTTCTGGGGATTCAGGACTTTAATGACTTGTGTGATGGTCCCTGTGTTAAATGCTGGGATGACGCTGCTACTGGGAGACAGGAGCTGCAACTGGAATGTCTGGAGGAAGGCAAACAAAAGGAAGAAGGGGGCACACTTTCACCTGGTTTTTCTGCTGCAACTACTGCTGCTGCTGCAGGAGACAGGAGGCCCAAAACACGGGCTCAACTCCAAGTACAGTGAAAAATGATGCACAGCACCTAGCCCTCTGCCTCTCATCAGAATGTGCTCCTTTTTCCTGCCACAGCAAGACACTTATGACCATATCAAAGGCAAAGAGCTGGTCCTAAGGGTCCATCTACAGTTTTGGAGCCAAGCCAGCTTGGAGCTTGGAAGTCTGCCTGGAAACACTGTCTGTCCCACTGCAGCTAGGAGGCCACCGAAGCAGATGCTCCTGCCCCAAAGACCAGCCTCACCTTTGGTACCGCAGCCTGGAAAACAAAGTCTGTCATGTCCAGCTCGGTGCTGTTGGAGGCCTGTATTGTGATCACGGTGACGCTGGGGTTGGTGTTTGAGCGTTCAAAGGCAAAGTCAATCTTCAATCCATTTTTGTTGTAGGCCGTGATTGGGGGAATGCCTGTGGAGATGCAGTACTGGTCAGAGTCCTGGAAGGTGCCCTCTCCAACTGGCCCTTACAAAGTCTATAGTACACATTCCCCGCCCACCTCAGCCGCTGCTCAAACAGCGAGGTTCTACAGTCCTACCAGCAGTTATGTCATTGAAGATGGGTTGCGAAGAAAGTCCGTCCAACAGAAATGGGGGTTGCGATATCTGTGGGGCAGGAGCTGGAGGTCCTACAGGAGCAGTTATGAAAGAAAGGGCAGGGTTAGGCTGACGTTCTTCAAGGTAAGGACCAGCGCCAGTGCCTCCAACAAGTAAGAGATCTTGCTCAGTTTCTTCCCCGCACCCTTGAATCTCACTTCCACATGTCCAGCACCTCACCTGTTGGGTTGAGATCCCCTAGGAGATCCAGCAGCTCCCCACCAGCAGAAGCTGGTTTATTTGGAGGGGCTGTTGAAATGATGGGAGTGATGTCGTTACCTCCCAACAGGTCCAGCAAGTCGTTTGCCTGGTAGGAAACACCAAATCAGACTGTTAAAGGCACTTAGCCAAGGAAGCCATCTAGTCTCAAAACCTCCCTGAGCAACATTAGCTTCTGAAGGCTGGAGCGGGCCAGCAGAGAAAGCTGCCTCCTGTTCCTGTGGGGGCTCCACAATTGCTCCTGCAGCCAGCCGTGGGCTGCAAAGCAACAGTTCCCAAAGGAGTCTTTGATGCTGTCTAAGAAAGCAGCAACCCCATGCAATGTTGCTCTCTTGTTTGCAGGAAGGGAGGGAGGAATAGCTATCTTGAGTGTTGCACGGGCAGCACCTTCTCTTACCTGGCTGGTGGGCTGGAGGCCAGAAGGGGGAGGTTTGGTCTCCAGCACTGTTGGCTCTGCCTCCCCATTGGGTTGAGTGACATCTGTGGGGCCATTGGTGGTCAGTTTCTCCATAACTGGCATTCTCTCAAGCAGGGCTGACCTGCAAAGTGGCAAGGCTGTTATCTCCTGGACAACTCAAAGGCTAGGAGGAACAGGAGTTACTCCTCAGATCTGGTGTAGAGAGGGGGTGAGCTCCCAACCAGTCAATGACAGAGGCAATCTATTTTTAGTCAGTTCAAGTCCTCTATTTTTGCTATGCAAATAGGTCCAGCTGAGGCAACCAGTAGCTTCCCCGAGTCACATGAACCAATGTAAGAGTCTCTACGCTGTCTCTTCTATGGGGCTAATGGTTTGGGGCCTATAGAGGTCACGTACTAGAAATGGTTGGTTGCAATCAGCACTGTCCCCTGGTTCCCTGCTAGCTCATGTGAAATGTTCACCAACAGGTGTCAAGCCAGGCAGAGGTCTCCTCCTCCTCACACTGACCAGACACCAAGAGGTCTTCACCTTCTTCAGGTGTGGGACCCACTTCTTAATTTACCACCATATGTTTGTAAGATGGTGATACTGATACTACTGCAACACTGCAGGTTTCCAACCCACCAGGCTGAAGGTCAAAAGGCATGGGGACAGCAGTGTCCTCTAACACTCACCTCATGTGATCGTACTTCTTAAACAAGGCATTGTACTCCACTGCCCTCTGCTGGAGCTCCACATCAATGCTGCTGCCGTATATGGACACCACTTTCTTAATGCGGCTAGAGATGTAGGAAAGAAATGGTGACAAGTGGCAGCAGGGCAGGGGCTGCAGCTTAGCAGGGAGCAAGTACTTCTACCAGCTCTGCAACTGTAGCTCTGCAGCTGTGTGTGTCTTGGCCCAGCCTTTGGGGTCCTTGGGAATCAACTATGTCTCCTTGGACTAGTGGCAATGCCTGGCCTCTGTAACACAGAAGTACAGCTGGACCCCTCACCAGGCACTTCCTTCTCAGGATGAGAGAACATGGAAATATGCATGTGGCTAGGTTTTTTTTTGGGGGGGTGCTGGTTAAGATCCACAAAGTAAGAGTTCATGAAGCTTGCACAGCAGCAAGCAATGGGATCCAGTTACCTCCTGATTATTTCAAGGACTGCAATAAAGATCAAGCAGCATAGGCAGAGCCCCCCCTCCCCGCCCCACCCCTGAAAATACTCACTTGACAGTGCAAGTGAACCGAGTGGACAACTTCATGATGGCAGTGAGGGCATAGCCTCGTGTGACAGACACAGACATGTTGGAGACTAGGACACTTTCCAATACATCAAGGACTTCATCCTCTGTGACCTGAGCAAGCCAAAAGGCAAAGTTAAGAAGGATGGGCCATGAGCCAGATGGGAGAAAACTTCACCAGAGGTCAAGTAAAATCTTTATCCCTTTAAGTAGGCGTACCTGGATTGGCTCCTCCTCCTCACACTGACCAGACACCAAGAGGTCTCCATACTCTCCTATACACCAGGAAGCTACCTGCACCATGGGCTGCTACCAAGGAGAAGGAGGACAGGTGAACTCAGCAATGCAATCTTCTTACCCAAAGTAACAGAGGTTCATTGACACAATGCCTCCCCTCCCTCTCCTCTGCAACCCAACCCACCACCAGCATCACTCTGGGGACTTACTTGGGAATAGTCACCCATGATGGCTTTGTAGAGTCTCTGCACAGTGTAAGCATGCATCTCCATGCTGTTGGTGATTAGCTGGATAAGGTTGGGTACAGCATCGTCACGAACATAACTCCCTGCCTGGAAAGAGGACCCAGAGAGAGGTTTACAAGCCATCCACTTGATGTTTTATTGTGCTTTTAATTCTGTTGGGAGCTGCCCAGAGTGACTGGGGTAACCCAGCCAGATGGGTGGGGAATAAATAAATAATAACAATACTACTACTACTACTACTAAATTATTATTTATCATCATCATCCAAGAAAGCCAGGGAGTGGTACTCAAAAGCAGATTTCTAGACACTGCTGTAGTCAATTAGTTTTTTTATATACCACTTTTCTTAGGGTAAAGATGGCTTACATAAAAATGCAGTAAGATTTAAAGCTACAATTAACTGCACCACCATTGCATATTTGGCAAGCACCCCCCCCCCCAAATCAAACCAGTTTCCAAAAGCTACAACTCTTGCAAGTCTTTGCCGAGCCCTAAGTGGGGATGAGCTACTTTTGACTTCCCTCTGGCAATCAGGCCAGAAGGAATTGTGGCAAAACCCCCACTCCTGGCTGCCAATGACTTTCCTTCATGTGTCAAGGATCAATAGAGCAAGGTTTGATCAGAAGACAGTCTTTATAGAGGCTGGTCCTGGGCTGCCATTGCTTTAAAGGGTGATTTTAACCTGAAGTACCAGCACCGCGAATTGGGCCCAGAAGAACTCAGGCAGCCCCTAGAACTAATGCAGCCTTGTCCTTCATTCATTAAGTCAACAGCAGCAGCAGCAGCCTGCACTTGTAGTGTAAGCTCCCACCTCATTTTCAGAGGCAACCCCCATGCAAAATACATTGCAGCAGTCAGTCCTCAAGAGTTACAGAACTACGTAAAAATCCCTCTATCCCCACCAAACAAGAACCCCTGGGTAAGTCCACCACCTCCATTGGTGGCTCTTGGACACACAGAACTGACAGGTCCTAAGGCTCAGAACAACTGTTTGGGGATACAGGAACAACAGACAAGGTCAGCACTCACCGTTGTCAAGACTCGCATGATTGTGTCTATGTGCCAGCGCTTAGAAGGAGCATATCTGAAAAACACAGTAGATGCAAAGCTGTGAGGACATTCCTTCTCCAAATGTTCCTTCAGTTCCCAAATGTACGGCCATTTTGGTTTTCCAGACATGGATTAGTCAACTGCATAGCTTGAGAGAGGATGAAGCTAAATCCCTGCATTCCACCAGGGGCGAGTGACAGGACCACTACCGCCATTTGGCTCACAGGGTGATGGTATCCAGGTAGCATTACCAGAAGGACTAGCATTGGCAGAGATGGGTCCAGCCTGAAAATGCTCCTCCCCAGCTGTAGCTGTGAGCAGCAAGTGGGAGTGAGCTGTGGCCTCCCGAAGTTGTGACTGCAGAGCAGTTGGGGGGGGGGTAGCAGGAGAGGAAGAGGGCCACAAAGGATGAAACAAACACAAATTATTTGGATTTCTTACTTCTCTGCTGCAAGAAATATTCCCGAGGCACAGTCCGCCTTGAACTCTGGCTCACAGGAGTCCAGGAAATACAGTAGTTCCTTCATCATTCCCCGGATGTTGTTCCCATTCACGAGAGCAAAGCTCAGCTCCATCGCCCGTCTGGAGAAGAGGAGAAGAAGGGATTCAGAGGAAGGGGACAGGAAGGGATGCAGCTCTGCTGACCTGGGCCTGAGCACCAGCAAGAGCCTACACATTTGCAGCCCCTATACAGACAAGTCTCCCCATCACCCCAAGGAGCTTTCCAGAGGCCACAAACGTGCTTTGTCAGCTGCGTGAGTGTCATCATTGCGCCAGGCGCTCTGTTGATGGATCACTCTTAGGCTTCATCCTACAACAGCACCAGCCAAGCCAGAAGGCTCCCACCTCTCATCACTCCAGGGTCCCAGTATGAAACCTAAGGGGTGGCCAAGTTCAAAAACAAGTAGTAAGACAGAGCAGGAGTTTGCAAGGAGAAGCAAGCTTCTTGGTTGCAGATCCAAACCCTTTAAAGCTAGAAAGTAGGTTACTTTAGGCAGGAATAAGTATTAGGGATGACAGCAAGATGACACGAGCTATATAAAATGATGCATGGTGTGGAGAAAGTGGACAGGGCAGTGTTTTTTCTCCTTCTCTCACTCTAGAACCAAATTGGGTTATCCAATGAAACTGAATGTTAGATGATTCAGGATAGACAAAAGGAAGTACTTCACACAGTGTATACTTAAATGATGATATTTACTCCCACAAGAAGCAGTGATGGTTACGAACTTGGACAGTCATAAGGGTGTTCCCTGTGGGAAAAGGGACCATGCTTTAAACAACAATGCCTCATAAGTAGCTTCTGGCTCACAGTGGCGGGCAGAGGAGACAGGTGAGGGGTGACACGAGAATGAATCCTAGATGGTTGGGCCACCTGGACCTACAGTCCTAGCATACCAATCTGACTCACCGTTTGATGGAGACGTCCAGATCTTTTAGGCAGTCCACAATGGTGCTTCTGTGCCGCTGTACAGCATTGTGGTCAGTCTGCACAGTCTTCAATAAGGATGTTAAAGCTACATATCTGAAAAAAGAGACCTGTTGCTTTAGACTATGGCAGCTGTTCTGTGTCACAGCACACTAGAAGGCTTATGAAGACAGCACAGCCAGGCAGCCAAGGGAGATGGAGCAAGCAGGTTGAGTGACTTGCAAGGGCAGCCAATGCAAACCACTAGGCAATGGATTCTAACCCTCCCATCTGTATCAGAGCACCTGGGGAGTGAAAATGAATTTCTCTCAGAACCAATTCTAGCCAGGTAGCCTGCTAGACCAATAGGATGTGGAAAAAAGAGCCCAGAATTTCACATGGTGCATATGGTTGCGGCAGTACAGACCCAGGCAGTAGAAAGGACTGACCACTTCACCTGCAACGGCTGCCCTGGCCACGCGTCAAAAACAACCAATATTGCCACAAGAGACCTGGAGAAAGCTGTGCCTGCTCCAACTAGAACATGTTTTCCATCCTGGACCTGTACTCTGACCTACCTGATATTTTTGTCATTATTGAGCAAGAATCGGCCTAAGATGTTAATGGCCAACACCTAGAAAGAGACAAGCAAAGAGACATGGGTCAGGAACATCTACTTGTTGATACTTTTCACTCTCCAGCCAAAAAACTCCCAAAGGGGATTGGATCTATGAGCAACCTCAGTGACCCAGGTTCTTCCTTGTCAGCTGGTCTGCTTCCATACAAGAGCCCTGAGCTGCTTTCATCTGACTCAAACATCATTTAGAGGTCAGCCCCCATGGGAACGCTTGGCTATGGCTGGAGAAACTGTGATGGGCCACAAAGCTTTGTTTTGCTCAGTGTCTCTCCTAGGATCCCACAAACCCAAGATTACGTACTCGCAGGCCACTCTCAGACTTGATGTCCATGATAGTTAAGACGGTTTCATAAAGAATGGCATTTCCCACATTTTTACTCGTTTCAGTATTCGTGGCCACCTGGAACACAAGACAGACAATCTCACTTTCTAGCTTCCTCCCTCTAGACCAATGCACCACCTTCCCTTCCGCCTCCCAGCAATGATTTGGTAGGCTGCACCCCTCACCTGGGCAAGGATGTCATTCATAGCTTCACTTGAGTCATCATCATTTCGGCCTAGAATTCTCAGCAATCGTAGGATTCGCACCTGAAAAGGACAAAGTTCTCCTTTTGAGCTACAATGGACCCAGAAGGCTCTGGGTCTTGAAGTCAGTCACTGCAGGATCCTCTTCATACTTGAGGAGGCTGGGGGGAGCTCCATTCCCTGGCCAACATTCACTCCTCTCCCTGCCCAGCATGTGCCTGGCCCCAAAGCCCTTACCTGCAGGAAGGGGTCGCTGATTCCAGAAACATCATGCTCGGGGGAATAACCAGACATGATGAGGTTCTTCAGGATACGGACTAGCTGGGGCACAAGCTGTGGAGGACAAAGAGCCATCAGCCATCTGATCTACAGCCCTGCTGTTGTACCTGACATGAAGAAGGGGTCCAAGGAGGAGTCTCTCACAGGAAAAAAGGGTATTAGATTCACCATCTGCAGGTGAGAGCTGAAGGGGCTCTCACTGCTGCTCAGCCCAACCTCACTGACCTTTCCACAGCACAGAGCCAAATAAGCCTGCTGGCCCTACGCAGCCATGCTGCAATATACATATGAGTAGTCTGGTGGGCAACTGATGCCTCAAACTACTAACAGGAAGCAAATGGCTTTGACCTGGCTCCCACTGGCTGAAGCTGCCTCCAGTATCAGATATAGTGTGCCTCTGAATACCTGCTGCTGCAGAATATGAATGGGAGAGAGGGCTGCTGCCTATCACATGCTTATGTGTGGGATTCCCAGTGGGGTATCTGGTTGATCATTGAGGAAAACAGGAAGATGAAACTATATAGTTCCTCTTTGTCCTGATCCACTTACAGCCAGGCTCTAACAGTCAACCATACAACTTCCAGAACCCTGTAGGTTCTTTCCCTTGCCTGTCTCCTTTTACAACCCTATTAACCTTCTGTGGTTAGTAGAAAGCACACCAGCACAGAGATCCCCCTGCTCTTGGTGCTCACTTATGTGGCCACAAAGAGGCATGTGGGCGTGGCAGGAATAAGAGGGAAGTCTCCAAGCTTAGAATGCTGATGTGGTTCCCCCAGGGGAGAGGCTCTGTTTGGATGAAGCAACCAAGCCTGACACAAAATCCCAGGTCAACTCTGAATCCACCAGAGGCCTCCACTATTCCACTCTCAGCCTATCCCCCTACTTCTGCACCATTTGCTGTTTTGAGCACGTTAGTAAGAATTGTAAATATTTGGGCATAATTTTAAAACTGCTAAATGGATGCATTATACCTAAATGGGTTGTTTATCCAAGTCCTATTCTTGGTCCACCCACTGAAATCAACCGACTTACTTTAATCATGTCAATTAATTTCAGTGGGTCTCCTCTAGCATTGGCTACAACCCAGTAATTTTAAATTGGTTAACAACTTTAACTTGGTGCCAAGACAGGATAAAGCCCCAAAGAGGATTTCCTTCTCAGTGCCTCAAGTTGAGGGGCAGAGAGCGAAAGGGCCTTTGTTAAATGAAAGACTCTGCTAAGATATGGCAGCTGGCCAAATATACAAACTTGAGACAATCTTTTAGGAAGACAGAGATCTTGCTCAATCTCATTGCAATATCTCATCGCTTGGAACCCTGCTTAGTCATGTCACTGAGGCTTCCCATACCCACCATTATTTTGCTCTAACCATGCACAAGTCATAGCCAGTGATGATGGGACAAGCATGGGGGAGCAGAAACAGCTGTAAAGATCAGTCTCCAGCCAAGCAGAAGCAAGTAGGGAAGGAAGAGGAGTATCTCTGCCTTCAACAGCTGCCCACAGCATGAAGGCAAATTGCTCTGAACAGGGGCGGTTCACTCTTCCACCTTCTCTGCTTACTACCCATCCCACACCTTATAGAAGCCTTGTACCAAGCCAATGGAAAACACCCACCATGAACAGCACAGATGCAAACCCCCCTCACATCCCTCAAAGATCCATCCAACTGTAGCAGAGGGAGACTGTAGCCTGAGTTTCAAGAGGACTGTAACAGAGATCCAAGGTTGCCTTAGGTATTAGGTTTAATCAGGGCATTAATAAACTCAACTACAAACACAATTAGTCAAGCTGCAGTATTAGTGCAGTAAACAGTGGATTGGCACAAACCTCAACAGGCCCAATGAAAGCATGCATGGGGGGCATAGGGGAGGAAGAAAAAGTGAGAGACTCTTACCTTTTCATTCTAACCCACCACAGCAGGATTCCAAACAGACAAAAGGGACAGAAGAGATGAAGCAGGCGTTAGGGAGAGGAGCAACAGCTCACAACATCAACCACCTCATCCACCTCCACCAGCAGCAGCGGCAAAACAAAGGGCAGGAAGGGTAACCAGGACAACAACACCTGAAGCACAACTGCATTCAACTCTCCCCAGCTGGACCGACAGCTTCATCTACCTCCCTGGCCAGGTCCCTTCTGTGTTGGGCAACAGTTCTCCAGGCACAGCCCCAACAATGGGAGGCAGGCTGGCAAGCAGAGGTGGCCCTCTCCATGGCTAAGCAGCTGGAGAAGCAGCGGCTCCTGCTTTGCTCAGGATCTCCCTGGGTTTTGAGGAATTTTCGGCTCCCTCCCCTCAAATCATTGCTGAGGTGGTATCACTTTATAAAATGGAGAACACAGAATGTGCTCTGCAAGAGCAGCAGCTGGAGTGGCCTGGCCCAAGTGCACCACCCTGCCACTCAGTTCCACAGGAAGGGTAGAAAAGACATACCCTGGCATAAGCACAGGGGCTTCCCAGCTGCAGGGCTTCCATTCAACCAAATGGATATTTTGCCAAGGAAGGACACATGCTTCTCTCCTGCAAGGCCAACCCATCAGCGACTGGAAACTGACACCGACGTCAGTCCCTCAAAGGTAGGAGCCAAGCTGCCTCAAAACTCTGCCCAGAGGGGCACATGCAATAGGGTGACAAGTCGACAAGGACTTACCTTTCTAAAATGGGCTAGCATGTCTGGGCTTCTCTCACACATTTCCGTAAGGAGGACCACAGAGGTGTGAAGAACACCTGCCAGGAAAAGAGAAGAAGGAACCTATGCTTTACATGGCCATCATCAAGGACTCGCCACAGCTGAAGATGGACTATGAGAGACTGCAAGCTTTTAAGGCAGCAGCTTGGCAGCTTCTAACCAGCAACCTGCCCTCTGAGCCTCAGCACTTCTGGGCCAGGATCCTCAATACACAAGATAATCCTCTGTATGGAAGCCAGAAGTGGTTGTGGATGAAAAAGCAGAGAGACTTCAATCCTAGGCCAAAGCAGCCAGGCCTTTTTACTTTTCCCTATGAGAAACTGCTGATAAAAGGATAAGCTGCAAGGAACTCTTTAGACCCCTCCAAAGACAGCACTGAACTGAGCTCTGTAGCCTGTAGAAACATGAGCAAAGCTTGGTAGTAAAGGGAGCCTCAAACACCTCTCTCCTTCAACCCCACAGCCAAAATACAAGTAAGGCGATGCTGCAGAGTAGGCTGAAGCCGGCTCTCCCCATTGCCCACGTTAATGCCTCCTTCATGCCAACAACACACACTGCAGCAGGCTGGAACTCACTAGCTCACAAGATACCTCAAAGGGCCAAGCCCATAAGGCTTGCAAGCCCACTGCTGGATACAAACCATGATGGCTGCATACTGTTACTACTTCAGAGGGGCTATGCCTCTAAATATCAGTTGCTAAGAATGCAATGTTGTGCCCTTGTCCAGCTTGTGGCACCAGGCTTGCCACTATGAGAACAGGATACTGGAATAGGTAAGGTTTTGTTCTGACCGAGCAGTCAAGAGTCTCCTTCCATTAACCCCACTCCCCTCCCTTCCTGAGCTTGACTGCACTCCCTGTTATGGGATCTGGCTTCCTTCACTTCCTTCATTCCCCTGACCAAAAGTACCTCAGTGGAAGGTGTCCCAGGTTCAATCCCTGCCACCATTAGGTAGGACTGGGAAAGCTCCCTGTTCCAAACCCAGCTGTTCCAAACCTAGTTAGTCACCTAAGATAGGTGGCCCAGTGGGCCAACTCAGTGCAAGGTAGCTTCCACTGTTCTAAGGGAAGGAGGGTGCAAGCAATGAGTCCACCAGAACTGAGTTTCAGAGCATAGAAACACAAAAAGTATGCTTGGCTCCTGGCCTTGATGCACATGGCATTTATCTACATGAGGATTTCTATGCCATTCCAAACTGCCCAAGCTTTCTTATCATAGCCCTTCAGGTCCTCATATTTCTTTAGTCCACCCCAAAAATACATAGTGCCTTGGCCTTCCCTTGCCACAGCAGGCCTTACCATGATTCTTCTCATTCAGCAGGTTCTTTGTGGCTGGCAGGAACATTTCCATGAGCTCAGGCACCTTCCTGATGACGTGAACAGCACACAGGGCTGCCTATGGAAGAATTGGGGGGTGGAAGGGGGAGTGGTCAGCAGATGTGCAGGCAGCCCTCTACACAGAGACCCCTAAAAGGGGATCCCTCGAGAGAGAAACACTATGTACTTTATTTGCATTTTAACTCTAGTCCTGGTAAGTCTTAATTGTGGGCACAAAGAGACCACCCTCTGCCAAAGGCCAGTCAAAAACTCCTTGCAAAGATCTGGGCAGTGCAACTTCCTGCTGACATTTGAGAGGAAGCAAACCACAATCTTAATGTAAGAAAAGGGAAGAGCTTACAGTTCAACAGATCTAGAGGACTCCCCCTCCTTTTGGGGAGGGGGTCTCCTAAAGTTGTACCTTTGTCCAATAAATAAATAAATACCTTTTTCCTCAAGTAAGAATTGGAGGTTTTCAGGAGCTTCTCCACCTCCCCGGCTAGGTCACGACACATTTCAGAGGAGCCCATGCAGCCCAGGGTGCAGAGTGCCAGGCCTTGCACATACTGTGTGCTGTGATTAAGGTCACTGGAAGAGAGAGAAAGCAGCAATGCAAGGAATGGCTGGGATAAGGCACTCCCAGATACAAAGCAGTCGGCCTCAAGCTGACAGTGTGTCAGATAACCCTGGGGATAGCAATGGGCTAGAATGCTTTCCAAGGAACAAAGAACAACCAACACTTGTCTCAGTCAATGACAACGCAACTGTGTCCAGCACACTAACTCATCTGTGGTCAAATGCCCCACAAGTTCAGTGGCATCTCTACAACACCAGAAAAAATGACTTAAGTGTCTACTGAAGTCATATTACAGATACTCCCACCCAGATGCCTTCCATAGCTCTACAGATCCAGGTCCAGAGACACACAGCAACAAGGATGAGAGCTATCTGCAGCATGGTGGTGCATCTTAACTGCTCCCATAGAAGGTAGCTTCAGCTCTACAAGGCAAGCAGCTTATTACCTGCCTTCCTAAACCACCACCACCACTTTCTGGCTGCAATCCTCAGAGGAGGGTGCATGACTAAGGTGTGCTGAACTTCAAGGCTCAACAAGAATATTCCAAGCCCTGTCAGCAGGTCCACCTTTGCAGAATAGCTCTCTTCCCACCCTAGAAATGAAAAAGGCCTTACTTCTTGATGCAGTTGGTCATGAGAAGGTGGACGTCCTGCCTCTCATCCAGCAGCAACATGGCTCCAAGGTAACCAATGCGTTTGTCCGTGAATTTCTGAGAGGCAATCAGTTTGAGGCACTCCAACTGCAAGAGGGGGCAGAGAAGCCAGAGGGAGTGACTCTCCCCAATGCTTCCAACATTTTTGTCACATTCACCATGGCAACTGTGCTACCACACCCTGGTGATTGATTAGCCTTACTACCAACTCACTCCATGACTCTGAGGCTGGAAAGAAGACTGACAGTTGTTGGGTTGCTTCACTGTCAAGGTGTCGAGCACATCTCACCTCCAAGCACCAAGCTGCTCTCCTGCACTCCCCTGAGGAGAGACCAGCATGAAGCTTCCTTGGCAGTGGCTGCTGCTGGCTGGAGGCACCCTGAGCAGTGACCAAATAAGTGGCCTTTCTTGCAGGGGGTGGGGGTGGCAGCAGGTGGAGGTGCTCAGGGCACCTCTGTCCAGCAGTGCGCTAGCCAGGATATTCCCACTTGCTTTTCCTGCAGGAAAGACAGTGGTGGGAGTTAAAAACCTGGTGACAACAATTTTTGACTTCGGGTTGTGAGGGATGCCAGATGAGAAAGGTCGAAAGAAAAGAATGAACTGTAGCTGTGGACAACTGAGTCTGTAATGAAACCTGAGGGTTCAACCAGGGCTCAGCACAGTTACTACAATGCTCAGACACGCCATTACTTAAATCCCCTTCAGTACATGGGTTCAGCCATGAGAATGAAATGGATCCTAAAACTGAGCACTTCTGTGGCAGCTAAATGCCTCACAGGATCTGAAATGTGATTTAAAATCAAGGTTTGACTTTGCTCGCAAATCCTTGCTAAAAGCAAGTCCCAATTAGCCTTGGGGCTGTCTGTAGGAAGAATGTTGGTGCTGGTCTAAGTTTCCCTGTCATTAAGGTTGGTGGGGAAATGATGGCAGGATAATGCTTCACTCACAATCTCTTCAGCACCACAGCATGAATCTATACAGGATCTGTCCAGTCTTTACAACTGCAGAAGAGCAATGGCAAAGCTGCTTTTAAAGAATCCATTCATTCTGCTTTCTAAAGCCAGTTATTTCCCAATCACGCAGCACCCAGCTTAGGCTAAAGTTTCAGGTTAGGTTGATAAGCTCAGTTGGTTAGAGCATGGTGCTAGTAACACAAAGGTCACAAGTTCCTATCTCCATATGGGATAGTTGCATATTCCTGCACTGAAGGGAGTTGGACGAGATGATCCTCAGGGTCCTTTCCAACTCTACAATTCTATGAAACTCCTGTATGAGGTCTAGCAGAAAAACACATCTGCTGAAGAAGAGGCAATTATGCCAAGAGCTTGTGGCCCACCTCCTAGGCCTTCCTGGTGTTCTGAACGAACTCTCCATCTTGGTATGCAAGGAAGACAAGGCACAGCAGCAGCACTTCAGGCTTGGACGGAAAGGAGAAAGCTTTCTACCTGTACACAGCCTGTTCAAATGCCTGCCTGCTTCCTACATGCAGAGCTCAGTTCAGTAACCTGATCTGGGTGAACTGCTCCCTTGATCTAGCTGAGCAGAGGAGGAGCAACTTTGACACCAATATATCCCATTTCAGCTGGAGCAAGAGAAACAAGCCACGCTTTTCCCACGGCCCACTCTTTCAGGCCTTTTTACTTGGTAGCTTGGGCTCAGGAAGGGCCTTTTGCTGGTCTGGTTGCCTTTCCAGTTCTCAAATGAATGGCCCAGAAACATGGCAAAGAAGCAAGAACACAGCCACACCTTCCCTACCCATAGCAGAGCTGCCCATTATCCCTTTGTCCCCCTAGCCTTGTGCCCTTGCACAGAGCCCAGAGGATTGAATAGCCCATTGGTTTTAATTCCCAACAGAGGGATGATGCACTATGAAAGAGACATGCAGTGTGGCTGGAGAGCTCCATCATGAAACTTCTGCTCATCACATGCAGAACCAGCATCTGGAAACTAAGACCTCTCATAAGTCTTCCTGTGAACCTTCTATCACACCACACACACCAGTCAATTTACAAGCAACTTAGAAAGCAAAAGTTAATGCCATGAGATGAACTCCCTGGCAACAAAACAGAGTAGAACAGCTCTTGGAAAAAGTTAAGGAATGACTTGGACACTTTAAAGATCACAAAATATATCCTTTGCTACAATAAAATGATGGAATAAAACCATGAGGATTGTGATATGCTCCTCCTTAGGTTTCTGTGAGGCACATGAAAATATTTCTCTTCCACAAAGGATTTCCAGCCCAAGAAAGAACTTGAGTTAGTAATACGCAGCAAGAGGAAGACAACTGTGCAGTTTCCTACAGGTTGCAACTCTGAAGGCACTTTGCCAGCATGATGAGCCTCCCCCAAACATCCAAAGCTAGGAATTTGCAAAAGGGCTGCTGCCACTACTGATGAAAAGAAGAGGGCCTACCTGTCCAAAGTGTGCAGGGTAGCCCAACATGTGCATGTAGAGCAACTTGGCCACATTCCGGCAGCGGTAAGTGTTGTCCTCTTCTCGGAAAGACGATCGGATGGCAGCACATTCTTTTTGGATCATCTCCCTTTCTTCTGCCTGGGTCCGTGCTGTCCGGATGGTCCGGATCAGCTCCCGGAGTCTGATGGGGGCTGGCATCCTCTGAGAAAAAAGATAATGGGGGGAGGGAGAGATAGTGAGCAGGGAATTAAACCTCAGCAGTTAAGTCTTTAAAACAGTACACCATGAGAAACCGTAGAGAGAGGCTGGTAGGGTCTCCAAGCTGGCATTGGTTATACTGACAGAACTCTCTATGGTTCAATCCACGTTGTTTATCCCAAGTCAGCCATCTCTGCCACAGCTGGGACTCCAGAATACTTCAGCCTCAAAAAGTCTGTCTTCCCTGCCAAGTGGCTTAAGATATCTGTAGTAAGGAAAGAGATATGGCTCTGTTGCCAAGGTATGTAATGATGTATTCGCTGCAGCTCTGTCTCCACTACTGCATGGTGGAATGGGTGGCAGACTAAGGCTGGTGATAAACTGACTGCATGTGCTCTTTACAACAAACACAGCTCACCTCTCATGGCAAACCCAAGAAACTGTTTCTTTCTTCCTGTGGCTGGTCCCCAATCACCAGGAATTTCTGCCTAAATTTGCATACCAGCACAGATAGGAGCCTCCTCCCTCCTTCTGCCATCCCCAAATAAGGCAAAAGTCCGAGATTAATCAGCGACCCTACACAACCTTCCTGAGCCTTGGATTAAGCCCTGCTTGTGAAAACAAACCTGAGATTGAAGCAAACCAAATTATGCAGCCATAAAAGCATCTGAATCTGCCGGCCCCAAGGTGAAGGCTTATTTATAGGATCTAGCAAACCACAGGAACACCTCTGGCTCAAACCCAAATATTCTACAGTGGTGCCTCGCAAGACGAAATTAATTCGTTCTGCGAGTTTTTTCATCTTGCAAATTTTTCGTCTTGCGAAGCACGGTTTCCCATAGGGTATTAACGGTTTTAAGAAAAAGGAAACAAACTTGCAAGACATTTTCGTTTTTCGTCTTGCGAAGCAAGCCCATAGGGAAATTCGTCTTGCGAAGCAACTCAAAAAATGAAAAACTCTTTTGTCTTGCGCCTTTTTCGTCTTGCGAGGCATTCGTCTTGCGAGGTACCACTGTACTTCACTCTGGATTTGCTTTTCAACTAAAGGAAACTCCCATTATATTTCAAAGCAGCCTTTGGCCCCAATGCATGGGTCACTCTCTGCTACCCTGGTCTGTTTATCTGCCAAACAAACTGAAATAAATTATCCACAAGTCAGGAGGAAAAAGTATTATTTTCAAGGCCCAGCATACACTACTGCATAATACTAATATGTACATTACTTTTACGAATGAGAATGGTCATTCTGATATTGTACAGTTGTACCTTGGTTCTCAAATGCCTTGTGACTCAAACGTTTTGGCTCCCGAACGCGCAAATACAGAAGTGTTCCAATTTACAAACTTTTTTGGAAGCCAAACATCCAGTGCAGCTTATGCGGCTTCCAACTGAGTGCAGGAAGCTCCTGCAGCCAATCAGAAGCCATGCCTCCGTTTTTGAACGTTTTTGGAAGTCAAATGGACTTCCGGAACGGATTCTGTTCGAGAACCAAGGTACGACTGTATTGTTCTTTGGAATTTAAAATGCATGTGTCTGTAAATACATCTCATACACAGTAAATCATATCTAAGTTTACTGTTACCATGATGTAATAATACTTACAGAGTGGACACATTTTTAGACCAGTCAAACATGCAAACCTAAGTTTCAATTAGCACAGCTAAACATGAGCAAGAAAGTGTCATTAACATTGTGAAGACAATTTTCATGCTGACATGACATCTTACTCCTGAGGACCTGATGGAGACAATCAGGGTTTCATTCAATTCCTTTTCGTCCAGACAGCTCTGCCCCTTTCAGGCTCTTCATTATGGCTGTTTCTCAGGCCTTTTCAAAGCAAGGACAGCAGAGCCTGAGTGGGACAGTTCCAGAGGGGTGGGACATCCCCTCCCCCACTTTCCCAGTACAGTCTTAAGCAGACTACTTCCAGTATACTCCCAGCCCAGTGGTTGACTAAAAACTGAGCCCAGCACTCAATGGACACCAGCACTGCTGCTGCTTCTCACATGTGACCGAACCCAGAGCTGATTCCAAATGCACTTGCAGGCCCAACGGGTAGCCACTGAGCCCAAACGATGAAACCCAGGAAAAGTCTATGCTGTTATTTAAAACCGTGGGAAGAAGCTAGGTAGCCCAACTCAAGGCCTCTTCTAAAGGTGCTTCATCAGTACAAGTCACATTACAGTGGGCTGTGGCTCTCTTTTAGTTGAGCATTCAAACTGTGACTACACCAATCCATTCAGAGATTACACTTGTTAAGGGTTGTGCAATAAATAACGGACAGAAATTCTAAACTACGCAGCTCTAGACTGAGCACTCAGCATCTGTAGATGCCTACATTTTTGACTGATGCATTTCATAAAAACTACAAAATGTGGTTAGATGTTCAACAAGCTACAGAAACCACTGCAAGTTCTCTCTTATTGCTTGTGAAATACACTTGTGCCAGCCCATTGGTTTCCCAAGCTGATTTTGTAAGGGCCTCCTCACATCCACCTTCAAAAGAAGGTGGCTGTCAAGTAGGAGAAACAAAAGAAGGACACATGCCTTTCAGGTCATGCTGCTGCTGCTAGCTACAGAGCTGGAAGGGGACCTCACAAATCATCCTAGTACAACCTCTTGCAGATGGATGGAGGACACCTATTACTACACACACCAGCCCCAGAAGGTTTTAAAACAGAAGCTGGATGGCCACCATCTTCCAAGGTATTCTGAACTGCATCTGTTTGGTAGGCTGAACAGTCCTACCTTCAAGGAGACTGTAGTCAGCAGTTGGGGAAAGACATGGTCTCTGATGAACCTTTCACTTATGAAGACAGCCCTGTATCAGGAAGTTTTTTATGCTTGACATCTTATGTTTTTTTAAGCGCTGGAAACCCAGCCGGATGGGTGGGGCATTATTATTATTTGAAAACTTCAGCATTAATTTTTTCCCTTTAACATTGATTTCCCACTTTTCCATCCCAAAACAAAATGTTCAAACCACTGAACCACCATCATAAATCCTAATAACAATAAAACAGTACAACTCACTCTAATGCAGCAGCAATATAAAAATCCAAGGCACACACAGAGGAAAAACATCTGAAAAATGCATGGCTCAAGCCATATTGTTCTGACCTTTTGCCTGAAGAGAAAAAGGAGGCCATCGGCTGAGTCCATGGAGAAGAGTCTCATAACCAGGGAGCCTCCACCATCACCAAGAAAGCCTAACCGCATATGTCCACATGCCATAGGTGGAGCCCAGAGCAGGGCTTCCCTTCAGCAGCATCTGCAGCAAGCAGGCAGTCACCTACAGATGAACTGATTCCATGGAGTTCCAAACCATCCAGGTAGGGACTGACTCTAGGTCAAGTTTTCTTGAACTCTAATAATGTGCTCTCAAGCCCATTCTTGGGATCAAATGGCTATTTTCATTCCTGCTAGCAGAAATAGTTCCCCTATCCCGGTCCTGTTTACTGGGTGATTTTACATTTATCCAACCAACCTCATTCTATTAACTATATTTCTGGACTTTGCTTCCAAATCAACATGCAAAAATGATTCCCCTTCTTCAAAAGCCTCCTTTTCTGCTACTGAGAACAAACATGCTTCCCAAGACACTCCTCTAACACTGCCCCACGCAACACAATATGAAATCGACAAGAAGTCTGCAGCCTCCCTTCACAGATGGGTCCATGTGCTGGTTGAAAGCAGAGGACTCTGTTCAGGCAGAGAGATCTCATCAGAGCTCTCTATAGCCACCAGTCTCCAAACTGGAGGCTTCTCATTAAGGGAATATTTACGGTTATATATTCTTTCATTCCACAATTTACATTTGCCACCAACATAAGGACATAGTAAGTTGCCTTCTGTTTGTGTCAGACCACTGGTCCATCAAGCTCAGGACGGTCCACATTGACTAGCAGTTGTTCTCCAGGCTTTCAGGTAGGGGGTTTCTCCCAGCCCTACCTGGAGATTGACCGTGGTACCTTCTACTTGCAAAGCTGGTGCTCCACTACTGAGCCGAATTCCTTCCCCATGCCATTATTCCTTCATGCATGTTATTAGATGATTTATGTCCCTCCACAGAGTATCTAAGGTGGTTTATGGAAAATAAACCACAGCACAAACTGCAGGTGTTGCAGGATAATAGAGACTGACCAGACTTCCAGGTCTGATCTTCTGGCGACAGAGAAGCAGAATTATTTCCCTTCTCCCAAGTGCTAACCAGGGTAGACCCATGCCTGCTAGAGAGTCTTGTTCCATCTCGTGCCTTCCAACCCACTTACTGCCAAATCTGTGTGGATTCCTTAGGAAAGGAAGCTGTTGCCATAATTACACAGGAGGATCCTGGTGGATCAGAGCAAGCACACGACCCACAGTGAGCCAGCTCCTTCCATGTTTCATGAGCCAGCTTGAGTTTCCATCCAAAGCTCCCAGTTAAGAAGGAGGCTCTCAGGCTGCTTCTAGGATCCAGAAGTACTCATGATCTAACTTCTACTAAGACGCTTTGGAAGAGCTTCTTAGTGAATCACAACCTTCCAGAGTAGCCAACATACCACAAGTGCCTTTATTAAGTCTATGACATTTTAAAAATAATCTCTGGTAAACAGATGTTTAGTAAGAAATGCTCTGATAGCTATCTGTCTAATGTGGCATTCACTCACCAGGATGGAATTTCTTGTTGCCTATGACTACCAGGTGAGTTGTTACATGCAAGGCTGTCCTAAAGCTCATCTTGCTATACTAAAGTTGACCCCACCTCTCTTCAGGTACTCCAAGGTATGAGTCACAAGATAAACCAAATATAAGAACTCTTTCAAAGTAGCAACACTCTTAACGGAACTTTCACAATTAGGGTGGGCCCTGATACATAGCAGGATGAAGCAGCGCACTTCAGGCAGCATAATGGAGGTGGCCAAAGCTAGACGGAAGCTGTACTGCTGTTTGAATGGTACAGGGTTAGCCCTACAGAACAGAAATTTGAGATCTACCTCAGGCAGCAAGAGGTCTCAAGACAGCATTGTTCAGATTACAAACAGTTTCTGATTGCAGGTCCCAAAAAAACTCTCAGAAGATGCCCAAGCTGAAGAAAAAACAAAAAACAGGTCTTTGGTTCAAAAATACCTGCAACTACTCCTAAAATCCAACTCTGCCATAAGATGATCAACATGCAAGCCAACACACAAAGTAAAGTTTATTAACTATGTTTGGGAGGAGAGACACAGAACGCAATTCACCACCTCAATGCAGGTACACCCTGAATTAACAGCCAGACATTGTTAACAAAAACAGTAACAGTGCAACCATACTGCTGGAAAGAAAGTGTACTACCAATGCAAAAACATCCAGAATAAGCTCACAGCAGTGTTAGAAACTATGATATGTAAGTTAAGTGCCAAACGGCTCCTTAAACCAAGGTTAGTCACCAAAACGGAATATCTAGTTGCCATTTGAGGGTAAGATGGCTCTAAAGTCTTATTTTTCAAATGATGGACTAATTGTGATTGATTATCAGTGAAACACCTGGCTAGTTCAGATGACTACCTTGAACTAGGTTAAGAACTTTGAGAACTTAAAGAAGAAAAGTCACTTGATGCAGGGACAGTCCACATACATATTGGCCTATTCCTACATCTTTTTCTTAATGGTGACACTGACCATTCATAACGTAGGAATGTTCTTCACAACTGTGACAAGGTCAGTGGGGTGGGGTAAGTGAAGACAAACTACAATAATTAACTAACGTTGCTCCTGCTCAGGCTGCACAGTAAAAGCATTTTAGTTCCTGAAATTCATTCTGATTCTGCAGATAAAATATAACTCATGGTTGTGAGTGGTCAATAGTCAGGTGCAAAATGCACCTGGCTAATTTTGGACACTTGCCCATAGCCAACAGAAATTCAACAAAGGTAAAGACCACTGTATTCAGACAAAAGACAAGCATACTCCATCTGCAATACTATTTAAAAGCAAATCTTCCATCTCATGATATATCTTTGAACTACACCAAACTTAGTCAATGTAACAATTTTGCCCAATTGTCACAATTTCTTTCAAGAGACACACAGGATTTTCAGCATACACTAGTTAGACATTTTATAAAAGAGAGGCCCTCTGTCAGACAGGTTCTGTTAATCATTAGTTATAAGGTAGCACCATCATTCCACATGATGCTTTGCAGAGAATCACATCAACATGAGCTTACAGTTTCTAAATTTTAAATGGCAGATGAAGGAGAAATGTGAGCAAATACTCCATGTTGCAACAATGAAGGTGAAACCAAAGGCATTAAACAACAGGCTTCAAAGTGAAAATGTGTTTTGAGGAAGTGTTTGAAGAGAAGAGAAAGAGATTGTCACAAAGGGTTTCTTACAAGGAGTTCCAGTCTAGGCGACAGAAAACTGGGCAATCAAGCTGAAGCAACTAAGGATATGGGCAGGAATATCCATATTAAAATAAAGTTAAGTTTCAGAAGGTCTGCAGATGTTGAGTAACCCTCTTCCAACTGTTACTCATCTACAAGAGTACTGCTAGATAACTCCTTCACAATCATTAACCTCAGCAGGAAAGCAGCTTATCTCATTTGTAAGACCCTTAGAAATTCTTACAATGAAATGGAATAAAACTTTGGTTAAATAAAAATAAACAAATATTTCCCTCTCAACAGGAGGGCAAAAAAAGGGAACTGCAATGGCTTCTTCAGGTCAAGTTGACAGGTGAGCCAGCTGGCTGGACTGCCCTCTCACTTCCCCGCACCCACCCGTGGTCTTGGCCTTTCCTTTCCCCAGCGCTCACTGAACAGGCATTCTTTGCAAAGCGTTGGAATCCACATCCAACAGCCTTGAGCCTTTTCCTAGTGTCGACCCTGCCGTAATCGGGAGTGACTCTCAGTCTCTCTCCCCGACGAGGTGTTCCTAAGCCCCTTGCTCACAAGGCCTGTCAAGGGGCGAGGCGAGTCTCTTTCTTCAGGCCTCGGATAGGAGCCGATCCGATCGTCGGAAGCCCGGGCGAGCTGTACGGGGGTGAACTCCGGCGCGGCGCGCGGAGAAGACTCTCCTCGTCTATAACAGAAGAGGCCACAGGCACTTCCGCCGACAGCAGAGACAGAACTGGCCGGGCGAAGAGAAAAACGCCTCGAATAGCGGGAGGGAAGTCATGGGCTAAGGAGCACCGCCTAGGCTGGCCTTTGCTCGGCGGCGCGGAGAAGGGAAGCGGACGGAGAAACAGCCACCTCCTGCCCGGGAGGGTGAAGGGCCGCTCCGGCAGGGGCAGCAGCCCCGCCAGGCCTCACGAGCCAGCTGGCAAGTCAGACGGCAGCAACCCACGCGGAACACGGCAGCGCGCTCCCTTCTTGCTCTAGGAACCGGCGCCTCTCCCCTTAGCCAGCCGACCCACCCACCGACCGGAAAGCGGCCGGGCCCTCGGCGGCAAGGCTCAGTCAGTCCCGGGAGGCGGGGCGGGAGGCGGCGGCGGCTGGGCCTTGCCCCGGGCAGCGGCGGCGGGCCTAGGATCCTACTGCCGAAGTAGAAGCAGCAGCAGCAACACCTACCCTGCCTGGCAGCGCCTCCTCTCTCCCCGCGCGGCACTCACCGGGCCGGATCCCTACGGCGAAGGTGGCGGCGGCAGTAGCTAGAGCCTGGCATCCAAAATGGCGGCGGCGCGGCCTCAGCACCGATACCGCAGGCGGAGGAATCTGGAGACCGGGACTCACTGACTGCCCTCTCTCAGAGCACGGCGCGGCGATAGCCTGCTGCATCCATTAACGTTGCTGCGTCCTCCGTCGCCGCCGGCCGGCGCGTTTCGTGGCCAGACAATGCTCGGCGCTTGGAACCGCGGTAACTGGCCCCAGAACTCGTTTCCTCCGCGGAAGTATCTGTAGCGGTGTCACACGATTAGCGGTGAGACTGCGCCGTGGCAGGTAGTGATGACGTCAGACGCCTGCCTAGTCACCGCTGCGGCTGTGCTCACGACATGCGTCCGGCTGGGTCGTATTGGCGAACTTTAAAGTTCCGTTCTGGATACGGAACTTGCCCACAGCCCAAGAAGCGAAGCCTTCCCGTCCTTCGAGGAAAAAACCAGCTGTCAGGGCGACTGAAGCGTCTTTGCGAATTGCCGGGGGCTAGCCTGACAGTAGCGGGGCCAAGTCCGTACAGAGCACGTGCTTTCCTAGCAAGCTCAATCTTAAGCAAGTTTACTCGGAAATATATCCCAGTGCTTTGGACATACACAGGACTGCAGGCTTTGCACGGAGCTCCAGTGTCCCGTTTCTGAGGCCGCAGAGAGCCGAAGAAGCTTGCTGGCAAGCGCCTTGTTTGAACGTGGAGAGCCTCCCGGCTCAACCTCCTCTGATTTGCGTGAAACAGTTTTCGCTAATGTGGCGGATACATCCATTTCAGCTCTGGCCTCTCTTAGGGCTCTACAGTTCCGCGGCTAGTATTAAGGTTTGGGGGCTAGAAAGCCTCGCCACGGAATATATATTGGTCACTTCAATCGTTATCTCTGATAGTCAACGTCGGCGGCTTTTTGCACTGCTTCCGCCTTCCATTAGGGCATCTGGCTAATCGCTGGGAAACAGATGGGGATACTGTAGGAAGCTGTCTTAAATTGAGTCAGTCTCTTGGTCCACCTAGCTCAGTATTGCTTACACTGGTGGTCAACAGCTTTTCACAGTTTTAGGCAGGATTCATCACTCCGGCCTACCTGAAAGTGCCTGCCAGGAGTTTAAGTCTGGTCCTGTCTGCGCGCAAAAGCACATGCAGCCCTTCCCTCCCCTCCTCCGCTTAGTTTGATCTAACGGACAAGCAGAGCTCTTCCTAGGATCTCGCCAGACAGCGGCTTTTTTTTTTTTAGTTGCAAATCGATGGGCGACAGAAGCACCACTGAGAGCATTCCTCTCTTTCTCACAGACACAAAGGAAAAATAATTAATCAACTCAACATCGAGTGACAGCTCTGTCCCATCCCATCTACATAGCACCAGCAAGCTGTTCCTGTCCTGGCCAGTAAAAGGCCAAGGCCACTTTTATGCTTGAAGGTTGGAAAGTGCTCCGAGAATTGTTGCCCTTGTAAAAGGAACTCGTGCCGTGCAGAGTCTGTGACTGAAGCGGCCTGGCTCTTTGCGGTTTTGGAAACACTTACTGGCTGCCTACCCACACAGAGACCGGTTCCTTGCCAGGATAGCGTGAGGCTCCTATTAAAGGTCTCTCCTCTCTGCTTCCCCTTCCTTGATTTGCTTAGCGTGAATTTGACTGTGGCCATAATTTACGCATCTTCCTGGTTTAAGGCCTGGAATAGCCAGCCGAGAAGCAGCGCCAGCTTACTCGTTCCTTTCCAATCCCAGTTTGATACCAGCAAACCCCGTGGGGGCGCTTCGGTTTTCCTGCCGCAAAGGCACGAGGCTGGCGGCTTCATCATCTTAATAAAGACGCACACCACACAGTGGAGAGACCGCTTCAAGTGCACAAGCATCGCTTATTATTTCTCAAGCCAGACCTCAGCAGTCCTTACAACAACCCGACAGGTAGACCAGTTATGGCTCGACGGAGTAGAGCTCGCGGGGATGCCGGGGCGCGACGTCACGTGCAGAGGGGAAGGGCAGGTGCGTTTGTCGCTATAGCGATGCCGCCGCGGCTTCCTCGGCTGTCGTTATGGCAACCGCAGGCGGCGATCACGTCATCGCTGTGCGCTGTGCGCGCGCCGTCCTAACGTCATGAGTCTCGGCAGTTCCGGCGCGCCGTGCAAGGCGGCGGCAGCGGCGGAGAAGAAAGAGGGCGGGGTCAGGCCCGGGGTGGCTGCGGAGTCGGCGGGCAGAGGGATGGCACTCAGCCGTGGAGGCGGCGGCGGTGGCGGCGGGTAAGCGACAGGAGTGTCCGGGGCTCCCTTCCCCCCGCCGAGCGGAAGCCGCCCGCCTGCCCCCCCCACCCGGCTGACCCCTGTGCTCTTCTCTGTGTCTTTGCAGGTGATCCCGCCCGGAGACCCCCTTGAGGAGGAGGAGGCGACAGCAGCGGCCCACCTTGCAGCTTCCCGAAGCGAGCGCCATGAGAGCGGCTCAGGAACGGGGCCAGGAATTCCTCCCCCCCAAGAAGCGCGACCTGCCGGTGGCTGCCAACAACGAAGAGCCGGGGCGGGCGGCTGAGTCGGGTCTGGTGGGCGGTGGCGGCAGCGAGACCTCTGTGGAATGGTCCCGGGGCTCAGCAACAGGCAGGCAGAGCCAGGCACCTTCACGTTACACGGAGGCTGGTGGCAGCTCCGACACAGTGACCAGTCTTACCGTGGACCAGTACGGCTTATTGTACAAAGTGGCGATGCCCCCGGCCACCTTCTCACCCGTGGTGAATGTCAGCCCGCTGCCTCCAGCCTTCAGTATGACCTCGCAGCTGATCCCGCACCCTGGTATCCCCTACTCGCCTATCCATTACACTCAACTTCCTCCTGCTCCCTTGCAGTTTGTGGGATCACACTACTCTGTACCCTATGCCGCCGCTGTGCCTCCTGGCTTCCTGCCCAGCCACCTTCTGTCCTCTTCAGCCAGCCTTGCTGCCTCTCATATCCCACACTTTGTGCCCTATGCACCTCTCCTGGCTGAAGACTCTGCTCCTTCTCCACAGGCAGCCCACAGCTTTGGCAAGACCAGTGCCTCAGTTTTGCCTTCAGGCTCTCTGCAGCCCCATGTTGGAGGTCAGCCACTGGATGTTACACAGGGCCGAATTCCAGTCTATTATCAGATGTCCCGTCTGCCAGCAGGCTATTCATCATTTGAAGATTCTGTTGCTGGCCCAAACACTGAGCAGTCTCTGCAGGAGAATCAGCTAGATCCTAAAGTCACAGCAAATGGGGTGCAAAGGTCTGCCGTAGGGGCGAAGGAAAGTGAGGCTGAAGGGCAGTGGCCAAGGACAACGGTAGAGTGCAGCACTGAAGGTACCTTCTTGACAAGCAGTCAGATTTTGAGAACAGAGATCTCTGTGCCATCTCAGCGGAGCACCCCAGATACAGACCTGGAGGTGCAGAGGGTGGTTGGAGTGCTTGCTTCCCAGGACTACCCTGTTTGTTCTGCTCAGCAGAAGGATGGCTTGAGCCCTCTAAACCTTTCCCATCGTAATCCCCCTGAGCAGAAGGCAGAGTCAATGAGGAACCCAGTGGAACTTGTGGTGGCTGCTACTGCTGAGAAAAGCCACTTTCGGAGACTGTCGGCAAAGTCCCCTGAGGAGCAGCTCCGCCATCGGCAAATACTGAAAGGCATTACAATGGCCAATGGTCGGCCAGTCTCAGGATCCCTACATCCTGGGGCTCAGGATGGCCTGGGAGGTGCAAGTCCTGAGGGAACAGCCCATGAGGGACTACCTGACACGGAATGTGCCCATTCCCAGAGCCACTTACCCTCCCACTTCATGAAAGGAGCCATCATCCAGCTGGCCACAGGAGAGCTAAAGAGGGTGGAGGACCTGCAGACCCAGGACTTTGTGCGCAGTGCAGAGGTGAGTGGTGGCCTCAAGATTGACTCCAGCACTGTGGTGGACATCCAAGAGAGTCCCTGGCAGGGTTTCGTCACACTGCATTTTGTGGTGGGGGAGCAGCAGAGCAAAGTGAGCATCGATGTGCCCCCTGAGCACCCTTTCTTTGTGTATGGACAGGGCTGGTCCTCATGCAGTCCAGAGAGGACGAATCGGCTCTTCTCACTCTCCTGCCACAGGCTGCAGGTGGGAGATGTTTGCATCTCCATCAGTTTACAGAGTCTGAATGGGAGGCTTGTGCCCCAGGCAAGCCCCCAGAGTGCTACCCGAGAGAGACCTGGGCGGGGTGGGGAGAGTCTCCAGGAGCTGCAGAAAAACCCATTGGAGAAGGGTGGGGTGGCAGTGGGCTCCCCCCAGGAATCCACCCACCATGATCCTGTTTCTCTGCATGGTTGGGCAGGCCCCAGCTTCCAAAGGTCTGGGGAGGAGCCCCGGCCACCACTCCTCCGCCCTTCATTCATTCCCCAGGAGGTCAAGTTGTCCATCGAGGGCCGTTCAAATGCAGGGAAGTGAAGCCCCAGTGGTGGGCGAACTTGTGTGCCACGCTTAACTGGGTTCCTTCCAGTTTGGCCACTGCTCAGATGCTCGGCCCTTCCCCCAGTTGTGTGCCTAGAATCATTCCACTGACAGAGGCTCCTTCTCTTCACCCCCTGTAGGGGAGGTCTGAGCCTGGGTAGGGTAGATTGGGGTCAGCCAAGGGGAGACTCTGAAGGAAGCAGTGACTGCGCTGCTTCTGTGAGGAGAGGAGCAAGGGCTCAACATCCCCCACCACCTCACTCAAGCACTTTATTGGACACTTGCTCACACATAGCAGGAGGGTGCTTTTACCAGGGCAAGGGAGCAGTGAGGGAGTTTCCCAGGTTTCTTCTGCTCGGGTCCCAAGTTAAGGATTTTTGTCTGGGCCTCCCAGCAGCCCCTCTCCAGGCACCGAGTCAAGGGAGCCTGGATTTCTCCTCAGGGAGGTAGTATTTGTATGCAATTTCCTCACATGTGTTAGATTGAAAGGAAATGGTTAATAGTCTGTTAAATTGCAAACCTGGCAATGTGTTGCCTCACAGCTCTGCAGCCAGGTAGAACTCGAATCCCATAGGTGGGAATGGTGTAGGTGTACGTGTGAGAGGATGTTCTAGCTCTGGCTTCTTCAGCTATCTCCATCCTGCTCTTAAGTCCCCACCTCCATCTTCTAGAAAGGCTGCATCCACTTCTGTTGCAGATGCCTTAGATGTTCACAGGTAAGCCAGGTCTGAATGGCCTGGGCTGACTAAGGCTTGTCACAGTGGTGGATGCCTCAAGTTACAGCCAGCTCCTTTGAAAAGTGCAAGGCAGTTTGTATATAAGAGCATGCTAGTGCACATACAGACACTCCTGCTTTTCCTTGGGGTGATTAAAGCATTTCCTATTGAGAGTTTGGAGAGGGGACATTCTGGCCACTGTAACCAGCTTGAATGGCCCCCACTACATGTGTAAGATTTATTTGGATATTAGAAAAATGTATTCAGGTTCTTCTGATAAAGATGAAAATTGCTCTTCTGTGTGCACTGGTGACTCAAACAGAATGAAAGAAGATAAAACGTGCAAGTGGTTAAGTGTTTTTGAGCCGAGAAAGCTGTAGAACTGCTTGGGTTCAAGACACTGGCTGAGTACCCTCTCCTGCACTGGTGCCCACAACTCGGCAGGGGTGAGCTCTAGGGCTCTGAATCATAGCCGTGACTCTGCATCAGTGCCGTCCAAGTCCCACTCCAGAATAGCAGCCAGGAAGCTCCTCCCACTGCTCCAAATGGGCAGTCTTGGCTTGTTTCCCTTGGATGTTTTGTCTACAGTTGTTGCTTTTAGGCCATTGCCTACAGGCATTCCTGGCTCACAACGGGAACTGCTTTCCTGTCTGACCAGCCACCTCATCCACTCCAAGCCCTCTCTATATGAAAGCTGGAAGACTTTGCTGTTCTCCTCTGGAAGGCCCGGCACTTTGCACTATTCCGAGCCAGGTTTCCCCGCAAACCACCCTCTGCCTTCCTTACTTGCTCTTGGGCTCCCCTGAATTGTGTGCTTACTAGACCAACGCTCATTTCCATGTAAATGCTGGCCTTGGTTTCTCCTTTGTCCTTCAGCTCCCCTGCCGCCAGGGAGGAGATGCCTGCTTCATGCCATTAGGGCAGAGTGCCCTTCTACTCCCAGGGCTTCATGGGAGCTGGATCACTTGCACAGCATCACAGCAGAAGGGCCTGATTGGCCACCTCTTTCATTGGCACCAACTCTGCCCCTCCGTGGCTATTGAGGGTCAGTTCCCCTCAGTTCATCTGGACCGCCCAACACTACTGCCACCCTGGTCCAGTGCTGTTTCAGGATAGCTTGCTGCACAGCCCTTAGGGCCCAGGACCAAGTTAGGAATAGAGCTGCAAAATATGGAAGTGTCTTTGGGCACTACTCCATCTGGGGCCGCTGGAGGGTTGGGAGAACCAGCTTCCTAGAGCAATAAGCTATTTCTCTCTTGTGACACTACAGCACGACCCCTTTCCAAGCCCTAGTAAATATTTGGGAAGGGCTCCCTAATATGCAATACTGTGGGACTGGCAGCTGCACAGCTGTGTCCATTTGGCCATTCCATGGGGTAGGATGGGGGCTGCTAAAAGAGACACGTTTCAGTGTGGGTTGCCAAACTAGGGGGTGATGAACTGGGGTCCTGCTTTTCAGAAGGGCACCAACCAGATACCCTTTCCAGCTAAAATGTTTCCTGTCCCTTCTTGCCAGCTGTTTCTGTAGCCCTTGCCTGCAAGAGCAAACATCCGCTTCTATTAAGTCCCACCTCTGCCCAGAAACACTGAGCGATGGCCTGACCCAGTGGCTTGTTGCAGAGAAAGTTCCTTTGCTGTATCTCAAGATGCACTGAGGAAGAAAGCAAACGGAGTCAGCCTGCCACCCTTCAATCCCTTGCATAGCACCTTAGTTGGGGTGGGTCACCTTCCTGTATGCAGCTGGCAAGGGGCGAGTGTGTAGCAGCCCTGCAACCAACACCAGTCATCTTCGCTCCAAAACCCACTGCATCGTATCTCTAAAGCCTTAGGACTAGCCGAGTGCCCAGCCCCTTTTCTCCTACCTGATCTTTAATGAAGCATTACCAATCTAAGGAGGATAATCTATTTTGTTGTGCTTTTTTTGTACCTGTTTTAAATAAATCAATTTGTACTGTATATTTGTATTTTGGGTGAGATCCTTTTTCCTGTTTTACCATTTAAAGTCTCTGTACACACAGATTGTATTTTTATTGTTAATGCTCTTATGAATACTGCATTTAACTTGTTGACTTATGTAAACAGTATATATACATATATCTATATCTATATATATATCTATATAATTATAAGCCAATAGCTTTTCCTTTGATGTGTCTGTGTCTTGCTTGTCTCCTGGAGAAAATTTTGGCAGAAAGCTCATAAAGGAAACTTCCTTACATTCATACGATGGTCACTAAAGCCCCAATTAGCAATCTTCACACTGGCACAATTACCTCTGTTCTGTTGTGCAAAAAATTTAACAGGCTGCACATAGGTTTTATGATTTAAGATTAATAGAACAGAACAGACCTGGCTAACAAGACAGAGATAACTTCACCTCGCTTGTGCAGCCAAGTCTCTCCCTTTTACCTAGTTTGGAAGTTGGGCAAGAGACGACACAGGCTGCTGACCAAGAAAAGAAATATACCCCTCAGCAGGGTCTTCCTCTAGCCTTTGTTTAGAAGTCTGCCTTTCACTGGTGCTCCTTCCACCACCATCTCTCTATGCACAAAGGCAAGAAGAGCAGCAGCACTCAAATCTAGGACCTTTCTCCCTCCCCAACACATATTCCCCCAGAATGTCAAATTCTTCCGCAAACCTCCCATTTGGTGCTGCTGTACCTAAGTCTAGCAGCCACTATGATTAGGCCTAATACACCCCTGTGGGTAACTTGTGAGGCTCCAAGCCGTATTATACACCTCCCTCTTCAGGACTCCACCTTCTTTGCTAGTCCCCACTTAAGAGCTCCAACGTGATGTAGTAAGGGGCAGGCTACAGAACTGCAAAGTTCCAGCTGGATCTTGCCCAGCAAGGAAGCAAGCTGGGCAAGGCAGAAGCAGCAGCTGCCTCTCAAGCTGCTGCAGTGAATTGGCCAAGCCCAAGAGGCACAGACTGAGGACATGTACAATTAATTTATTTCTGATCACAGCCAGTGCGCCCGCCCCTTCCTCCCTCCCTGCCCCTCTCAGACCGTTGTCACACTCCAGTTCCATGCTTCACTGGCGGAGCAAGTGGGGCCTCAGCAGACAAGAGCAGGTCCTCCTTTTTACCCTCCTCAGTGCAGGGCACTGGGACTCGGCTCCTCAAAGGCCATTTTACCAAGCAGCTGCCCCTCAAGCTCTAGCCCACCCACTGGCAGTGGGAAGAAGTTCATCTCGGCTGCCAATGCAGCCATGGCTGAGGGGTCCTGGCCAAACTGTGCCCGCAGCATCATGTCCATTTTCTCCAGCCGCCGCTTTAGCCTCTTGGCTTCACGCTCCCGGATGAGCCGAGCCTGCCGCTTCTCAGGGGTCTCGTTGGCCCGCTTGAGGCGCATCGCTTCACGGTCCCGCTGCAGGCGGCGCGCACGCTGCTCGTCCGTCTCCTGCATACGCTGCAGCCGCTTGGCCTCTCGATCCCTCATGCGCCTCACCTCCCGCTCCTCCGGCGTCTCGTTGTCTCGACGGCTCTTCTTAGCTGTGCGCTCTCGCTCCAGGCGCTGCAGCCGCACCTCCAGGGGCTCGTTCTGCCTTCGCAAGGCCCACTTGCGAACCCCTGGAGCTTGAGCTTCCAGAAGCTTGCGGTAGGCCACGCAGCTGTTGCACACCAGGAGGATGCCAGCAGGATACACTGTGGGGCTGACAGCAGCAGCAGCACCACCACCTGCTTTTTCCTCAGCACCAGAAGAAGCCTCAGGGAGGGGAATGGGCAGGGCATCTCCACACAACACCTCTGACACCTTCTCACTGTGAAAGTCAAAGAGTAGAAATGACGGGTGGTCGGCACAGATCTTAAGAAACCATTGTGTAGACTTGCAAGCTACTGCCTTAGCTGTAACCCTCCCCCTCCCTCTGGCCATGCTTACAAGCCACCCCACCCACATGAATGCTGGCCTGCAGAATGCTTCTGGCTGGGGTCACCTATTCCAGCTGCCTCCAGAAATTGCCAGGTATAACCTCCATTGCTTCCATTGAACAGGGCCCCTCCAGGACTTCCAAAATGCGGCCTGGGCCACGTGGTCCCAGTCCCACCGTCAGAGATGCCCACTTCTCACCTGTTGAAAGTAGCATGGCTGGTGAAGCGAGCCCCACACACCGCACAGTTGGACAGCTGGTCCTCGGAGTGGATGAGGAGGTGCCTGCCCAAGGAGCCCGGGGAGCTGAGTGCTCGGCCACAGACGGGACACAGGTAGCTCTTGGCACTGACCACAGCTGCCGTATGCTGCAAACGAGGCCGGGCTGTGAGGCAAGGGCTCCGCCGCCCTGTCCCCCTCTCAGCTGTCCCTATGAGGGCTGGCAGCCAAGGCCAAGCCACGGAAGAGCTCCCTCTTCTGTTAGGGAAAGAAGGAGAGAGACCCGCAAGGCCTTCCCTGGGATGTGGTGCAAACCCACCAGGGGGGATGATTCAAATTGCATCCAATGCCAACAGCCCCTGCCCCCATCCCCACCCTTTCCCAGTCCAGGATTACTAATTTCAGCCTGGAAGGAAAGGGGGAGCCAGGGCAGGGATGGTTTAGCCTTGCGTGATGGTCTCATCAAAGCCCCCTCTAAGTACCTGATAGACGTGAGTGACAAGCTGCTCCCTGCTTCCACACTCTAGCTGGCAGAGGGGACAACGGGAGAGTCCCATCAGGGTATCTGGGCTGGCATTTAAACCCATCTGCAAGCAAGGAAAGGCAGGCTAAGGAAAGAGCAGAGGACAAGACCCATGCCTGGTATTCTGCCACACGCATACACATACCCCTCCCCCCCAACTAATGCTGCACCAGACCCTTTAAGACCATGTTGACGGATTCTCTACAATGTAAGATTAGCCCTGCGCAATCAGATTGAGGGTCTACCTAGTTGTGTATTGTATTTCTAACACACAGCAGCCAACCAAATGCCTCTTCTGGGAAGCCCAGAATGAGATGACAACAGCTCTATCACTCCCCTTGCCCCCATTACTATTAGGGAACTCTAATGCCAAAAAGTCCAGACCCAATCACTTGAGCTTGCTGTAGTGATCACTTGGACACATCAATGGACCAGGCCCAGGAATCCCAGAGTGGGCTATACAGTCCTCTTTCTCCATGCTAGGGCCATCCAAGAGTCTGCTATTGCTATTCTCCTTCCACCGAGTAACCACAGCAGTGTTGCACTTTTGCTTTAGTATGTGTTGACTACGGCCAATGTGATGCACTTGCCTCATGGCCTCGAGCGACCTGCTTGCTGCAGCCCAGCTGCTCAGTAAGTTCCAGTTCCTTTTTCACTGTCGCTGATGCTCCGTCCTCCTCAGAAGCATGGGAGGAGACCTCATCTTGTGTTGTCTCATCCCCCTCGCTATCACCTGGAATACAGAACAGCTTTAGGCCTCTGCCACAAACCAGCTGACAGGATTCCAAAGCAGCATGCAGGTGTTTGGTCTCTCCCAGGTGTCCCAGAGCTGCCCTCGTGTACAAGATGGGGAAACTCACTGTTGCTGCTGCTGCTGCTACTGCTGCTGCTGGAGTCCTTTTCTTGTGGCGGAGGTGGCAGCTGCTGCATGAGTGGTGACTGGGCTCCAAGCAGCCCAGGGAAGTCTCTTCGCATCATGGCCTGACGTGTGTGCTCTTCTAACCCAGCAAAGACTTGCTCCCCTGGAAGTACAATGGGGGAGGAAGAAGCCGCATTAGACCATTGCCCTTCCCAAGCCCAGTCATTCCTTGCCCCCTCCTCAGATGCCCAGTGATGGTCTCCCCTACCTGAAGATGGCCCAGAATGGGACTAATGCCTGGGCTCCATTCCCCAAAACAGCTTTCCCCAAACCCTTCCTGCAAAGCAACGGTGGCCTGACCAATCCGTCCCTTCACATCCTTTCCAACATGACCTGGAAATACAAATGTCTTCAGCAGCATTAAGCACACAGGGAGGGCTCTTGCCTGCCCTGGCTCCGCCCTAGAATTTGCATGTGCTCTCCCACCCCCGGGGCCCATATTTTGGAAGAGCTTGTCCTGCCATACAGGTTCTCCTCCAGGGGTAAAGCTGTTACATGTGTGTAAAAGATGCTTTAGTATAGGCAATAGCAAACCTACTTATCTACTTTTGCAAGCCAAATTTGTGGTGGGAGACTTCTTCTGTGGATTTTGTAGTCCAGGTTTAGTTATCTGCTTTAGTTCCTCCTTGATACGTTTTCTCTTAAGTTGTGCAAAGTGGGCAGTGCTTGCCTGAAATTGCCAGACTCTTTCCTGGGCCTTTGCTATTTCAATTCTGATCCTAAAGCTGCACAATGAGGAACAGGGGACTTCCAGGCACCATTGTGCAAGGGAGACTAGCCAGCCATTCCCAACTAGTGCTGAAAAGCTGTTCATTTGCAGAAGAAACATCAGTGGGTAAGGTGGCCCAAGGAGAGACAGAATGCCACTAGAATGGCGGAGAGGGGTTCTGAGCCCCCAGAGTACCTAAGGAGCCCTTAGGCTCCAAGAGGTGGTACGTGGACATGTCTCAGCTCAGCCAACAAATCCTCGATGCTGGGCAGGGAGTCCCCACCAGGGCTATGGGAGAAGAATGCAGCAAATAGTGGAGGGGAGGGCTGTCCCCCCCATCATTTTGCGGATGAGGATGCCTCGCTTAAGCGGGGGAAGGGGGTGAAGGTGGAAGTGACAACAGCCCCCCTCCCCTTATTACTCACAGTGGACTTTATTGGGGGTGGTCTGTTTCCGACGGGACATGGTTCCCCCCCCCGGGGGGGGCGCACCTGCGGAAAGAAGAGCCCTGTCACCATGCGGGGGATGACCAGGGTAGGCGAGCGGGGGGCGTTTAGAGATCAGCCCCCACCCCGCGCTCGAAAGGAGGCTGCCGCCGCCTCGGCCCTTACCTGACTCCGTCGCCCGGCCTGGACTCGCCCAGCAGCGCTGCAGGAGGACAAAGGGCCGCCCGGGCTGGCAGACAGACAGACAGAGGAAGATGGCGGCACGGCGGGAGCGCCCGGCTCGTGCACGGCGGGACCGACGGACAGACAGGCGGACGGGGGCGCGCTGCGCTGGAGCCCTCCCCTCCCCTCCGAGCGGAGCGCGCCTCCTGTCTGGCAGCAGGGGCGCCGATCCCGAGGCCGGCGCAGGCGCTCAGCCGGGAGGGGGTCCCGCAGCCATCAGGCCGGCGCCTCCGGGGGCTTCACGCACCCAGACCAGCCAGCAGGGCCAGAGTTGTGTCCTTCGGCGCTCTCCACGGGCCCAGCTACCGAGGAGGAGGAGCAGGAGCAACTGCTGCTGCTGCAACCCGCCTCCCTTGCCCCGAGTCGCCTCCTTCCACGGGGCCGCTTCTCCTCTTGTCGGAGCGGCGGCGCCGCGGTGCTAGTGGCGGGGCTGCCGCCGTCCCCGCCTCTTTTCAAGCCACGAGCAGGGGGACCCGATTGACGCCCCCGCCATGCCCTGCAAGGCGCCCGGCCATTCACGCGAGCGCCCCTACAGCGGGAGGGCTCCAGTCTGCCGCGCGACGCCCCCGGGGATGGGAAGCAGCTCGGAGGGAGGGGGGCAGTGGGCGGGGCCGCCGCCTCTTCCTCCTCCTTCTCCGACGTCGTACCCGACGAGGTCGGAACTCTCCAGCCGCGGTTGAGGGCTATGGAGGGACCTCAATGAAGGTAACGCTCGCTTTAGGAAGTACGACTTTTATTGAGGTCCCTCTTTCTCCGGAGAGAGATCCCTCCGCCGGTAAAGTAGTTCCGTACCAACACAAAGCGCCCCGTGCGTCGCTGCACTGTATCTTGGAGAAGCCGCGTCGCAGACAGAGGGCCGGACGCTGCTAAGAACTACGACTATTGCTTTTGCTACTGTCGCTGTCGCGCACCTCCTCCTCCTGAAAAGCAGAGAAGAGACATATCCCTCCGCCTGCCCAGCTGAGGCTGGACCGTGACGCCGCCGACGCCACCTTCGCTGCCTGCCCGGACAGACGGAGACAAAAAGACTCCCCCCCCCCCGCCCCCGGGTAAGGCCGTCCCGGCTGAACGCCTTCGCTCAGCTCTGCGTTTTCCGGGGAGCGGGGCCGTTGCCCTCCTTGGACGACTCGAGGTCCTGGTTCCCGCCGCCCTCACAAGCCTCCCCCGCCTTCCCGGTCGCCTTTCGCCCGAGGAACGGGCCGAGGCAGGGAAGGGCCCCGGGAAAGGCGAGAGAGGCCCGGAGGGGCCGCCGCCTGAAGCTGCCTTCGGCCAGCCGGTGGCGGGAGGCGCGGGCGAAGAAGAGGCGCTTCCTGGTCCGCGGCTGGCGGGCTCGGCCTCTGCCCAGCCTGACCGCTCGCCTTCCCTTCCGGCTCTTGCTCCTGCCGCTGGCCGGGAATGGCTCCTCCTTGGGGCCTGTAGCACATCGAAACTGGCTGTCTGGGCCACGGGTCGGGCGGCGCTGGTGTTTCGCCTTTGGGGTCTCTGAACCCGGAGCGGGCAGCTGCCTGTGTCTAGCCGAAAGCGAAGCCGTTGCCGGAAGAAGAGTTGAGAATTGCCTTCGTGCCTCTGTAGTTCAACTACTTGCAAACTCCCCCACCCTCTTGGAGCAAATCCTCCACCAGCTCCCACATAGGTGGGAGCTGAGCTCTCTACCGCTTCCAGTGCTGAAAAGCGGGGCAGGTTTGTCCTCCAGGGATTGAAACTGGTTAAAGAGATCCAAGGTTGTGAGCTGCCCCTTGTGCTGTATATGGTTGGGCCTGGCTGATCAAATCATGTACAAAAGGGGAAAAAACCAGAAATCTGTTGCTTGCACAGATGAAAGTGCTCTACACATACATACAGACAAAAACACACACACACAAAGCATTTCTTAAATAGGTTTTGGCATACTGTACTATTACACACACTTGAGTCTGTATGGGCTCTGTTTAAAAATGGCTGGCATTTATAGTCTATTCAAACATTTATTCTTGCTGTATACAAAAATTCGCATTAAAATTACTTATATTTGCTTGTTTGCTTTATTATATATTTGCAACGGAGATAAAACATTACAGCTCGCAACCTTTCCACATTCAAACCAATCCAGATCCTGAGATCTGAGACCATTCACTGTCTGCCTCTCCAAAAGATGTTCAGCAGGTAGCAACAAGAGAACAGATTCCCCCCCCCCCCGTTCCAATTGTGAAATGCTCCAGCACCATGCAAAAAATAAATTGATTAATTTAAAAAATGTCCAGTAGCACCTTAGAGGCTACCTAAGTTTGTTCTGGGTATAAGCTTTCATGCACATGCACACTTCTTCAGATACCTACGAAACCTTATACCCAGAACAAACTTAGCTGGTCTCTAAGGTGCTCCTGGACAATTTTTTTATTTTATTTTGACTGCGTTAGACTAACACAGCTACCTACCTGAATCTAGAACCATGCAAAAAAGTTATTCTCAACATTTGGACAGCGCTGATGATTGAGATTTTTGAGAATACTGGTGTCCTGCTTGTGTAGAGCAGGGAATATTGTGTTTAGATTAATTTTTGAGCACTTTTGGTGTTTTATATTTGTATCACTTTTTTGAATTTTAAATGTATTTTGTATTTTATTCTAAATAACTCTGGAATGGCTCTGAATGTGCAAAGCAATATATAAATATTACAAGTAGAATATATCTACACAGGAAACTGCTAGCTGTCTGCCTTTAACACACATGACAGTAGGCTTTTTCTCTCTTGTATTCTTGGCAGGAATTCTACACCATGTTAGGCTCTGGGTTCAAGGCCGAGCGCTTGCGAGTCAACCTACGTCTTGTCATCAATCGCCTCAAACTGTTGGAGAAAAAGAAAAGTGAGTGGACTTTCCTACCTAATTCCTTGACCTCATCACCAGAGAAGTGATTCAGGAGGTTTCTGGTAGTTGTGGTGAAAGCTTATACTACTCAGTTGGTCTCTAGGGTGCTACATTTTAATTTTTAAATTCTTTTGGAAGGATTCTTTTAAAGACTTTCTTAGATCATATAACTTTTTTGAAGACTTGATTTTTTAAAGGGAGTTTTTAGGTTTTTAAGAATAGTCTTTTTAACTATCTTTTAAAAGAATTGTTTTAATTTATTTTGACATGTCAGAGTGTAAGTGTGGAATTGCTTGTGTGTGTGTACTGTATTTCAAAGATGCTGAGAATTGTGGTCATTGGGATGGGGGTGTGGATTCTGTGAAGAGTTCTTAGGTTTGTGGACTTGTGTCCAGTTCTAGCCCCACTATACTCATTGAATGGACATGGTTACTTAATTTCAATATGTCTATTCTGAGTATACCATATTTTTCACCCTATAGGACGCACCGTCCCATAAGGTGCACCTAGTTTTTTGGGGGGAAATAAAGGGGGAAAAAATTATTTTCCCCCCAGGTGCGGGGCTGGGGCGGGGGAAGCCCGAGCTTCCCCCGACCCCAGCCCCCAGAACAGGCAACTCTCCGCAAGCTGTGGGAGCCCGGCACCGGGCTCCCGCGCTGTGCGGAGAGCTGCGCAAAGTCTGGGCGTGCTGAGCTCAGCGCGCCCAGGCTTCAGCATGCAGGCAACTCTCCGCAAGCCGTGGAAGCCCAGCACTGGGCTCCCGTTCTTTGCAGAGAGTTGCACGAAGCCTGGACACAGGCTTCAGCAAAAGCCTGTGTTCGCCCCATAGGACGCACACACATTTCCCCTTCATTTTTGGAGGGGAAAAAGTGCGTCCTATAGGGCGAAAGATACGGTAACTTAGTTGGAGACAACCCACAGTCCTTCTTGGTGGAGCCGCTCTCTTTGCATACACAAACACCCCAGGCAGGGCCAGGGCAGGCTTGTGGGCCTCCCCTGCTGCCCCATGATGAACCCTTTTCTTGCAGCTGAGCTAGCCCAGAAGGCACGGAAGGAAATTGCTGACTACCTGTCTGCTGGCAAAGATGAGCGGGCTCGCATCCGTGTGGAGCACATCATCCGGGAGGACTACTTGGTGGAGGCCATGGAGATCCTGGAGCTCTACTGTGACTTGCTTCTGGCACGCTTTGGCCTCATACAATCTATGAAGTAAGGTCTTGGCCTATGGGGAAGAGGGTGCTGGGTGCCTGCCACGTGTCCCCTCCCCTCGGTCTGCTAGGTCTGGGACCTATTTGTCCTCCTTGTCTTTCAACTACTTGTTCACTCTTGCCTTACTTTGTGTCCCTTCAGGGAGCTGGACTCCGGCCTGGCAGAAGCTGTCTCCACCCTCATCTGGGCTGCCCCCCGACTGCAAGCGGAGGTGGCTGAGCTGAAAATGGTGAGTGGTGCCAGTTGTGTCTTGGCAGGCTGCTCAGCCTTCCTGGACATCTGGGGGCAGCAGTTGGGAAAAGACTTTGATCTATCCTCACAGGATGCTCAAAGAACTTGGTGACTTTCTTGTTTGATCTGGGAGTTTAGGTTGGCTCCAGTCTCCAAACTCCTGAACCTTTTGTCCAGGGGTGCTGCGATAGTTGCTGTGCCCTGTCTTAAATAGAGGGGAGTCAGTGGTGCCTGGACTCTGTTTTGAGTGTGCCATTTCCATACTAGGTTGCTGACCAGCTCTGTGCCAAGTACAGCAAAGAGTATGGCAAGTTGTGCCGAAGCAACCAGATTGGGACCGTCAATGACAGGGTGAGTGGAATGGGAAGGGCATCATGGGGGTGAGATGGCGGTAAGGCTCTCAGGAGCTACTAACCACAATGGCTACGTCTTCCTCTGCTGTCAGAAGTGATCTGCTCCTGAAGTCAGTTGCTGGGAATCGCAGGTGAAGAAGAGCACTGCTGCTGCTCCACTCAGGGGCTTCTTGTTGGGGCATCTGTTTGGCCACTGTGAGGACAGGATGCTGGGCTAGACAGGCTGATCCAGCAGGCTGTTCTTATGGGAGGGAACGATATCAGTGCTTCATAAAGATGAGTTGTTTGCAGCAGGTGGTCCTGCCTGTGCTGCTTCACCAGGCAAGGTAGAAACTTATATTTTTTCTGGCTTGGATATCTCTTAGCTAGGTAAGTGTTCTTGACCTGCCCAGCTCAGTGAAGGGCTCACTCTTCCCTCCCTCCCTTCCAGCTGATGCACAAGTTGAGCGTAGAGGCACCTCCCAAAATCCTAGTGGAGAGGTACCTGATTGAGATCGCAAAGAACTACAACGTGCCCTATGAGCCAGACTCTGTTGTCATGGTGAGTGACTGGGAGGCGGTTCCACTCTCAATTCCCTCAGTAGCAGCTCCCTTTCCCACATGTGACATCAGCTTCTTCCTCTTCCCAGGCTGAGGCTCCCGCAGGCGTGGAAGCTGACCTGATTGATGTGGGATTTGTGGATGATACAAAGAAAGGTGGCCATGGAGGTGGTGGTGGCGGCGGCTTCATGACCCCAATGGCTGGTCCTGATGGAGTTGTGCCAATGCCAATGCCTATGCCCATGCCGTCTCCAGCTCCCCCTTTTGCATACCCACCTCCAAAGGGACCAGTAAGTCCTCTGTCTTGCTTGAAACAGGAGGGGAGTCTGTAAAGTTGGGATTGGGGGTGGTAGTGGGGGGGGGGAAAGGATAGCAGTCTACTGTGGTGAGTTAGCATCTGAGCACACCTCACTACCTGCTGTGTGAACAAGGTTTTCCAGCTGTTCTGGCAGGTATTGCCTATCTGATTATGCCATTAGAAAGGGGTGCTGGTCTGACGTAACAATTTCTCCCTTTAGGAGCACTTCAACGGGCTACCGGTGGGCACCTACCAGCCTTTCACCAACCTTCACCCACCTCAGATTCCAGCAACACCTCCAACATACGAGTCTGTAAGTACTGCTGATGAAAAACAAAAGCTGAATTGCTGGGAGGGCAAGTCCTCTCTGCTGGGACTGTTGCTGTCCCTAGTCTAGTGCTGGGTATTGGCAGGCCTTCCCACTTGGACTGACTGAGGAGTTGCCATCCACTGGATTTGAGCTTGCAGCAAACTTCATGCACCTTTGATATGATTTTGATTTATTGCATTTCTATGTTGGCTTTTCATTCATTCATTCTATGTTGCTTTTCATCTCAAAGCAGCTTACAAACAATAAATAGCCATAACATAATAAAACATACTAGCATGTCGCGAATACAGCATACATCATATAAAATAATTAACAAATTATCAATAAAACATCAATAAAACAGTGGCAATCTATAAAAATCTTAAGAAAACAGCAACTAAAAAATAAGCTAAACCTCACAATTACAGCAAGTCATGTGATTAACAAATCAATTCGGCATTTAGAATCTATAAAACAATATTAAAAACATTAACAAAATAGCAATTAAAAATATAAGCTAAGCACTAAGTTCATTCACACAGCCTCTGTACCCCCATGACTCATAATCTTTCACTCTGTTCAGTTCATTATAATACACATATATGCACATAATGCCAGATGTTGCACTGGCTGGGGTCCTTGAGTAGTGGGCCATGGTGGAGATGATGGGGCTCTTAGGCCTACCGCCAGTGGTAAGGTGGATGTTGCCTGCCTAGGCATTGTTGAGGAGAAACTTGCCCAGGTCACTTTCAATAATCAGGAGTCCCATTCCCACTTAAGGAAGTCCAAGACAAGCCTGTCCCTCTGGAGCAGTGAGTGGAAACTACACTTGGTATAGAGGCCGACCAGGAGGTCCAGCAGTGGCCCTGCAGCCTGTCCACCAGGAGCTGCTCCAGCTTCTTCAGCCGCACCTTGGTTGACGATGTGGTGGTGGAAGAGGCAGCCACTGAGGGGAGCGAGCAGAGCAGCTACTTGAGTCTACCAGGCAGGAGGGAGGGGCTGTGATAATGATACCAAGGGAGCCCCAGCATGATCTCAGCAGCCTGGATGAGCTTGCAGGCAGTGACTCAGAGGTCACCTTGGTCTCAGAGTCCAGGCTGCTGCCCATGGAAGGCATGAGCTGACGTTGGCTGGCAGGGGTGGAGGATGAGATGTGGGGTGGGTTGAGCAGCTACAGAGTGTGGAAATGGGGATGTGTCCACCTTCATGCCCTTGTGCTTGTTCAGCTGCTGCTCTCCAGACTTCTGTGGTTGCTGGTGGTTCATGTCAGGTTGAAGGTGAGACTGCCAGCGATGGTTAAGAGCTACAGGCCATCCTTGGGGGACATAGCCAGGGCCACTTTCTAGTCAGGTAGTCAGCCATGCTGAACGGCTCTCCCTCACCTATGGCACCACCAGGCCAGGCTCACCACCACTGCTTCCTCCTCCTCCAGATCCCTCATTTCATCCTTCCTTCTGCTGTCTGGCAAGGCTGCATAAAGAAGATGGGAACACCAGATATGGTGCTTCTGCTGTGCATGTAGGCCTCTGGGGAGTTGTCAGGTGGTGGTTCTGTGTGGGGTGCTCCATGCAAAGCCAGCTTTTTTCTGTTTCAGATTGATGACATGGGTGCTGACAAGGAATTGCCATCCCCACAGGTGACCGGTGAGTGCAGGGCCGAAGGGGAAGGCTGTGGAGCTGGCAAGGCAGTGAGGAGGGAGGGAGGTGGTGATGTCAGGGGAAAGCTGGTGCTTGTGTTTATTGTTGGTCCCCTTCACTCTTGTGTTCACTCTTGAGTTGCTGAGGTAAGCATGTGCCCATGTGTGTCTGTGTTGGGGCAGAGACTGGGACTCTTCATGGCAGAGAGCTTGAGCCCCTTTAGCAACTGGTAGGAGCTGCAAGGCTCAACTGAAGTGCAGCAAGTGCTCACTTCTGCAGGACATATACTAACTGTAGTACAGCAAAAAGAAGAATGGTCCTACCCCTGCCCCTACTACTGTTGGGTAGACTACTGTTTTCGCTGCCTTGAGCCTGCCTACTGCTTGTAACCAGTCACTCTTGTCTGCTGCAGGACCAGCCCCAAAGCCACAGCCGAGGGGGAGGCCACCAGCTGCAGTTCCTAGTTCGGGTGATAATTTTGTGCTGCCAGAGTTGCCATCTGTGCCAGACACGCTGCCTGCCGCTTCTGCTGGTGCCAACACTTCCGCCTCAGAAGACATTGACTTCGATGACCTCTCTCGAAGGTTTGAGGAACTGAAGAAGAAAACTTAAAAAGAGCCCCTGAACAGGGGGCCGATGGGCCTGATTGCTGCCTCCTCCTTTCCTCTTAGCACGGCCAAGTGCTCGTTCCTCTTCCTCCGCTTGGCCTTTCTTCCTTCTGTACTTACACCAAATGCCACTGCTTTTCTGACATTCTGCTCCAGGAGTGGGGGACTGCACAGCCTCTTTGAGATAGGAGCAGGAACAATCCCTCCGAATGCATTGCTCTGCAGTCTGCAGCCGGGCATTAGAGGGGAAAGGGAGTGATGTAGGTGGCCTCTCATTTGGACAGACCATGGTGTAGGGACACCAACCTGAAGATTCTGGGCAACGTAGTTGGACAGAAGCGCGCCCCCCCCCCTCCAGGCATGTGCTGTGGAAGGGGAGCTGCTCTGGGCCCCTGATAGCTTTGTTTTGCCTGCCGCGTTCTCAGGGAGCCCTCCGGGGCCATTATGACTTTCCTTTGGGGAGGGATGCTGTGGGGCACAGGAGTTGACCAGTCTACACTCCTTGTGGCTCAGTGGTCCTCCTGCCTCTGGCTTGCAGAGCAGCAGACACATTCTCCTAGCTTTGAGTGAGCCCAGTTCTGCCTTAACGTGGCTCTGCATCAGGCTGGGTTCAGGGCCATTGCTTGACATGTGCCATCACTCCTGGTTCTCTAGCCTCTTCCCTTGCCTATAGGGCAAAGCCATGGGTGGTGGTGGTGACAGCAGCAGCAACACATCCAGCAACTTCTGCTGCTCTTACAGACCAGCTGCAGTGCCAGCAGCCAACCTCAGCTCTCCCATGTAACACTCTGTATGTAACTCTTTCATGTGGCTTTTCTGGGACAATTTGATTGGTTTGTATCTTCTCTATTAATTCTAAATAAAGTTGAGGAATAGCCTTGACTGGATCTGTCTCAAGTGAAACATAATATTTCCTGGCTTCTGGCAGTGGTGGAGGGGAAGCAAAGGAGGCATGGTATGTTTACAACATGGAGGGGCAGCTGCCACCAGTTCTTATCATGGCCGTTCCTTCAGACTGACAGTCACACTTCCAGTCAAACAAGGAGTACTATTTATTGAGGGAAGGGGAAATATTGGCAAAAAGGAGCATGCAAATGTGTTGCCTTTACTTTGGCTTCGCAGTTATATTTTGGAACAAGTCCTATCAGTTTGGATCGCACACCTGAGGATCTGCAGTGCAGCCCACAACCACCGCCCACAGGCGAATTTTATGAGGCTCCCTTTAGACTTGCTTCCCACAAGACATTGTGGTTGGTGGCAGCAGGGGCAGCTTCAGAAGAGCGGGCCACCTGTCCTGCAGGGCACGGGGAAGTGCTGTCCTTCTCTGCAGTGATGTGATAGAACTGTCAAGCTATCATTCTTGAGAAATTAGCCCTTGTAGGATTTATGCTGACCTTTACAGGTTGGAGCAGGGGGATGAGTGCTTTCTGCTTGGGCAGAAGGGTCCCCTCTGGATTAAGGTAAGGGCTGCTTAAGGATCCTTGCATCTTGAAGGTTGGCTGCCTTTAAGGAAAGGCAGGATTGGATTCCTTTCATGGATTTGATCTCTCCCATTGGGCAAACTGAGCTCTCTGGGTGGGGAGGGGCAATAGTCACTCTTCTTCCCCACCCTCCCTTCTATCTCCTCCCTCTGGTTCACCTTGAAACAGTGTATCCTTTGTGCATCTCAACAGACCCACCTTTGTCATATGAGTTCTTCAAATCTGTGGCTGGGTAGAGTATAATCTACAATTCCCTGTTTGTCTCCTCAGGGGTTAAGCCCTGCAATAGGTAAAGAGTTCCTCAGCGACATGAAAAATAAATTGATTTGTAAGGCTTAATTGATGTGCACCACTGAGTATTTGGGATTGGCTATAAATAAGAACAGCCCTCCTTTGCTCTGCCTCTTTGGGCAGAGAAGAAACTGGCTCCTGCTGTTTAGGGACTTGACCGGCCTTTGGGCTGGAAGCCAGTAAGATCGGTTTTGCTCTTCAGCCTGCAGGGCTTCAGCAGGGGATTTCTGGGCAGTCAGATTTGTTCTGCCTTGGTTAGTCCCAACAACTCAAAGGTGTGTCAAGGCTAAAGGAAGTAGGATGTAGCATGAGGTAATGTTGAGTCAAGATCACATGGTAAATTAGCTGAAGAGCGGGAGGGGCAGCTTAAAAGTGGGAGAAAAGCCCTATAGATTTTCTTGCCAGCCCAGCTGACCTCTGATATTCTTAAAGATAGCATGTACGTTAGTGATACTTGGAAAATGGTGACCCTTCCCATTTTAGAATAGAAAAGAGCTGTCCAAATGGGGAGGTGGGATGATGCCACTTCAGTCCTGTGGCTCCTTTCGGGAAGCTGCTGGGATGCGCGGCTGTTTCTTGATTCCAAACAAGGTGGAAATCTTCAGTTGAATCAGCTGCAACATGGATTCCTCCTTGCTGGCCTGTTGTGATGAACCGGGAGAGAGAGAGAGAGATGCCTTATATGTGAACTCGGATCCTGAGGGGTGGCTGCGGCACAAGCAGCTTCTCATGAAGGCTTAATTGCTTGAAGCTTGGCTGGTGGCTGATGATGAGCAGCACCAGCCGCTTGGGCTTACACCTACCTTGGCAGCCTTCATCTCCCGACTGAAGGTCGTCAAAAGGGCAGAGACAAACAGGTTGATGATCACAAACACCATGGAGATGACGCTGGTTACAATCAGCACAGCGCCAAACACGGGGTCCACAGCAATGACCTAAGCATGAAGAGCACAGTTATGTCCCCTGTGTCTACATATGCACATAGCAGAGAGCTGTTGGCCGTGCTGTGCTTTGCAGGGCACAGGGAAGCATGGCATTCTAGACCTAGAAAGCTGAAATCCATGCAGGTCTCTCTGGGTGCTGAGCTGGGAGCTGAATGGGGCTGGGGGTCTGTTGCGATCTGTGGTGTCCTGGAAGGGCAGCCTGGCAGTGTGCCTCGGCCTAAAGTGGGGCTGCATGGCACTCACCTCTTCATAATTAAAGATTCCAATGAGAAGCCCTACGATGGTCACAGCTGAATTAAAGAAGGTTTTGTAGTCATCTACGCTCCATCCAAACATGAGGTTGCACTGATGGTAAGAGAGTGAAGGTGATGTAGGGGGAGGGGTATAAGGACACAGGAAGGGGGGGCTCTTCCCTCCGCCCTTGGTTGGTTTCCCTGCAGTTGGCAGGTCTCTTCTTACCACAATGGCGTAACCCACAAGTAGCACCAGAAGTGTGAGCAGGAAGCCCAGGACCTCATCCCAGGCTTTCTGCAGTGTCTGTGTGATGAGGTGCATTCTGGGATTTAGGCGCAGGAGGTTCCACAGCTTGATGGTTGTCAAGGCCACCAGAAAAGCAATGAGGTATGTCAGAGCAGAGTCAACTTCCACCATCTCATAGAAGCTGATGAACCTGGCAGGGGTGTGGAGGGAGATTTGCTTTAGGGTGTGTGAAAGCCGCCTCTGCTGAGTGGGGGCCTGCCCCTGCCCCTTGTTTCGGATGGTAGACACTCACTTGTTGCGGTCTTGGCGATGCTGCTTCAGGATGCCTTTTGCCAGCACGCGCCTCTTCACATAAAGGCCAATAGCTGCCACACTTATGAGGATGGTGCTGGCATCCAGCAGGTTTCTCTTGCTGCTGAAGTACTTCCACTTCTGCTGCTTCAACTGCCGGCCCTGCTGGCCCCATGGAAGAAGCAGGCTTGACTCAGGCAGCCACATGTTTTTTGGGGGGGGGAAATGCAAGTGGAAGGAGCATTGGTGGTGTGATGCTCTTTCTCTGGCAATACAGCAACCTCCACACACCACCACCCTCTAAAACAGCCTTTCTCAACCTTGGGTCCCCAGATGCTTTTGGCCTACAACTCCCATCGTTCCTAGCTAGCAAGGCCAGAGCTCAGGGATGATGGGAGTTATAGTCCAACAACATCTGGGGACCCAAGGTTGACACTGCCCTAAAACAAGGGTGGGATGACACACCTGCGGCACTCCAGGTGTTGCTGGAATCCAAATGCCCAACTGCTCTAGGCAGCCAATGGCAATGGTCAGGAATGATGGGAGCCTAGCAGCACCCAGAGGGCCCACCGCAGGTTCTACATCTCAGCTCCCCTGAGCTGGTACTGGCTGATACCTCCCACTAACCCTAGGCACCTTGAGAGTGCTGTCTAAACCTGATGGAAGTTGTAGTCCAGCAATATCCAGAGGGTGCTAAGCTAAGGAAACTAAGCTGCCTCACAGAGGCCCCGCTCACCTGCACAAAGATGTAGTATAGTATGAGCAGGAGAAAGGTGATCTGGGCACAGATAAATTGGAGGACGAGCTGGAGATCTGGATAGAGGCGGAGAATTTGCAACTCCGATTTGCTGAACAAGGTCCCTGCCACAGAAACAGGCACAGGGTCAAGCACGGAGGCTGCAAGCAAGGCTGGCTCCCAGGGAGAGGGAACGCCTTTTCTCCTTCTCCCTCCCCAACAGCCCCAGGACAGCCATCCTGCCTCTGAGGCCCATTGCAGGGCTAGGCCCCCTTTGTCTCTACTACACGCTCTTGCCTATCCCATTGGCCTCCAAGATCAGTGTGACTGCGCAGAAGAGGTTGACATTTGCATTGTAGACAACAAACTCAATGAAGACGACTCGTGTGCTTCTGTCCAGCCAGTTGTTCCGTTCCAGATAGCGAAGGGTTCTGGTGGGGAATGGTGCAGAAAAAAGTTGTATTGTGTGTCCACCTTGCAGTGGGAGAGAATTCTAAGGGCTGTGCCTAAATCTACTGGCGGCAGGGGAAGAGAAACACAACTCTAGTTTACTATTGCATGCCCTGCCCAGTTGATCAGTTCTCCCTCAAGTACCACCTGCCAGACTCCAGCTAGCAATGCCATATTCACTACTGTTAGCCAGGATTGTGGGTCTTTAGCTTTAACCTGCCTCTCCCACAGCTTCACCAGATCAGGAGATAGTGGGCAGAGACTGAGATACACCTGCCCAGAAAGAGCCCCTGGATCTTTCGGGACCTGATGCCTGTTTTGCAGCTCCCTCAGTCCACATACCTCTTGGCGTAGCTTTTGTTTCTGCCAAGGTTTGCCAGGTAGCCGCTTCCCGGATAGAGAGCAAACTTCCCCCAGATGGGGTACTCTTGCAGCGTGCTCTCATTCTGGAAGACCCAGGCACTCGCCTGACCTCTCCCACCTGCAGCAGGAGGCCCCCAGCTGGCCGTGGGACCCTGCTTTCCCTCTTGGCGTGGGAGAAAAGCTGGCCCTGGCTTTGCCGGGGCTCCTGTGGCTCGGACCTGCCGTAGCCGCACGCTGCCCACAAGGAAAGAGTTTCCATCCATGGCCAAACCTGGGAGATCGAGAGAGGGGAGAAATGTGCTGCTTAGAAGCAAAACACACAGATGCACACCTGTTTGTACAGATGTGAAAAGCTGGGTAAATTTCAGGTTTCAGCTTTGGCAACACTGAAAAAGCCTAAAGAGGCCATGTTTTTATAATTTATACAGTGTGCGCCGCTGGTGCCACTGCCCGACACACTTTCCCTCTCTTGAGGCTTCTGCCTTGAGCCTTCCCCACAATCCCTCCCATTGCAGTGAGTGAGCAGCAAAAAGAGACTTCCAGGCAGCAGCCCTGAGCAAGGGAAGGCATACTGTTTCAATTTATTCGGTCATTCATTTTGTGGTGACCCGCATAAAAGTCACACACAAGTAGAATGCCCATAAGCAGAGGGCTGCCTGTATACAGAAGGATGTCTCTTTTATCTCTGTTCCTTGTGCTGCTCACCTTCAGAATTGCCATGGAGGCCAGGCAGCAAAATCACCCTGATCCACCTGTACAACTCCTCTGGGGTAAGGATGTCTTCCAGGTGGGATGTGAAGGTCCTCTGGAGGGCGTTGTTAAAGTAGAACTCATTGGGGCTTCTCTCGGTATAGCTGAGGACCATCAGCACAGCCAGGAACACAAGCTGCACTGGGTGTCAGAAAAGGGAAGTGGATCGAAACAGTTTGTCCTGTTGGATTTTGCATCCCTACAGCCAGACGACGTGGGGAGAACAACCTCACAGGCCAAATTATAATCCCATCCAGATCTAAGCAACCCACCCGCTTGCAGGTATGATTGGGCATAGCTAGCTGCTCCGGCACCCGGAGCAGCGGGAGTGGGGGGCACCGCCCATGGGGGCGCCGTGGTGATCCGCCTGGGGGGTGGCGTGGTGATCTGCCCATGGAGTCCGTTTTGGGCAGCTCAGGGCCCTGAGCCACTGCATCACTCCCAGGAGAGACGCATGGCTTGGGCGCGCTGCAGGCCAGGCCCCACGGTAAGTGCCACCCTCCTGCGGTGTGCCATTTTGTCACCCCCTCAGGAATGACACAGGGCAGAACGCACACACACACCCCCCCGCACACACACCCCTTTCTACGCCCTTGGGTATGATGTTCCCTGCTGGTGGTTTAAATTTTGCAAATTACATCTGAAGATTTGTCCTGAGCAGATTCTGCACCCACTGAGTTATGTATGGTTTATAGCAGTGGTTCCCAATTAGCTAATTACAGTGGTACCTCGGGTTAAGAACTTAATTCGTTCCAGAGGTCCGTTCTTAGCCTGAAACTGTTCTTAACCTGAGGTACCACTTTAGCTAATGGAGCCTCCCACTGCCGCTACGTGATTTCTGTTCTCATCCTGAAGCAAAGTTCTTAACCTGAGGTACTATTTATGGGTTAGTGGATTCTGTAACCTGAAGCGTCTGTAACCTGAAGCATCTGTAACCCGAGGTAACACTGTACTGAGGACCCCCTATTTTTCAAAAGCCAAGCCATGGACCCCCTACGTTTGAAAATTTTGCTAAGTCTATGGTAGTTACCTGTGCAAAGCAATTTTTTGATGAAAATGTCAGGTAAGCCCAATGTTCTGACATGGTATGTGGCAGTTTCTTCCTGTGTTCCTAGAGGCGACTGCCGCTCCCACCATTCTGACCTTGGCCTTGGTATCATTCTCTGTCTTGCTTGCTTCCTTAACCACTGATGTTTAGGAGTGTGAATGCTGAGCATATTTCACCCCTGCTTGGTGTGGGGAGGGAGCAGGAAGTGTTGCACAATCCATCCACGCCCTTACTGGCCTTCGTGCCTGGTCTCACCTGCAATCTCTCTGATCAAGGAGTACAACTTCTTGTCTTTCAAGGCTCGTTCCTTTGGCCGCACCATTGGCTGGAGGGCAGGGGGTCTGTAAGCTGGGTCTGCCCAGTCTCTCTGCCCATAAGCTTCCAGTTGTAGGCCCCTTGCTAGAGGGAGAGGAAAGCTGGAGTCAGTCCCAAGCAAGAGGAAAAAGGCCCTCTTTGGTCAGAGGCCACTCAGGCAGATGCCCTATCAAGCACTGCAGATGGAGGCGCAGGGAGGGGGGTTTGGAGAGCTTGAATTACCTGTGACAAGGCCCAGGGCCCACCAGAACTGCTGCTCCTGTCCCTTGTCCTTCCACAACTCCCTCTTGTGCAGCAGTGAGAAGAGGAAGGTCAGAGCCAACACCTGGGAAGGAGAGAGAACAGGGTTGCCATTGGGGAGCCCCACAGGGCAGGTGTCTGGGGCCCCTCTTAGCAGAATATGCAGGAGGGGCCCCACCACAAATGGAATGGTTAGTAACATAACACCCATTACCAGTGCGGATTGGGGGAGAGATGGACAAGCATTAAACCCAGAGTCTGGACTTATGTGGGGTCTGAGGATCCTTGCAGAGCTCTGACCCTGCAGTGTTGCTGCAGAATCACAGAACACCAAAGACACTTGTAGAGGCAGAGAGAAGAGGGGAGATTCTGGGTCTGGCAAGGGTGTGGGGAGAGGTTAGCTGCACTCCAGATAAGACCAGGTTACCTTCAGGGGCTGCATTACAAAGATGTTCTGTAGCACTGAGAGCAGGATGTTGACGGCCCAGTGCCCAGCCTCGTCCCTGCTCATTTCTAGGCTGTAGAGCACTGTGAAGAAGGCCGAAATCAGGCTGATGCTCCCCACTGTGAGCCAGCAGGCAAAGCTGAATCTCCCGGGGAGACAGTGGGAGAACGGTGGCCTCTCCTTGTCAGGGTCTTCAAGTGGGAAACTGCTGAGCTCGCTCCTGGGCCCGGTGGGCCTGAGACACAGAGACAGGAGAATAAATGGCACCTCAGCCTTTGGGAATACCAGTGGAGGGAGGGAACTGTGCAGTGGGGAGGGCAAATGTCCCACAGACCAAGCAGAAAAAGCAATAGGCAGTTAAGAAAAAGACCGTTATTGGGTGGGATGGGAAAACTGGCTGGCTCTGGGTCTGAGTGTGACACGGGACCAGACACAGAGTCCTCTGAAGATGAACCAGATACCCTATAGATCCAGGGGCCCTCCAGGTTAGTACCTGATGAAAAACTCCTGGAACTGTCAGAACAGGGGGTGGAACAGCTCCCCCTGCCAGTCTCTGGGATCAGAGGCAGCAGTCTGCTTGTGAGGAAGCAGTCAGTGGCTGTGGAGAGTGTAGTTTAGGAGACAAGAGTACCATATAAAGCCTCCCTAGTGAGCCTTCTAGTTGCAGGAAATAATACAGGTCTCTGGTGCCTTATTTCCTGATTCTCATCGCCCTGCCTTGCTGCATTGTACCTTGCCTGAACTTGACTGCGGTGGTGACCTTGGACTGTTGCCTCACTCTGTTTCTGGGTCACATATGAACACTCTGCTGCATATGTGACCCCCATTCTCACTGGTGAGTCCTGGGGGGGCAGCTTCTATCTCCTGTAACTGTGACCTGCCTCCTCGCCCAGCCCCTGAAGGCATTCCCTAGAGTGTGAAGATATCTGGTTAGTTTCTTCCTGCAAGCTATTTCACGGAAGGAACTTTGACCTTAGCTAGGTGTGTTTCTTTGTATACATATGTAGGGTGTGTACAGTAGATGCCGCAGAGTTTCACAGTGGCTTACAAGGATCTTGTTCCCCAAGTATTATTTTGGGTTTGGAGCAATCTCTGCAAAATTTTACCAGGAAATGGGGCCAGGAGAGTGGGGAAGAGATAGCTGAGGGGAGCTTCCAGATGGGGGCTACCTGCCAGGCCCCTCAGTGCTGGGCCAGGGCTGGGCCTGCTGCTGCTCTAGGTGCTGCTGGACTCTCTGTAGTTGGTCCACTGCATGCAGATGGTCATAGGGGTTAGGGAAGCTGCACAAATCCAGGCTGCAGAGCTGAGTCCCCAAGTCATTCAGCACATGGCTCAGGTAGCTGTGGAGGTTGAAGCGCCTCTCTGGAAACAAGTACAAAGAGGCATCACTCTCACCCTACAGAGCCTTAATTCCCCCTCCTTTTTTCCAATTAAGTCAAGGGTTGCTCAGCTCCCCAAAGGTGCAAGCTGGTGCACAGAGCATGAGGAAGGGTGGCGCACTCTCTGTCTGAGAGGAAGGGAGTGGTGTTTGCACCCGTTGCCAAGGCTACTCTTACCCTGAGGGGGACCTTCCAGGTCCTTCTGGTGCTGGAGGTAGGACTCGATGAGGTCACACAGAGCAGCCACAAGCTCCAGTACTTGCTCAGAAGTCCCAGGGAACTTGCACTGGCAGAGGCTGTTCTTGTAGAGGAAGCCCAGGGTCTCCTCCAGCTCCTGCAATGGAGAGAGCAGGGCAAGAGTGCCAAGCACCCATCAGGGCAGAGGCTGACCGCTCAGAACCTCTTGCTGACTGGAGGGACTTGTGAGGAGGGGGTCTCACTTGCTTGACTCGTGTGATGGGCATCACTTGCTTGGGGGGCATCACAGTCTGCAGCAGTTCGGGGCTGGCAGCCGGAGGCTTTGGGGCTGGGGGCTGGACCAGCTGGAAGATGTGGCTGATCAGTAGGCTCACTGGCATTAGGAAGATGGCTGTTTCCACACTCAGCAGCAGCTCGTGCCAAGTCACCATGAAAGGCCCTGTCTCGGGAGCGGGGGGGGGGGGAGAGGAGGGGCAGACAGAGACCTTCAGTCAGGAGGAGGGGGTGGCCAAAAGGATCACTGCTGTGGCTGAGGCAGTTTCAATGCCAAAAATGCTGGGCGGCGTCCAGAGGGGGACTCCCAGCTCCATTGTGAAGCTTAGAATCCTCAGTGCTACTTGGAGACACACAAGCCCTATGCATGGAAGGTGGAGCATGGGGACAGGAGCAAAAACACAGGACTCTTTAGGGCTCTGCCTTGGGGGCTGTGAGCCATGGCAAGTGGTGGGAAGCCAGCCTCTTCCCTACCCCCCCCACTCACCTGCCCCTAGCCCAGCACCCACCTGCATCATGTTGGGGCGGGGGACAAGGAAAGGCACTGGCTATGCTAGTCTCCAGCTGGCAGCCGACTCACCAGCCTCAGGGCTTCTGGACGCTGCCTCTTTTCTCCAGAACATGATGTTGATGAGGAAGGTGCAGCAGAGGAGGGCCAGGCAGCAGGAGAGCCTCTGCACACGGGTGAAGGGGCTCCAGGGCGAGCAGGTCACCACCGACAGCCACAGGTGCTCCTGCGTCAATTTGTCCACCAGCCCTGACCAGAACTGGTACCTGGTGAAGTGGGATAAGGGATGTATTTGGTGTGGGCTGAGCCAGAGAGGGTCAAGGGCCAGGAGCAGGGTGGGACCTTTCCTGCTGCACCTAATTTCTGAATGGAGAGGAGCTGGAAGCTGCATCACACTCTCTGACCTGGAAGGAAGACCCATCTCCCAGATGGGTGGGAGAGAAAGGCCCTCTCTGTGTATAGTCAAAGGAACTTTCTGCACTGGGTCTGAGATTTGTCATTCCAAGCAGATTCTGGGACAAAGCCTGCCGTTCCCTGACTTTTATTTTTTGATGTCTGCATATTGCTTTTTCACACAGGTGTTCTTAGCATAATTCAGTCAAAGGCAAGGTACCTGTTGGGTAGATCAGGGGCAGAAACACCCCAAGGGCAAAAACACATTCCAGAGATGCCACAAACTGGCAGGAGGTGGGTGGGTGGGGCTCATATTTACCTGAAGGACAGGAGATCCCTCTCGGAGGCAGCAGCAAAGACTTTATCCACATGGCCATCCTCCAGGTCAGCTGCCAGCCAAGAGTCACACAGGAAATGCCACTTCTTCTTGGCAGGCAGGTCACAGACAACCAGCCGCCTCACAAACCTGCAGGAGGCTCAGGCCTTTCAGTCATTTGCCCACACATGGGTGGCACTGCCAAGCAGTCATGTGATGCCCATTAGCTGCAGCCAAGGGATCTGCCCCCACTCCCCCATCACTCAAGAGCTGCAGGTTAAAGGGAAGCAGTGGGGATCTTTTCCTTCTGCCCTCATTACCTTGCCAAAGCAGAGAGCTGCATGTGGCTTCCTTCAAGCACAAGGGAAGCTTTGTTCCAAGTTAACCTATACATAAAGCGTTCTTTGCCCAGCAGCTTTGGGAAAAGACTGAATATGGAAGGGTATTCCCTCTCTGATGTATCCCTTATGTTTGGGGGTTCAGACCAAAGGTGGGTCATAATGCATTATTTGACATGACAATGTAGCCTCTGGAGCCAAAGCTGGCCTTTAACATGGTGAGCATGAACCTTGGGTGGGACAAGACATGCCACAGTTCCATCGTCCCCCTGGAATGTCCAGCTGTCCTGCAGCTAGTTTTGCTACAGTTGGACAGGGATCTTGTGAATTTCTTCAGCATAGGCTTGAAAGGAGGTACCGTATTTTTTGCTCTATAAGATGCACTTTTTCCCTTCTAAAAAGTATGGGGAAATGTGTGTGTGTCTTATGGAGCGAATGCAGGCTGCGCAGCTGTCCCAGAAGCCAGAACAGCAAGAGGGATTGCTGCGCAGCAAAAGCAGAGACCCCTCTTGCTGTTCGGGCTTCTGGGATTCAGAATATTTTTTTTCTTGTTTTCCTTCTCCAAAAACTAGGTGTGCCTTGTGGTCTGGTGTGTCTTATAGAGTGAAAAATATGGTACTTTGAGGACCTGGGAATTTTGCATGTGTCCAGGTCCTGGCAGCATAACCCCATGGCATGGGAGGACTAGGTATGCCAGCTGCAGTGTCCCTTTGCCTACTAGCATCTGATAAGGTCTGGTGATGCCAACGGACTCTCCCACACCAGTCGTGTGCTTCCAACCTCCTCCTTGCCTGGCATCCCAGTTGCAGTCTGGTTCGCCTCTAACCCCACCCTCAGCCCTCGCTGGGCCATGGACTTACCAGCTGGGGTTGGACCCAGTGTTGTCGTGCCAGAGGCGGATGGCGTGGAGGTTGCCCAGGGACTTCTGTGTGGCAAGGAGGAAGGCATCACGCCCACCTCGCTCAAAGGAGGGCCCCTGGAGGTGCTGTAGCAGGTGTGGCTCACTCCGGCCCTCTGCCCCATAGAGGGTCAGGATAACCTCAAGCCAAGGAGGGAGAAGGGGTCAATCAAGGAAAAGGAAAAGAGGGCGGATGCTGGGTGGGGTTCATGGATTGCTTCCTTTCCTCAATTCCTTGCCCAAGCAGGGAGCACATGAAGGATGTCATCAAAGACAGGCTTTTGCATGCAGCCAGTCACACAGAAGCCTGCACCCCACACACCGATAGGGAGAGATTTGCCAGACTCGGCCCAGATTCTGTGGGCAGGTGCCTGAGGTCACGGAACTTGATGGGCAGCACTTGTACCATCAACAGTACAAAGTGGGCCTGCAGGAAAGTGAGACCATCCCCTACCTTAGCAGAGGTCCCAGCCCCTCGGCGGTAGCCTGTGAAGACTTGTACCAGGTAAGGGAAGCAGGCGGTGGCCTCATTATCTGCTAGGATTGTGACCTTCACCTGGAGGGGGGAGAGACACAAATGGGGTGGGTGGCCCTAGAAATGGCCGAGCCCCCCAAAAGGATTATAATTCGAACATCAAACAAGCGATTTCCCCCCCTTGATTGCAGGGGAGGAGGGGGGAAAGGTTTGAACTGTATTTCCCTGTAGAAAAGAGAGGAAAAGAAGCTAAAATCCACCGCTCAAAACCCTAGAACAGGTTGCCAGTGAACAGTAAGAAAGCCGTATTGGGAATGCGCTGTTGCTGAAAGTACTCTTTGACAGTTAACTCTGCATCTGAGATACAAGTAAGATACAATATTTCTGACTGGCTTCTCCTGGTTTTAAAGTAACAGGAAATAACTGAGATTGAAACTGTTGTCCTTTTTGTGAATTGGGGGGCTAAAGGAAAAAGTTAATTACTTTAAGACACTTCTGACTGCTACTGTGTCCCCCTAGAGGAAGTTTGAAATTGTTACAGTAGCAGCTGGGCCAGGGGAATTTTCCACTTCAAAACAAATTCTGATCGTGAGATTGACCTTGGACCTTATCTAGAGTGTTATGGCAGATGGAAAGGAGAAAATAGATTCGCTACAGGAAAAAGCAACGAGGTCTGGCAGAGTATTTCGTACAGACGGTGGGCTGCAACGAAGAGCATCGACATCTGGCCCTTCTGGATTACCAACAGGAGCCTCATCGGCACAACCTAAACCCAAAGGAATGGCAGCTGAAGATGCTTTGGCTCAGGCACTTGGTAAAATTAATGAATCTTTGGACAAAATAAGTAAACAAGTAGCCGAAGCATTGGGCAAAATTGACCAAAATACTACAAGTATTAATAATTTGGGACAGAAGGTAAATACCAATACAGAAACTATTCAGAAATTACTACAGGAATCTACCTCGACACGAAAGACAGCCGAAGAGGCAAAGGAAATAGCAACAGCTACAGCCACTGTGGTAGAAGAGAAGATACCACCGTTATACAAACAACTTGAAGACCACAGGTCAATATTGTCTATGATTGAGTTGAAGGAGAAACAAACGAATTTAAGGATCAGGGCCGTACCTGAACTTGAGAAAGACAACTTGATTGACTTTCTTACGCAGAAATTTGCAGACTTTTGGAACCCAGATTTGGAGAAGGATAGTTCCAAGATAGTGAGTGCCTTTAGGCTTGGAAGAGGAGGGAGGAGGAACAGGGTGAGAGACTGTTTGATCACCCTCCGAACAAAAGAGGAGAGAGACAAAATCTTGAGTCTGCACTTCCAGAAGACTTTGGAAATACATCAGTCAAAAGTGGAGATATTTAAGGATATTCGAGTATCTTTTGGACCTTAGGTCCAATTATAGAGATTTGGTTGCCCTGTTGAGAAGTAACGGAATTATCTTTAGGTGGGAATTCCCCCAAGGCCTATCCTTTAGTTACAAAGGGAAGAAGATAAAAATAAGATCACAGGACGACAAAGATAGATTTTGGAGAGACCATGGAGAAGACCTACAGAAGGAAGCTGCAGAAGAGTTAAGAGCACTTGTAAGTGAAACTTTAGACATACCAGGTTTACCTCCTGAACTAAAAGACCGCCTGAAGAAGGGGATACCACCGACAGATCAGGAACAGGCACTGGGTGCAGTTGGAGGAGAAGCAAAGTAACTACATCATGGCTCTGCAACTATTAAGCTGGAACTGTAATGGTTTGAACTCCCCTCAGAAAAGGAGATCTGTGTTTCATTTATTAAAAAAGGAACAATTGGACTTGATTTGTTTACAAGAAACACATGTAACAAGGCTACACAGGAAACTACTGATTAATAAAAGACTGGGTCAGGAATTTATTTCATCGGACAAGGTTATAAAAAGAGGGGTAGTGATTTATGCAAAGGAGAGACTATTACCGAAATTTATCCTCAAAGATGACCAAGGAAGATTTGTGGCAATTGAAATTCAAACACAAGGAGAAAAATTCTTGATAGTAGGAGTTTATGCACCAAATGAGGGGAAATCTGAATTTTTTAAAAAGTTGCATGAGACCTTGATGGACTATTTGGATTATAATGTGATTTTGATGGGAGATATGAATGGAGTGGTATCTATACACATGGACAAGGCGCAAAGACAGGCAGTCACTAAGGATGGCAGACTACCGAAAACTTTTTTTGAGACGACAGACAACTTGGACTTAGTTGATATCTGGAGAACAAAGAATCCCTTGGCTAGAGAGGGAACCTTCTTCTCTGAAGCCAAACTGACATGGACAAGAATTGACCAAATATGGGTAACTAGAGGAATGGCACCAAAGATAAGAAAAGTGGAAATCTGCCCAAAAACCTGCTCCGACCATAATGCGGTTAAGATGGAAATGAAACTAACACCAACTGGTTCCTTCAGATGGAGGATGAATGACACCTTATTTAGAGATGAAGAAGTGATTAAGAAGGCCCAAAAAACCTTGAGAGATTATTTTGAGATAAATATGAACACCAATGTTGAAAAAAGAGTAATCTGGGACGCAAGCAAAGCTGTTATGAGAGGGTTCTTGATACAACAGAATACATTAAAGAAGAGAATCCAAAATGAAAAGAAGGATAAAATATTGGAGAAAATAAAGGAAAGTGAAAAGAAATTGAGAGCAAAACCAAAGTCGCAAGAGATATTGAGAGAAATAAAGTTATATCAAGTACAATACATGAAAATGATGAATCAAGAGATAGAATGGAAAATCAAACAAATGAGACAAAAGACATTTGAGTCGGCTAATAAATGTGGGAAATTATTGGCTTGGCAAATGAAAAAAAGACAAAAATTAAATACAGTTACAAATCTAGAAGTGGAAGGAAGGAATATACAGAACCCAGCTGAGATTAGAAATTGTTTCCAGAGGTACTTTAAACAACTATATACACAAGGGCCACAGAAAGAAATTGATGTAGACCGATTTTTGAAAACAAATGGATTACAAAAATCTCTCAAGAAAATAAATTAATGTTGAACTATAAAATAACTGAACAGGAGATAGAAGGTGCCATTCAGAATATGCAATTGGGTAAATCTCCAGGACCGGACGGACTGACTTCTAGATACTACAGATCTTTAAAAGAATGGTTAGTACAACCTTTAAAAGAAGTCTGTAACGAAATAATGGATGGGAAAAGGGCACCAGAGTCGTGGAAAGAAGCGTATATCACACTTGTACCGAAAACAGAGACTGAAAATATGCAGCTTAAGAACTACCGCCCCATATCACTGCTCAATGTGGATTACAAAATTTTTGCTGACATCTTGGCTAAAAGACTAAAAAGAGTGTTAGCGGAAGAGATACATAAAGACCAAGCAGGCTTTCTCCCGGGTAGACATCTATCTGACAATGTGAGAAACATAATCAATATTTTAGAAAAATTACAAGAGAATATAAATACTAAGGCATTTTTAATATTTGTGGACGCGGAGAAAGCTTTTGACAACATTTCTTGGAGTTTTATGAAGAAGAACTTACAGGGTATGGGGGTAGGCCAAGGCTTTGAAAATGGTATAAGTGCAATATATTCTGAACAAAAGGCTAAATTAATTGTAAATAATGTGGTGACGGAAGAATTTAAGATAGAAAAAGGGACACGACAAGGTTGCCCAATCTCCCCATTGCTTTTTATATCGGTCCTGGAGGTTTTGTTGAACATGATTAGAAGGGACCAGTTGGTTAAAGGTATATATGTCGGAGCCAAACAGTACAAATTGAGAGCATTTGCAGATGACTTAGTATTGACGTTACAGGAGCCAGAATCTAGTACCAAAAGGGTTTTAGAACTGATTCAAGAATTTGGTCAGGTTGCAGGATTTAAATTGAATAAGTTAAAAACCAAGGTTTTAGAGAAAAACTTAACACCAATTGAGAGAGAGAGGTTTCAGAATGAGACAGGTTTAACAGTGGCTAAGAAAGTTAAATACCTGGGGATTAACATGACAGCAAAAAATGGGAATTTATTTAAAGACAACTATGAAAAATGTTGGGCTGAAGTGAAAAAAGATTTAGAAATTTGGTCAAATTTGAAGCTTTCACTGCTGGGTCGTATTGCTGCGATAAAAATGAATGTATTGCCTAGAATGTTGTTTTTGTTTCAAACATTGCAAATTGTGGACAAAATGGACTGTTTCAAGAGGTGGCAGAGAGATATTTCTAGATTTGTCTGGCAGGGCAAGAAGCCTAGAATAAAATTTAAAATATTAACAGATGCAAAGGAAAGAGGTGGATTTGCCCTGCCAGACTTTAAACTTTACTATGAATCAGCAGCTTTTTGCTGGTTGAAAGAATGGCTGCTTCTTGAAAACACAGACATTTTGGATCTAGAAGGTTTTAACAATGTATTTGGATGGCATGCATATCTGTGGTATGATAAGGTCAAAGCACATAAAGCATTTAAAAATCATATTGTCAGAAAAGCATTGTTTAATGTTTGGACAAGATACAAGGACTTATTGGAAAACAAAACCCCAAGGTGGCTGTCACCGATGGAAGCTCAGAAAAAGCTCAATATGGAGGTCAAATGGCCAAAATATTGGGAAATTTTGGAACAAGATGGAGATAGACTGAAATTGCAGAGTTTTGAGAAATTAAAAAACAAAGTGCGAGACTAGCTTCATTATTATCAGATAATGGAGGCATATAATTTGGACAAGAAAATTGGCTTCCAGGTGGAAAAATCAAAATTGGAAACAGAACTGTTAGAACCCAAAACCTAGATTTTGTCAAAGATGTATAACTTGCTGTTGAAATGGAATACTCAGGATGAAACGGTGAAATCTGCTATGATTAAATGGGCACAAGATGTTGGACATAACATAATGATGGCTGACTGGGAACAGTTATGGACCACAGGTATGAAGTTTACGGCATGTAATGCCTTAAGAGAGAATATTATGAAAATGATATACAGGTGGTACATGACACCAGTCAAGCTTGCAAAAATCTATCATTTGCCCGATAATAAATGTTGGAAATGTAAAGAAACCGAAGGTACATTCTTTCACCTTTGGTGGACGTGCCCAAGGATTAAGGCTTTCTGGGAGATGATTTACAATGAAATGAAAAGGGTATTTAAATATACCTTTCTGAAGAAACCAGAGGCCTTTCTCCTGGGCATGGTCGGCCAAATGGTGCCAAAGAAGGACAGAACTTTCTTCATGTATGCCACAACAGCAGCAAGAATACTTACTGCAAAGTATTGGAAGACACAAGACCTACCCACTCTGGAAGAATGGCAGATGAAGGTGATGGACTACATGGAATTGGTGGAAATGACTGGCAGAATCCAAGACCAGGGAGAAGAGTCGGTGGAAGAAGATTGGAAGAAATTTAAAGATTATTTAGAGAAATATTGCAAAATTAATGAATGTTAGAATGATGTTGGAATGAAGTTAGGTGGTTTAAGCAGTAATGCTATAAAGGTGTATGTAAAAAAGGATTGTTAATAGATGAAAATTTAAAGTTATAGTATATTAAGTTAAAGGATCATGAGAAAACAAAGAGGGAAAGAAATTGCTGACTTAACTAATTGAACTGGAATACAAAAAAGGGAGGTATGAGGTGGTCAGGGAAACAAGGATATGAATGTAAGCTATGGAAAGATTGACCCATTTTTCTTTTTTTCTTTTTAAGTGTCTTTTATTCTTTTATTCTGTATTTTGTATTTTTCTTGTATTTTTACTTTTTGTTTTTCTGTAATTCTTTTTTTCTCTGAAATTTTAATAAATATCATTTAAAAAAAAAAAAAAGAAATGGCCAAGCCCCCTTCAGCCAGTCGGCTTTTCCAGGGTATCTGGCTCTCAGCTGTTTGCTGGATAAATATCTCATTGTTCCTCATTTCAGCACATCAGACAAGAATGGCCTGAATGAGGGCAGCTGGGGGAGTGTCTCTGGCCTGCAAATGCTAATAACCCCAAACCACCATCATAAATCTTTTGCTTGCCCTTTTCCCTCACCTTCTTAACATCCGTTCTCTGTCTCCATCGAGCCCAAACGAGGGCAGCTCCATAGCCCAGCAACAAGCTGCTTAGCAAGGCCAGCCCGGAAGGGTTCTGGCCCACGGTGCTCAGGAGCTTTGCAGTGTTGTGAAGGTCAATCAGGTGTGGCAGGACCAAGGCGACGCACCCAAAGAAGGTGAGGTGGTTGCACAAGCACTGGGTGCTGTGGACGCTGCTTTGGGAGCCCACCTGGGAGGGAGGCACTGATGCATTAGAAACCAACACAGGAGGATGAGGCCCAAAAGTTCTGCTCCATTTGGTTCCCCATGACATTCTGCCCTACTTTTTTTTCCTCCCAGCATGGAAGCAAAGGCTTGCTTGCCTGCCCAACAGCCCTCTGGCCTGCTTGACCCTACTGCATACCCGACATCCATCACTTTTCCAGGCCTGATGCTGGCTGGACCAGTAGTAGCATCCAGAGATGATGGTGTGAATGGAGAGGTTCCAGGGGCCCTGAGAGAGGGGAGCCACCTCTGCAGAGATGTAGTAGGTGCCCAGGCCATGATGCTGCAGCTCCTCTGGAGGAATCACCCAGGTATAGGTACCCTCTGAAGCAAGAGCAGTGAATCAAAGAGAGCAAAGAGGGACCACACCCACTGACCTCACCCACACATTCCTCCACTGGGGACACAGTCCTGCCTGGCCCCAGCTCCTCAAGCCCCTCCCTACTCCCAGGTGCACAGATTTAAATCAAAGTGGTTTGGTCAATTATATAAATGAAGAAACGGGCTGATTTAACTAAGCGATTTAAATCAAATTTCCCATTGATGTTTCCCACAGTGCAAATCTGACCACTACACCATGTTAATTTGCAATTAAATGAATTTAATGGGCAATTAAATAATTGAAACACAGCTGATTCAATCTGAATACTTTTGCAACTTTCCCTTTTTATTTATAGAGGTAAATTGTTCCCATATAGCAGGCTTCCTCAAACTCAGCCCTCCAGATGTTTTTGGCCTACAACTCCCATGATCCCTAGCTAGCAGGAACAGTGGTCAGGGATGATGGGGATTGTAGTCTCAAAACATTTGGAGGGCCGAGTTTGAGGAAGCCTGCCATATAGGTCATGTCTTATGGCTGAAACCCAGAACAGTTGGTGAAGTTAACACCTCAAAGCTATGCCCACTTACCCAAGAGTTACCTTACTGAACTCCAATGAGACTTACTTTTAAGGGGATACATGCAGCATTGTGTTGTATGTACGAGCATAAGAAGAACCTGATGCATCAGGCCAATGGCCATTCTAGTCCAGCACTATTCTCCTAGAGGTCAATCAGATGCTCCAATAGGAAATCCCAAAGCAGTACCTGCCCTCTAGCTTCCTTCTAACAAGTCCTCACCATCTTGCCATCCGCTGCTGGGCAGGGTGGTGTTGAGCAGGCTGCTGTTCTTGTTGGGCTCAGGTTGGAGGCCCAGGTGCAAGGTGATCTGGACCACTGTGCTGGATTCCACCGATACTAGCAGGGCATCCTCTACTGATGTGATGTTTACCACAATGTCAAAGTTCCTGACGTTGCCAGTCAAGTGAGTGTGAGGGGCCTCAGCACTAGCCTCAGCACTGAGCCCAATCTGGAAGCAGACAGAATGCCCATGGTCAGCCCTGCAGTCCCCCCCACTGGTCCTTGAGCACATACTGTCTCCCATCAGGCCATACAGCACAAAGTGCTTATCTCTGATCCAGAGCTGGACCTTGGACAGCGCTGCTTCTCCATGCCACTTGGGTGCCGAGAGAAGAGTCCCCCTGATGAGAGAACTTTCCAGTACAGTATCCATTCTCACCTCTATTTCCTCTGCAAGATTGTGGACACCGATGGATTCCTCGCTGGCCATGAGAGCGATACTTGCCGTCCTTTTGATCGGCTTCCCATCCAGGTGCCGGAAAGGGTTGAATGCAAAGGAAGCCACCTAGAGTGAAGATGAGAGCAAGAGCGAGCTGTGGGGGTGCCCTCTGCCCCACCTCCATGCCCTGCCAGCCCTGCACTATGTTCCCCTACAAGGACCCAGTGGGCTGCAAGCCACTACCACCTTACCTGGACTTGTACTTGAGGGTGCTGGCTCAGAACTGGCTCCAGAGTAGAGCTGGATGGGAAGGTTACGTTCAGGCCCCTTGGCTGAAGCAGGTGGAAGGAGGCATGGGGCAGGGAGGCTTTGTCACACCTGGTAGGGAGTGGGGAGAGTGGTTACTGTTGAAAGTTTGAGTGCAACTCCATTTTCAGAAGAGGGGTCTTGCGTAGCTAGGACTGATAGGACAGAGTTCAAGACCTCCAGATTCCCAGACTACCTTTGTGTCATTAACCTCTTCAGCTCACCTCTCTCTCTCTTTTGATATTCTCAGGCTGCACTCTGTTTCACAACTTCCTGCTCCTCTCACATTTCTCTCTCCAAGAAGAATTATCCTCTGAGATAAGATAGGAGGCAGCATGGCTACCATGCTCTAGTACAGACTTGTTAGGCTAGAACTTGGAACTCTTCTATCCAACTATGTGGTTAGAGTGAAAGACATGGACGTGGGAGACCAGGGTTCAAATCCCCTCTCAGCCATGAAACCCAATGGGTGACTTTGGGCCAGTCACTATCTCTCAGCCCCAACCTACCTCTCAAGGATGTTGTGAGAATAAGATGGAGAAAAGGAGAAGTCTGTGAGCCATCCTGAGCTTTTTGGAGAAAAAGTGGGTTATAAATGTAATACTAATTTTTAAAATAATGTAATAGACTCCTTTATTATTTATCTTAACTACAAACATCCCTGTGTGTGAGATTGTAACTCATAAAAGTCTGTTCCCTAACCAAGATGCATTCACTGAACAATGTCTTACTCTGCGTACCAAAAGGATTCCAATAGGTAATTGGCAACCAAACAATTCATTCAGTTGCCCTGAACAAGTCCCCCCCGCCTAGGAGAGAGGAGACTGGTACCTGCTGAGGGTGGTGCTGAGCACAGGAGACACCACAGTTACTGTGGATTCCTCCATGGTGGAGCTTCCCAACAGGAGCCCCGTCTGGATCAGAGGAAGGGCTTCCAGTGCTGTTTCTAGGACCTTTGGTTCCTGCCGCAGAAAGGCCAGGTGTGGTCAGGAGCTGGGCAGAGCCAGGGCGGGAAGCCGGGAAACTCAGCTCCCTTCCCATGGGCTCAGGAGCAAGGGGAAGGCCTGGACAAAAGGGGGTGCCTTCAGAATGGGACCCAGCCATGCAGCAGGCCTGAGCTGGCAACCCCATCCTTCTGAATAGCCTTCTCCACCCGACCCCTGCAGGTCCTCTTTCTCCCCCACCTGTTGCGGGCCGAAGCTGGGTGTCTGGCTGCCTGAGGCTTGGAGGAGGTTGCTGAGGGCCTGGAAAAGAGCCTGTGATCCGAGGTCTAGGCAGGAGGCATTGCTGGCAGGGTGGTCCCTCAGTAGCTGAGAGCTCAGGGAGAGGAGTGCCTGGCTGGCAGAGGCCTGTAGGAACAAGGCAGGGCTGGTCATCTGGCGGGGCTGATTTGGGGGTGCAAGGGCAAGGCTGGCTGTGCCAAGCGGCAGGCTTGCCTCTGTACATAGCCTGGGTAGAGCCTGGTTCAACCAAGGACTGGGAAAATAGGCCGCAGGGGACAGACCCTTAGATCAGGGGTGCCTGCCACCCACCCACCGCCCCTCCCTCCCTGCCACATGCCAGTACCTGGGCATCGTCTGAGAGCAGAGCATGGAAATTTGTCAAATTCTCCAGCATCCGGGCTGCCTGCTCCAGTGCCATAGGGTGGTCTGGGGTCTGCACAGCCTGGCTGAACTGGTGCAGCACCTTCTCTAGGGCCTGTGGGACAGACCCTGAGTGAGAGGGGCTGGGGGAGAAGGGGGCCTGGTTGCCCTATTACGCTGTCAGTGAGCCTGCAAGTAGAGCTTATCGCTAAATCTCTAACTCTGGGAAGGCTCCTCTACCCTATAGGGGGAAGACCTGAGAAGGCAGCTAGGCTGGAGGGAGCCACACATCCCCCCCCACGCTTCCCCATAGCCACTTGCCCCCCTTTCTGCGGTGGGCAAAACCAGTCTGGAAATCCCTCACTAAGTGACTTTGGATCCCTGGGAAATCACATACGAGTCACACTCATCTTTGATCTGCACCTCAGCGTTAGTTTTTCCAGGTGCAAAGGAAGAATCCTGCAATGCACACCCACCCACCCACCTCCTGGCATCTCCGGAGCAGGGTGTGGGGTATGGGACGAAGAGAGAGGAGAGCCTGTCTGGACAAGGTGCCACCAGGGTGGGAGCAGGTGCCAGTCCAGATGTCTCCCTACCTTCCCCTGGTCCTCAGGGGGGAAGTCTCTAGGGCTGAAGGTGAAGGAGTCCGGGCTGGTGTTGGACTCGTGGCTTTTGGTACCCCCCGAGGTGGTTTTGCTGGTGGGCAGCGGCTGAGTGCTGGGCTCTGGGGCTGAGGTCTGAGAGGTGGGGCGGGTCTGGCTGCTGTTGCTGGCGGGCCACGTGCTGGATGCCGACTTGGGGCTGCTCGGAGGATGGTGGGGAGTGCCGAGTTCTGGCCTGGTCCCAAGGAATGGCTGGATGTCAGCGGTGGTCGGCTGGCGAACTGTGCTGCTTCCTGGAGGAGCACTGGGCGGCGGAGGAGTCGCGGCGGAGGCCTGGGCGCTCAGAGGAGCAGTCGCCGTCGGCTCTTCGGTGAGGATGGGCGTCGCCTCCGTCGGGCCGCACGTCAAATGCTGGCAGGTCGTTCTCTGGGAAACAGGGAGAGAAAGTCACCAGGGCCGGCTGCTCGGCGGTGCGCTGCAGTCAGTCCAGGGGGCGCTGCGCAGCGACGGCGGCCTAGAGAACCTTCGCCCGTTCCTGTTCGACGGCTGCGCAGGCACCTGCTTTGGCGGGAACTTACCACCCAGGGCGTGGAAGTCTCTCGGGGCGTCCTCGGGGGGCCTGTAGCGGACAGAGAGCAGAAGGGGTTGAGCTCGGGAGAATTCATGGAAGGGGCGCTTCCTGGGCGGCAGGGGCCGGTTCTAGGACCTGCGACGGCCCAGCCCAGCCGCCTAGGGAGAGCCTGGCCCTGGCCCTGCCTCCGGGGTTGCAGCCACCTCGAAAGGGCGTGCTTCGTGGGGGGGGGGCCGTCCAGAGAGTCTCATCCTCAGCTCAGCCACGAGGTCCTTCTCGCTCTTTGAAGCTGGAGGCCCCCTGCCCAAGCCCCTGTGGGTGCGGAATGAGGGCACGAACTCCCACCCCGGGGGCGGGCAGACTCACGCACCAGACTGGCAGATGAAAAAGTGCTTCTGGTCACACTCCTCCCTCCTGGTATAGAATTGGTCCCCATTCCGGACGAGGACTTTGCAGTGGTCTGCGGAGAGTAGGCGCCGCCGTCAGACACGGTTATCCCTCTTCCCCGCCACCCCACACTCAGCACCAGCCCGCCAGTTGTTTGCCTTTGGGGGATTTTCTTAGGATAAGGCTTTCCGGCTGAGGCTGCCCTGAGCGCCCCCTGTAGGGCTCCGCTCCCTCTCCAGACTAGAGTCTCCCAGTGGTGGCAAGTGGTTTAAGGGGAGCCTTTGCATAGGGTGAGTGCCTGGTAGCAAACCCTCGGACAGCCTTGCATTATTATTATTTTTAACCCTCCCCACTCCTTGACTGCCTGTCACAGACTGCAGAGCTGAGCCATCAGCAGCGGGGCTTGGCATGGGAGGATGGTTGCCATCCTGAGTGTCCTTGAAACGCTGGTGGGCGGAGTCCCTCGACGGAGGGAAGGGTCTGCAGGGCCTGGCTGGGCCCTTGAAGTGAGCAGCTTGGCTGCCCCGCCTCGATCCCCACGAGGAGAGGGTGGTCCCACCTTGTGTAGGGAGGGTGGCGGTCTTGCCCTGAGGGGTTTGGCGTCTGGGCGAGTCAGAGATGCTGAGTGGGGAATAACACACATCCCGGGAGCGTATACTGGAATTGGCTGCTGCTGCCCCTCTTCTGCGGTGCTGCTGTTGGGCCTCTGCGCCCCCGCCCCGCTCTCACCTTTGCCAGGGTGGCTCACTTCTGGGAGCGCCTTTGCTGCAGCCCCGATCCAGGTTTTGCTCCTGTCGTCCAGGCGGTCGCGCAGGGCGTCCTGGATCTGCTGGTTCCACGTGTGGAGGAGCCGGCCGTGGGATTGTCCGCACAAAATCACTGCACGCAAGGCGGGTTGTGGCCACCGGAGCAGCCGATAGCAGTCCTCTCCTGCCACGGGCAGGCAGGCGGGCTCCGATTCCTCCGAAGAGACCTGTGCGGCCCAGAGCCAGAGCCACATCCCTACAGGGAGCCCCATGCCGCTCCCTCTTTGGAGCAAGCTGGTCCGGGGCCACCCTTTAATAGTCTAAACCGCCCCCGCCCCCCACCGTGCACGCTCAACCCACCAACTGAGAAAGCAGGTGGGGGAGCTGCTGAAAAGAGGACCAGAGCAGCGCCACACCCAGAGGCTGAACAGGTGCAGCACCTGGTGCTCCAGCTGGAGATGGGCCCTCTTGTTTGCAAAGAAGAGGGTGCCATTGTCTGCACCCCGGCGGGGAAGAAAGGAGAGGCAACTGCATTGTCTGCTGGATAAAAGGCATGTTGGCAGGCAAATGTTGAGAGCCCAGGAGGCTCATCCCATTCCTCTTGCTCCAGAGAACAGTATGATAACCAAGCAGTTCGGTTGACAAGAAATGGAATTTCAAGGGGTTTGGGAGTGGGGCAGACAGGAAGGTGGCAGACTCCCCTTCATTAGAGGTTTCTAAGCGGAGGCGAAGGGACCCTCCTTCCAGGGAGGTTGTGCTAGCGCGATTCCTCAGGAGGTAGGAGTAGATGACCCTCATGGTCCCTTCCAACACTACAGTTCTATGATACTTCTGGACAAGGGCTGGCGAGTCTCCAGCCAGCCACATGACGTTTTACAATTTACTGCATGTCACTGCCAGGGGGCCACCAGGGCGCTTGAAGTGGGAATGGGTGTCTGGATCTGGGCCTGTCCTGGGCCTGGGCCCCTGAGCAACCAATCAGGATGTCCTCAGAGAGTGAAAGAGAGCTTCCACGGACACCACTGACCTGTAGCCTGCCATTTATTCGGTATGGGCCATGCCTAGTGTTGAATCACTTTGCAGGATAGCACACAGCTTGGAAGCTGACCTCACATAGACTTCTTACTGGGGAGAGGAGGGTTGCCTTCATTGCAATCACACACAGAGTACTTAAAATTGGAATATAATAAAGCTCCATTTATTATAAGAAATATATACTTGGATAGAAAAGAGTTACTAGTTTTAGCTAATTAATCTTAAAGCTACAAGGGAGTCATGCTTGCTCTTTACTCTTGGCAGAGATACATCCATAGATGTCCTCTCTCCTTCAGCTTCAGAAGGAAGAGGGGGAAGCAGGAAGTTTGGTCACTGTTAGGAACCCTAAGAATATCAGTCTAATAGTAAAGGAAAGGTCATCACAGAGATCAAAGGGCAGTTAGACAATCTTGGAGGTTCCCTTCTCTATCCACTTTAACCTCATGCAAACCCTCAGCAAGCTGAGTTGCATCCCAACTATTTCAACACTCGGTGAGTTCAGGGTTGGCTCCATTGGCAGGTTACAGAATGGGGCTTCGCTGTCCCCCTCCCATACTGTGCCCTCCCGTTCCTCCAGAGAGATGGTCCTGGCCTTTGTACAGGTGTGGGTGACATCATGTTGGAGAGGCTGATTGGAGGTCTTGGGCACATGGCGTGGCAAAAGCCAAGGTGGCCTCGCAGAAAGTTGCCCTCCCATCACTGGAGAGAGCACAGCCTGCAATCACAGAGGTCAAAGACGTGGGTCAGGATGGGGCCCTAGGACTGCTTCCCAGCATATTTTCTGCTCCCTTGGCCCCAGTCCTGGAGCTGCAGTGTCCCTTAGGATGGTCAAATTACCGGTAACCTAATATGTCTGCTCTAGTCTAACTGGCAGTGGCGTTTCAAGGCCACGAGCCAAGAGACTACTCTAGAGCTTTTTAATGGGGAGTGTCAAGAGTTAGGAAGGCAGGGGGCCTTCTGCCTGCAAAGCAGCTGCTCTGCCACTGGGTGGTGACTCCTCTCCACCCCCACTGTGCACATGCCAGTCACCACCTTTTAGTCCCTCCCCAGTCTTTTCCCCTTCCATAGGGGACAGTCCCAGTCCTACTCTTGCAGGGGCTTCAGTTCAATGTGTTTCCTTCCTGTTTAGCAAGCCCAGGAGATGCTTAGTGTAGCCACTCTGCCTCTCCCAGAGCTGGCCCTGGGCTACCTGCTCTTGGCAACCAGAGGTGCCCACACCAGCAACTGGATTCCTCCACCAAGCCTGCATGCCTTGCCTGGCCACCCAAAGCAGCAGAGGAATGGTCCAGGTGGGCTCCTAGTCATACCGAGCCAAAGTGGAGAGGTGTGATTCTTCCCTGTGTGTGCATAACCTTCCCTCATGGGAGGTGGAAAAAGGAACAGACGTAGTACTGAAAACCCTTCCGCTTGCCTGGCGCCTGTCTTGAATTTTCTGAACTTGAGTTTGTTTTCTGCAGTTGGTGCAGGGCATTCTCAGTGCCACCTTTGCCCTTCTCTACTTGGAGGCAGTCCAGGACCCCATCCTCTCCGGAGAGGCCCCTTTCCCCTTCCCTCCTTCAATTCATCCTGCCTTTCCACTTCTGCAAGCCAACTTCCTCGCTTTACCGGTCTTCCAGGTCCAGGGCTGCCTCATCTTCATCCTCTGCTTTCTTCAATATCAGGGCACAGAAGATGGCAAAACTTATCACCTGCAGTGGATTTCATGGGAGAAGAGGGATGGGCAGGATCCACAGCCATTTTGCCCCCCTCCCATCCATAAAATAGAGGGAGCATCTGTAGGCTTCCCTTTCTCCAGATGAGCCAAGCCCCTCACTTTGTGCTAAAACACCACAACAAACTGGTGTATGTGTGAGGGTGCTTTGGTTAAATTCTCCCCCACCCCCTTGAAATTCATGGGAGGAAGAGAGGAGATGCAGTGGGTGTTTGCAGTGCTCCAATGCCAGACACCTGTCCCAGGCAGGCAGGCAGGTGGCAGACACATACGTGAGATGAGGAAGAAGTATGTGCACCATGATTTCTGCTGCTGCTGGTGAGGTATCCCCTCTCCTACAGGTTGCCAGTTGAGGAGTATCACAGACCCTGACATGTCAGGGCCCAAACCTGAGACCTAGGGGCTGCCCCGGGTGGTGTCAGGGGCACAGACCCTGGTATAGTCACAAGGGTCCTAGAGACAGAGGTTGATTAGGAGAAGAGTGGAGGTTGTCCCCCAGAGTGTCTATGCTATAATTTGCATCCAGCTCCTGCTGGTCCAAAGTGCGCACACTCTATACACAGTTTTCTGTGTACACACACACACCATTGGAACTTTCACCCATCTAGCGATTCAAGCCCTTCACCTGCCACCTGGAGGGTACTAGGCAAACCTGAAGACTTCAGATCAGACTTAGAGGTCTGGTAACCCGACCTCCCGTGAGAAGGCCCCCCAGGAATGCTGGGTTTGCTCAGCCTGGCTGGGAAGTACCTTGAGGGGCTGCAGGACGAAGAGGGCCTGGCCCATGGAGATGGCAGTGGAGATGAGCCAGCGTTCGGTGCTCTCCTTGCCATAGTGGAAGCCATAGAGCAAGGAGAAGAAGGTGGCCACTGCGCTGAGGGAGACCAGCAGGGCCCACCCCACCCAGGCGCCCCACCAGGGCAAGTGCCACCTTCGGCTGTGGAGGAACAAGAGGAAGGCATGAGGAGGAGGCTCTGCAGGGTAGGCTTCCCTGCCTGCTCACGGAGCCTGTCTGAGCTACCTACATGGAGCGAGACCGGATGGGGCTTGCTAGCTCGAGACGCCTGGCCATCTCCTCCACGCGCTGCTGCAGAGCCGGAGGGTGCTTGGCTGTCGGGACTCCTAGTTCCAGCTCTCCCAGGAGACGGGAGATGTGCCGCAGCTTCAGGAGGAGGTAGCGGTTGCAGTAGGTCTGGTGTAGCGCATCAGGACTGGACGCCACACTGGAGATCTTGGGCTCCCTCCCTGCAAGCAGAAGCCATAGCGTCACCATCCTCTGGGGGGGGGTCTAGCAGGGCTGCCCAAGGCAGGCAGGCAGGCAGGCATGGCTGGGCTCTCACCTGCTGCCTCCTCTTCCTCCCCAGGATCAGGGTGGATAAAACGAGCCAGCCACTGCAGAAGCTCCTCAAGGTCCATGTCGGGATGTAGCAGCTGTTGGCTCTGCTTGCTGGCTTTGCTCAGCGTCTCCACTGCCCCACGCAGGCTCTAGGAAGGGAAAGACAAGCACGGGTAGACGGGAGAGTGGCAGGCGACTGGGGCACAGATGCACCCAACAGGCTGAGGGTAAGGTGGGCAAAGCTGGGCACAAGAAGATGTAGCAGATGGGAGAAGTGTTGTGGGAGATTTGCAGCCAAATCTAACAATGCATATTTTTGTGAGTTAGCATGTGAAGGGGTTAAGACCATTGGGTCACATTATTGATAGAGAGACTCAGACCATAGAAATGTAATTGGTAGAGATGGTTCTGTGTGAGGTCATTTTCCCTCCTCTCTTGGAAATGAAGAATCAAAGTATTTCCTGTTCCTTCCCTCTCTCTTTTCTCTTCAGCCAGCGATGGAGCAGACATATATCCTATCGCTCCAGCATTGGCCACATGCCTCAAGCTGTTCATACTGTAAATATAAGTATTTTGCCTGCATTTATTTTACTGCTGTTGCTACTGAGAACAATTGCATGACTATGAGTAAGTAAACATATTTTAAACTTACTTCTCAGTCTGTGTCTGGTTCTTTGTTAAGGGGCAACCAGCTTGCTTTGTGGCTGGACTGAATTTAATGAATGCTTCATAGCCTTTTCCTATGCTTTCTATTTTTCTGCTGAGGATGAGACTTAACTCTGCTCAGCCCTGTGTTTTAAACGAAGCGATAAGCTGATCTCTTTGTATGTTCAACCCACAAATGTGGGCACCTGGAGGGATAAATTACCATTAACATATCCTCTCCTACCTATTAAAAGCCATCCCATAAGTGCCACAGAGAAAACTCTCTGGCAAGCCAGTGCTTGCTGTATCTGCAAATGCAAAAACTTCTCCCTGGGACCAAGTTCACTGGTGCAAGAAGGATCCTGGGGGGCTTGGGGGAGAGGTAGCTGGGGATCGGGTGGGGGTTCTTGTCCACTGCCAGCTCAGCCTTGACCTTATTCCAAGGGGAGGCACAATGGGGAAAATGTCCTGGGTCCTGGAGAGCTCTTGTCCCTACCTCATGCACAGTGTCCAGGGTTGTTGGGCTGGCAGGGGCACTGGGCACAGCTGTTGCCAGGCCAGGCTTTGCATGGCTCTTGCGTGGTTCAGCGTGGCGGAAGATGAATACAAGGAGCAAGTTGACGGGGAAGGTAATCAAGGCACTCTCCACACTGATCATGATGTCCTTCCAGGAGAGGGAGAAGCAGCTGCCTGTGTATCAACGGGGGGAAAGTGCCTGCAAGTGGACCTACCAGCCACCACTCTTTGTGCCCCAAGGAAGCTGGAAGGAGGCACCAACTGCTACCTGCACAATCAGAGGCAGGATGCCTCCAGATTCAGGGGGTGGGGGATCAAATGTAGGAGAGGAGCCTTGCTTGTGGGCTTCCCAGGAGGCATCGGGTGGCCATTGTGTGAGAAGCATGATGCTAGGCTAGATCCCACCCGCAGTTGGCCTGATCCAGCTGCACCCAGGCTCTTCCAAAGTCCTAATACATGAACCTCCCTCCTGCCGGCCCAAAGGGTATGACTGTGTTTGTCCCTCCAGTTGTGGCAGGAGGGACTTTTCTCCACTGGCAGGAGTTGGAGCAGAGGAGTTGCACAGCCCCCTTTTCTATGCCAGTGGCCCTTGGGAGATATCCCATGTGGAACAACCCTTACCAACACTCAGGAGCTCGGGTGAATCGTGGGGCACCTCCCAGAACATGAGGCTGACAAGGGCAGAGCAAAGGAGGAGGCAGAAGCCGCAGGAGAGGCCCTGGACCCGGGTGACGGGCCGCCCGTGGCCTGTTCGGGTCAGCAGCACTGTTAGCACTGTGTGCTCCTCCCGAAGACCGCTCAGGGTCCTTTGCCGGAAGATGGGCCTGCAGAGAGATCGGTAGATGGGTGGGTGGGAGCAGGACCCAAGGCCAGGCTATGGGAGAGCCAGAGGAGGAAGACAGCTGGAGTCTCCAGCTCTGCCTGGGAGCAGGCAGTTCGGAGATCCCTGCTAAGTTCATGCACAGTGGTCAGGTGGGGGCTGAGGACACCAAAATAGACTCCCCCGTCTCTTGGTAAGCCTACCAGAATGCTGTTAGCTGGTGCTGTGGAGCTGCTAGGAAATGCTGGGCGGTGCTGTGTGGGGCCCCTGCTGCTAGGACGTGCCACGGCTGGCAAGAGAAATGGAACCTCCTACTTTGCTGCAGGTCTCGCACTGTGATGTGGGCGATATGCCTGAGGGAAGGGAATGGGTAATGAGTGCTCTTAGTGCCCCACTTAGAAGAAAGTCCTTTTCAGGAAGAAGCAAGAGGCTTCCCTACTGGATGAGTGCTAGGTGTGCTGCTGACCCCCCCCCCAGCCCCACCTCCTCAGGGTGCCTGAGGATGGGCACCCTGACACAATAACCACCTCTGCCCTATTCAGAGAGAGGGAGAGTTGTGGCATGTCCAGCAGAGGCAGGCTGGCACCCCAGAGCCAAGCCATGGGAGGTGGGCAGTGCCCGCATGCCAGCACAATGTCTCCAAGTGGGATGTCACCCACCCACCCTGCTCCTGGGCAGACTGACCAGGGCAGCTGTGGGGCAGAGTGGGGCTCCTGCCACAACCAAATGCTCTGGAGCTCTCCCAATGGGTATGGCTCCCGTAGGAGGAAGAGGCTGGTATCCAGGGGCAGGCGCCGAGGCTTGCTGACACCAGACGATCCCTGCAGGCAGATGCAGACCTGCTGGAGATGAAAGGGCTGGGTGAGCTCTGGGGCAAAGACCAGGCACCCCACCCCCTCCATCACTCAGGGCAGACCACTCACACAGGGGCTGCCTCCGGGGGCCTTCTGCTGCCCATGCAGGCACATCTGGAGCAGGTAGCCATACTGGGCACAGGGATCATCATCGGACAGGAGGACTGGCCCTGCCTGGGAGAGGGAGAGGGGTGTGAAGGGTGGCGTTTCTAGGGTCATGCTCTGCTACGGAGCAGCGCAGGAGAGTAGAGCGCTGAGGCCCCATACATACAGTTGTCCTTCCCACTTGGCCCCAGTGAAGACCAGAATAAGGGGATCTCATTTGCTGGCGAAGAGATATGCAAACCTTAAATCCACATGGAATCATTAGAAAGAACAGAGTTAGCTGCATCTCACTCAGCTGTATGTTTATAGAGAGCAAAATGCAGTCATGACCATTAGTAGCAAATAAGAAGCCTTCCCCGCCCCTAGCCAGCCACACCCTTTTGGGGTGGGGGTGAGGAGATCAGAGTCCTTTCCTCTCCACATGGCGTGGGAGAGCAGCTGGAGACCCTCCAAGAGTTCAGTCTCCAAATGGTGGCTGTTGCTGCATGACCTGCCCTTCTGGGAGCATCACCACCTAAGAGCTGCCAAGGGCCTGTGAGTTTGTGCTGCTTGCTGCCAGACCGCCCCCCCCCCCCACCTCTGGCCCTCTCACCCCCCAGCAACTTACCTGGTGCAGGGGGCGTGTATCCAACCAGCGGGCCCAGGCCACCCCCACCAAGTAGAGGGCATAGACGACTCCCAGGACCACGACCAGAACTGGGTTCTTGTTCACCTGGCTAAAGTACTCTGCTGTGCGCACCACATCCAGCTGGACTGGCGCCACCCAGAAGCTGCTGCCAAAGAAGGAGAGGTGGGTGCAGAGGCAGTGGCCTTCCGCCAGGCTGCTGCTCTCTCCTACCTGCAAACAGGGTGGGATTAAGGGCGCTTCTGGGCAGCAGATCACCTTGGATATTTCTCACAAAACAGAGATCCAGATGTTTTAAATAAAGAAGCAGGCAGTCTGGTCTTGAAATGGGATAGAAGTGTTTTTAAGGACCAGATTCTGATTCTTCCCTGCCTCCGGCAGTAGGGGGCGCAAGGTACCCAGATTCCCTTTGTTTCTTGAATGCCAAGACTCACCTTGCAGCCTGCCTCTTGCCACTGGGCATCAGGCAGGTGCCGGGAGACGCACTGGATCCCATAGGTGCTGACATGTAAGGTGGCAGGACCCTGGCTGGCAGAGAGGTTCAGTGGCACCACCAGGAACTGAAGGGCTCCTCTCAGGTCACGAAGAACTTCCTCCTTCACTAGCCAAGTGTAGCCATCTGCAGGAGATGGGGGCGGGGGGCAACACAAAAGGGAAACCATTTTAGGAAGAGGTCCTCACACTCCCCAGGCCAAAAGTGGAAGCAGAAGCCAGCTCTTCTGTCCTCTTGATATACCCAGGCCGATGTTGGGCTCAATGGGCTCCCGGAGTTGCTCGCTCGGCTGCAGGAAGAGCTCCAGAGGCCCCACAGGGTCCAGGTGAGCGTGGATCATCAGGGATCCCCCTGTCCATGTCACGTTCGCAGTCAGAAGGAGGGCCTCCCCTGGAGAGAGGAAGGCAGCTGGCTCTGCAGGGGCTGAAGGCACAACCCAGGGCAGGAAAATCTGGGATGGGAAAAGAGAGCAGGATGTCACTGGCTGCTACTGCACCACCACAGTGAGATGAGCAGCTGCCTCAGGCTCTCACCCTGAGCAGAGGCAGCCTCACTGATGGAGGTGAGCTGCGGTGGGAGAGAGGGAAGGTTGATGACAGAGAGACCAGACCCTAAGGCTCTCCCAGGCTAAGCGGCTGGCCTACCTGGTGGCTAATCCAGCTTATCTCCACACCATGAGATCCTGCCATGAGAAATGATCCTGGAGGGCTGTCCTTGCCCTTTGGAGATGCTCAATAGTCCACCCCCTTACAGGGAGGAAGGCTCCACTCAGCCCAAAGTCTCTAGGCAGGACATACCTGGACAGGGGTGCTCAGGTTGCTAACGCTGATCTGGCTGCCCTCAGAAAGGAGGTTGAGTTCAGCTACAGCTCCTGTGACCCCTTGCTCAGAGCTCGGGGGAAAGGGGCTGCCCAGGAAGCTCACCATCTAAAGAGAGGGAGAAAAGAAGAAAGGGCAGCGCCACTGCTGTGGGGGCCTGCCCCACCAGCCATGCCTGCTTGGCCACATGGCCACACTTGGCAGGATGGCTGGACGCTCCTCCCCGCCTCCTCACGCTCTGCTGCCCATTTTTGGAAACATGGCTGCTTACTGTCGGAAGCACTGGGTAGGTAGATTGAGTAGGGCTAAGTCAGGGGGCCTTGGTTGCAGGGGTGTTGGCAAAGGGGTTTCATGAAATGTTTGGAGTCCAACCCAGAAGCATGAGGCTCCAGAAGAGGGAGGGAGGGAAGATGCCTCTGGGTGCATCGTCAGGCTGATCTGAAGGAGCCAAGTCACTTCTGAGTGCTGGGCCCCAGTGCATCCCACAGCACAGCAAGCGACTCCTTGGCTGGGTGCTCTCTGCCTTCCTCCTCCTCCTGGGGTAGCAGCAGTTGGCAGAGGAGAGTTTCTGTTTCATGGAAAGGGAAGGCCCCTGTGCCCAGTCCAAAGGAGAGGGCCAGCCACATACTCCTGCTCCCTCTGACCTGCACATCCACTGGGATATTCTGTGGCATGATGGAGCCCAGCGCAGACTGCTCTGGCAAAATGACTCTGGCTGCCCATGGGTTGCCAGGGAAGGAGAATGCCATATTGCCCAGCCTGGAAGAGTTCACCCTGAGCCAGGGAGACAAAGAGAATTCGGGTTAGAGCCAGGGCACAGCAGATGGTGCCTGGGACCAGGGTGCCCCAAGAGAGTTGCCAATCTGCAGGACAGCCAGGCAAATGTGAGCCAGCTGCCATGATGAGGGAAGGGCAGATGGCTACCTCAAGGCCTTTTCCCTTGGACACTTCCTGCCAAGATCTTTCTCCCTTCCCTTCCCAGACCAGTCAAGCTTCCTACCTTCCCCGTCACCCAGTGGCTGCAAGCCTGGTAGCTTACCTGTGTGTATAGATGCTGATGAGAGGCGTCTCCATGGTGATGGCATCACTGCTGCCCCCCAGTTCCTGAAGAGCTTGCTCCAGCTTGTGAAGGATCTGCATCAGGGTGCCAGTAAGGGCCTCATGCTGCTGGAGGGAGAAGTGGGCAGTTACTGGGGACTCAATCTCCATCCAAGATGGGGCAATATGGGATGAACGGACCCATGCACCTGCCTGTCCCTCCCCATCAGGGCACCCGGGAGTGTGGCATATCCTCACCTGGATGTTGACGTTGGGTGAGCAGGGGCCCAGAATGACCTGCAGGAGCCGGCTGGTGCCATGGACTGCCAGGAGGTTGAGGAGGTGCCAGTGTGGGGAGGCTGGAGGCCTCCTTTTCAGCAGGTCCTCACTGACAGCCTGAAGAAATCCCACCTCCTCTTCCTGGCACGCAAAGGCACATAATGTTAATGTTCCTCCATACCCATGCATTGCCCAAGACCCTCAGCACTAATGGGGATGCCTCGACTCCTTCCATGAAATGTTCCCCATCACCTCTCTTGGAGGAAAGATCCTCTCAGGACTTGGCCTGACTCTTTCTTCAGGTTCCCCATGGGAGCTACACAGCCTTTGGAGTTGGGGCTCAGCCCCTTCTGGGGCATCCGCCCTCCCCATGGGCCCAATCATACCAGCTCAGAGGCACTCCAGGCACCATTGTTCACCGGCAGTGTCAGTCGCTGGAGCAGCTCCTGCAGGCAGAATCAGGAGTTTGGGCTCAAATGCTGGCAGGCAAAGGCAGACCACTGAATAAGGGGTTTCCGGCCTACATAAAGCCTGTGCTAACCACCAGAAGAGAGATTGGCTGTCTTGAGCCAGAGGAAGGTTGGTGGCTCTGCTGTGGGCCTCAATGGGGCTGGGCTGAAGGGGGTCCCCTCCCCAGATACTCCCTCCCAGTGGGGCTCTTTTACCTGCTGCCAGGTCCTGGGAACAACATCCTGCAAGGCCTCCCTGATTGCTGATGCCTCTGGAGGCAAAAGGAGAAGTATGAGCAAGAGTCTTTTCTCCCCTCAGGGTCCCCCTACACAGAAACAGGCGTTTTGGCCTCCATAAACACAAACTCCTTGCGGTGGGCCTGTTTCAACAACAAGCTGCTTCCTTTCAGGGGAAAACCACTGCCCTGACCGGCAAAAGGATCAGCCTCATGATAAGAGATCCATTGGCTACTAGTTTATTCCTGGTTTTACATTATTATAGTTGCTTATTTTCATCCTGAGCATTGCTTCAGGCTCTTTCCATTGAAGAGGTAGAACATGGTAATAAAAGTTTATCTGAAATAAAACTTGTTAAAAACCATTAATCACGGGTGCCTTGCCCCTTGGGCACAGCTTAAACAAATACCATTGGTAAATGTTGGAGTTGTAATTCTGTACAGGCAGATTGAAAGCATATCTTTTGGTTGTGCTGACATCTACAATCTTTTGGAAAAGCTGGTCTATGTGAAATAAGATAAAATATCCCTTTCAGCCCCACAAATATTATTTTAGGGCATTTAAAGGGTTTATTAAAATGAGCAGAATGACCCAAGATGATCAGCCTCTCACAATTGCTTATAATTGCAGATGACCTACTCTTCAATGCATTATTTCAGAAATCAATAAATCCCCACATCACCTGGGTACTTCTGCTTATCACCCAGATGCCGCCGCATGAGCCTTTGTGGCCTCCGCCCCATGGAGGTCAGATCCTGGTGGCAGACAGAGAAAAAAGAGTGGGACAGAGCAGTGCCACTGTGCCGGGTAGGATATGTCACCCAATAGGCTTTCTTGGGAGGGGCAGGGCAAAGGGTTCCCTGTTAGGAGTTTGCCCAGGAATCATGCCCAAAAGAATTGTCTGGAGGGTGGCTAAGAGGTGGCAGACAGGCTGTTTTTATTGCCCCCCCATCCTCTGCCTTCCACTGGAGTGCATCCGCTGGAGTTTGATTTCAGGCAGCAGGAGGGAAAGCCTATTTGCTTTGGACTTGGAGGGAAGAGAACTGGCTACCCTCACCTACCAGCTGAGCCTTCTGTTTTTGCCAAGGCCTGAAGCTGTTGGCACTCCTGGCCACTTTGACTGGGCATTCACCTCCCTCCACAGGACCTGCAAAAAAGACCATCCTGAAAGGGAGCCCCTCCTGGGTCAGGAGGAGCAATCTCTGTCCTCAGGGCTGGGGTGGGGTGAGGGTGTCACGGTCCCACCCTGGCAGCCCAGCTGGTCTCTCACCAAATTCGCAGATGAAAGGATGTCTCTGGCGGCAGGTGGGCCCGGTGGCCTCCTGCAGCAAGCCCAGGTTGGAGAGGAAGGTGCAGGTGGGGGGCTGATGGTGAGTCCCATGCAGATGAGGCTGGGTTCCTGGGCAAAGACATAAGAGGCTGCCAAGGGCATGGTGGCAAGCTGGGCAGGGCAAGGTGAGGGCCTTGCCCCCTTGTAAGATCCGACCACAGTAGGCAAAGCGGGGAGGTATGCCCTTGACAGAGCAAATGATAATAAGCAGAATTCTGCACTACAAGCAAAAGAGCCAGCTCTCTGCAGCGCAGTGCCCCCCACTTCCACACTCTACCCCTCAATGTGGCTCCCCAAATCCCAGCCTTTAACCACAGCCAGGTCAGCTGTGTAAAGGGACCTGACCTTTGTGATAGAAACCAGGACGCACCCTCCACTCTTTGGAGTAGAAACCACTCCCCGCCTCTGCCCAGCCCTCTCTGGTGCCCCCACAGGACTGACTTACCTGTCACCACAGGCTTGGTTGGGCCCTTGGAGACCCACCAGATCCCAGAGGGCCCTCTCAGCTGCCCCCTCCTCCTTCTCAGAGCACCCCACGTCCCTGTCTCCTCACAAGGGACCTGTGCCAAGTGCCCTCCCCATCGGCCGCAGGCAGCCTGGGCTTCCTCAAAGGCCAATCTTTCCTGGGCAAGCTGGTAGCAATGTCCCTGGTGCTCCCTTGGCACAGCCTCAGGCGTGGTGACAGGCACAGCAGTCCTGCACAGGGCCCAGAGCAGCAGGGCTAAGCCGGGAGCTGCATGTGGCCTTAGCGCCATCTCAGTCTGGCAGGATAAGCAAGATGGTCCCAGCAGGGCTCTGCTTGCTCCTCTGGCTAGAAGCCCACATGAAACACAAGAGAAGGAAGAGGCCAAGCCCTCCCGGTGTCTCTATTTGCCCATGAAAATCAAGGGGGCAGCTGGGCAGCTTCCACAAACACTGGGCAGGGAAATTTGACTCTAGGAGGAAGAGGAGGATGGCAAAGCTTGTGGGCCAAGATTGAGGTGGGGAGGGCACATAGGAATAGCTTCCAATCTTTTTGGAAGTAGGTTCCAGTGAAATTTGACATTATTTTTTGCCATCTTAAACAGAGTGTGAACACCATCACCAGAGAAAGCTTCTCTACTTTATTCTCTCTTTAAAATTTTGTATACCAGCCTTGCCCAAGCCGGTACCCTTTGGACTACAACTCCCCTAGTCCCCAGCTGGCACAACCTTGTGATACTAGAACTGATGGGAGTTGTAGTCCAAAGCATCTTCAGGGCACCAGCTGATGTATGTCAAATGTGACCTTGGAGTCCCGGGCTGTTTTGCATTATTGCACATTGTTTCCCTTTAAAAATATAGTCCAGAGGGTGAAGCAGAGCAGTTACAATTGGAAGATATGGCCTCAGGAGCATCTGTTTCTGTGCTAGAAAAAATCTTTGAAAAATTGGAAGCTTTGGACAAGAAAGTAGATGCGCAATCAGCAAAGATTGATAAAAATACAGATTGTCTAAACAAATTAACTACACAGGTGGGACAGAATACACAAGCAATTGGACAGTTAACGGAGGCCTCAGTAGAAAACCGAAAATTGGCTGAGGATACCAGACAAAAATTGGAAAATTTAGAGCAAGAGGTAAGACCACTCACTAAACAAGTGGGGAACATCAGACTTATCTTTCTATGATAGAACTGCGAAATCGTGAGAATAATTTGAGGATTAGATCATTACAAGAGGCAGAAGAAGGAAATCTAACTGAGTTTTTGACCAAAGAACTTTCCAAGTTCTGGAATTTGGAAGAAAAGGACTTTAAAATTGTGTCAGCTTTCAGACTTGGAAGATTTATAAAGAAGGAGAGGCCCAGGGATTGTTTGATTACATTGAGATCGAAGGAGGAAAGGGATAAGATTTTGGGTCTACATTACGAAAAGTCACTGGAGGTTTTGGATAGAAGAATTGAGATATATAAAGATATTCCAAGACAACTGTTGGATCTCAGAGCCGCCTACTCTGAACTTGCTAAACTATTAAGGAGCAACGCAATTCCATTCAGGTGGGAATTTCCCCAAGGATTATCTTTTACCTTTAGAGCGAGAAAGGTCAAAATTAGAACATTGGAAGAGAGAGATAAATTTCTGGCTACATACGGAGAGGACCTACAAAAAAGGAATTGAACTACCTTCCGGGCCTGGGGCAAAGCCAGCATTAATACCTGCACCTGGGGAACTTGAAGATCCAGAGAAGACACCACCCCGGGAGAAATAACCAGACAGATCCAGGATGTCTCTGCAACTGTTGAGCTGGAATATTAATGGTTGTAACATTCCGGAAAAAAGGAAGAAAATATTTCATATATTAAAAAAAGAACAATTGGACATTATCTGTTTACAAGAAACACATGTGACGAGGCTCCACAGAAAAGTGTTAATAAATAAAAGATTGGGCCAGGAATTTATTTCGTCGGACAAAGTGAAGAAGAGAGGAGTGGTGATATATGCAAAAGAGAGCCTGTCACCTAAATTTCTATTTAAAGATGAACATGGAAGGATTTTGGCTATTGAGATACAATATCAAGGAGAGAAACTGCTGATATTAGGAATCTATGCACCCAATGAAGGGAAATCGGAATTTTACAAGAAGTTGCAGGGGACAATGCTGGATCATCTGGATTACAACAACATCATAATGATGGGAGACATGAACGGGGTCGTATCAACTAACATGGACAAGTCGCAAAGTCAAAATGTCACAAAAGATGGCAGACTACCTACAACCTGTTTTGAAATGACTGACAATATGGACTTGATCGACATTTGGAGAACAAAGAACCCACTAGGTAGAGAAGGAACATTCTTTTCTGAAGCCCAACTGACCTGGACAAGAATCGACCAAATATGGATTTCTAGAGGCCTGGCACCTAGGGTTAGAAAAGTGGAAATCTGCCCAAAGACCTGCTCTGACCACAACGCAGTAAAGATGGATATGACACTACTACCAACTGGATCCTTTAGATGGAAGATGAATGACAATTTGTTTAGAGATCAGGAAATTACCAAGAAGGCCCAAAAAGTTTTGAAAGACTATTTCGAGATAAACATGAATAATTCGGTGGAAAAAGAATCGTCTGGGACGCAAGCAAAGCTGTCATGAGGGGAGTCTTGATACAACAGAATGTAGTAAGGAAAAAAACACAACATGAGACAAAAGACAAGATCTTGGATAAAATAAAAGAATTAGAGAAGAAATTAAGAGTGAATCCAAAGTCACAGCCAACTCTGAGAGAAATTAAACTGTATCAAACACAATATTCTAAATTGATAAATCAGGAAATTGAATGGAAGATTAAATTAATGAAACAAAAACGTTTGAGTCGGCGAATAAATGTGGAAAACTGCTATCTTGGCAGTTGAAGAGAAGACAAAGATTAAATACGGTTACAAATTTAGAGGTCGATGGAAGAAACATTCAGAATCCAGTGGACATTAGAAAGTGTTTCCAGAGATATTTTAAAAACTATATACCCAAGGGCCGCAAGACGAAGTCGAGATTAAACAATTTTTGGCAAAAATGGATTATCTAAACTGTCACAAGAAAATAGGACAACCCTGAACTCTAAAATAACACGACAGGAGATTGAACAAGCTATTCAGAACATGCAACTTGGCAAATCTCCAGGGCCAGACGGGCTGACCTCCAAGTATTATAAGACACTAAAAGACTATTTGATACAACCCTTGATGGAGGTTAGCAATGAAATTATGGAGGGGAAGAGGGCACCGGATTCGTGGAAGGAAGCGTTTATCACATTGATACCAAAGTCAGAAGCTGAAAAGACACAACTGAAGAACTACCGTCCCATCTCCCTTTTAAATGTGGATTACAAAATATTTGCAGATATTTTGGCAAGTAGATTTAAAAAGTTTTAAATGAAGTAATTCATAAGGACCAGGCCGGTTTTCTCCCAGGTAGACATCTGTTTGCTAACACAAGGAACATTATTGATATCTTGGAACTTCTCCAAACTGACATAAATACAAAAGCAGTTTTAATTTTTATAGATGCGGAGAAGGCCTTTGATAATATTTCTTGGAAATTTATGATGGGAAACTTAAAAGAGATGGGAGTGGGACGGGGTTTTGAGAATGGGATTGAGGCGATATATTCAGAACAGAAAGCTAAACTGATAGTTAATAATGTGGTTACAGAAGAGTTCAAAATTGAAAAAGGGACACGACAAGGTTGCCCTATCTCCCCTTTGTTATTTATTTCGGTTCTGGAAGTGCTATTGAACATGATTAGAGGGGACCAGTTGGTGGAAGGAATTCAGGTTGGTCAGAAACAATATAAACTAAAAGCTTTTGCAGATGACCTGGTTTTGACCTTGCAGAAGCCAGAGCCTAGTACGAAAAGAGTATTACAATTGATTAATGACTTTGGTCGGGTGGCGGGATTTAAATTAAATAAACAGAAAACCAAGGTTTTGGGAAAAAATTTGACTGAGACAGAGTCAGAACGGTTTCAGAATGAGACGGAACTTAATGTGGTTAAAAAGTAAAATACCTAGGGGTAAACATAACAGCAAAAAATCTAAGTCTATTTAAGGATAACTATGAAAAATGTTGGACAGAAATTAAGAGAGACTTAGACAGTTGGTCAAAATTGAAACTTTCTTTGTTAGGCCGAATTGCTGCGATTAAGATGAATGTATTGCCAAGAATGTTGTTTTTATTTCAAACACTTCAGGTTTTGGACAAAATGGAGTGCTTTCAGAAGTGGCAGAGAGACATTTCGAAGTTTGTCTGGCAGGGCAAAAAGCCCAGAATTAAGTTTAAGATACTAACTGATGCAAACCAAAGAGGGGCTTTGCCCTGCCGGACTTAAAGTTGTATTACGAAGCCGCAGCGTTCTGCTGGCTAAAAGATTGGCTACTTCTTGAAGACACTGATGTGTTAGATTTGGAAGGGTTTAACAATGTTTTTGGATGGCATGCATATTTATGGTATGACAAAGTTAAAGCAAATAAGGCCTTTAAGAACCATATTGTTAGAAAATCACTGTTTAATGTCTGGACAAAATATAAAGACTTGCTGGAAAATAAAACACCAAGGTGGCTTTCACCTTTGGAAGCTAAGGCCCGAAAAAGACCCAATATGGAGGCCAAATGGCCAAAATATTGGGAAATACTAGAAAAGATGGAGACAATTGGAAATTGCAGAGTTTGGAGAAAATGAAAGACAAAGTGCGAGATTGGTTACATTATGCTCAGATTAAAGAAGTTTTTAAAAATGATAAGAAACTAGGGTTCCAGGTGGAGAAATCGAAATTAGAAACAGAATTGTTAGAACCAAAGATTAAGATACTTTCAAGGATGTATAACTTGCTGTTGGAATGGAATACACAAGATGAAATGGTTAAATCGGCTATGATAAGGTGGGCACAGGATATTGGGCATAATATTATGTTTGAGGACTGGGAAAGGCTGTGGAGTAATGGATTGAAATTTACTGCATGTAATGCTTTGAAAGAAAATGTAATGAAAATGATTTATAGATGGTATATGACCCCAGTCAAACTCGCAAAAATTTACCACCTGTCTGATAACAAGTGCTGGAAATGTAAAGAGTGTGAAGGAACGTTCTTTCACCTCTGGTGGACCTGCCCTAAAGTGAAGGCGTTCTGGGAAATGATTTATAATGAATTGAAAAAGGTATTTAAATATACTTTCACTAAGAAACCAGAGGCTTTCCTTTTGGGTATTGTCAGCCAAGGGGTGGCAAAGAAGGACCAAACATTTTTTATGTATGCAACAACAGCAGCAAGGATACTACTCGCAAAACATTGGAAAACTCAAGATCTACCCACACTGGAAGAATGGCAGATGCAACTGATAGACTATATGCAACTGGCTGAAATGACTGGCAGAATCCGTGACCTGGGAGAAGAGAGAATCGAGGAGGATTGGAAGAAATTTAAGAACTACCTACAAAAACATTGTGATTTGACTGAATGCTGAATAAGATGCTAGACTAAATAACTGAGCACCACTTAACTTAGAAGTTTTTAAGAAAATAAGAAAAACTGTGAAAGTTTAACTCTTTATGAGAACTATAAGATCATGAAATATCGAAGAGATATAAGAATTTAAATAAGATGATAAATTGCTGACAAAATGTTATAATGATGAAGGTGGGAGCGGGAGATGTGAGGAAGTCCAAAGAAAATGTGAAATTATGTTAAGACGAATGTTATACTGTTTATTACATTTATTCCTATTGTAAAATCCAATAAATTGCTTTAAAAAAAATAAAATAAAAATATAGTCCAAACACACAGCAGCCTTTCTGGGGAGAAACTCCTGCTTTCAGCCTCATATATTGAATGTGCTTCTTTGGTCACAGTGGTTAGATAGCAACAGTTCTGCTGTAGAAATCTGAGTGAAATTCAAGATCTCCACCAGCACACACAACATTATCTTTTGAATGTTTTTAATTCCTGTTTTTAACAGTCTCCTATTGTTTGACTTTTGGGGACGCGGGTGGCACTGTGGGTAAAACCTCAGTGCCTAGGACTTGCCGATCGTATGGTCGGCAGTTCAAATCCCCGCGGCGAGGTGAGCTCCCGTCTTTCGGTCCCAGCTCCTGCCCACCTAGCAGTTTGAAAGCACCCCTAAGTGCAAGTAGATAAACAGGTACCGCTTTATAGCGGGAAGGTAAATGGCGTTTCCGTGTGCTGCGCTGGTGCTGGCTCGCCAGAGCAGCTTCGTCACGCTGGCCACGTGACCCAGAAGTGTCTTCGGACAGCACTGGCTCCCGGCCTCTTAAGTGAGATGAGCGCACAATGCTAGAGTCGGACACGACTGGCCCGGACGGGCAGGGGTACCTTTACCTTTATTGCTTGACTTTAATTTTAATTACCGTAACCACTTAGATATTTTATTAAAATCAAGTGGCATGTGGGTTTTGTTAAATAATTAAAGTTACCCTCAAAAGTATATTTTCCTATTGATTAGTATAAAATGATGTCTTCCAAAATGTTATGAGGTCGATCTGATACAAATTGCTCCTGCTTCTCTCACTGTGCTGCCATGTTCTCCTCCTCCTCCTCACTCCCAGGTTTATTGCTCTCGCATTGGCTCTCCAGTCTCACATTTGCAGGAAGGGAAGGCTAGGAATGCATCTGGCTGGGGAAGTGTGGTTTGCAAAACAACAGAACCGGTGACAACAACAGGCTGGAGCTGGAGGCAGGTAAATTTTTTTGACTGTGCTCACCTTGCTTTTAGTAAACAAGGTTTTCATTCCCCCCCCCTCCTTTCAAAAACCTGGCAAACCTGGTCAACCACAGACAAGAGTAGAAGGAAAGAATTGAGTACAAACACCATTAATGGTTCAAGATGGGAAGGGTGTAAATAATAAAATAATAATAATAATAATAATAATAATAATAATAATTAATTAATTACCTGTCTCCAGAATGAGACCACTTCCAGGCTGTTACTGTTTTGTGCGTGGGATTCAATACATTCCTGGCAAATTCAGGTGGTGCAGTTCAAGTGGATTGGGCCCTTTTACACAAGAAAGCTGCTTCCAAATAAAAAGGGATTTTGCAGTAAGGAAAGCACTGGGGCAATGCCTTGGAGAGTGTGATATATAAAAAAAATGCTTGATAAGGTATCATACAACCGCCCACAAACAAATCAGGAAGAATGTTCAATAAACAGGTTGTCTACCGAAATCAACCTGTTGCTGTTCCTTTCTCTTAATTAGTTATTCTCCATCCCCCCTGAGTTCTGGAAAACTGAGGCCCATTGTGAACTGGGCAATTTGTTTTAATTTTTGAGATACGAGTTTTCCGATATACCACACTTGCACCAAACAGTGGGATTTTTAAAAAGTGAGTGTGTTGCCTCAGGCCCATGGAGGCAGTTTGCCAATGAAAGTACAGGACTTAGTAACAGAGGGCATTAATAGAGGGCATCCAGAAAAAACATCACCAGGTTTTCTTTTTATAATAAAAATACTCGTCCACACAATGTTGGCCTTTTTTCCCCTTACGAAATTTTCTTTATATCCTTTGCTGCGTTATCTGTATATTGGGGAAATCCAGATTAAAGCAGCTGTGGGTAGGATTCAGGCTGCCATTTGGATGAGGACAATGTGTGGATGCACTGAATCCACTTTAAGCTGCTGTGTGTACATATCCCACGAGAGGGTGCTGAAGAGCAGGACTAGGAACCGGGTGATGATTCCTCTCTTGGCAATCCAGCAAAGGCTTGCGGATTAACCCATTTAGCCCTGGCTCTGGCCAACAGATGAATGGCATCATGGTTGGTTTCCCCCCACTTGAATCTAGTCTGGTCGTGGGGTATGAAGGGAGTAATGGCCAGAGACCTGCTTGGGCAGAGTGTATTGCTACAAAACAGGCATTATTATTATTATTTGACTGATGTTTTAATGTATTTTAAATATTTTGTTGGAAGCCACCCAGAATGGCTGGGGAAACCCATCCAGATGGGCGGGATATAAATAAATAAATAAATAATAATAATAATAATAATAATTATTATTATTATTATTATTATTATTATTATTATTGGCACACACTTCCTATAACATTCAGGGCTTAGCTCAGGGATGGGGAAATGTTCTGCTCTTCACTAAAATAATCCCAGAGCAGGGTGTAGCAAAATACTGACTCGAAATTACATGAAGTCAATAAGAAGATTAAAACATCAAAAACCATACAAGTCACATCATGGATCCAGCGGGTAGGGATGCCCACCTTCTTCATCATGAGAACATGATGCTGGACTATTCACATGCTGGAGGTTGCTGTTAGGCTCTAGTTTGGCACAACTAACAGATCTTTCAAAAAGTCTTTGGGGAAAGTTGTCACATTGTTATGCTTCCAAAAGGCTGTAATGAAAGTGGAACAGCCATTTAAACATGGTGAAACACCTCACGTGTAGGACTCTTTCACCTTGGGCACCAGAACGGGTTTGTTAAACTGGTTTTATTACATGAATCATGAACACTATCCTTGGCCAGGGCGGATACCCGCAGGGAACAGAGCACATGGGTGGAACACCAATAAATTACCTGTTCTGCATTTAAAATAAACACCTGCTGTCACCCGCTTAAAGAGATCCTAACTGTGCTCTTACTACACAAGCAAAATATCCGTTTAAAATTCAATGTGAGCTTTGCATTTCCATAGCCTTGCGGAGTTCCAGAAATAGCTTGCTTGCAGCATTGTCATATCTAGTCCTGTTGGAAAAGTGTGTTATTTTTTTAAAATTAAATGTGCAATTGCAAATCATGAAAGCTTCAAATGCTGTAGTTGGGAATTACTTTTTAATTAATGTTTGAAAGGTTGTTGTATTTCCCTTTCTGGGGGCTGCATGTTCTGTTTGCAGATAACAAAGATAGCAGAGGTGTTGCCTTCCTTCCTCTATGCTATAAAATCTTTGGGATACAGGTGGCACTGGGGAAGGGTGGGGTACCGAGAGGGCTAAATGCCCACCAATGGAATTGCTTGCCCACCATGTGTAAGTTAGAAAGACAGTGAAAAAGGCTTGTTTTTACTCCAGAAGATGGTCATCTGCCAGACCAAGCTCACCCTCTGAGAGCTCCACTTGCCTCTTTTTTTGCCCACCCTGCTGCCTGAGGCAGCTGCCTCACTCTGCCCCAATTGCACCACCTTATTCTCATCACTTATAAATTTATCTGTGTCAAGATGAGCTCTTGTACTACGGAATTTACCATTATACCACTATCTATTAAGCTAAAGGAGGCACATTTTCACCAGTTCACGTTATGCAGAAAAAGAGTTGGAGAGAGCAGCTGTAGCTATTGGCAGCAAATAAGGTGCTGGATCCAGACAGCCGTAAGAGCAGGTCCATTGAACTCAATGGGACATACTGGATCCAACAACTTTGACAAGATGTCGGCTGTTGCTTGTCATAACTTCTGCAGTAGGAATGGAGCGAAAAGAAAACTTCCCTTCTTTTTAAACAATGTGTCTCATTCTAAGTGTTATTTATTTGTGTGTCAATCACGCTCCTCTCCCCACTGTTTCATAATTCTCCATTTGGCAGGCTCTGGTATAAGTACTGTATGTGTTTTTCCTCATTCTTCTTCCAGTGAGCTATGGAATGGGGAGTTTCAGCTGAGGCCCAAGAGAGATCTGTGGAATTCCCTCCCCCTTCATATTCTTTGACAGCCACTGAGGGAAAGGGGTAGGAGGAAGACAATAGTGGTGGGGTCCATCTTGGGTCTTATCAGGCTAGTCAGAAACGAGTAAGTCACACACATCCCAAGCCTTTATTTCCCAGGACTCCCAACTAGGAGTTGTGTAGAAACTCTGTTCTCATAAAGGCAGTGGCATTCTCAGAAAAACAAAAAAAACCCAGTTTCTATCTTTTTTTTCTTTTCTTTTTAATAGTAACTGAAGAATTATGTGGGATTGTGTAGCACTGGCCCAACAGCACAGCCCATTCAAGGGGTGGCATTGCTTACCCTAGGACAGCCTTTGCCAACCTGTCGCTCTCCAGATGTTTCAGACTTCAGCTCCCATGAACCCCAGGCAGTATGGCCATATGATGCTGGGGCTTATGAGAGCCATGTCCACAACATCTGGTGGCATCTGGTGGTGAAGCCTGCTTGAGGCTAATGGGGTGGCCAGCTGCCAATGCCTGAGTGTACTTGCTTGAGACAGACATGGGATGGTGCTTTCTGTCAGCTCTGATCTGAGAGCTTCCCAGAGCCACTTGGTGAAACAATTCTGGATGAGGTGGCCCATCACAATACAGTAAAGCAATTGTTATGTATTCATGGGAGACAGTTTTGAACTCATACACTAAACTACTTAGGAGCAGGAACATGTCACCTGTGGTTCAGGAAATTAGGATCCAGTGGCCCATTCCCATGGATGTTTTCCTCAAAGTCAATATAACTGTGTTCAGTGAGGTTTGCTTCCACTTAATTCTGCAGAGGATTGCTGCGGACGTGATATAAATAAGGACAATCATGTAAAACATAACTTTTTTCAGTCCATAAACTTCTTGCACCACCAGGACTGTTTTGCCTCCAATCTCCAAAAAGAAAAATATAAAAAATATTAATTCGTTTATCTGAAAACTTTGTTTCCACCATCTGATCAGGTGCCTTTGGTGACAATAAACACACATGAATATGACGTTCTTTCCCTCAAAGAAGTGGCACGCACACACAATCCGGTTGCTAATTGTGTTATTCTCTATCCAGCATGGTCAGCAGTGAGATAACTGTCAGCATCCTACTACCTCCTGGCACCTCTAAAAAGAAAGCAGGGAAGGTGGGGGAAGAGTCACCAGGTTGATGTCCACTCACTTTCCTTCTGCCATGGTGTCATCATCATTCCCAGCCAAGAAAGTCTCTGGTTTTGCTGTGCCAAAAATGGGCCAGGAAGAAACAAATTACAGTCATGTTTTTACTTGTTGTCTTGGCTACATGATTTATGAGCCTCAGTGCAGCGATTAGAGATGAAAGAAAACATTCCAGGCCCAGGACCCACACATTGCTGAGGTCTTGTGTGCCTGGCCTTCTGCAGGAGTTACTGTAAAAGCAGGGGGGAGGGAGGGGGTCATAGGAAGTGACCCCACCCTCCCAAAAGGAAAATTACAAGGGGCACACTGGTGAGCACATATACTGGGTGCCAAGTGCCTCGTGGCTGCTGCTGTATGAAACTATCCCTGCCTGGAGAGAATCAAGAGCATTTTCTAGGCCCTACTGTGGGTAACAGCTAGGGAATTATTGGCATCAATAAAGGCTACATGGGAGAGTAAGCTACATGCGTACATAGAGACATAATTTTATTTGTATGCTGCCTTTCCACAGCTCTAGGCGGTTTACAACATGAATATGTAATTACAACATAACAAAAGTCATGAACAATAAACAATACATTAAAAAAATACACAGAACAGAACCAAACAGAACAATGTCCACATAAATCACAACAAGATCTAAAATAAAGATACGAAACAGCAAGAGCAAGCCGCCCCACCCCCCAATACCTCAGCCCAATAATATTTTGTGAAGCCTCAGCTTTTGTAGCTAGAGTCAGTCAGGGGCCCACCCTCCCAGGCCAGGTGGGAAAAAAGTCTGCAAGGGAGGGATCAGGACATCCAGGACTCACAGCCAAGATGGAGGAGTTTGCATGTGGAGGAACGAGAAAGTGGGCTTAAAGGTCTAGCCAGAGAAGATTCTTCTGTATGACGAAGTTGACAATGGTCATGATCCTCAGCCCAAATGCCAAATTCCATCTATCCTTCTCTGTCATAAGACCACATGCTTAACTGTGAACAAGAGGGAAGGGCAGGAACATAGTTAAGGTTGCTGCAGAAAGTGGTTGGTTTAATGGCTGTGGTTTAACAAGCAGAGGGAAATGCTGACAAAGGTCAGCAGCATTAACATCAGAAAGAAAAATAGTCTGCCATCTCTTCTCCTTACCTGGCTCAGTCAACCACTTCTCCCTTATGTCCTCTTCTCCATGACAGAAATTTGTTGCCTTTGAAGGGCCCTGAGCACATGTATAGGGTTTTGCTGATGGAATGATTTCTAGCAGGATCATGCCCCAGAACCACTCTTATTAGTAATAAGCCACTATTTATTTGGTATGTCAGAGGAAGTTTCTGCTTTCTGCCAGAGTATTCCACAGGAACAAGGACAGTAACTGGCTTGAGGAAAGGTTTGATCTACTCCATAAGACATCAAAACACAGATGATAAAAGTGTAACTCTCGAAGGCGGTAAAAGGAATTAAGCAAGAGCATTAGCAGATCTATGTAGAGGAAAAGACAAAATAGCAAATAAGGTAGACCTCGCTGTAACCTCGCTGGTGTAATTATTTAGGCATAATTCTCTGTTCTAGCCTTCCACAAATTGGTGTCCTCCAGATGTTTTGTACTATAGCTCCCACCCCCAGCTAGTACAGACGTAAGTTGTGCTTCAAAACATCTGTAGGGTGCCTGGTTGGGGGAAATTGTTCTGTTGCATCCTACTTAGGGGCTTATTGATTTCATGTCTGGTTTTTACAGCTGCTGCTATCATCTGTTCTATAAGTACAATTGGATTTTTGGTTACCACTGACATGAGCCAAGTTGGTAACCTCCATGTTTTCTATGGCCAAGTCGCTGTCCATTTCAACTGGATAATTATTGTGGGAGTTGTTTGCAATCAAAGCTAACAATGCATACCTATGCTAGTTAGTAAATGAAGGGGTTAAAGACCACAGAGCTGTAAATTACTAGAGAAGGGATAGATAGGTCACACCCCCTCACATTTGGGAATAAGTATTGTCTGTTTCTTGTTCCTCTCCTTCTGTTGAACCATTTAAGCTGAGCAGATGTTTGAGACTTGGACTCCAGACTTAGGCCGCATGTTTGAGATTAGTGTTTGCCTTTTGTAATCAATAATATACTGCCTGTGTTGTTTCTGCTGTTGTATTGAACAATGCATGAGTGAGACATGTGTTTACTGTAAGTAAAGCATTTAAACTTACTAAAGTTTGTGGTCTATTCACTCTGAGAAAGCTAGAGGGAGAAGATAACTGTAAGCACTTAACACTTGGACATTTAAAGGTCTAATAAGCTATATTTCTCACACTTTGCAAATGCTGCATAGATCTGAGTTTTAAACTCTTCTGGGGGCTGTTTTGGCTACAGAGTGCGTAAAGTCCCATGTTTGTTTTTATTCTAAGCAGTCAGACATTTTTTCTTTGTAGTTCCCCACACAAATAGGACTTCAGGAATAACTAGCATTCCCCAGTTATTTCCCAACAATTATGATCTCGATGGGCTTGTTCATTTGACAGCTCTGGTCTCCCATTCCTATGGGTAGTTTTCAAGATCCAAGTCCAATCTGCGGTAAGGCACAAGACTGAGTAGGACAACCATAAATTATATTTCACTCTGCTTGAATTTGCGAAAGGAATGTGGAACTGGTAAGGCATTTTGACTGGCTGGCCCTTGGTGGGACTGAAACTCCCATGATCTCAAAGCAGCACCTACTGTTATGTAGCCATCAGAGTAGGTATCAACACTGCAGATATTAAGTACAGGGTGTGTGGAAGGCTTTCAGCAGAGGAGGAGTAATATTCATGAAGATCTAAGAGCTAATTTTCAGATATGTTTTGAAATAGGATTGGTGCCTTTGAGATGTAGCACTCATACCTGGGCCCATGTGAACGTTTATAACTATAGTAATTCAACACAGAATTGGTGAGTTGGGTAGAAATATTGTTGCTCCCCCAAAGAATCTCATAAAATGGTTTGAAAGACAAGGGGGCAAATTCATCCCCTGCTCACTCCCCCCACCCCTTGGAGGGCTTTCCAGAAGCCCCAGATAACAACACTCAGGTCATCTTTCAACAAATAAGCGAACTGCTGTATGAAGGGAATAGAACTACCCTACCTACATTTTTGTTTTTATGACTGCAGATAAGCTGGAGCCACCGTGCAGATATGGAAGCATCGTGACTGTGCGTCTCTGGCCTGTTGTTATCTCAGCCCATTCCAACCCTCTGCAACTTGATGGTAAATAAATGAAGAGGCTGTTGGGCTGCCCTCCAGCTCATGTGGTTTAACTTGCTTAACTGGAAAATAAAGAGAAATGCACATTTCCTGTGAAAATGATGGCTTTCCACACTCCCCTCAACCTGAAAATATTTCCTGTGACTGAATAAACAGAAGACAGGAAGGCAAGGCTATCATAGGGGGATAATCAGGCAAAAAGAGAAACACACACCCCATAATTCATACAACTTTTGTATCTGAATGTGGTGGGGCCCCTTTCCCACCCATCTCCCTTGTCAATAAGAGCAGGCGAAGAACTAGAGATCACGTCTCAAATACTCAGCATATTGGCAAAGTCGTGTAATGTTACTCTGAAAGCTGATGCATGTACTTGGATCAATCACGTTCTTGCCCTCATATGCCAAGGTCCATTTGTGCAGTGATGTGAATCATTGCTCAATTCAGCTGAACCAATTGCCAAAGCCCAGAAAGCTTTTGAAATGTAGCTGCACTTTGTTGGTGAGGTTCAAATGAATGTGTGTCCTCAGTTCAAACATTTCACTGCTCAGAGACCCATGTATACATGGGGAAACAGTGACATGCACAACTCCTTGGCTTGTATCTGCTTTAAAAGTTTGTCAGGCTGCTCAGGATACAGGTTCAAGCATTTATATCTGCCCCACACCTTCAATTTTTATTTTTTTAAAAACTCAAAATAGATTAAACTGGGACATGCAGCAACTGTTTCAGTCCTGGGTTCTAGTTTCTCTATTTAATTCACCTTCCTCAACCTCCGTCTTCCTGTTCCAACCCCCACCAACTTGCAATCCATCTCAGTTCTGATAGGGCTGTTTCTGGGGTTCACCCCACGTTCCCAGCTTTTTGTTTCTCCCAGCTGATCAGTTCCTGTTGTGCTGGTGCTACTGTTTTGACAGCCTGAAGAAACCAGCATCACAGCCTGAAGACTGGAAACAGAGGGTACGGTTGTGGTGTTGTATGAGGATAAATGTACAGAAGAATCATTAACAGTGTAAAAATATTTGGCAAGTGAGTCACATTTATTTCAATCAGTATTGATCCTAAGAAAGCATGTCTAGGTTTGTAACTGAGCTTAAAGAAAATCCAATTAAATTAGCAAGATATATTGTAAATATAAGTAATTTTGTAAACTGCTTAGAGATTTTCTTTCAATCAATTGGTATATGAATTTTGTTACATAAATAAAATAAATAAATGTATTTAGGGCTGACAGTCATTTTCGCACCATATATTGAAAGTACCCTCACAGCACTTTAACTGTTATGGCTCCCACCAAAGAATCCTGGAAACCAGTTTGTTAAGTGTTCTGGGAATTGTGGCTTTGTGAGGGGTGTCTTAAAAACAACAAGAAATTATTTTGAAACAGGTTTGTTCTAATGTGTTTGTGACATGATTGTTGATTAGTGTTTTCTAAGTTATGTTTGAAGGTCTGTTATGTGTCCCAATGTAGTGGAGGTGGCATCTACATAGAACACTTACATTCAGTTGCATAGCCTTTGGTAACCTGGTACCTTCTAGGTGTTTTGGATGACATCTTTGGCTGTGATGGGAGCTGTAGTCCAAAACAACTGGAGGGCACCTGGTTGATGAAATCGGCAATAGCAAATGTTGCACTCTTCAAGCTCTTTAGAATTATTTCAGCCTGAGGGTTCTTCTGAAAACTCTTACGTGGACTCCTGGTGCTCCCTTCAAATCCCAGGTAAGGCAGAGGTGAAAGATGTACAGTCATACTTCGGGTTGAATGTGCTTTGGGTTGAGCGCGTTCGAGTTACACTCCGCGACAACCCAGAAGTAACGGAGCACGTTACTTCCGGGTTTTGACGCTTGCACATGCGCAGACGCTCAAAATTCTGCCATGTGCATGCGCGGAAGCGGCAAAACACGACCCACGCACGTGCAGACACGCCGTCGCTTGTTACGTTTGCTTCAGGATGCGGATGGGGCTCTGGAACGGATCTCGTTCGCATCCTGAGGTACCACTGTAACTCATTTTCTCATTCCTAGGTAATATTGACAATCCCCTTCCTGGATCCAGAAAACCTCCCTGCCAGCAGAGTCCTTACACATACCCATTGTCATAAGGTAGGCATCCTCCTACCTATTTGACACCTGTTGAAAGCCTTTTTGTTTTGGTAAGCCTATCTAGACATATATAGTTACCTTTATATGTTTTAAGTTTTATTATTTTCAATCTGTGTTAAAATGGTTATGCTTTTATGATTTTTTAAATTGTTTTGAGTCTATATTAGTGTATCAGCTTCTCAGACTTGTGTATGTGTATATAATTTATATTGAAGAGTGGGAAGATATCATACGTACACCCCAAACAATCAATCCATCATTTCCATACAGGTAAGAAACCAATTAATATGCTATCTGCCTTGTCTACGCTGACGCCATTCCTCTCAAAAGTCCCGTATGAAGCACATTCTAGTCGTACGTATTTACGAAGAGAAAAACATGCCTTCTTTCCCACACCCGTCGGCCGCCTCATGAAAGTAGACTATTTCATTGGCTGACAAAGTCAACGGCGCGTCGTTCCGATTGGCCTCTGAGCACTATGCCCTCCTCCACCTCATCCAACCCCCGCCTCTCCACCTGGCTGGTGAGTGGGAGGGGCCTAAGGTACGGCGGCCGCGGAAGCCCAAGAATCCCCTTCGGTCGAGCCGGGCGAGTCTGAATGGGGTCGATGAAGGAGCACGGTAGCGGCGGGGACGCGCCGGAGTCGCGCGAAAGGAGGCCCGTCTTCACCCTGGACGAAGTGGCGAAGCGAAACACCGACAAGGAGACCTGGCTGGTCATCAGCGGGCGCGTCTATGACGTAACCCGCTTCCTCAGCGAGGTGGCTATGCTACTTTATGCAAATGAGGCCCCCCCACCCTCAGGAGGGGACTGTTTTCCGCGATACGGGAGCGGGGGCTTGTGGGTGGATCCATTCCCGCCCAGGGACTTCCTGGGAGCAAGGAGGGAGATGCGGGGCCTTGCTGAGGTCATGAAGGCCCCAACCAGGCCTGGAGGGGCCGAAAGGGGAGACCCCAGCTGGCCTCTGCCGGACGGGGTGAGGGGGCTGGAAAAGGCTGGCCTGCAGGCTAAACATGGCGGGGTGGTGATGGTTGGGATGGCTAGGCCCCCGACGGAGCCTCTTCCAGCCTCCTGGACTTTCAACTGCAAGCGGCCTGTAAATTGGGAAAGGCAGAACACAACGTCATAAAGTCCAGGCTAACTTCTTCCAGCTCCTGACAGACACAAGGCGTTGCTTTGCCATAGCGTCCCCTGTCTTCCTTCTAAGACTCTGGGCAGGTTCACCCCCTCCCCACAACTTCAGTGGGCTGAGTTTCCTCAGTTATCCTTTGAAAATGTTAAAAATGTATACATAAAAAGTAGCAACACACAGAGAGTAAATCTAATCAGTCAGAGTCAGTTGGAGGACCACATGGGAATGGGGGTAAAACAAATGTTTTGCATGTAGTAGGCATACAGATTCAGTCCGCAGCATCTCCAGTTTAAAGGGTGGTACACTCTTGCCTGAGATGTTGGATGGCCAGTGTGAGGGGGAAAGGGCTGGGAAAAGCCTTGGAGACCCACGGCATGTCACTTTAGATAAAGGGGAGGGCAGGAAATTATCTGAGGCCCTATAAGTATTTTCAGGCTCCCAACTCCCATCAACCCTAATGACCTAATTATCCCAGTGGCCTGGGATGATAGGAACTCATTGATTTACTTCTTTATTGCATTTATATCTCCCTTTTTTCTCCATGGAGCTCAAGGTGGCTTACATGGTTCTCCTGCTCATTTAATCCCCACAACACCCCTGTGAGGTAGGTTAGGCTGAGTGAATGGCCCAATGTCACCCAGGGAGCTTCATAGCCAAGTGCAAATTTGAACCCTAGTTTCCCATGACCTAGTTCAACACACCAACAACTATTTCACACTGGCAGTCCAAAAATATCTAGAAGGCTGCAAGTTTCCCCTCCCCTTGAGGCAGACAGTACTAGGCTGGTGGACCCAGTGGGTTGACCACTTGGCAGCTTTGTAGGCACACACAACTGCTTATTGACTCCTCTAAATGAGGACAGGATAGGAGTAAATGCTTGTTAAGGGTTTGCATAATTCAGCTAACCCTCTGTGTGAACATATCTTATGTTGCAGCCTCTATTAAGAATTTAGGATCTCACAGGGTTGATGTGAACATTTATATGAAAAGGATTTTCAACTATTTGGAACACTAAAATGCTTATAGAAATAATTATTAACTGCTAGCAGCCTTGTACCTGGAATTGCTCAGGAATTCTAAGAAATCAAAACATCAGTGCAGTTTTGAAAGGTCCAGTTCAGTGTGCCATCTTGATTTCTAATGGCTTCCCATTGTACCCAAACAAAGATAAAAGACGCATCCTTGATCTCAGGAACCATTTTGCAAAATTTGGTTACAGTGTCTTAAGAGGTGTCCAAATGCATAGCAACCAGACAAACCATTTTCCAAAATACCTAATAGATGCCAGTATTTTAAAAAGCAAGGTAAGTTTTGCAGGAAGTGGCCACTGTATTGGAAATATCCATATTTCAGTGCCTGGTATCTAACATATAATATTGTCTTAAGTCTGATTAATTCCTCAACTGCTTATGAGCTAATTCCCAATTCTGGCTACTCAGTGACTTTGAAGTTGCTGTTTACTTCCCAGAAGTACTGATTAAGAGGGTTGGGGGTGGAATTGTGTGTGCACACAGACACACATGATCACTTTCCTCTTTCCCCTTCCCAGCAGTCCACAGTGTCTTAAGACAAGACAAGACAAGACAAGAAGTCTTAAGCTTCTGGTAAATGCACATCCACACCATAATCTGAATCAGATCTAGATTGCAATACCATCTGCAAAAAGAGTAGTCTGGAGACTGAGGACTGTGGGTGGTCTAAATTACTGTTTATTTCACTTAAGTTTCTAGACCTCTTTTTATTGCCTATCCAGAGCAGTTAACAATCACTACATAAAAGCAACATAAAACTATACTAAAGTAATTAGTGCTTCGTTTTTAAAAAATCGATAGCTAATCACAGAGATAAAAGGAAATTTCATGAAAACATCGTAAATTTGCAAAAGAGCCTCATAGGTTTGTCCTAATATAAATAGCCTTTACGCCAATTACTAGCTACTTACATGCTTTGGCCTCTTTGATAATGTAGTCTAATGGATTGAGGCCACCACTGAGAAGACCCCACTGTGTGTTTACACTTGTGTGCCTGTGTGTGAGTTTAACCAAGGCCTCTTCTACTGTTTTGAAAGGATGGATGAGCTCACAAGGAAAGAGAAGTGCTTTCTGTGGGTCTTATATTGAAGCTGTAGATAGTACCTTTCAGACTCCTAGTTAGTTCAGTAGTTCCCAAACATCTTCCCCCATGAACTGCTTGAAAATTGCTGTAGTCTTGGAGGACCACTTATTGCTCTTTCTGCCTATTTTAGCAATTGTACTGCAATGTTCTTCAACCTGAAACTCTTTGTGCTTTCTTGCTGCATGATACATGAGTGAGATTGTGGTTCAGCCTGAAGTGCTACCACAGGCTTGTTGCGTAAAGCAGAGGAGGCCTCTTTGCAAAGAGATAATTGTGTTCTGCTCCTGGGGCTCCAGCAGCTTGTCGGTCAACGGGCCAGATGCTGATTTAGTCCTTGAAGCCTGCCAATTGCAGCAGGGATTACATAAATCCAATTCTGTTTAGTAATGTTGCAGCAAAGATTACATATTAAAGAATGAGACATTAGATAGACTTTCATGTATAGAAGCACATTGGAATGAGGGAGACCTGGAACTCCAAAAAGCTAGGAATTGAATTCCTGGGTAGCTCAGGAGCTGCCTGTGAACACCAGCTGGGTACCCATAATGTATTTCAAGGGAGGATGCACAGGAATGCTTGCTTCTGGGCCCCTTCTCTTGTGTGCCAAATTCTGGGCCCTCACTATGTCTCCTGCTCTAAATGCAAGTTGCTATGAGACTTTGGAAGATTTAAAATCAAACGTCTGAATAGCATTAGCTCCGGCAAAGAGCTTTGGGTTCCTATACTTGTCTAGGCTGGGGGCATCTTTGCTGGGTACTTTCCAACTTGGTTTGGCATTCTGTTCTCTACTGTCTGCTTGATCACTTGGAGAAAAATTTTCTGGCTGTAAATGGCCTTTTGGCTGTGGATGAATTCAGCTTCTCAAACTGACTGTATATCAGATCATCTGTCTTACTGATCCAGCTTTTCTAAGTGACATGGAACGCCAAAACTGTTCTTTAAGGAGAAACTTAAAACCAGAAGATACCAAGAACTCAAGGCAGCATGACACACACTAGCCTAATTCAAAAGCTACCTTTGTATTTGTCTTCTCTCTCCTTCTCTCTGGTAGTATGGAAACCAGATTCAATGCCTGAGAGATTAGTTAGGGCTGAATACTATTCATTCTCAAATAAGCTTTGCTTAACTTCTTTCCATGCCCATCCTTAACTTTGCAGTTCATAAAGACAAAGGAAAGAAGTCAATTGCTGGTGGCTTAAATCAAGCCCTTTTCGCTTGTTGTCCATTTCTAAGGCCTTCAGTGTCCACACCTCTTTTGTCATTCTGGGGAGAAATGTGAGCTGCGAAAGGGGGAAGCTGATGACGTCAATCAGAGATTACTCTCATCACCTCTGCCCCCTGCCTCGCCCTTGGAGGCTTCTTCTTTTTCTTTTTTTTACCCTGGGAGCAAAATCCACCCCAGGGATCCTTCCAGCACATTGAAGGTGTGCCTGGGCATGTTTTGACTGCATTGTACTCTCTGACCTGAGATGCTGTATGTGGCTCCTGCTCTGCCAAAAGTCAGTGGCATCTACAACCCAAGGGAGAGGTGGCAGGAGTCCAAACTATTGGAAGTAAAACGCAGATAGTGTAGGAAGCTTCTCCTTTTAGCACATCGGGCAATTGACCACCTAGCCTCACACTATTTATTCCAGCTGCAAGTATCTGTCCACTATTATTGCTATTATTTAGATTTCTTACCTGCCCTTCACCATAAGGTCCCAGGATGGGCTGCAGCAATGTAAAATATAGTTAAAAACAACTTTGAATCAGAAGTATAGGGTGGGCCCTAAAACATTTATTTATTGAATTTATATATCTTCCTTCTAAGGGTGCCCAGGGAGACAAACATACACACAAGCGATAAAAGACCAAATATCAATTTGAGTACAAATGCAGACAGACAGATAGATAGATAATCAGATGTTGAAGGCCTGTATAAAGAGGTACATTTTCAACAATGACAAAAGCTGTATAATGAAGGCAGACACATCTATGTGAGGAGGGAATTCAATAGCTATGGGGCTGTCCTAGAGAATGCTTTCTTCCGGCCTGCCACTATCCATGTCGGGGTCAGGTAAAGGGTTTTTGTTTTAACCAAAGATGCCAGCAGGGATTAAACCTGGGACTTCTTGCATGTAAAACATGTGCTCATTCCTTGCATCTGTGGAACCAGAAAGCACCGTAGTAATCATAGCGATTCTAGCTTTGCTCATCCTGGCAACCCTGCATCCCACTCTTTAACTCTTCACCAACCTGGTGGTTCCCACAGTTGTTCTGGACCAGAGCAGATGGGTGTCCTTGGGTGGAAAAATGGCTGTTAATATCAGAGGTACAGTTTAAAAAAATCAGATGGGTCTTAAGTGGTGCTGAAAAACATTGCATTTGTTTTCTTTTATTATTTTATCTTACATTTATATCAAAGAATACTCAAGGCTGCACATGATTAAAATACAAATACAGTACTGTAAATCTCCAGGCACCTGATGTGTGCTTAAGGGACGAACATTAATGCATTTCCTGACCATGGATAGAAGGAGTAAAATCCGCGGACCTCTTGCTTGCCAGTACTAGGCTTCCAGGTTCTTGGATGGCCAGGGCCTTAATTTTCCAAGCATGTTTAAGGAAACTGGATGGAATTATTGAGGCTTCCCATAGTGGAGATGGGACATTAAGGCTGCAATCCAACTACACTTACCTGAAAGCAAGTCCCATTGAATTCATAAGGACTTACTTCTGAGTAGATAAGTATAGGATTCAACCGAGTGCAATCCTTTGCATGTCTACTTGGATATTATTCCCACTGAGTTCAGTGGGACATGCCTTGGGTTGTCAGTTGTGTATATGCTGAGGAAGAGAAGCTGGTGTGTTTTTCTTGCTGCTTTTCGTTTTCATAATTCCTATGTTGTTGTTCTTTGCAGCATCCAGGTGGAGAGGAGGTTCTGCTTGAACAAGCTGGTAGAGATGCCACTGAGAACTTTGAAGATGTTGGCCACTCTATGGATGCCCGAGAGATGCTTGACCAATACCTTATAGGAGAGGTTCATCCGGTGAGGTCCTAGTATGGGGGGGAAATTGGGAATGTTTGTAGCTTTTATTTAATAAGAATATCCACCTTTGGGTACAGGCTGTGGAGCTCCAGAGAGAAGGTTAGGCACAAACTATTCTTTGCCTCTTTTGTCAAAGAGCTTGTTGTGGGTTTGGGTGGGGGAGCTGATTAATGTAGCAGCATGTGCTCTCAAATGACTTGAACTCAGCCTTTGCTCGCCTCCTGCCCTCCAGTTTTGGACTACAACTCCCATAAGCCCCAGCCAGCACAACTGTGTTGGAGTAGATAGTATGACCATGCAAGCTGGGGCTGGTGGGAGTTGTCATCCAAAACAACTAGAGAGTACCAGTTTGGCAAGACAGCTCTAATGTCCTGGTTTTATTAAATAAGAACTTTGCTCCCAGTTCATTTCTGGGAGTGAGAAGTGAAGGATGCCAGGTACCTCACGTGGCTTGGGCTCTTTCTTGCATGCCAGAAATATTTTTTTCCAGGAGCTTAACATCCTTTCTCTTCTTTCTCTTCCTTTTCTTCTCTCAACAGTGTGACCGTAATCCTAATGCCTCCAAGGTAAGTCACTATCCTGGTGATCTCCCCTACCTCCCTTTATTCTAGCATTTTGGGGCACTTGAAAATGTGCAGTGAGAACGGGCATGTTGAATGCACCTACTCCTCGGTGAGCAGAGCTCACCTCACTTTGGCTTCAGCAGTGGTAAAACAGCTGAACATAGTTAGGGTGCTGCAATGAGAGCTGCCCTGTTGCACTAGGAGTGTTTGGTCGGTTTCTGCCCTTAATTGGTCAGCATGGGGATGGGGGTGCTGTCTGTGGGCCTTTTCCTCTAGAGAGCCCAAGGCCACTGGTGTTCTGGCTGCAGGTCTTGTGTTCTGCCTCTCACGTCCTCTCTTTCTACCTTGGGGCTTCAGTTCAATGAAGAACTCTCCTTCCGCAGTGGTTCTGTGCCATGCTGCCTTCAAACGTGACTATAAAATTGTCTGTAGTACAGTACAGGCAGATCAATGCCTATCTGTGTTCAGAGGTGATATTCCTGAGAGTAAAAGTTGCCGGGGAAGTTGAATAAGAATGGATTGTTGGTCTTACTAGGGTTGTTGTTAGGTCTTTAAAGGATGTGGAATGAAAATGTGCATATGCTAATTTATATGTGTAGGTGTCTCTGGGCAGTGTGTGTGTTAAGTTTTTTAAATGACTGAAGGAAGCAGAAGATTTGGGGCCTGGTGCAAAAGGCCTGGTGCTTAGTCCCTCTGGGCTACCAACTCCCTTGCCCTCCCTTGAGAACTTCTTGATGGGACATATGGTTGGCCACTATAGGAAAGAGTCTGCTGGGCCCCCTTCAGCCTGATCCAGCAGTAGCTGCAGGGCTCTTCTTACTTCCCTCACAAGATATTCAGTTCTGGGTTAAAGGTCCTGGGTTTCAGGACTGTTTACCTTTGCTGGAGGAGAGAGGATTTCCTTGTTCTGCACACAGCAGCTTTCAATTGTAGCTGGTTGAGTGGGTGGGGCTGAAAGCACTCTAGGTATGGAACACATCGGAATACCTGAGCAGCCCCTTCCCAGCAAGTCTACCCGGGAGCTGACCTGTCAAACTCTGTGTTGCAGTTGTTGGGAGAATTCTGAGCCTGTCATTGAAGAGCAGTTCCCACGATTGGAGAGCAGCAGTGGGAGCCATCCGCTGGCTATGTAAACACAGCCATTGTGGGTTGCCCAAGTCCCACTGTGTGGTGCCCAGCAGTTCAATCATTTATGATGAAAGGATTATAACATTTCTCCTACCTAACTCGAAGCCCATTCTGTGTATTATCCTCTCTCTCTCGTCATGCTCCCTGACTTGTGTCAACAAAGGCTTGGGGTGAGCATGAGGTCCCAGCCAACAACTTGTTGAATTTGTCCTGAGAATTTAAGCATTTGATTCTGTGCTACACTTTGCCCAGAGATGTGCCCATTTGCCACCAGGGAGCAACCTCAGGTTATTCACAGAAGACCTAAGTAGCTTCTCTGCTGCCTTGCTTCTTGGTCCAGAGTTGGAAATGACTTTATATGGGAAACACCCACTCCCTGTCCTTCATGTGTTGTGTTAGTGTCTTGGGAAGCTGTAAAGTCAATACCTTTCTGTGATTTATGATACCTGGGCGAGAAAAAGAGTCTTCACAATGTTTTTCCTACAAACATAAAAACACATTGCAGTAGTTTCATTTATAGAACCACCCAGATTTAAAGTTTCAGAGTGACTGGTGCACAAGGAAATATGTGGTGTGTGTGTTAGCTAGATGAGCGTGGCTAGTTTGGTTACTGCAGTTTGATGCAAGCAAACATGACAGTTACTGGGTTTCTGGGTTTTCTACGTATGGGTCCCCATTTTGGAAAAAACAACAACAGGAAAAAAACAAAATGCTACGGGCATGCAAACATGTTTATACTTTTTTTTCATAAGAAGAATGCCAGGCAAACTTTTGTGGCAGGAACATTGTAAAGAAAGAAAAAGTGAGTCCCACTTAAATCTTGTCTAAGTGTCACTCCTTTCTGACAAGTGAGGGTTTTTTTTCCTGAGGAGAGGCATAGAGTAGTGTGGGTGGCCTCAGCCCTGTCCCTAGAACAAAGCCCTGGTTGGCCCATCTGAAGAAATGTGCCCAGGCATACCCTATTATTTGGAAATGACTTCTGTCTGCTCTGCAGTGTCTAATGGCTTACTTGAATCAATTACTAAAAGAAGGGTTTAGACACTGAGGAAGAAGCTGATGATGTTTCTGGTCCTCTGCCTTTACACTGATTCCCCCATCTACACTTTACATGCCCTGAAAGGGAGTCCTGTTTTCCCCTTTCAGGATCCTGATGGCATGGTTTGCATCATAATTTTCTGGACTGTTTACATAGGAGACCATGGTCCTTTTGTAGCAGAGCCAACAAATGAGTGCTAGCCCTTTGCATATATGTCATATTTAAATGGCCCCTGTGTTTTCTGTCTCCTTTGCCTCTGCAGAACTTGAGGTACCCCTCTCCCCTCTGCTCCTCAAGCCTTTGAGCCTGTTTTGTGTCTTTTCTTCCTCTGCCAGGCCTAACCAAAGGGGTTGCTTTTGCTTGCTCACCGCCTCTTCTTCTTCCCTAGCTGCTTCTTCAGTGTTGGTTTTCTGCATACTCAGCAAAAGCAACTTGTGTGAGTCTCAAAAGCTAATGAAATCTTCTGTAGGGGGAAACTCAATGGGTTTAGTAGTGTTTACTCCTGCTTTTTCCTTTTTAAAAAATAAATAAAATTATCATGGCTAAAGAAGGGAAATGGTCCCTTCACCTGGGGGCCAATGCAGGCATTGCCTCTTCCAGTGGTAAGGAGACATGGAGGAAGGGCCTTCATAGCCATAGAGAGTGGGAGTTTGATCCAGGCATAGATAGTGGTATTGGCAGGAGCTGGAACAGAGCACCGGGAGCTCACCCCCTTGAGCAGGTTCGAACCACTGACCTTTTGATCGGCAAGCTAAAGAGGCTCAGTGGTTTAGACCACAGTGCCACCCACTCAAAAGTATGCTATACTCAAAAGTATGCTATGCTCAAAAGCACACCAGTGTGAATAGATAAATAGGTACTGCTATGGTGGGCAGGTAAACAGCATTTCCATGCACTCTGGCACTTGTCACAGTGTCCCGTTGCTCCAGAAGTCATGCTGGCCATATGACCTGGAAAGCTGTCTGTGGAAAACGGTGGCTCTCTTAGTGTGCAGCAAGATGAGCGCCACACCCCATAGTTGCCTTTGACTAGACTTAACCATCCAGGGGTCCTTTACCTCCCCCCCCCCCCCACAATAGTGGCATGGCAGGAGGTGGCTTGGTGTGAGGAAAAGGGAACAAAAAGAGATAAACGGCCCACAGTAAATCAGCTCATACAAAATGGGCAGACTAGGAATATGGTGAAGTGGAGGGAGAGAGCTGATTGGGGTAGAGAGAAGGGGGCTTTTACAATTGCAACAATTGGAGAGGGCCTTCAATACTGAGGGCTATAGTGCTTTCTTCACAGAAAGCCTTTGATTGGATTGACTTGCTATAGACTTGGATCTTTTCTTAAGACTTCTCTGTTTGTGCTGTCTCTCTCTCTGCTGATGTCATTGTCTGTCATGAGTAGCCACCAAAAAATGTGGCTATTTCTAAATTGCCCTTACTGGAACAGCACCCTTCCCGCTCATGGATTGGGTTTCTTTGGTGGTGCGGCAAGTTTCTGTTTGCGAAAGGCTTTTCTTGGTTTCCAAAGCAGACCTCTCTGACTTACAGGGGCACCTCAGACGGTCTGCTGCATTGTCCTTCCAGCTTCATGTCTCAGCCTGTGGAATTCAGCTCAGTGTTGTTGGTCCTTAAGTCTCTTAGCATCTCTTCTCAACTTTCCACAGGTTCTTAGCTTTTCACCACAAATGCAACTGTCTTCTTGCCACTACCTCTGAAATATAGCATTGCTTAATCTGTAGGTTGAATGCAGATTAGTGGATTTCTCTTGGGCATCTCTTTTTACACTTTATGTTGGGCTATTTTATAGGGGGGAAATGATGGGAAGACTCTTTGTCATATAGTCCCCCTGAAAGTAGCTATCCATAATTTCTGTACTGAACAATCTCTTTGATCAACAGAAGTAGGGCAACTCCTAGAGGCAGGTAAAAATTCCTTGTTCTGGCAGTAGTACTTCCATCTTTGATATCTGCTCTGATATTCTGTATTTCAGCCTTCCCCATCCTGATGTCCTCTAGATATTTTGGACTACAATCGACATCATTCCTAGCTAGCACAGTTGGTTGCTATATGCTGTAATACTGAGAGAGTGTGTGTGGGGGGGGGAATTCTCCCAGTCTTCTTGTAGCCTTCCCTTTTTCAATAACCTTTACATGTAGAAACAAACAGCAGTCATATAACCTACTACATAGTACAATACTGCAAGCAAATTGCTTCTGTGCTTGGTGTCTTAGACTCACAACATTTTTCATGGTCAGTATATTTATTTGCACTGCCACAGGCCACTGTAATTTTAACAAGTTAAAAACAAGGTTCTGTTTCTGTAGAAACTTAATAAGTTCAGACAGAATTGGGCAATGTTTATTGAAGATAGGTATAAGGCACATTCTTGACATGATCCAAAATATTTATTAGAGATGACATAATATATACCATTATTTTTAATGTAATACTTGCAATTTCTTTATTTTTTCTTAACTTTTCTTTGTAAATACATATGGTTTTCTAAAGGTGAATACAAATTATAAATAAATTAAGAACAAGTATTTGATAGTCACTTCTTGCCATACAATCCCTCTTGGCTTGTGCCTGCATCCTCCAAGGGGAGTTGGATAAGATTCTCCTCTCCCCTGGGCTTTTTTGCCCCATCCCAGTTTCTTATCTTTGCTACAAGAAGCGAAGAGGTCTCCTGTCCTAGATCTGCCAAACACGAGGTACAAGAGAGAATGCCAGCCACTCTTTGTGGTCAAGCTGTTTGCATTGGGTGCACAGAAAGGCTACTTGAACTTGGTAAAGCAAAGAAGTTATATTATTTCAGCAAGCACCCTTTAGCATTGCAGCTCAGAGCTCAAGCGACAGATTGGAGACACATGGGATGGGTGCCAAAGGAAGGCTTAGGGCTGGCGCTGGTGCTGGGAGTGTTAAATGGAATCTCATTAAGGAGTTATGTGCATGTTTAACAATTGGCTTCTCTTCATGCTTGGCTAGGAGATTTGGCCGGTGAACAGCACTGCTTTAGACAGCCCTTTTCACAATGATGCTGCTGTCACTTGGCATTTGCAGCTTTGCAATAAGGGAACTATTCACATCTTAAAGGCAAAGGCACCTTTTTGTAACTTCCCTCCATTGCATGGAGAGGCAATTGCTCAAGCTGGCTTTTCATGATGTCTCATTTTGAATTGAGGCCAAGTGTTGTGCTTGTAATGAAGAGTCCATGTGTGGCTGCTGGGTGTGAGGCTAAGCCAGTATGTGGAATGTGTCTTAAGGACACCAAGCTGTGTACTTGACATAGAGTTGCTGTTAAGACATGTCTGGATGGTGAACAGTGGGGAACTCAAAATTCAGGCCAACAAGCAAGGGCAAAAAAGCAGCACAACACATGGCTTGTATTGTTATGGGAAGTCTCTGCTTGGTGACTGAGCCATGGAGTCATGGAGAGGAACCTTATTGATCACAGCAGCAAAGAAGAAAGCAAAGGAACACACAGCAACTGGCAAACAGTGACTGTCTAAGACAGGCATCCCCAACCTTCGGCCCTCCAGATGTTTTGGCCTACAACTCCCTTGATCCCTAGCTAACAGGACCAGTGGTCAGGGATGATGGGAATTGTAGTCCAAAACATCTGGAGGGCCAAAGGTTGGGGATGCCTGAAGAGCTTCCCTATGAAAAGTGCCCAAGTACTTATAGAACATGGAAGAGGGACTGAAGAGAAACTAAATGTGTGCCCAGACATAGTTGTTGGGAAGAATGGAACATGTTGAGAGAGTAAATGAATATGTGAAGAACCGGGGCAGAGAATGAAGATCCAAAAAACAATCCTCCCATTCGTTCCCTCTTCCAGGGTCATCTCAATGCTATTACCCACCTTTGCTCAAATTGGACTGGTCATATGTCACAGTAAACAACAAACCATGGTATATTGTAAATGAGCAGAAAGCTGGTGCAGGCTGCTTAATCACTCCCACTTTACTCCAACCTGGCTAGCACAGAAACAAACAAACCAGAAGGCTTGGCGTTACATGCAAACTGAGGCATGTGGTTTGTTTAGAAAGTGGGGGGGGGGGACCCTAAGTCAAGCCTGGTGGTTTATTTGTCCAGGCAGGCCATGCTAAATATTCATAGCAAGCCATAACCCATAGGTTGCCATGACATGTGAACCAGACCATTTCGTAACCTATAATTTCAGCTTGCATGTTTTATAAAATGTATACAAAATGTGTGCTTGTTTTGTCTTCTCAGGTTCCAAACAAGTCTCCCTCGAAAGAATCAAGGTATGGTATTCTGCTCTGCCAACAGAGTAAACAAACAAGCTTTCTCTAAGTCAGCCTGGTTTCTAAATAGATCTATGGTGCTTCAACATTTGTATGGATCAGCGTCCTGCACCAGCATCTTAATCATGCATCATTCTAGGCTTTGTTGTTACATACTATGATCTGTGGAATGACCATCTAAATTAGTCCTATAAACATTTTATTTTTACATATCTGTAAATGAGATAAATCTACCCACCTTTGACTGAGGCCAGTTCCTAATCTTGTGCCATCTTTGCTGCTCCTGTGTTGTATGAGATTCCTTACTCAGCCATGATAATGTATTTAACTGGTAGCCACATGCAGGCTGAAACTAGTGGAAAGTTCTGAAGCAACCATACTTATTGGGTTGGAATGAACTGCCTTAGGTTTTTATCTGTACCTATAAATGAATGGATAGAATTGTTAAGACTTTGCTCACAGAACTATGACAGAAAAAGATTCTAGAAAAGAATTCTCCTGTTTTAAGTGCATTTAACATAAATGTAACTTTATACCCCCCCTCTTGCCTTTTTCCTCAGTTTCTGGACAGTTTGGCTGATCCCTGTTTTGGGAGCCATAGTCTTGGGATTGATGTATCGCTACTACGTGATGGATGGGAAATCCTCCTGATTTGACCTTGCTGAAGCTTTAGGACTGGAAACCATGCCTTGCCACTGAAAATGGTGGGGTCTTACTAAATTCTGATGAACACCTAGATGTTGTCCTTCACTTGTATCAGTCAGTCCAGCAGCCCTGGTGTCTGCAAAGCCAAGCGGGAATTTGGTGGGGCCCACTGTTATCTTTCTTGTAACTGCAGAAACAGCAACTTCCTGCCATTCCATGGCATGGCATTTCTGTCACCATTGACCATGAGTCACTTTTCATCCAGCAGCTTCTGGTTCGTCGTGATGGTGCCTCTGATCCATGCCAGCCTGTCCCATTAAGTACCAGCAGAATGAGATGGCATGCTGTCAACATTCCTCTTTAGCAGGAGACCAGCAAGAGAAATGGCTCCACCAGCACAGCGCAGACTGGGAACGGCGGCACACCTGCCTCTTTTCGGGTGTTTTCCTTCAGCTTCTTTCCGTACATGGTTTTTGAAACGGTTAAATGGGTACATTTTTGTTTCAGTCTTCTGGTTTACATAGTCCTAACTGTCTGCCTTTTTAATCTGCCTGATCTGTAATAAAGGACTCTCCAGTTACTCTGGTCAGCGGCCTTGTTTTCCTGACTGATTCTGCTACCTCTGGCAAAGCTGGAACTGGCCATCACTTGCCTGCCCTTCTGCTTCTGCTCTTAATGCCCTATTTGAGCGTAGAACTCCAAGAAGCTGCTGTGGTACGAAGCTTGTGGCCTTTTCGCCAACTTTGTACCAGAAAAGCTTGCTATGTTCTAAGTGCAAGCAAGTTGGTATCAACACTGAGGGAGAGAAGGAAGCTGAAGGAAATTGTGCCTCTAGGGTTGAAACAAGAGATGAGGATACCTTTTAGGTTTGTGCTTTTTCATTTGCTCTGAAGCCTGAAACAATGCAAGCAAGTAGCACAAGACAGGCATTGTGCTGGGATAATTCCCTTCCTTCTCACATACTCCCCCTAATTTTGCCTTAAGTGTGTTAAGGGGAAGGACAGCCATGAAGCTAAAGTTATCCACTAAGATAATTTTGATGTTGCCTTTCTTCATGGGAGGTCAAGGACTATAGCTTCTTAAAGGAAATTTTGGCATCATAAGTAACATCTAGTGTAAAACTGGTGGCTTGTCTTGAGATTGCAGTTTTCTGTTGGATAACTTTGGGGGTTTAGAGTAGTTCATTTATGGCTCTGAACCCCTCAGGCCTGAGCACTGAATAAACCCAGTTCTTAGTATAATCTTCAGTTACATATCTTGACAGTTTGAAACTAACCCTCCAGGGTTTTTCTCTTGTCTGTTACTAGGCTGTCCACAGTCCTCACCGGTTTGACTGTTTGCTGAGATCAAGGCTGTTTTTGCTAAGGTCAGGTGACTTACACTGTTTTGGAAAGAGTCTCGTAAGCAGATATGCATAATCATGTTTCTTTAAAATTAGTTTTCTAGCAATGTTTGGTCAACAGTTTTTTGCCTACATATATATCTGAGAGCACATAAAAGCCTTAAAACCATCAATGCAAAAAGAAGAAAAAATGCAGCCAGCAGTTAAATTGGTTCTATGGGCGATTCTCTGAAGACTGGCTGACAGGCTTGTGTCTGTTCTTGTGTCTGTTGAATTTAGATGATAAGGGAGCTAGATATATGCATGTATCTCAGTTCTCCCTCGCTGTAAATCCAAGGTTCAGATCTTGTTGTCTTGGAAACTAATCTGTCTGGAATAGCAGTTATGATGGTAAACACTCAAGAAGCTGTCTGGTTCTGAGGAGGGGGTTGGAGTGCAGACATTCTACATGTTCACGGTTCCTTTCTTAAAACCCTGAGCCTGTGTTAAAAGTTGTCATTGACTATGTTAGTTGAACTTGCTGTTGCTGTTGCACCAGCATCTTAGAAATTAATTTTTTCATTTCCCAAAGGTGATCCCGAAGACAATTATAAATCTGGTTGAATTTGTGTAGGCTGACCTGCCTGGTTTATATCCACAAGACATTTTTTTAAACTTGATTTTTATTGATTTTCAAGTCTCACTAAGCTCTTCTGGGGGCTTTCTCCCCCTTTATTTATATTTTTATAAAAGGGTTTTGTGTTGTTTTATACATCCCCCCCCCTTTGCATTTCTGCATACAGTGGTACCTCTGGATACGAACGGGATCTGTTCCGGAGCCCCGTTCGCATCCAGAAGCAAACGTAACTAGCGACGGCACGTCTGTGCACGCCGCTTCTCGCTGCTTCTGCGCATGCACGTGACGTCATTTTGAGCGCCTGCGCATGCACAAGAGGCAAAACCTGGAAGTAACGTGCTCCGTTACTTCCGGATTGCCGCGGAGTGCAACTCGAACACGCTCAACCTGAAGCGCATTCAACCCGAGGTATGACTGTATTTTAAGATTACCCCACACCTGCTGGCACCTCCCTCAGATGGTGCTATTCTGCCTACAAAATGTCTGGTGGCTGGATAATGAATTCACTAGTAGTCTATATAAATGGAGCCCCCACAAAAAAGGTGTGTAAGTGTGGAGCCTTCAAACCCCTCCTTTCCAAGACAGGAAGTTGTCCAAAGTGAGGCAGTGAGAGTGTGAAGGAACTGGTGCCTGGTGTCAGCTGGGAAGGAAGGAAGGGAACTGCCAGGTGCCTTCATATTTGTGGTTCTCTTCTGTCCTCCACTCTATTCCATCTCCCACTTTTTCTCAACAAAACCAACAAAAGAGTGTTTTGCTGCCTTAAAGGCTAGCTGTTTTGTTGTGGCGGAAGCTTTTATGAGCAATAACCCACTCTACTTCCCACTTCAGTGTGGCTCTTGCTGCTTTTATTACATGTGTGATGGCACCAAGAGAACTGAACTGAAATTAGGCAGAGGCTGCCAATTTATTGCCCTCCAGATGTTTTGGACTAGAAGTCAAATCAGTCCCAGCCCACATGCCCAATGGTCAGGGATGATGGGAGTTGCAGTCCAGAACACCTGAAGAGTGTAATGTTGGCTACCCTTGGAATGCAGGGTGATTATAATGGTTGGTGAAATTTGGGTTTTGGTTCCCATCGCAAGCCCCCTGTAACTCTTCATTTTTTCCTCATTAGCCACCAGCCCTGCCTGACTTGAGCGCTGTTAGGACACTATGGGGGAAGCCTATTTCAGGGAAGAAGATGGAGCTCCTCTCCCTCTCTTCTGACCCTGTTTTGTTGAAGGGGGGAGGGGAGGGCCACAGCTCAGGGGAGAAGCATCTGCTTTGCATGCATCCCCGATGGCATCTTGAGGTAGGGCTAGGGAAATCCCATCTGAAACCATGGACAGCAGCTGCAAGCAAGGTGGACCAAAAGATTTGATTTTGGATAAGACAGCTTCCTGTGCTTGGTCTTGGTGTTGCTATGCTATGGAGTAGTAAGTGGGCAGTCCTCAAGAAGAAAAGTGACTACTTAAGTTAGCTCTGTTACTTAAAGGAAAACAAACGGTGCAAAGCAAGCTTGGCACCATCCTCAGTCCTGGGTTGTTTTGTTTTTCTCTCCAACTGCCCTGGGGGCAAGTTCTGTGGTGCCGCATCTCAAAGATGCTATCATGGTGCTGAAAAGGGATAACTAAAAGATGAGGGAGTTTGAGCTCCTTCCTTATTATTTATTAAATTTGTATACTGCCCTTCACCTGAAGATCACGTCAGTAAACAACATAAAAATACAAAATGAGAACACTAAATGCATAATAAAACCCAAAATCTAACCCAACAAACACAAGGAGGCACACAAAGAAGGGCCGCATGATGATCGCAGGGGCCAGGTAGGTTCATATGGAGAGAGGCACTCCTTAAGGTATTGTGCTCCTAAGACATTTAGGGCTTTATAGGGAAAAACCAGCACTTTGAGTTGGGCCTGGAAACCTAGTTGACAGTCAGAGCAGTCGGGCCAGGATCAGGAAGCCGCTGACCAAGTTCGCAAACAACAGCTCAGCCTCTTCTTCCCCTCCCATGAGGGAACAAAGCGGCAGCAGGAGAAGTCCCTCTGGACACCACTTTGCCCCCTCGGGGAGAAAGAAGTGGCGGCGTCAGCAGTCTGGCGGTCCTAGCCACCGAAAGCGGCGTTTGCTTGGGGTGGGGAAGCGTCTTGGTTCCCCGCGTTGCTCAAGGTCAGAGGGCTCTGCTCGTCTGTTCTGGGGGGCAAGAACAGCCCCTCTCGTGGGGCTTGAAGCGGGAGGGCGGCAGCCGGACACAGTGTGCGCACCCCCCCCTTCCGCCCCGGTGTTGGTGCCAAGTGGCCATTAATCCGCAGGCCCGCGGCCCGGACTGCGCAATAAATACCTGTTGCCGGGGGAGGAGGGAAGGGCGCCACGCGGCTGAGCTCCTCCCCCCGGGGGAGACCGATGGTCCCCAGCTCCGCACGCGGCCGAGCAGAGGACCGCGCGAGCCCCGAGCAGCTGAGACGCCCTTCTGCCCGTCCGTCGAGCAGGCTGGACCCGCGCAGGCGCCCCTGGCACGACGTGGCCACCATGCGTTCCATGCTGGCCGACGAGAGCGCCTTCTGCGCTGCGCCGCTGCACGACTGGCCTTGGAGCGCCCTCGGAGGGAAAGCCGCCGCCGCCGCCGCCCCCCCAGGTAAGCCGGCCCAGGGCTGGAGCGAGCAAGCAAGCCACGGAAAGAGCCTCCCTCGAGGCTCCCTCTGGGCTCCGGCCCTTCCACCAAGGCAGCGCCTGCCTTTGCTTTGCGACGCCCAAAAGTCAGGCTGCTGGGGTCCAGCTAACCCAGTCTTGCCCACGCTCACCGGCAGCGGTTAACTTCTCCAGACTTCCGGGCACCGGCGAAAGTCTTCCCCAGTCCGGTCTGGATGGAGCCGGGGACCGCCTACGTGCACACCTCGGCCGCGGTCCTTCCTCGGAACAGTTTTTTCCAAGAAGAGCGCTTCCTGCTGTCAGAAGCGCTACTGCCCCCGAGGGAACGGCTCTGGGCCGCGGGAGTTGCAGGGCGTTCCGTGCCCCTGTCCCACCTTGTAGCTGTCCCGACGAGGCCCGCTCCCTCGAGTTTCCTTGGCTCAGCGCCGCTCCCACTCTCTCCCAAGCCCGAGTGCTTCGGAGAGGGCTGTAAAAGGAGACTCCCCGGGGGGTTCCTGCTCTTCGTTCAGAATCCATCTCTGGGAGGGGGGGTCATTGAAACGCCCCCCTCGGAGACTCCTTCGCCAAGCCACCCAAGGGGGCTCGATGTGACGCCTTTGCTCAGGATCAGCCACGTGGCCACCTAGCTTCTTGCTGGGCTAATTTAATGCGGGGTTAAAGACCACTCAGATAGAGCAGCCAGGAGGAAACGCCAATGGATAAGGCTACCAAAATAGGAGGGGAGGGTGAGCAACGAGCAAAACCTGGCTCGAGTCGCCCTTAATAAAAGATCTTTGCAGCTATAATGTTGTCTAGGACAAACTTTAGATTCAAACTCACCCCCACCCAAATCAAAAACATGTATCCATGAATGTCAGTTTTTTTCTTTTAGCAATGGGGTTCAGGTATATTTTAAAGTGCAGCAGCTTATCCATGAAGTGCCCTCTATCCCAGCCACACACTATCCTCAACAAGAGTCCAAAAATGCAGGCAGTTGTGTAAAGACACCCTTCTTTACAAAATTTAAGGAGGAGTAACTTGTAGCACATGACAACTGCTGTCCAAGGCATATCTACCTGGAAGTCAGATTCGTTGAATACGGTTCTGACTGCAGGAGCCTTAGCAAAAGATCTTCAACCAGCAACTTTAAGCTTTTAATTAGAAATGCAATCTTGCAAAGGAGTGCTACAGCCCTGCATGTCCTCAAGAGATTTGGTAGTTATAGTAATAGCATTTGATGGGGTCTGTGGTCCACCCCATTCTATTATATTCTGAAAGTCACTCCCCACACCCCACCAATCTAATTGCTTGCCAGGGAGAGGATTGCAGGTTGGTGTTCTCTTTCATGCTAGCAAAAGTGAACCTTTTTCTGATATGTAGAGGAGGGAAATGCCAAGCCCTGACATTGTTTAAAATTTAGATGTAGCCAATGGCCAGTGGAGCACCAAGTAGTTTCAGAGTCAGGTTACCTGTTCAGGGGTGATTTTATCCACAGTGGAGTGACTGACATATGCATGGATTTCAGATCATTTTGTAGTTGAATATTAGATCTTACAAAGCACATGTGGATAGTTCTTGAAGTTCTGTTATCATTTTTAACATGGCTGTAGCTAAACTCCGGAGAGTCATGGGGTAGAACAGATTTGATTTCTGGTCTCATCATTTGATTAATGCAGCTTGATAGGACTGAGCTGTGAGTAATTGGAGTGCAAAAGTTATATGATGCTAGTCCTGTAATTTTTAATATGTTTTTATTTTTGGTTGGTTGGGTGGGACTGTCACAAACAAATGAGAGTGAGAACAGGCAGTGGGTATGTTGAGCTGAAAACCACCTCTTTCCACATTATTCAGGGTTTCTGAAATATTCCATCATAGCTGCTATGTAACAACCAACAAAACCCCTAACTGAAACAAATCACAGAATTAATTGAGACAATCTGGCACCTTAATTTATAATACCAGAATATTTCCAGGAACAACAAAGGCTGTAATAAGGGAGTACTATATAAAACAGCTTCTTCTCTAATCCCCTGCCTCCAAAATACATATTTCTCTCCTCTCTGTTCCGTCACCTGAATGCATTCTCTCGACCTTCAGAGCTTTTTCTAATAAAGGCAATGTCCTCAAACTCTTCTGTACGTGTCTGTTTGTATTCAACATTTTTTTTTGGGGGGGGGTGTGCACATTGTGGCAACTTTCTTGATTCCTTAAGAGAAACAGGGGCACTTTTTACTATGACAAAGGTCCCTGTGCACCTCAACTTCGTATTTATTGCTAATCTGTAAGGCATGGCTAGGAACAGCTGGTGCTATAACCTCGGACACAAGTACTAAGAAGTGTGTAAGCTCATGCAAAATATCTTGGGAAGAGCTAGTGAGGCCTGGCATTTCCCTGTTTTGATGCTCAGGTTCAAAGACAGCCACTATGGTACAAGGACTGAGTGTAGAACTTTAGAGTGAGAAGACCTGGGTTCAAATCCTGGTTCAACCAGAAAGCTCACTCTCTGTCTAACCTACTTTGAGAGGGCCATTGTGAAAAGGGGATTGAAACTATGTGGCTGTGGTGTCAGCATTGTTTGTCTGCATATGCAACTCAAGGTCAGTTTCCTGGGGTGGCAGAGATTTTTTTTTAGAGAGGGCAGCAATAAGTCCAAGAGGTACATTCCAGAATTTGTTGCAACAAACTTGGGACACAGCCCTTGAATCATGTGTTACACCCCAGCATCCTCTCGCTTGGTCAGTCTCACAGGGCTATAGCAAAGATGAATGCTTGCAAAGGTGTTTCTCCAGTAAGTAAACAGCAGCAGCAGCAGCAGCAGCAGCAACAACAACAAGAACTTGAAGAACTTTACCTTATGGGATGGCATACAAATATTGTTACTAAGTAAATAATATCACATAGCTCAGTTTGTTATAGCATGGTGCTGATAATGCTCAGGTTGCAGGTTTGATCCCCGTATGGGACAGCTGCATATTCCTGCATTGCAGGGGGTTGGACTAGATGATCCTTAGGGTCCCTTCACACTCTACAATTCTGATTATTTAATAAAAATAAAAGTTATTTTAATACAGGGTTGGTAGTTCACATGACCCTGCACAGAGTTAAATGGACAGTACCTGTCCCAATGAGTTTATGGTTTAAGGCAGAGGTTTTCAACCTTTTTGGGTCCACGGCTCCCTTGACCAACTACATTCTTTCTGTGGCAACCTGTGGGGCTCAGGAGCCCAGTTGCGTCACCCCTTGTCTGCCGAGCTGACAGCACCTCACCCTTTTTCAAACACCCTTCCTTGTGGAGTGTTCCCTCAGCCTCCTCTCTTCTCTCCTTGGGAGTCCTCTGGGGAGCCACTGCTGCTGCCCCTGGTCCCTGAGCTAAAAGAGAGGTGCCTCCTCACAGTGCCCCACAAAGGCCTGGGAAGCACCCCCTGACCAACCCCAGAGGCACCATTCACATGGGGAGCTTGTAGCCAGGGCTGCTGCAACAAACAGCCACACAAGCCTTTGGGAGGCAGAGACCCAAGAGGGCACCAGAGGATGGAGGGGAGGCAAGAGGGACAGAGGCCTGTAGCACCCCTGACCATTATTCAAGGGTGCCACGGCACACTGGTTGAAAAGCACTGGTTTAAGGCATCCTCCACCCAGGTATGTAAGAGGCATTAACACAGTTCAAGGACACCTTCCAGCTGAACACAGCTGGAGGGGGCTGTGGCTTGGGTGCTGTCCAAAGGGCCAGATGGAGGGTTGCATTTGGCCTTGAGGCCTGAGCTTCCCCACTTCTGATGTAGATGCTGGCCTCTATTCAGAGGGGATATGGTTCTACAGGAAGGGGGGTTCCCCAGAGAAGTTCCTCCTTCTGACCATCTCTGCAAATCACCGCATGACCAGGAGGGTCTTATCCAACAATCCTAGTGAGTGAGCAGGAAACCCTCCCTGGCTTGTGGGAGGACTTTCTTTGTGCAAGGGGCATATTGCACTAGCCTTGTGCAAGCAATTCCAGTCAGTGGGGAAGAGAGGAGGCCAAAGGCCCCAGTGTGGCTCATTTACTGCCTGCTTTTATATTGACTGGTGCTTCTGTTGCCACCTAAGGATTTTACTGTATGCTTTCCATGTCAGAACCAGGAACCAGGAAACCACAACTGGGGGTGTAAAAAGCAGTAAATGAGATCTTTAAAAGACTGTTGCTGGTAGGGTGGTAGGGACCCGTCTTTATGGTATTACAAAACTTTTAAAGGCCTGCTTCAATAAAACACTGTTTAAAGGCAGCTGATAACGCTGTCATAAGGAGAATATTGCCCTTGGTTATGAAAATGGTATGCATTTCCACAGCTACTGTATAATGGACTGAGGCCAGCTGAAATAAATATACAGCAGGGGCAGAGGTGATGGGATGGTGGCAGCTCTGGAGCATTACCTAGATGCGCTGGAACATCAGAGAAAAGTCCCAGGGATATAGAATAAGAGAGAGCAAGAAAACGCAGCTATTTGAGGGTTTTATAAGCCACAGACAGGCTACAGAGCAAGGAAAGTGAAACTAGGGAAGAATTACCGTAGTTGGGTTATAAGCAGAGATAAAGGTTAGTAAGCCCAGTGGCAAGCCAGGAGAGCAAAAAGGAGAAGATGAAGTGTAGGCAAGGAAACCACTACCTTTGAGAAAATCTTAGGAGCTGTAGGTAGGAAAGGCTATGCTAAGAAAAGCAGACTAGCACACAGGTCCTGATATGATATGGGTGCCTAAGCTCAACTGGTGAAAGTCCCGCCAGGTGGTCCCTAACAAAAAGAAACAACCTGCAGCTCCAAGGATCCTGGGGACCTTAAGGAATACAATTACGACAGCAGTCTTTCTAAATCTGATACCCTCCACATGTTTTAGACTACAACTCCCATGCTGGCTGGGACTTAGTAGTCCAAAGCATTGGGAGGTCACAAGTTTTGGGAAAGCTGGTCCAAGCTGTTCTAGGGAAATAGGGAAGGGAAATAGGGACTTGGGGGGGGAAAAGGATAAGTGGGTGGCAAGACAGAAGGAGGGGGAGAGAGTGAGAGAGAAGCGCTTCTGGGCACTTGAAAGGTATAGCACTAGCATCAGTTTTTGTACTTGACCGATTCAAAATTTAATTACATAAATTACCGTATTTTTTGCTCTATAAGACTCACTTTTTCCCTCCTAAAAAGTAAGGGGAAATGTGTGTGCGTCTTATGGAGCGAATGCAGGCTGCGCAGCTATCCCAGAAGCCAGAACAGCAAGAGGGATTGCTGCTTTCACTGCGTAGCGATCCCTCTTGCTGTTCTGGCTTCTGAGATTCAGATTTTTTTCTTCTTGTTTTCCTCCTCCAAAAACTAGGTGCATCTTGTGGTCTAGTGCGTCTTATAGAGCGAAAAATACGGTATTTCCTGGCTAGTGTGACACACCCACGGTAAAGCACTTCCACATGTTGCACCTCAAAGTTAGAACACTAGCACACTAGCAGGGCTTTCAGTGTGGGTGCTACTGTTCTGTGGAACAGCATTTTTGTTGAGAGGCAACAGGGGCTCACTATCTGCACTTTTCCAGAAACTGGTGATATTTTTATTGTGACAAGCCTTCCCACCTGGATGAATACATCTCTGCCACAAGTGTCCATTTTGTATTTTTTTTATAAAAAAATTGTTATTCTGTATATTACCAAGATATATGTTTCATATATACCATTTACAGATATGGAAGGCAATAATAATAATAATAATAATAATAATGACAAATGGGAATAGTTCTGGTAGGCTGAATTTGGATTCCCTTGGTCTCAGGGTCCCCACACCTGCTTTAATTCCTCCCTCAGTGAGGGTTAAAAGACTGCTAAGGATCGTAAAATGGAAGCAGCATTTTGTGTAAACGCATCTCTATTCCTGGAAGGCTCTTGACCGCTCATCACAAAAGAACTGACACCCCACTCTTTGCGTCAAGTTCTAGCAATAGAGAACACACAGTACTGTAGTAGGTGATCTCCATAGATGTAGGGTTTTTATAAAAAAGAAAAAAACACTGTACACAGAACTATAGCAGCAGCTCTTTGGGTTCTGCACAAAGGCATTGTTAGCTTTGTCTCACAAGTCCACCACTGTCCTTCCTCCAAGGATGCCACGAGGGGAAAAGGCGGCAACACAACAAAGGCCCTGCCAAGCTTAGCAACAAGTCAGGAAGTGCCAGCATGGCCTGGGGTCACCGGAGCAGTTGACAGATGCCCATTATTTTCCAGTTACTATTGGAAAATAATCAACTGCCTCGCTCCAGCTAGTGGTATATTAAGGAAACACCTGCTTATTCTCTCCCCCCACAATTTGATTAAAATAACGACTGGCTTAAATTGTTAATTGGCTCATCCCAATTAATTTCCTGCCTTTTGTATAACATGCATGCACTATTTTCATCATAAGGCAAACATTCAAGTTGCTCTTGGTTTTATCTTATATGTACTTGCTAATAATTATACAAATAGGATTGTAATGTTTTTGAAAAGCAATTAAAATGGAACAGAGGAAACTTTTCCTATTCTGAATCAGGTCATTGGTCCATCTAGTTTAGTACTGTTTACACCAGGCGTGGGGGACCTTTGGCCCTCCAGATGTTGTTGAACTATCAGTCCCAGTGAGTATGGCACATTTCCCTTACCTGCTTAACAATTTAGAATAATTTGAGGTTTTTAATGATAAAAAGTGATGTCTAACAGTCCAGTCCTGATCCTCATCAGCATGTTGAATTGAAATGGGTGTTTGGAGCAGGGTTAGAAACATACAAGACTGGCATCCCTCATGGGAATGTCACTAATCTAAGACAATGTAAAATATTCCACAACAAAGATTAAAATGGCATTAAAAATGGACTCTCTAAACAGCTTTCAGGAGAAAGTAATGTCAGCAGTGTTAGAATGGCAGCAAGTTGTTTTATTGTGCGTGCTGTAGCATTTGTTTCTTTCTCTTAGTTACAGACACAGTTTTTGTGTGTATGTCTAAGCTTAAGAACAAGCGATCGAGGATGAAGAGGAAAGTTGGGGAAAAATGCAGCCTCCCAAAGTGCGGAGGAGGCTGAGAAAAAGGGCAACAAAAATGAAAAGCCTTCTGAATGAAGGCAGATTGGAAAGATTGGATTTGTTTCTTTTAGAAAGAACAAGTGGGGTGGAGAGAAGAATGGCATGAAGAAAACTGATTATCTCCTACAATCATGGGAACATTTGCAGAAAATGAATAATGGCAAAATTCACAACTGATAAGAAGAAATATTTTCCCTGTGGTACTTAACTGGAATGCAGTGTTGGGTGTAATTGAGGCCAAGGATTTGGTGAGGAAAAAGTAGATTCCAGAATGGCAAGAATCACGACAGCTAGGAGACTTAACACATTCACATTTTGGATGGTTTGCATACCCACACGAACTTTTTCTGTACTCTGGAACTGAACTAGAAGGTGCCTCTTGTCACACACAGAAAGTATGTGTGTGCACATGTGACTCAACCATACAGAGTATGTGGTTTGTAGTCATCTCCTGTCTGCGGTTTAAACAGACGAGGGCTGGCATAGCTGACGTCCTGGGGGAAGTTGGAATGCACATCCCCCTCACTTTCTCCAAAAGCCACTTCCTTCACCTGACAAGTGGTGGTGCTCATGATAGGAAACCTGTCTATATCCCTATTCTTGGCCAGACCCAATAGGATGGTTTGGACCTAATTTAATAATACTTGCATACCAAAGTAAACGATAGTATACGGTTGTTTTTCGGTGTTTGCACTATTCTTATTTCTTTAAAAATAATTTACATACTGCTTATGATTTCAAAAATCTTTGAGCAGTTTACTGTGAAAAACAAGCAATATATTAAAACAAAACCACAACCTGAAACCAGTTAATCTGAAATATAAAAATACAGAAAGCATATAAAGAGAAAATAAAACAGAAATCCAGAAGATTCAGACATGTAGAACAGGTCAAAAACATAAAACAATCACTGGTGATGGTGGAAGAGAAGTGACTCTGGTTTCAGAATATGGAGTCAACAACCGTCATGTTGTTTACCTGCATCAAGTATTACTCAAACCCAGTATGACAACTTCCACCTTCTTGATAGCTTGCCTGCATTTTTCAAAGTATCACATGTCTCCAGTTGGGCCTCTCTATACATAAAGATCTTTAGTGAAGGCCATTCTCCAGGTTCTCTCTGCTGCGGTGTGATGGGTGGCTCTTGAGGAAAGGGCCTTCTCAGTGGTGGAGCCTTAGTTGCTGAAGGTCTCTCCAGAGAGGCTCACCTGTGAGTCATCTGGATGTCAGTTTAGCACCAAATACCTTTTTGTTTTCCATGACCTTTTAATGTTAGTCTATTTTATGTCTGCTGATGGTTTTATGCTTTTGTTTTATTGCTTTTGCTGCCTTCTCTAAGTTATTTTAGGTTATAGGTTCACGTGTTTTATTGTACAGTATTCTGATCTTTGACTGTAGTCCACTCAAGGGCAGGGTAAGCTAATATGTAATCAATATGCTACTATTACTCCTTTACGTAGGCAACACACTGAGGAGATCCACCTGGCTTTCCCCACTGTGAACTAATTGGGAGAGCCCCCCTTAATTATCCTATGGCTTCCGTGGTACAAGAGGGAACAGAAAACTCATAACTGTACATTCGGATTCTCAAGAACTTGCCTATTGAGAGTGGGGCCTCTGCACCTTTTCCCTCTAGTGCTTGCACTTCACCTCCTATCATTTTATAGTCTCCATGTTTCCTTATAGGGTACACCTTTGCATACACAATGGCAGAGGCTCAAGCCCCAGGGTTTTTTTCGGTTTTTTTGTTTTTAAAATAAATTATAAGGACCTGAGATTCAGAAGGCAGGGGCAGGCAGAAGCCACTCTATGAACACATTGCACTCTAAGGCCATTTAAGCCCAGTGCAGCAACAGATCTCCGTGGTTTCCAACGGGAGTGGACTTTCCCAGTAACTTGCTACTTAATTATGATTTTTTCACTGGGACTTCAGCCTCTGTCCTTGTGCAGGCAAAGGTGGTGCTGCCAGCCACGGAGCAACCTTCCTTCACCGAAAACAGCCTTGTGGCGCCTTAAAGATAGATGGACTAGTGGAGCACAAATGGTCGGACAGCACAGCCTGCAAAAGCTTCTGCCATAATAAATGTGATATAGAACCACTCAAGGCAAGGGTGCTTAAAGTCAAAGGGAACACAGGACATTCGGTGTTTGGCGGTGGCGTAGCTGTTTTTCCCCTGCAGCCTGGAAAAGGGCAATACCCTTCTGAAAACTGACGCAGAAGTTGACCTCTTAATTCTTCCTCTCCTTAAATATTTCTGTCCCCATCTTTTGGTCAGTAGATGCGAAATAAATACAACGCACCAGTGATCAAGCACGTCAGTTGAAACAAAAGTAGCAATTACCAAAAAAAAAAAAGCCGGCGACGACGGCAGCCTACAGCTCCTCACTCTTCCTAAGAGATTGCCTTGACTTTTCTTTGCTCTTCCCCCGAGCTGAAAAGGAAGCTGTACAGCCACCTCCCTCCACTCTGACAAAGAGGCCTCTCTCTCGCGAACATCCCCTGTAGCGCAGGCGCAGAAACCACCCTCGAATCGACTCCGCGAGGCCCCTGTCCATACAAGAACTGGCACATGCGCATTAAAGCCGTCTCTGGTTCGTTTACGCGAGCGGCTCGCATGCGTCGAAGGCTTGAGGGCACTTGTTTGCCGAGCACGGCGCAAACGCGCACAACGTCCATTTTGCGTCGCCTGTTGCCGCTGCCCCGCCGCCTCCCCCCCCCCCACCCGCGGTCTGAGGCCTTGCGCATGCGCCTCCTTTTCCCGTTGGTTTTTGTGTTTTCCTCTCTCTTTTTCACCGTCGCCGTGGCTCGAGAGCCGGGCGACGCATGCGCAGTGTCAACGGAGAGGGGGCGGTCCTGCTGGGCGACAGGCACCGAATTCCTGTCAGGAGCGGCGGTGGCTGAATAAGAGCCCGGCCCGCACCTCCTCTGTCCCTGGTCCCGCCTCTCGCCGCCGCAGCACAGCCCCCTCCGCTCCCCTTGCCTGTGGTCAGCAACCGCTGCGGCGTCCATCCGTCCGTGCCCCCCACCGCCGCCACCTCCCCCCGTCCCGCCCCCCCCACCGCCGCCACCTCCCCCCGGCCGGGCCGCGGAGCTGCGATGCCCTCGGACTTCATCTCTCTCCTCAGCGCCGACCTCGACCTCGAGTCCCCTAAGTCCCTCTACTCCAAGGGTGAGTCTCTGGTGGGCCTCAGGGGGGCGGTGGGAGGGAAAGAGCGCCGCCGCGTTGCATCGACGACTCTGGACTCCGGAGCGGCCTCCTCGCTCGCTCGGTCACCGTTGTTTCTCAGGAATTTGTCCCGACCCTGTGGGGCGTGTGCGAGAAGGAGGCCGCTCCGGAGGGACGGGGAGGGGCTGCTGCCCCCCCCCCGCTCGACCAAGGTGAGGAAGGGGCGCAGTCGCCGTTAATAAGGTCACTTTTCGGGTGGGGGCGGGGCTGCGCTCTACACGTGCTCAGAGGCCCCCTGCTTTCATTCGCTGTCTATCAATTGCCAGATTAGCATCCTTCTTTTTGGCGGCGGTGGCGGTTCACAAGTAAGGTCCGAAACCCTCATGTTTCGTTGAACCAAGAGAGAGTTTCTAAATAGGGCCCCGTTCTCACTTTTATTCTTCTGAATTTCCCATCAGCTTCCGTTCCTTCCTGCCATCAATAGGTCTGTTTATTAGCTTGTTACTTTCTATCCTACCTTTCTTTCAAGGAGCTCAAGGCACCCTACATGGCCCTCCCCTCTCCATTTTATCCTTTCAACTGCCCCAAAGATGCTTGAAGAGTTTCATGGCTGAATGCAGGTTGATGCTGCCTCTCCTTGTTCCTACTTCGGTAGATGAACAAATTGTGAAAAACAAATGATCATGAGTCTGTTGCAGCCAGCTATGGTATTGGGCCCAGTGTAGCATGCCACAGAGAGTTGGCCTGAAAATGCAGGAGTTAAGTGGGGAAGTCGAGTATGTTGGCCTCCTAGGAGGAAAGAGAGAGAAATGGTAGATTTTTTCTTTTTCCCTCACTTCACCTTGATCCTGGTAACCGCTTGGTTCATCTTCTGAAGGAGCTCCAACAGGGAGAAAAAACGAAGCAAACATTGAAGTAAGGCTAGCAACCCTGTAAAATATTTTGCCCAAAATAATGGCCAGGGTCAACTAGCTTGCCACACTGCCCTCACTCCTTTACACATATCACACAAGAGACACAAAGAGAGAATTCAAAGGAAAACAGCAGTGTACTTATGGAAGTCCAGCAGGTTGTTTTAACATGGTATGAGAAAAAGATATTATTTTAAAGTTCAGCTTGTACAACTAGATCATGACTTTTTAAAAATGTAAAAATATTGCAGTTGCCTTAAAGCAAGCATTATAAACTCCCGAAACAGAGGGTTGATTCAACTCGATTTCTCATTTTCTGCACAAAATGCAGGAGTTATTTCCATTCATGCCCCCAAGGAAAATAGGTCAGACTCTCCAATGATCTTGTGAAATCTAGAGCGACAAAATAGGTTTGTTGGGTATTCAGACCAATGTTTCAGGTTTACTCAGTATATTTCTTCACAGCATTTCTTGCACTGTTAGACTAAAGTCTGAATGGGCCCCCAAGGCTAAAAGAAATCAGTGTAATGAAAATATGGAGCCAGGGCAACCAATTGCCCACTTGTATTCCTATAGGCCTTACTGTTATATTTATATGATGGGTTTTTGTCCACTTAAATGTTCACTTAAATTGTAGATTTTCAACATGTGATTTGACACTTTTTTGTTCCGTTTTCGCAATAGGGCAGGTCTGTGGTTCTTAAAATATGTGCAAGGGTATGGGCAGTTACTGAGGTTGTCTGAGTGGGATTACAAAAGTTCTAATAATCCCTGCTTTCAGAGAAATGCAGCAGCTGTGTGAGTTATTGATTGACTTTTGCATTGAAGGGAAAAGAAGCATGACAAGTCTTTGAATGAAGTGTTTATTAAGCTTTCCTTGGCTTCCTCAGCAGGATGGGATTTCTCCTGTTTTCTAGTATGAGAAGTAGGAACTATAGTTGGGCTTCCCTTGGCCTTGTCAATATTTGGAGCTTGTGGCGTGTTGGATGTGTCAACTGCTCCTTTAGCCAGGGCTGGCCTTGAAGATTCATTTCTGTGTGGATGACAGTGAACACAGCAATTGTTAGCTTGTGGAAGAACGCTGGGGCCCAGGGACAGCAGATGCAGTTCTTGTTTGTGCTCTCCCGCTTTTTGGTAATAAACTAGAGGCATATGATTGAGGGGGATAGAAGGAAATTACTGAAAATATGGCCTAGTTAGTAATCCTGACTTTTGTTGTCAAAATATGTCAAAAGTCTGTGTAAAATTTAGATTGGGAAAAGTATATAAAGCCTTTGATTATAACCAGTGCTTATTTTGTTTTCAATTTTCGTTCAATGTACAAACAAAAAAATAAGTCAAGGCTAGAAAAGAAAGGATTGAACAGGCTGAAAGTGCTCAGACGAGAATGATTTCTTGTGAAAAACTAGTTTTGAACAGGACAATGGTAAATACTAATCCTGTCTCTCCTCTTCCCAGACCCAACAGACATCTCTTTAACAGTATAACACAATCCTATACATTTCCCATCGAAAGTAAGTCCCATCATGTTCAATTGAGCTTACTCCCAAGAAAGTAGGTATAGAACTGCAGCTCAAAGTAGTGAAATTGGCAGTGGATTAGTGTACACTGTCTAACTCTAGCTAATATGTTAACATTTTTATATACCTACTCAGAATAGGTTTGTTTTTTACTGTGACAAAATAGGTATTTATTTATTTGTTTCAGAGTTTTAATATCCACCTTCTTCCAGAGCAGAGCTCAGGGCAGTTTGCAACACAAAATACAGTATAAACACGAATATAGGAAAATAATGCAGGACAAAACTATTCTAAAAACAACACTAAATTTCAAGTACAACTAACACAAACATCATCAAGTTCCAAAGACTTGGACAAATAGGTATGTTTTTACCTGCTGTTTCAAAGTAGCCAATGTGAAGGATTGTTGTATCTCTACAATTCTATGATCTCAGTTGAGAAGGGTTCCATAAATCATACAGGTGAAACTCGAAAAATTAGAATATTGTGGAAAAGTTCATTTATTTCAGTAATTCAACTTAAAAGGTGAAACTAATATATGAGATAGACTCATGACATGCAAAGCGAGATATATCAAGCCTTTATTTGTTATAATTGTGATGTTTATGGCGTACAGCTGATGAAAACCCCAAATTACCAATCTCAGAAAATTAGAATATTAAATGAAATCAGCCTGACCTGAACCCCATAGAGAATCTATGGGGCATTGCCAAGAGAAAGAGGAGAGACATGAGACCGAGCAATGCAGAAGAGCTGAAGGCTGCTACTGAAGCTTCCTGGTCTTCCATAACACCTCATCAGTGCCACAGGCTGATAGCATCCATGCCACGCCGCATTGAGGCAGTAATTGATGCAAAAGGGGCCCAAACCAAGTACTGAGTACTGAGTACATGTGCATGCTTCTAAAGTACATGTGCATGGACTTCTCAGAGGTCCAATATTGCTCTATTTGCGGTCCTTGTTTTGCTGATTTCATTTAATATTCTAATTTTCTGAAATTGTTAATTTGGGGTTTTCATCAGCTGTACGCCATAAACATCACAATTATAACAAATAAAGGCTTGACATATCTCGCTTTGCATGTTATGAGTCTATCTCATATATCAGTTTCACCTTTTAAGTTGAATTACTGAAATAAATTAACTTTTCCACAATATTCTAATTTTTTGAGTTTCACCTGTAGAATGTAGAGTTGGAAGGGACCTTGAGGGTCATCTAGTCTAACCTCCTGCAATACAGGAATCTTTTGTTCATCATGGGGCTCGAACCCACAACCCATCAGGGCTTTTTTTTCAGGGGGAACTCACAGGAACTCAGTTCCAGCAGCTCTCTGGTGGGCACCATTGTCATTCCAAGAGAAAAGGAGAGGTGTTCTTGGTGAGTTTTGGCACCTCTTTTTCTAGGAAAATAGCACTGGTTGGGATCATGAACAGAGACTCTACACCAGACCTTAATGCTTGGTGCTACTTAGCACTACTGTCCCAATGTTATTGGTTTTACCAAAGAGTAGAAGTAACATTGGATACAACCTACCGTGGCTCAAAACTGCAGAGCAGTCACGCAAAATAAAAGTGAACTTTGTCATCAAAGATAACTTAGCAACACTGGAAGCATATGAATCTATTATCTCAAACTATTTAGAAGGAGAAACTTTAAATCCTATTTGCAGACTGTAAAGTGATGGAAATTGTTTGTGAATCAGATGACTGATTTTCAGTGACTTAAATTTACATATTACCAACCCTTCATAAAGAGCCTTGTTATTTACTTTCATTTTTTATCCTTGCTGTTTTTATAGTAACGCATCAGAAAAAGTTGCTTTAAATAATGAACAAATTAAAATAACCTCCTACCAATTAATCATCTAATGCTTTAGCTAATTGATCTACCCATTAAAGATGACTTCCTAAACTAAACTAAGATAAAACGTTTTACGCTACCGTCACCGATTTTGTCATAGCTGAATCTTCACCAAGGAGAGGTTTCTTTGAGTTACTTGAGAGTTGTGAACATCACAGTCTAAAATAGTATGATATTTGTGGTTTTTTCCTTTGCATATTTATATTTCACCCTTGCTGTGGCAAATTGAGTGCAGTTTCTAAAAGATCTTGGCAATTCACTTGTTGTTTTTGTGGAGTCAAATCTTTGTACTTATTATAGCAGGAGGGTTGCAGGCTCCTGATAAGGGTCAAAAGAGATGTGGCAGTAAGCCAAGACAAGAAATTGCTTTGATTGGAATGTGTTTGCCTTGTCTGTAATAGTAGAAAGTAAACTAAACTATGTGTATAGTACTATGTTTTACACTTGGTGTTCTTGGATGGATATAATTATATTATTATTATTATTATTTATTTAATGCTATATGCCTGCAGTGTATTAATTTACTGTACCCAGGAAACTTAGTGTGATCTTCTGCATGCTTACTCCGCAGTAAGTCCCACCGTGTCTCGTAGAATTGCTGCCTTGGTATATGTGTCAGCTGTGTGTGTGTGTGTGTGTGTGTGTGTGTGTATGTTTTACTCTTATGCAGTGGCAACAGTTCCTGGTAACTTTATTGATTCTTGCTGATTCAGTCATGGTTATTGTAGTGGTGGTTTGAAATCTACCATTGTCATTCTAGAGTAATTGCTTTTGTTGGTCTTTTGCATAGGTCTTAGAATCATAGAATTGTAGAGTTGGAAGTGACCCTGAGGGTCATCTAGTCAAACCCCCTGCAGTGCAGGAATCTCAACTGAAGCATCCATGACAGATGACCACCCAACCACTGCTTAAAAGCCTCCAATGAAGGAGAGTCCACCTCCTTTTGAAGGAGTCCTTTCCACTGTCAAACAGCTCTTCCTGATCTCCTTTCCTGTAACTTGAATCCACTGGACTGGGTCCTAGCTTCTGGAACAGGAGAAAACAAGCTTGCTCCATCTTCCATGTGACAGCCCATTAGATATTTGAAAATGGCTATCATATCTCCTCAGTCTCTTCTTTTCTGGTGAATAACTTTATTTGCTTATTTTGAGGCATTTTAGAATGTTCTCTTCCTTTTTTTCTTTTTAAAAGTGTGCTGATTTATAATCAATGATTATAAATCAATAATAGAGGTCTTTATTTTATTTTAAACCTGTTGTAGTCTAAACAGTTATTTTTCAATTCTTGTTGGCTAGACCATCGTTTTCCGAACATGGTCCCCTTCCAACCTTGTTTCCTTCCTGTGCCCCCACAATAAGTTTTTTTATAAAAAAAAATCACTACAGATATGATGTTATGCCCCCCCCAACAAATCCTACTGGTAGAAAGGTAGCTATTTAAATGTTTTGTTTGTGAATAGAACATGTTTTATTTATAATTTTTTTTACAAAATACAATTACATAAAATGATAGGAACATAATGAAATATTGTTGAAGGAGAAAAACATAGAATCATAGAGCTGGAAGGGACCCCAGGGTCATCTTTCTAGTACAACTCCATGCAATGTAGGAATCTCCGCTAAAGCATCCATGACAGATGGCCATCCCTCCTCTGCTTAGAAACCTCCAAGGAAGGAGAGTCCAGAACATCCCAAGGGAGATCCATCTTCCATGTATTACAAAAATAAACAACACTTATTTGACCCCAGTTATTTGACACAGAGGGGGAAACCTATAGATACAGTTCAAAAGGAACACAAGGAGTGCTGTATATACAGTATGGGAGAATTTTAAAAAGCAAGTGGTCCTCATTGATCTGGTGCAAAAAGATCTTGTTATCCCGAGGGGCCCCGGGTGATAGCACACTATAATCCCCCACACCCTTACCTGGGAGTAAGGCCCACTGAACTCAGTGTGGCTTTCTTCTGAGTAGACGCTTAGTTATTTACTAGATGCAAGTCAGTAGCACCAGATGACCCCGCTCAGCTAGGCACTGGGGTGGATTTCACCCTGCACCTTGCAGAGCCATGCCAACACTGCCGACAGGCCCTGTACCCCTCAGCAGCATCTGAAGGCCCTGATCCACTAGGCGCTGGGGTGCAGTGCACCCTGCACCTTGCAGAGTCATGCCCAAGCTGCCACTGGGCCCAGCACTGGCAGCAGCAACAATCAGCTCTGGCTCGCCCAGTCCTACCCATTGCCACTCCACCACTGCAGTAATCTGACCTTTGGTTCTGGATCACGGGCTCTACTGGTCTAAATGGGAGCCTCAGCAATCGTTCTCTCCCACTGGAAACAAACCAGGACACGCACGTGGCAAAAAGGAGCATTAGGCCCTGGTGGGGCACCCACATACCCGCTTGTGATTGGCCAAGCAGATAGCCAGCCAGTCAGATTTTAAAAAATGATTCCCCCCCCTTCACTTCTCACTTTCCTCTGTGGCCCCCTAGCCTCATGCTGTGGCCCCATTTATGTGATCTTCACCTGTGGCCCCCCTGAAATATCCTGGGGAGTCCCAGTGGGCCATATAGCCCCCAGTTAGGAAAATCTGGGCTAGACTGTTTTCAATTAGCAAACATTATAATATTCTTACACTTTACTGTTTCTTCATTGTACTGTCTTCATTAGCAGCCATTTCACCTGCACCCAGCAAGTGAAAAGTGACACAGCCAATTGGCTGGGGCCAAGTATAACTTGGCTCCTCCTGTCTTAGAACTGTCTCCTGTAGGGAACATTCCACCTACCGTATTTTTCGCACCATGGGGCGCACCGGAACATAGGGCGCACCCAGTTTTTAGGGGGGGAAATCAAGGAAAAAAAATATTTCCCCCCTCCAGCCCCAAAGAGCAGTGTACAGGCTGCACACAACCTCTCCCTGCCAGAGGGGTTGTGCGCAGCTATGGAAGAAGGCAAGGCAGCGAGCGGGATGGATCCCGCTCGCTGTTTTGGCTTCCCCTTTAGCCCCGTGCAGCCTCTCCTTGCCGGGAGAGGCTGCGTGGGGCTAAAGAAGCCATAGCCCCGTGCAGCCTCTCCTTGCGGAGGGGTTGCGCGCAGCTATGGAAGAAGGCAAGGCAGCGAGTGGGATGGATCCCGCTCGCTGTTTTGGCTTCCCCTTTAGCCCCGTGCAGCCTCTCCTTGCCGGAGGGGTTGCGCGCAGCTATGGAAGAAGGCAAGGCAGCGAGCGGGATGGATCCCGCTCGCTGTTTTGGCTTCCCCTTTAGCCCCGTGCAGCCTCTCCTTGCCGGGAGACGCTGCGCAGGGCTAAAGAAGCCATAGCCCCGTGCAGCCTCTCCCTGCCGGAGGGGTTGCGCGCGGCTATGGCACAAGCCTGCATTCGCTCTATAGGACGCACACACATTTCCCCTCAATTTTTGGAGAGGAAAAACTGCGTCCAATAGAGCGAAAAATACGGTAATCATTATGACAATTCTAAAACTGTATGTAAGAATTGTTTCTAAATTTGCTTATTTTTCTCCTCTCTTCCAATGATTTTTGTTATCATGTCTGTTAATTATAAACCTATAGGCAGAGCCTATGCCTTTTGATTTTTGTACAGTGTCTAGAATTTTAGGTGCTTTTAAATAAGAATTGTAATAAAACACAGGATTCTGAATATACATGAATTATTATTTTCACGATCAATCATTTAACTAAACCGTTTTCTGAGTCCATGCAGCAGCTTTTGTATTAGTCAAGTCTTGAGATAATAAAAGTTACTGATTTCAAATCTGGTAAGGAGTATGACAGCTGCCTTACAAGGTGGATGGCAGGCTTCCTTCTCCCCTGCAGTAACACCAGAAATCAGAGTAATCTCTTCTTACTTGTAAAGTTTAAACTCTTAAAATTTTAGAAGAGTTGTAACATCTTCATTACTTTTATACAGAATATTTATGTTCATTAGCAGGGGTGATGGGTACTTGCAAAGACCCATAGAAACAAAGATCTGTATATGTATACTGTTATATATAGTATGTGCAGGAATACAAGTTTTCATAATGTATTTTTGGGGGTCTCCGGGAAAATTTAAAGAAGAAAACTTAATAGAAAAAGAAAAAGAAAGATCTGTTCATTCTTGTAATTGTTTATAAATTGTAGCTCCCAGGCAAGTACTTCACGAATTTTCCTTAATTATAATAGTTGAAGTCAAGAGAGAGTGAGTACTAACATTTTCTTGATCATGTTTATCCTCTTAGTCAACTTTGACATATTTGGTATATTGAACTGAATTCATTGCAGGCTGTAGCTAGCATATTGTAGCTCTCCTATATTCTAAATTGCTTACAGGGTGTGTTAAGAATTATTACATTTGAGAGGTCTGTAGATCTTGCCTCTGCTGTTTTGGTTGAATCTAGTTTGTAACTGAGTTGTATTGTCCTGTGGGCACTGGATTTCTCTGGGGTGAATAAATACTTAAGGACAGTTGGGATCAGTTTTCTATCCCACATAGATTCCTTACTTTCTATTTGGAGTAGACTCATTGAAATTAATGGAACTAATATCATTTAATTTGAGTAGATCTCCTATGAGTAGAACTAGCATTGCCTACAACCCCTTCTTTCTTTAAAAAGTAAAAAGCCTAGCTCATGGAAATAGATAAAGAAACTTGCTTGTAAATATTGCTGGAAGTTCAGGTGACCAAGAAACTTATAAAACTCATCAGCCAAAAAAACAAACAACCGTTTTGGGAGATGCATGGTATAAGGTTCACTGACTGAAGTTCTAACTAACATCTTGTATCAGGATAAACTCCATCCAGAGTGTAAACTTCAGATTATGAGCCGTTATTCTGTTGCAGCAAAAACAGACTCCCATAGTACCTTAAAGATTTAGCAGATTTATTTATGAAAGCTTATGCAATAATAAATTTATTAGTCTTAAAGTGCTACAGGTGTATTCTTTTTCTGACCTGTTCCTGCAATTCCTCCAAGCTTGCTGGTGCTTTTATTTCTTTGCATACTATTGCTTTTCACAAACAACAGTCAAAAATTAATTCCACAGCAAATAGTAGTTCTTGTAACACTATGGTTGATTTTTTAAAAAAATAATAGTTTTAAAGATAAATACTAAAGCTACACCACTGTATCCATGGTCATCATTAGCCAGCTAAAAGTCTTGACATAACAGGAAAGTTACATTGATAGACTTGTTAACGTAGGCTGTGTTTACTACAGAACAGGAGACTGTAACCTGGCAAGGACTGAGCAGTAGTAAATGCTATTAATAGGCATCTGTGCCGAGAAGCACAAATTGCAGAATCTGGTGAGGACCTATGGTTGTATCCAACTAAATCCTACTCAGGAGCACACCCATTGAAATTAATAAACCTAAGTTTGTTGTGCCAGTTAACTTCAAGGATCTACTCTGAGTAGCATTGGATACCTGTCCTGGTCTTTATGAGAATTTTCGCCTCTCTTCTGTTCCAGCATCGATAGTGGTGAAGGAAAAACTGGTGTGCTGGAATTGCTAGAGAGCAAAAGGGTCTTGGGTAGGGTTCTAGTGGTTGCTTAATAGATGCTTTCAAGTGGCACTGGGTTTTTGTTCTCTCAAGTTTAAAACTGGCAAATGAAATCCCTCAGAGAGTTGCTGTCTGGCTGTTCCGTTATTAGCCCAACCCAAAGGCAAAACAGTGGTTTGGAGAAAAGCATTTGTGGCTTTGTAGGGGCCAAATATGAACATATTTGTTGTTCATAGGGGGAGCAGACTTGGGCTTTTAGTGGCCTCGCTTCACTGAACAGGCATATAACTAGAGACCATATAACGAGACCATATAACACCAGTCCTGAAAGATCTACATTGGCTCCCGGTACGTTTCCGAGCACAATTCAAAGTGCTGGTGCTGACCTTTAAAGCCCTAAACGGCCTCAGCCCAGTATACCTGAAGGAGCGTCTCTGCCCCCATCATTCAGCCCAGACACTGAGGTCCAGTGGGCCTTCTGGTGATTCCCTCACTGAAAGAAGTGAGGTTACAGGGAACCAGACAGAGGGCCTTCTCAGTAGTGGTGCCCGCCCTGTGGAACGCCCTCCCATCAGATGTCAAAGAAACAAACACTATCTGACTTTTAGAAGACATCTGAAGGCAGCCCTGTTTAGGGAAGTTTTTAATGTTTGATGTTTTATTGTGTTTTTAATATTCTGTTGGGAGCTGCCCAGAGTGGCTGGGGAAACCCAGCCAGATGGGTGGTGTATAAATTATTATTATTATAGCACCTAATCCATGCTGCTTCTCCATTTCCCTCTTACTTTGTTTCCATTTTTTATCCCAGCTGTTATTGCTAGATTTTTTTTATTACAGAATTTAAAATGATTTTTCAAACAATTGGATTCTATACACAGTAGCAGCGGAGCCTCAGTTGTAGTACTAGGTAGGATACTTCCAATATTCACAGCTGAGTAAAAATAATTGTGCATGGTGCAGAGAAGAACTATAAAAATGTGTCAAGGGCTAGGAATTTCTAGAATGAAAATTTTGAGGTTGTTAGTCTGTTCAGCATATCATAAGATGGGGTAAAGGTTAATCCCCTTAGGTTTTAAAAGCTTCCATTGATGTACTGCTTTTCTTCTGCATGTGCCTTTTCATGTGCCTAGTATGTATTTGGTTGGAACAGTATAGCACATTCCAGTGTTAGCTTTGTTTGTTCCAACTAACACTCTTGAGTAAACATTCAAGTATCTGTAAAAACCTTATACATGCTAGGGTGTGTTAATAGTAAACCATGTCTTCCTACATAAGCACAGTAAGAAAGTTAAGTTTCTGCATGATAACTTGGGTTTGTTGGCTTGAAAATAATGGATTCAATGCTTTCAAATTAGTAATGAATTCAAGATATAAGAATGGAGATCCTGACTTTCTGGCAGTAAGAGCTGTTTGACAGTGGAACAGACTCATACGAGAGGTGGTGGACTCCCTTTGGATGGCCGTCTGTCATATACAATATGATACAAAACTGCCTCGGTCCTGTATACCTGAAGGAGTGTCTCCACCCCCATCGTTCAGCCTGGACACTGAGATGCAGCGCTGAGGGCCTTCTGGTGGTTTCCTCATTGCGAGAAGTGAGGTTACAGAGAAGCAGACAGAGGGCCTTCTCGGTAGTGGCGCCCACCCTGTGGAACACCCTCCCTTCAGATGTGAAGGAAATAAGCAGCTATCCTATCTTTAAAAGACATCTGAAGGCAGCCCTGTTTAGGGAAGTTTTTAATATTTAATGCTGTACTGTTTTTAACATTTGATAGGGAGCCGCCCAGAGTGGCTGGGGAGACTCAGCCAGAAGGGTGGGGTATAAATAATAAATTATTATTATTATTATTATTATTATTATTATTATTATTTAATTGAGATTCCTGCACTGGAGGGGGTTGGACTAGATGGCCCTCGGAGACCCTTCTAGCTCTACAATTCTGTGATTCTAAAATTGGTTTAACATCTACTTACAGCAAAGCTCTCATAGTTGGTGTGATGGGCATTCATGCAGGCAGCAATTTGTCATTAGTTTTGAGCCAGCTGTATTGCTTTCCATTAATACAGAGGAAGGAAATTACCTCCTGAATACCTTAATCTTGTTCAGAATGGTTTGCTTACTTTTGAACTTAGGCCTTGTTTTTCTACAGTATGGCCCTCATAGAAATCAAAATTACAGATGAAGTTCATAATAAGAATGAGAGAAGGTATATTTCAGGTGTGGGGAACCTTTGGCCCTCCAAATGTTGCTGAACTTGATGGGCTGATGGGAGTTGTAGTTCAGTAATATTTGGAGGACCAAAGGCTCCCCATTCCTGGAATTGGTGAATCAGATGAGAGTATGCTTGTAGGGACAGCATGCATTTCTTGGCTCTGAAGTTCTGCTTCTGTTTCCAAACCAAGTAGAGGGGTCAAGTTCAGAAGGAGAATTTACATGTAATTCAATAATGGCAAAAGGAAGAAGGGATAGTGCTAGAAACTCAGATATTAGCTGGGCACCAAATGGCACCTTAAATGTAGGTTGCAGTCACCACAACGGAATGTCTGCTTGACAGGGGGTTGGACTAGATGACCCTTGGTGTCCCTTCCAGTGCTACAAATCTACGATTCTATGATCTCAACTACATTGCTTGCTCTTACAACAATTCATTTATCCTAGTATGCAAGAAGGAGAAACTCACTGTGGAAATGGAAATTGTATTAACAATGGACTAAGGCAGAGGTTTTTAACTGTGGTTTATGAGTTCCATTTGGGTGGAATGGCTGTAGTACAGTCAAATACATCCGTACTCAGACCTGTACTTACTTCCCTTGATGTGATGATGGAGGACTGTAGGCGAGTCAGCTGGCTCGATGGAGATGTCAATCACCAACCTGGCACCCAGAAATCTCCACGTAGTCGCAATTGGACCTGCACCAGACATTTTGGTAGCGGTGATAGGAGGAAGAAAGCCGCTTAGTTATCAAGATGATAAAAGCAGCAAAAGTTGGTCAACAAGATACTACATTGCTATATTGTATATAATTAGTTCAAAACATGTTTTTATAAGTTAATTACTTCTAAAATGTTGAAATAATGTTTAAGAAAATCAGCATATTTTATTCAAGTATACAAAAATACGTATGTAAAGTTGAATTTTAGGGACAATTGTGTTATTAGGGGAAATATTTAAACAATATTGATTGGAATCCAGAGAATATTTTAACCATGAAAAATACCTAGAAGGCATTTTGACTACTTTCGACATTTTCCTCCATTTCAAAAGAGTGGTTTGCTCTATAGCATGGTAGCCTTCTGACAGAGAAGCAGAAGCCCACAGCCATATTGGTTGCATGTGCTCAGTTGTGCAATTCTTTGCATTCTGACTGTTGTGTTTTGCTCTGATGGCTATCTGACTTGCTCTACTGTTCTCAGAAAAAGAGATGTGTACAGATTATGTTGACCAGATGGTAGATATTTGGCTTTTACTTAAAGGGATGGAATCCTTCTAAACCCTTTCAGCAACTGAAGATATGTATGATGTGAAAAATATGATTTAAGGAGGGGAAAGTGCTCCTCTAGTTTCAGATATAACAAAGGTGGATAACAAAGCCCATTTGGAAAGTATGCTAGCTAAGGTGACAATACAATTCAGATTCACTGGTGTTGCTTGATAGTTGGAAGTTCTGATATTCTCTCTTCTTAGATCAAGGTCCTATACCTAGAAGCTGATGTGTTTATTTCAGCAAGCAGTACAGTAGTAAGATGCTAGAATGATTAGCGTATGTGTAGAATGCTGGCAGTTATTCTTGGCTGTCATAATCTTTTAGAAAGCTAATGCGCATCAGGCATGCAACTGGTATGTTTTCCAGTGCAGTTGCCAGTCATGTTGAGACCCAAGCTTGAAGTGGACAAGAATGTTGTATCTTTGCAGGGCAGAAACTGTTGGCAGAATAAATGTTCCAAAACAATTGCCGTCAGCATTCCGAAGCAAAAATCAGCAAAGATTCCTGGGCAAAAAGATGTGGCGATTCTGCCAATTTTATATATTTATTTAACAAAATTTCTATACTGCTTGATTGTAAATAAAACCTCTAAGTGATTTACAAACAACAACAACAACAACAACAACAAACATTAAAATTGGCAATAAAATATTTATTTAGAACTAAACACCTGAACTATTGGCTGTTGACATACACCTTGTGGCACAAAGTACTTTCTTAACATTAATCTTGGAATTAGGTAATTATTGTCCACAAGGGATCCACAAATCATGACTTGGCTAAGGAGCCAGCCATTATTTGTAGCTACTTCTACACCCCTCCCTTGAGTACTCCAGTATGTGCTGAGGGCTTGGGACAAAGGCATGGTCATACCTAATTTGTGTGGAGTTCAGGAAATATAAGAAACAGTGAGAGCTTCTCATCCTGCTTTTGCAAGAGGCTCCTTCTGTTTCTTACCTTGTTCAGAAACTGCAGTAGAAATGAGACCTCCATGATAGGGATCTGTGTCATACCAGATGCTTTATTTGTCAGAGTGTTGGGTGCCCTTAGCTCTGTCAAACTGCTGAGTTTTACCCCTGCTACTGGAATGCCTTCGCTAAGGAGGTACACTAACATCATAACTACTGCCTGGTTTTATTGTATATTTTGGTATGCTACAATAGAAATACATCATTATTTATAGTTTTTTTTTCAATGGAATCATTTGGATGAGTTGTGCATATAATGCTCTACATAAACTAAATAAATTAGGGCAGTATCTGATGAAGTAACTTAATTAAGACAATATCTTCTGGCTGTGCCAAAGAACTGCCCTCTCCTTTCCATGCACCTAAATTGGTTCTGGGAGGAGGGAGATTTAAGGAGAGTGGTGGGAAGTTCTGTTGAGCAACCAGATGTCATTGTGCTAATGGAACTACTTTGTTTGATACTGCCTTCAGTGACCCAAATAAGGTAGAGATTTTTTTTCTAAAGGGTAATCTGCAGTTATATATAATTGCATGTATATATAAAGTGGGTGTTGAATGCCCCATATTGCCTGTACAATCACTAAAAGTAAGCTCTCACTGAGACTACTTCCCTAGATGAGCTGTAGTGACTTTTAATTAGAGATAAAAGCACTGTCCAGTCATCCAGGGGTGAAAGTAGGCTTTACTTCCCTTGGGTTGAAGACCCAGTTTGGCAACCCCCCATACAAACACACACAGGCTGGAGCCTCGATGATGCCCCTCTGGAAACTTCACCTGAGGCAAAAACTTGGCTAGTCCCCCCCCCCCCCCCCGCTAGGCTCTGCACTGATCTACCCTCTTTCTTCCTCTGCTCACAGCCCTCCTTCCCAGCTGCACCAGGTTTCTTCTCTGTGCTGACAAGAACATTTGGACACCGGGTGTAAGCTGTGGCTGGTGTGTAAGGCTGGGCAAAGTAGCCACAATTGTATTGCTGTGCCCTTTAAGGCAGGCCTTCTTTCCAACAGTGCCTGGCCATTTTCCTTGTTTGCGCGCTTGAGCTGCTTTGAATTGTAACCCTATCTTTGCCTTCTGCAAGCAAAGTGTTAACTTGTAACAATAAACGTATTGAAGTAAGCTATCCAAAGTAAGTTTTTTTCTTACAAGGAAATTTGGGGGGCCCAAGCTGAAAGGTGGATTAGTTTTAAAGAGGCTGTTATATCACTGTTTAAAAAGACATCTAAGTGGAGTTATTTTCTCTAAGTCACACACATTTTAATGGGGGAGATTTCTGTGCCTACACAAGGGCAGATTTGAGAATATTCTAGGGTGCTTTGGCAAGGAGATAATGCTCACATTCATTCCCCTGCAAGGAATAACATTTCACCTTGTTTGCATGCCTCAAGAGTTAGGGTTAGCAGAGTATCTTCTCACTCTGTACTACTAGTCATAGTGCCAACTGCAGTTCAAAGGCTACAGCTGGATCTGTTGCCCATTGTTGCCTTGTGTGGGCTGCATTTCACTGCTTCCCTCCTGGATTCTAAAACCTGAATAAAGGGCCTGTCCTTGTATGGAAAGATATGGAAAATTATGAATGCTAGATGAGAGTCCTTGGAGAAGGTAATGAAAACCAAATTGATGATTCATTCCAAATTTTAATCCAAGCCAGGAATGTGTTCAGGGGTTTGTAGCGTTCTTTCTCCTTTTGAGGTTGGATTTTACAATTCTGTGAAGTTACTCTGTGAACCCAGCTCAGGAGAACTTCATTGGTATTTTGATTTGGGAGGCAGGCAGCATGGAATACCCTCCTCTTGGTCTCATGCAAATCCCCTCTCCTTGTGGTTGGTGTTTAGGAGCATTATTATCCAGGGTTGTTGGAGGCTAAAAACTTGCCATTTGTATGGTAATACAAAATCATGTAGCAGATGATAAATGGACGTCTTTGGGTATCTGTTTTTTGTGATAGTTTATAATGTATAGTTGAGCAAAATGAATGAAAATAGCCAGAACTTAGTGATCTATGTAATAAAAAAATGATACAGTGCATTATCTGAAAAGTGGATTGTCTGGATCAGAAACATATATTATCTCTGTTAAAGTAAATTAGTTGCTGTTTGGCATGAATATTGAGGACTGCTTTTATGAAAAAACATGGATTTATATGAAACAGAACATAGTAAAAAGGAAAATTGAGTCAGTTATAAGAGTTGAGTTGATTGTTAAGGGTCAAATTCTAACCATTCAGTAGAAATGAAACTCATTGTGCTTCTTACTGGAAAAATCTGAACAGGAACCAGCAAGGAGCTTGTGTCCTGCTTATATTTCCTTCCTAGACAATCTTTGTAATACTTTCCATATAGGTTTTGTTCCATTACTCTTGCACTACCCAATATTAGTCTTTAGTGTCTCAGAAATTTTATATACCGGTAGTTTGGAGCAGGGATGCAAAGGGAGATGTGTGATAGTGTTCATGTACGCACCAAAAGCTGGTTTGTGATTTGGCAGGGTACACTTGGTGCTCTTCAGATGCTTGTCCAAAGCCTTAAAAACCATGTAAAATTTGGTGAATGCAATTGGTTGGCATACATTGCCATAATTGTGATGGAAAGTTAGTATCTATGGAATTTCTTACAAATGCCAAAGATTTGGTTTAGTCTTTTACTGAAATCCTATGTAATTGCTAGACTCTTTCAGTGCTTTTGGACTCTTATCCCTGGTACTGAGGTAATACAACCTTTTCTTTCTATCATAGATTTGAGGCATACCAACACAGCATGATTTCTAGCATTCCTGCTATTTTGGTAGCAAAATATAGGGACATTTTTTGTTTTCTTAAGACATCTTTTTTCTTTCTTTTTAGAATCTGTCTATGACCTTCTCCCAAAGGAGCTGCAGTTACCACCTTCCAGAGAACTCTCTGTAGCATCCATGAGTCAAACAAGTGGTGGTGAGGCAGGTTCGCCCCCTCCGGGTGTAGTTGCTGCTGGTAAGTACTCCACTTGAGTAAAATTAAGAACTTAATGCATATTAATATTGTTGTCAGCATGAACAGTGCTGGAAAAGTTTGCAGTCTTAAAAAACCCCCACAAGACTAACTTAGACTTAGAAGTAGGGGAAATTATTATTGCACATTTCCTCTTTTGCCCCTATGGTGGTGCTGGACTCCTCAGATATATTATATTTTGATGTAGTAGTTGCCAGTTTAGAATTAAATGGGAGTGTTTGAATGGGCCAGAGAATGCTGCCTTGCAAACCAGGACAGAAATGAAATCTGCAGCAGTGTTCTGGGTTTGTAGCTTCTACTTTCATTTCCCCACCACCACATGGCTTGATGAAACCATGAATGATTCAGCTACATGGCTTTCTGTTTGGTCCTGAAAGTGTTTAGATGATGTGTGAAGGGATAGTTGATACCTGCTAAATGTAGGTATGTTTGAATCCAGTTACCAAAATATTTTTTAAACTTAAGTTATCACCTATTCAGCCTCATACAGTTTGTTCTTTTAAAATAAAATTCCTATTGCTGGATCATTTTCTTCTGTTTAGGGGAATGACAACTGTTTTTGTTATGAAGGGGCAAACCTGAATTGGCAGTTGGCATTCAAATTCTTGTTCATCTGGAATGCCTCCAACTTTATAATACCCTCACTAATGGATGTGCTCCAGGGTTTTCCTCTCATGGGCCGAGATTGCTTGACTGACCATGTAATATTTGTAATAGAACATCATGTGTCTAGCCTAGTCTGGCCTTCTCCATAAGGCTATTTATTATCAGAGCATAGCTGGACTAAGCAATGTGTTCAGTGCATTATTCAGTTTAGATAGGAGTGCCTTCTCTAGTATGTTCAACCCTGAAAATGAGCCTCTTGGTTTGGTAGTACAAGGCTTAAGTCTAGGGTAAAACTTTACAGCACTGCTCAATGCTGATATATTTGAATACTTTCCCTAATGAAATCTGTGGATTTAATTGTGTATTGGGGAGATTGGTAATTAGATCCAAGACTACTTTAGTTAACAAATCATCCAGTGTAGCTTCATTCTGCACTTCAGAAGCTAATTCAGTCAAAAGAGAACAACAGTTGCAAGATATTTTGAAAACTGCTAGCACTTTAAATCCACAGAAATACTTTACTGTTGATTTTCATATTTTGAGATCATTTTCAAGCATCTGATATAGTTGATGAGAAGAACTATGTGTCTGTTCCTTCTAGGCATTAGTTGTCTGACAGTCAATCCACTTCCTTTCAAAAACTGAACCTATGGGAGTTCATATTAACAAAAACTAAAGAAAACTAGCATATTCCACAATATGGTATTTATATAGGGGACCATATTAATTGAATAAGAATACTTTTTCAATATTCTTTCTATCTCTTTGCTAATAGTATTAAATGTTTAATTGATTAAATGTTTCTCTGACTTAAAAAACTTAAAAACTTAAATCCGAATAATTACAATTACTGTGGTCAGCATCCTACAGTTTGTTCCGAAGGGGTGGTTCACACTTAAGTTTTCATCATAGAGACTGCCCCTAGATTTGTAGTTTTAAAGTTTTAAGTGAGTGAACTTAGACCAAAATTTAAAAAACAGTTATTTATATTGCAGCAGTGCTGAATGTAGATACAGTAGGCTCCAAATCCAGATAATTTATAGAGAGGACAATCAAATTGCTGTAAAGGCTAACTCAGAAATTGCAGCCTTAACATGCTGGGAAGAGAATCAGTCAAGATAAGCAGAGATGGATACTGAAGAGAGACAGAGACAAAATAGCCGTGATAACAATATGAAGTTTGCCAAGATTTCTTTTGATTTCACATGGTGCATACCCTCTTAACATTTCTCCAGTGAAAATAGGAATGCTCCATTCCATTATGATAATTTTACTATTTATACCCCACACATCTTACTGGGTTGCCCCAGCCACTCCAGGCAGCTTTCAATATATATATAATTATAATAAAACATAAAACATTTTTAAAAATCTTCCCTGTACAGGATTGCCTTCAGATGGCTCAGGAGTCAAGCAACTCCATACCCTACAACATTTCTCCAATGAAAATAGGGGTGTCCTAAGAAAAAGTGGGACATTCTGGGATCAAATCAGAAACCGGGACAGCTTCTTTAAATCAGGGACGTCCCTGGAAAATAGGGACACTTGGAAGGTCTGCATGGTGCGTTTGCAGTTCTGCCACCCCCAATCATTAAAAATATATTGAAGGAAACTACCTTGTGTGCAGGTAGGAGCAATATTAATCAAGCATGTCTGGAATCTTGGAAGTGAGAGTTCTGCTACTTCGGGATATTGGAGAAACTGAGGAGAAAGCCCTTAGAGGAGTAAAACCTTCAGCAAATACATGAACGCTTATAAGAAATCTTGTTGAATAGGTCACTCAGCTTAAAGCCCACAGACCCTGCTGGTATGATAGTGTATCTCTTCTTTCTCAGCAGCATTTATCTGCCATTTGGGATTGACTCAATACCATAGACCCAAAGAGGATCCTTCTCCTCCGACATGGATAAGCTGAAGTCCCAGCTGAAACTTTGGGCCAGAGCATTCATGTGACTCTGCTCCTTTTCTACAGGCAAGGCAAAAGGCACAAAAAGAATATATTTTAGTCATTGGCTAGTAGTTGAGTTTTAGGAAGACCTAGCATTGGGAAATTCTGGAATTCTAGAAAGCATTTATCATGGAGGGGCTAATTCTTCCCAGGAGTTCTTCCCATTTCAGAGTGTGGGCCACACACTCCTTCTTTGAAGATGCAGGTTGACTTGGCTTTTACAGCTGGGTGTACTAAGCTTCCCCAAAACTGGATGCAGAGGTCATTCTGCTTGACCCTGAACCATGCCAGAGTTCTTTAAGATGTTACTTGTAGATGAAGAGGGGGACATAAATCAGCCACCACATTAACATTCAGGGTATTGTGCTCTCTGTACAGAACTGTTGTGCCTGGCCTTCTCTTCTGTAGAAATAATCATAGAATTGTAGAGTTGGAAGGGACCACAAGGGTCACCTAGTCCAACCTCCTGCAGTGCAGGAATCTGTTGCCCAACGTGGAGCTTGAACCCACAACCCTAAGATTAGGAGTCTCGTGCTCTACCGACTGAACCATCCCAATTTTCAAAGCGCAATCTAGCTAGGGACTTTGGGAAGATGGGAGTTATGGCTGTGGGATTGTGGAGGGTTTTATGAGATTGAAATCACTTATAAAATGGGACAAAGCATCACTTTCACTCATTCTAGTCCTTTCATCAGGCAGACAAGGATAGCTTCCAATCAGCCACATTGTCAAGTGGCTGGGAGGGGAAGGTGACCTTGGACAATCTAGAACTGCAGGAGCCCATTCCTTTTATGTCCAAAAAACAAAACTCCTTATTGTTTTGTGCAAATCTGTTGTATCTAATCTTATTTATCCCGAAGGGACAGTTTTCTGCTTTTTTATAATCAGTAAGAATCCAAAAGCAACTCTTTTTAAAGCTGGTTGCAGTTTCTTCATGAAGACCCAAGCAAATATTCTGTGTTTTGGCTACATGTAGAGCTCCCTCTTCTTTATTTAAGCTTTCTGACACAGTTGCCATTACTGGTGCCAAAGACTAGATTAAGAGGAGAGAGCTGGTAAAAAATATTTTCCTCATTTAAGACTTTACTTCATTTGTTCTCTGCTTCCCTAGCCACAGGGTGACACAGTATCTGGCTGCAAATCAGATTGCCCCAGGTTTTTCTTTCAGTGCTTTGATCTGAGGTTCTGGGACACATAAGCAGGTTACATAAAGATTTTCTGCAGTTAACTTCAGATTTCTGGAGGAACAGGATTGGCTGATTTCAGGTATGAGGGCCTGCAGGAACAGACCGCTAGTTCTGCTATTACTGTTTGGCTTCCAATTTTCAAATCAGTCTAAACCATTTTAAAACTGAGTCTTGGTAATTGGTCTTTTAAGAGCACATTTGATTATTTTAACATAAAAGGTGTGTTTCATATTCATCAATCCAAACATGAGGTGGTTTCTTTGTAAATTAACCAGCTATGAATTCTTAATTTTAACATAGTTCTCAGCTTATTTCTGAACTTTCATGATGAACTATATATAGTTAAGCTGGGAAGAGTTGTCTGTCTCTTGAAGGCAGATACGTCTTGATAACACCTCTGTGTGTGCGGAGAGAGAGGGAGAGAGAGCTTATCCTTTCTGTGCAGCCAGTTTATTTCTAAGTGTCTCTTGCCAGAAGGTGCAGACAGGTGTTTCTTAGCAGGATACTAGCATTTAATGTGAAATGCTGTGTTTGCTAAGTAGGAAGAAGCAGTGCTTCAAGAATGGGTCTGAGAAATGACCTGTCTCAAATCGGTTGCTTTTTCACTCCCAACACATATCTGCCAACCTCCCTTTCACAGTTTGATATTAAACTTTATAGCATCACAACAAATGTCTTAAAACAGGGGTAAGCAAACTTTTTCAGCAGGGGGCCAGTCCACTGTCCCTCAGCCCTTCTGGGGGGCCGGACTATATTTTGAAAAAAATATATGAATGAATTCCTATGCCCCTCAAATAACCTAGAGATGCATTTTAAATAAAAGGACACATTCTATTCATGTAAAAACACACTGATTCCTGGACCGTCCACGGGCTGGATTTAGAAGGCGATTGGGCCGGATCTGGCCCTTGGGTCTTAGTTTGCCTACCTCTGTCTTAAAAACACCATGCAAATCTCTCTTGAATGAGGGGCCATGACTTTCACAAGGTGGAGAAAGGTCAAGTGCCTTGTTTTTAATCATTTTGATTTGCTTGAAGGTAAAAAAAATAAATGCAACAATAAGTGCTCCTTTAGTTTACTTTTACCCTAAGTCGGTAAAATTTTATTTTTTAATTTTTGCAAGGAATGCACTTTTAAACTAGAAATATTAGCTTCTGTCATATTAGGAGCAAGTAGTTGCTCAGAAACTTGAGTATAAAAACACATCTTAGGTCATTTTGACTATATTTGTCCATAATAGCAAAGGGTTCATTTGTCTTCTGTAGCTTCTCTTTATACTTTCTCTTTTGACATGGTTAATGTGACATGAGGCTTAATTTGCATGATAATGTGCATTATACCTCAGAGTACAATATAATTCTGACAAAGTTTCAAATTCACGTAGTTTAAAAACTGGCAAGATTCTACATATCAGTGGAAAGAGGAGGAGATAAATCATATTTTTTTAAGATAGTGATTTATGTTGTGTGTGTATTTGGCAAAAAGGGGACTAGAAGGGATTCTTATCTGTCTTCTAAAGGCAGGTTATGTTGTTTGACATTGTGCTGTGTGATCTAACAATACAGCATCAATAGTTTTAGACACACACTGGCACACATACGGCTCCAGAGAGGCATAGCAGAGTTCATTGTCCAGTTAACTTTATGAGACTTCGGTGGCTGCTTTAGGGATGGTTTCCTCATCTGCCTGAATTGCTGTGCAATTTAAGCTTAGTCATGTTCTTCACAATACACTGCACAAGGACCCTTGCTACATACATTGTACCTGCTTTCTTCTTTGCACTAAATCCAGTAAAAGTAAATAGGTGGTTTGCCAGTGCCTACCTCTTTTTATCCTGTTAAAACTCTTTTCTCTTCTTCTCATAGAATCTCAGAATTGTAGAGTTGGAAGGGACCGCAAGGGTCATCTAGTCCAGCCTGCTGCAATGCAGGAATCTTTTGCCTAATGTGGGGCTCAAACCCATGACCCTGAGATCAAGAGTCTCATGCTTTACTGTGGTTTTTTCTTGACTGATCAGTTATATTTGCTCTTGAACAAAACACATTTGTTTTAATAGGATAGATTTGGGGTGAGTTTGTTAGCTGTCAGTCTATGTTTCCACTGAGCAGTAGTTGCAGGGTTTTGCTTATGCTTATGGTAAGAACAGGGACGCGGGTGGCACTGTGGGTAAAAGCCTCAGTGCCTAGGACTTGCCGATCGAAAGGTCGGTGGTTCGAATCCCCGCGGCGGGGTGCGCTCCCGTCGCTCAGTCCCAGCGCCTGCCAACCTAGCAGTTCGAAAGCACCCCCGGGTGCAAGTAGATAAATAGGGACCGCTTACTAGCGGGAAGGTAAACGGCGTTCCGTGTGCTGCGCTGGCTCGCCAGATGCAGCTTGTCACGCTGGCCACGTGACCCGGAAGTGTCTGCGGACAGCGCTGGCTCCCGGCCTATAGAGTGAGATGAGCGCACAACCCTAGAGCCTGGCAAGACTGGCCCGTACGGGCAGGGGTACCTTTACCTTTACCTATGGTAAGAACACTTGTGAGATTATCACGTGTCTCTTACCAGCTTCGTAGAATGATGACTAGTGTGAAAAATTTACCAAACTAATTATCGCATATTGTAAAGATTGGACCAGAAAGGACAGTCATTTCCTTTCTGGAGAAATGTTAAGTTTATTTATCAAGACAATGCAGCATTTCCTTGTGTCTGGAGAGGAATACTGGGCAGGGATAAATAGGTATGAGGGCTCTGAATTCATGCTTGCTGGTTGATTGCAACTGATTGTCGCTCTTGAGTGGCAGACCACCTAGTCTGAATTGGTGAACATGAATCACCCAACAAAAGTTCCAGGTAAGAAATAACCACTTGTGCATCTGTAAATATGAGTGTCAAATTATGGATTTCCCGTCTGTCAAAGCAGACTGAATCCTGTTTTTAATTGTGTTAAATAATACTTGTTTTGGCATGTGAATGTAATGGGGAATTTAAAATTGTTTGGGGTTTAATGTAAGTAACCAACCTACTTTGAATCTGCCTTGAACTTTTAAAGTAAATTGGATTGCTTTTATGATATTTGCTGGGATGCTAGCTGTTTTCTCTATTAATACACTTAACTTGCATTCTAGCTCCGCCATTCAGAGACAGGCATCGTGTGGTGGGTTGTGTGACAGTGTCTGTCAATAGTGAAGACAAATAGTACCAGAGACACTTAACCCATCCAATCTCACCCAGGGTATAGGTCGGTCTTGTTTTCAGACTTCTTCATAAGTCTTTCCTTTCTTTTTCTTTTTGTTTTGTTATAAATAGTGGATTGACTGAAGTTAAACTCTTAATAAAGTTTTTGATTTTACATCAATAAATGAAGCTGAAGAAAAGTAAGCAGCCAAAGTTGACACAGAAGGTGTCGGAAGCAGGTTTGCAGCCACTTTGTCCCGGTTCATACTTCTACCTTTGACAACACAAGGGCTCGTGTCCTTCTGTCTTTACTCCAAAACTGTCGCTCTGAATTCACTGGTCCTGCAAAATTAACCCACAGAAAGATTTGAGCAATATTGGAAGTGGAGACTACCAAGAATAGAAAATGCAAGGTTCATAAATGACACTTGTGTAGGGATAGGCTCTGGGGATTGAGTCTATCAAAATGCCAAGGGTTCACCCTGTGTTGTTGAATGCTTATTGTTTTCATTCTGTTTTCTGAACAGCAAATAGCATGGCAAGTGTGCCAGTTTCTGGAAAGCTGTGAGTTCTTCCACCAGCTGCTTGTGCATAATAGTGGTTCATATACAGGTGGCATCCCAAGCCTTAGCTTTTGATCTCTCATGTTCTCCACTTTGGAAGGTGACTTTGCCTTGCAGGGTAGCTTGCCTGTTAGTTTTCTCATCACTTGAACTGATGTTTGGTCTTCTTGAAAAGCCTTGTAGCCCTGAAGGGCTTATGTTAAGAGAAATACCTTAGGGCAAGAAATGGCTTCCTTTAAGCTCTGCCTAAAGATAGCAAATCTCTCTGAAACTAGCAGTGAGCTGATGGAGGACAGAGAATTTTAAAAGGGCTTAAAATCTTAGAGTCTTAGTCTCCCAAGGTTGTATAAAGCTATTGTAGCTTTAGCTAGTAACCCAAGCTGCCCATAACCTCTTTGATTCTCATCTCCTAAATCTTATTCTGAGGAGAGGAGAGGCTTTAAAAAACTGCCTCACTGCCATAAAAACAAAATGCTTATTTAGGTTAAAAGCTACTAGTACCTGGAAAGCAAAGGGTCTTTGCAAACTGACATGAGCTGTCACTTGTAGCACAGAGCAGGGGTGGCCATTACTTTGCAATGCACTGCACAGGCTTGCTTTGAGTCCTTTTGTTTCTAAGACAGAACTGAAGCAGATGCCAATAAGGGTGCAGGAGCTTGTTGTTCTTTCTTGAACTACATATTTTATTTCATCTTTGACTATTGATGGTATTGGAGCTCAAAGGGCTTTTAACTTCCAGTGTGATCTCTCCTGTTTGGATCTTGGATGAGCTAATTATAAAATGACTTGCACAGATAACTGTGTATTGTAGTTTTTGTTGCCATGCCTCTGGAGACTGTCATAAAACATTCTTGGCATGTGATTGTAATTCTAAAATGGCTTTAAAATGTAACTGAAACTGAACCTTGTTAGACTGTAATCTTGTATTTAACAAAATGCAGTAAAAATATCCAACCCTCCCCAAACATCGAGTTTGTGCTTATTGAGCTGTGTCTCTTGGGTCCTAGTGAGTAAATTCTGTTCAAGAAGTAAGAGGAAAATGCTTAAAGTGGGAGGACTGTGTTTCTGGGTTAAGGTTGCAAAGTGGGAATATTAGGGGTTACTTTCTGGTGACCACCTTCCTAGAGAAAGCCAATTTCCTTATGTCTTGGACTTGGCTAACTCCTAATGGCTGGCACTCTTAGTGCCATGATTTGGGCTCAGTTGAAAGGACATTTTGTTAATAATAAAAAGGGTTTGAGACTGCTTTAGTATGGAGTGATCAGTCAAGGGATTGCCATTACTTTTTCAGATTGAATTTAACACTGCATCCAAATTATGTATACACTACCTGAAAAAATAGCATTTATCTCACTGATGTGTAATGCATCAATCATTTCCTGAGCCTTTTCAGCTACAAAAGTAAAGAGGTCCGCCTGCCTAACTTCAAATGCAATAGTAGGATGTTGGGCCTGGGTTATATTATTAATATTGGTATAAGGACATATAATTAGTTCTTTTTCATTGGTGTGACTAAACTTGCCTATTTTTTAAGCTTTAAAGCTTCAAGTTTATAACTTGGCACAGCTGTGATTAAGTAAACCAAACAATTATTTGGTTGCAGTCCACATGACTGATTCACAGGGGTAGCAAAAAAATAGGGTCCTGGTAGTCTGTGTTTTTCAAATTATCTGCAAAACTATACTAATTGGAGAATTTCCTTTTAAGGAAGTTACTATTTATTTAACACAGGTTTCAAGCTTTAACTTGGTGCTAATATTTTGCTTGATAAAATTAGCATACCTTGGCTTTCTTGGTAGGATTTTATTTTATGTGAATTCCCTCTTCAGGCTGCTAATCCTGCCTGGCATAACTACCCCAGTGTGGACTGATGTGAAAGTTCCAAACTCTTCCATGTTAGATAGGAACATGGTTACTTTTCTATCCACACTATTCACAGATCAGCATAATGGGCTGGTGCCAAACACACAGCTTAAGTGTGTAAACTCTCTGCACCTTAAATCAAAGATGAGGCAGCCTCCGTACTAACGCCTGACCCTTGTATGATCATCTTTGTTTGGGGAAGAATCCAGAGATGGTCATATTCTGCATGGAGTTTCCTTTCGGGGTGGGGTGCTACTAGAGAGGGGGAAAGGATTGTCTGCAGCAATGCAAATTTAGAGCATTCTTCCTGCATGTTTTACAGTGCATGCAGTATGCTAGCCGCATTTTTGCATTTCTAGGTGGGTGACTATTTAAAAGCAAATGGAAGTTAGTGCTATTTTAACAAAAGCTAGCTAAAAAAATAATGTCCCATAGCAAACTTTTCAACTCAAAGTGGCTGCAAATCAGCAATTATATATAGTCACTGAAATTAGCAAACTTTACATCTTTCTAAGGAAAGCATTGCATTAATGCATGATACAAAAAGGACTTGGAAAATGTTTTGGTTTTTTTTAAAAAAAATTAAAATGCAGTTCTGAGTGACTGAAACTTCCAATTTCAGCCACTGCATTTGCCAAGGAACAAGCTGGAAAATGGAACTGGTATCTGTCAGTGGCTCCAGATTATTCCAGAGACTGGCTGGAGATGGGATGGGGGTAGTTCTAAGGGAAGAGTGCACTGTTACCTGACTGATAGGTTCACATTTGAAACCTTCATAACTAAAACTAAACAGAAGATTGATCTGTTTTGCTTTTAGTCTATATTTCTTGGGCTTCTTAATGCAATACTAACATTTTCACTAGGTCAGTATGTCAGTTTATGTTTTTTCTGTACCTTAAGTATATTATTGCATATTGAATGCATTTAAAAGAAAAGGAACCTGCAACAATCTTAATTCCTTTTTCTGACCCTTTCAGTTTATACACAGAAATTCTGTTCATTGAGTCATCAGAATCCACCTTCCTTTTTATAGTTAACATAAGTTTTACCAATCTTGTTTGCTCCCTTCAGCAGGTAGTGCTATCAATTTAATACAGCTATTTTTTAAGCTAATTATTCTGGAATAGGGAGATGTCTTAAGCTGGTGGGTAATTTTTTTATTTCGTAGCATTCTCAGATATATGCAGAGAGTTGCAGCCAACAATCTCCTTAGCTCAGAGCAATCACTTTGACTTCAGGACACTGTTGAGGAGTGAAGGCTTTGTGGGCAGTTAAATATATTTTATCTATGCATTCTTCTTGCCTAACCTGCTTTTAAGAAGCCCTAGTCGCAAACAGATATCTAATTCTTAGGCCTGGTAGTTATTTAGCCATCAACCCTAATAATGTTCCTTTTGCTGAGACATGGGCTGCTACTTATGCCATCAGTAATGCTGGGTGGCTTTAATTCGTTTTATATTTTTATGGACTTGAAGTAACACATAAGGAGGTGACTTGATCATGCCTCTTCCATTTTCTTACCAGCATGCTCTGATTTCAAATCTCAGCTGAATAATTTTTTTTAAGCCATAAATGGTGATTGGTACCAGTTCCATTTTGTTGCGATTAAGTTATTTTTGTCTTTCATTTCTCATTTAATAGTTAATATCTGGAATAATGAGCAGCTCTCTTCTCATTTATTTTCTCATATTTTTATTCCAGGATTTGCCTCTGAAGCAGGGAGTGTCTGCATTAAAAATGACCTGTAGTTCTCTGCTTCATAGGTTAGAAACTTATTTTAATACTTTGTGGCTAAGCACAGTCCCACCTTTTTCAAAAATTTCAGATGCTGGTTGATTGGCATGAAATGTGGCCTAAAAGCACTGACACATGTCTTGCATTGGGGTTCCTATCATTTTAGATAAAATGGCTTAAACTCATAGTCCAGCTGAGGCAATAAAAGCGCCCTTGTTTGCTTACAGCCTTTTTATGACCTAAAGAAAATTTAAAGAAAAAAGTCTGATTGCCACATGCACAAAAATGGAAGTATCATTTGGACACTTTTCAGAATACTTCTGTGTTGCTTAAGGCTTATATCACTTGAAGTGTTTAAATTCAAAAACAAGCCAAATTCCAAAACATTCATTTGGGGGAAAAATCAGTTCACTAATCACATTACTTCAAAGGGACTGCTATAGCCAGCACAGTTGGGATCATGTACCCTGTATTTACTTCTGAATTGTACACCGCAGATGCTTCTTCAGCTCCCTCCTCTTCCTCCATGGGCGGTGCTTGCAGCTCCTTTACCACCTCTTCCAGTCCCACCATTTACTCTACCTCAGTCACTGACAGCAAAGCTATGCAAGTGGAGAGCTGCTCCTCAGCCATGGGGGTAAGTAACCGAGGGGTAAGTGACAAGCAGTTAACCAATAACACAGCCCAGCAGCAGCAACAACAGTCCACACCGAAGAGGCACACAGTCCTGTACATCACACCACCACCGGAGGACTTGCTGGACAACAGCCGGATGTCCTGCCAGGATGAGGGGTGCGGATTGGAATCTGAGCAGAGCTGCAGTATGTGGATGGAGGATTCCCCCTCCAACTTCAGTAACATGAGCACCAGTTCCTACAATGATAACACTGAGGTGCCACGTAAATCACGTAAACGAAATCCAAAGCAGAGACCGGGGATCAAACGGCGAGATTGTGAAGAGTCAACCATGGATATCTTTGATGCTGACAGTGCCAAAGCGCCTCATTATGTCCTTTCTCAGCTCAGCACGGACAGCAAAAGCAACTCGAAAGCAGGAAATGGGTTGGTATCTGCCTTTAAGTTCTATCAACATATGTTTAAAAAACAAGCTAAAAGCATTACCTTAACTTTTCCCTAGTGTTCAGCTCAGGTTCACACTGAGAAATACAGGAGAGGTGATAATCTGGAACTAAGTTCAATGGTTTCTTATGCTAAAATGCAAGGTTTACATATGAATATATATTCTAGTCTGATTTAGCAACTATTGAACTAATGTGTCCTGGAATTGTTGTCTAGCTCTTCCCTGTGGAAACTGATTAGTGAATAGGAAGCTTTTCAATAATGTTAAAAATGTAATCCCTGAAGCTGAGATCGGCTCCTCCATGTCTTCCTCAACAGTACCATACAAAGCTATTTATAAGGGATCTGCACTTCGCCTACTTCTGTTTCACTCTCTCCATCAATTAAAGACAGCTGATTTTGATCTTATTATATTAACACTTACTAAAATGTTAAAATATGCTGAACCAAATTTCTGTTCCATGTCACTTCAGTTATGTATTTGATTTTTCAGAAATAAATCTCTAATCCTGTTTTGCTGTGTGCTTCTCGGTTGTGTGTGTGTGTGTGTGTGTGTGTGTTGCTGTTGTTGTCTGTAGTCATGCCTGGGTGGTGGTTTCTCATCTTTTCCACTTCACACTTTTCACTTAACTGCATCTCAATTTAGAAATAGTGGCTTGGATCCAAAGGTCCTGCTGCATGAGCAGAATACAGTTCCACTCATAAGGTTGTATGTGTCACTGTTTCTCTCCATCTGCAACCTCAGTGTCAGTTTAAAACAAGCTACAGAAGGATAGGGTACCTTCAGAGTAGAGAGGTGAGTGCAGTTGCCTGAAGAATCTCTCTCTCCCTCTCTCCCTCTCCCCCCCCCTCTCTCTCTCTCTCTCTCTCTCTCTCTCTCTCTCTCTCTCACACACACACACACACACACACTGCTCATACAGGGGAATATTGGGATCCAAGTGATTGCCCACTGGTTTCCAGTAATGTTTATTTTTGTAGCTCATAATAAAACAGTGGGCTTATTTTATTTTCTGTATGTGTTTGTGGTATGTTCACAAAGCTATCCTTAGGTTGGTGAATATTGTGCAGATAGGACACACCTTCCCATCTGTAGGAAAATCACCTTCAATTTGTGTACACTTTGTTGTTCCAGTTCCATACTTAAAATATAACTTTGTAAAGGTAGATTATAATAAACTCTACAGAGTATATTTTATGTTGCCACTGCAGCATTGTTATAATTTGGTATCCTTTGCAACAAAGCAGAGAGTTTTCCTCGGACAAAGGTGATTAAAAACTCAGAGGACAGACATAAAGTAAGATGTTTTATGCTTGTCTTGCAAATTTCAAAATTGGCAAGCATTGCCAGAATTTATTCAAACTAAAATAGATACAGGGAAGGTTTTCTTAAAGTGGTGAGTTCTTCAAAGAAGTAAGTTCGGTTTCTTGAGATTAACAGTGTAATCCTATGTGTGTCTACTTCGCAGTAAGCCCTATTGGGTTTGTTTTTGGCTTACTGATTGTGGCTTGTTGGAGTGAAACAAACCATGCTCCCTGCTTTGGAAGCAGTGCAAAGTGAGGAGGAATTGGTGTTTGTTTCCTTGGCCCATAAGCAGAGAGAAGCTAAACAGGCCTTTTTAGGTGTGATCATGGTCAACCATTAACCATGGTTTACTCTGTTGCACAAGCAGGGCTGGTGACTTGCTCAAGGACTACTCATTGAGCTCCATGGCTAAGCAGAGGTTTAAACCTAGACAGGTTTGAACCTCAATATAGTTTTCTTTCAACAAGGTGGTACATGGAAGAGTAGTGCAGCTAGCCAGTAGCATTTATAGTAATAATGATAATATAACAGAAATTATTGTTGTTAATTTATTATTATTCAAGACACATATCTGGAGTCATCCTGAATAGCTCAGTGCAAATGTTGCCATCACAAAAGGCAAAGTACTACGATGAAAACAATTGTGTTTGACTACTAGAGGCATGGTTCTGGTTTTCATAAAATACCTGTCTAACCTACTGGACTTTATATTAACCAGTAGCACCTAAGTAAAGTGTGTATTCACATTTTAGATCCCTGGACATTGATGAGAAACGGGAAGAGAAGGAGTATTTAGCAGAGTGACACTGTGATGACCCCTTCAGCATACAGAATTTTGGAGAATTCATAGAAGGCTCTTAAAATGCCACTGTCACTTTCTCAAGGATGAGAAGGAGAAGTTCTAGTTGTGCAGTTGATTTATGAATACTGCTTATGAACGAGCAGATTTAGGTAGAAATTGTGAACACAGATTCTTGTTTACTGTGTTATAGGCCTGCCGTCATGTACTTGAAACTCTCATGAGATTTAAAATATTTATTTTATCCAGACCTGTCCTCAAATGCAAAAACCGATTAAACATCTTTTTAAAAATAGGTTTTCGTACAGCTGCTACTTTTGCTAGACCAGGGGTAGTCAACCTTTTTATACCTACCGCTCACTAATGCATCTTTCTTGATGGTAAAATTTCCTTACTGCCCACCAGTGCTCGATGGAAGGAGGATTCAGCTTGTGCCATAGAACCCCCTACCGCTCACCTATAATCCTGAAATGCCCACTAGTGGGCGGTAGGGACCAGGTTGACAAGCCCTGAGCTAGACCATAGCTAAACATAGAATATATGCCAAGTGCCACTAAGAGAGTTTTTTCATGCTTAGATTCTATTTCATTTGTACATAAAGTTTGTTACGTAGCAGTCTTCCACACTGTGCATGAAGCCTGGAGAGAAGTCCCAAAATAGGGTTGCCAGGATACCCCGAAAGTTGTTGAGTTGTGGGTTTTTTTGGACAAACCCCAAAGTTGTTGAGCTTTTCTTTTTCACGAAAACACAAAAGAACCCACGATTTTTTGATTGAGGTAGAACACTTATCAGCATTAAACACATTTTTTCCAGGGCCTTTTGGTAGCAGGAGCACAGTGGTGGATGCAGGTTTTATGCATTCCAGACTAGTACAGCAGACATTTCAAGCAGTATTTTCTACGAAGCTTTACTAACAAAGCTTAAAGTACTAAAGTACTAAGTACTAAAAGATCCGTAGTGCTGGAAATAGCCATGAAACTCCTGTGTTGATTATGGCTGTTCTTGAATGATTTTCCAGGCCTTTGTGGGCTGAGATACTGAGGTCCTGATGTAGACCTGTTCTACTTTTCACAATGCTGTATTGTGAGAACTGGCTTAGGGCTGCCCATGCCCCTGGTTTGATGTTATAGTGCACATGCTGGTGTTCAAGAAAGAAGACAAGTACTTTTTAGTTCACAGAGGACAAACTTAAAATATACGTAGGCACTCAGATCTGCAGAGCACACAATTCATTCCCATTCTCCCTATGAGCCAGTGAGGACTTGTACAAACAGAAGCCCACATCAGGGATAGGGCATGTTGAAACAGCATTCCTAAAAATCTTGAAGGTAGGGATGTCCGAAAGACAGTGCCCTTTGGGGGCCTTCTTCAAATTGGTTTCATTTATGGAACTGACCATTCAATGCAGTTTCTAAACAATGTTGCTGGTTAGAGGCTGAGCCGTGTTGCATGTATTACTTCATTAGAGCAGACTCAGCAGCTTAAAGAGATGGTTCTAAAAGAAATAAATCAGACTGATCCGTCACTATGTAGTGTCTGTAAACTTGAACTTCCAAGGTCAGGAGCAAAGCAAGCCTTTCCTTTTACCACTGAAATATTTCTCTTCACCTTGGATGCTACACAGAATGTACATTAGCAACAGCTAGATGCTGTTCTGTCTAATCTACTTCTGGAAAGGGCAGAGGCCCCTTTATTTGTGTTGCAAAATAGAAAAATGTTTAATCAGGTCAGCCCATGAGTGGCTCCTCCTTCTAAATCTGCATCACAGTAATAAAACATTTAATGTTTTCAGCCTGGTGAAGATTGATGTGCAGTGTTTTATTATTTAAATAATTGCATTTATGCTACAGGAAAAAATGTAGGCACAATCAATCATAGTTTAAGTGCCATTGATTTCACTGGGAGAGTTACTTATGCTCTCTTTAATTTGGTGGAAAGTTTGAAGTGCTGCTGGATTGGGCCACTTGTATATAAGGGGGGAAAAACTAATGGACAGTGAAGCAAATGTAATCTCAGGACACAAATAAGTAGCATCCAGCAGCCATGTGGTCTGGGATATGGCCTGGATGCCCAGAATAGAAAAAAATTTATCACAATCAATATAGTCATTAAAGGAATATTGTATTTTAATAGTCCTAAAATGGATTTATTGGCCTAACTATATCCATTTCAAAATTCATGTTTCACTTAAAGGATGCAGGATTTTGCATATACAATGTGAGTTCTGCTCAGCTGTATGCATTTAATTACATAGTCTAGGGATTTACAGTGACCACTGTTCAAAATGGTTATAATTAGTGACGAAAACATGATGAACAGTTTTAAGATGCCTGCCATCTCATGCCATCTGACTAGATTTATACAGGTATTTTTGCCTAAATAGCAGTGTGCCTTTTTCTTACATTCTTACATAAAACAAAGATTAAAAGGGCTTAAGTTTCAGGCTATATGGTTTAGTTACTGAATTTCTGTTGTGAGTACGGTACATGAAACCACACACCCCCTTCTACATTTCTTCCCAGTTTGCAGTCTTGCGTTGTGATTTTATATTGGTAGATTTAAGTATGGCCCAGATCTGTGTTCTTTTCTCTTCCCCCTCCCCACCCCAGTTGTGCTTGTTTTTTAAAGAAAGCCTCTGGTAACTGAAATCACTGGTCTGCTTTAACTCTTTAGAACATCAGAAACCCCAAAAACAACTGGAGGCAAGAAGAGTCCTATGTTATGTGGTCAGTACCCTGGTAAAAGTGAAGGCAAGGAGCTGAAGATAATGGTGCAGCCAGAGACACAGCACAGAGCTCGCTACCTAACTGAGGGCAGTCGGGGCTCGGTGAAAGACAGAACACAACAAGGATTCCCCACCGTAAAGGTAGGCCAATTCAATTTTTGGGGTGGGCCAATTCAGGAGTGTGCTGCCATTTATGGTAAGTGAAAATCCAGTTCTTCACCCCCAGCCAAACCTGCCTCTGGCCAAAAGACAAACATACTAGGTCCTCCATGGCATCATGGGTTTCCCTGCAGTGACAAACTGTTGCCAGTGCCACGGTGTGTTTTTCAGTATTGATGTTGTCATTCTAAGTTGTAAATTGCACTAATTTAGAATCTGTGTATATAGTTCCATATTTCTCAGGGATGTGGCTTTTGTGTTGTTTGGAGAGTAGAGGTCTGGATGTTTCTTAGTTTAGTAAAGAGCAGCCTTTCTTGTTGAGTGGAGGATGTGTAAATATAGACCAATAGCTGCTCTCAGCAATTAACGGTTAAATGAATGCACAGAGCACTGTCTGTGCGGCTGTTCATCAGAAACTAGGCAAGCTGTGATGTAGTGCATCAGAAAAAGGTGTGAGGAAGCCCTCAAAGACTGTGCTAAAACTGAATGGGGCTCTGTACCTACAATGGCTTTCTAACTTTTAGCCTGGAGTATGGACAGACTTTTAGGACATCAGTGTTTAGCCCCACAGTGCACCAAGGAATTACAAAATGCTACTAATCCAGCTGGTGGGGATTTGTTTTGCTCATGTTGCCCTTGAATATTTGTGGGTGTTAAACTCTTAATAGAACAAAAAATAGCATGGATTATTTGGGGAGAGATATTTCAATCACTTAACTACATCACTTTCTGAGCAAATATAAAGTTTGAAAGATGTTGTATCTTAATAGTGTACAGACTGAATTGCTTTTATATGTTTTTGTGCATGTACAGTTTCTGAAGAATTTATAATCTAGAAGTGTTTAGGACTGTTTTGTGATGGTGTTTCTGTATTTTATAACTACATGTTTAGAAAGTCCATTAATTTCTAATAGGTTTTTGAAAATGCCACTGTTTCTGAATGGATACATAATTAAATACAATAAACACACTGGAATAAAGATGAAAGGATTTCAGTTTGGGACTAAATTGCAGATTTGCTATTTATAAGCAAGGATTCTGATTCCTGCTTGATGGTCTCAGGGAAGTATAACTGAGATATTGCATAATTAACTGGAATTAAATTGGTTTAACATAGCCTGCAACAACTGAAGAGTTGAGCTGTTATTTTGGAAAAGAGAAGACCACTGGGTTTTAATACTAACTAGTGTTCTGATGTTCAAAATACCTTTTACATTGTAATATTTGCAAATTATTTGCATTGTCTGTTGTAGTCTATTAACGCTTTCCTGCCTGTTTTATGGTTGTAGCTGGAAGGTCACAATGAGGCTGTGACGCTGCAGGTCTTTGTGGGGAATGACTCTGGTCGGGTGAAACCTCATGGATTCTATCAGGCCTGCAGGGTTACAGGACGAAACACCACACCCTGCAAAGAAGTTGACATAGAGGGTACCACCGTCATTGAGGTGGGCTTGGATCCAAACAACAACATGACCCTGGCGTAAGTCACTGTTTTTCATTGTACTATTTCTGGGTCTCTCAGTGATTCTGTAGCAGCATATTTCCTGCTTTGGATTACCTGACAATTTAAGGTCCCTTTCAGCTCTTTATGATTCTGTATATACTCAGATCAGGCATTTTGAATTGCAATAAAAGGCAGTAAATATGGGAACTACTTGAATACACTTAAATTATTTCCTGTACATTGGCCCCAATCTAGAGCTCTTGGGATTCTGGTCTGCACAAAATGCATGTAAGCAGACACTTTTGTGTCAGAACGCTAATATGTACAGCATTTCAGTGCATGTAACATCTCCTACTGCTGAAGTTAATGGGGCAGCCCCAGCTTGCCTAGAAATCTGTGAATGTGGAGGAGCCTTTCATGTACCAATACAGTGGCACCTCTGGTTACGAACTTAATTCATTCCAGAGGTCCATTCTTAACCTGAAACCGTTCTTAACCTGAGGTACCACTTTAGCTAATGGAGCCTCCTGTTGCTGCTGCGCCGGTGGTGTGCAATTTCTGTTCTCATCCTGAGGTAAAGTTCTTAACCCGAGGTACTAATTCCAGGTTTGTGGAGTTTGTAACCCGAAGTGTTTGTAACCCAAGGTACCACTGTACATCTTAATAGTTGAATTGGACTACTTACCAGCATGTTGGATGCTAAAAGATAGGCAGTCTGCTCCCTCCTTTGCTTAGGCTGACACATTGTATACAGTGACAACTTTTAAGACCATGTATATAAATATAATGTTTATAAAGTATTTTAGATACGTGGAAATAAGATGAAGAGAATACAAGGCATATTATTCCGAACTCTTAGATCCTTCTTTTTAAAAACGACAACAAATAACTGATTGGCAAAAGTGACATTGTAGAGACTCTTCTGGAAAATGCAGCTCTCCCCACTTTTCATTGTCTTGTGGGGTGTTTTTCTTTTGACAGCTGTAAGACAAGGTAGGTGGAAGGCAGGACTAAAGTATGCCTCCCCAGTTAACACTGTGAAAGCTGCCAGTGAACCGGTGGCAAGGCTAGGTGAATGCATCAGCTGTGCTCTTGTCAAAATGCTCTTAACTGGGCTGCTATCTGAAACTAGCAGAGTTTTGTAAGATGAAGTGCTCTCACAGTGCTGGCTCAGTAGCGGTGACTCTGCTGATGAAATAAACAATGCTGTCTTTCAGTGAGCACAAAGCTCTTATAAACTGTCTGCCATGTGGAGCTTTGTGTGTGTGCACTAGGAAGTTTTGTATTGCTTGTGACTTGGTCAATCTCAGCTTCTGTAATGGGATCTGTATTTTGACTCCCTCCCTAAAATGGATCAACCTTTTAATTTAAAAGCTATTGTGGTCCATTGATGGGATATAATAGTGTACTAAGACGAGACCAGATCATTCCTTACCTGTTGGTCCATGTAGCTGGTTTTGAGCTAGGCCTTATCTGTTGAATTGTCTGAAGTGGGAAGAACTGAGACTTATATTACATGATCCTTTTTGTGAAGACCAGTTAGTTAAAGATTTGCCATTTCCTGCTTTGATCATGGGTAGGGCTGGATGGGGGGGGGGGCAGTATCAATGAATAAACCTGCAGTTTAAACTCCATGTTTATTTTGACATAGCTGCTGTGGCCCATAGACTAGAGGCAGGTGACACAAAATTTTTGTCCAATTCTATTCACATGTCAGCGCAAAGCATTTCCCCCCTTTTTGCTTGGGCTTTTGGCCCTTAGTTTGAAGGATTTCTGGCCTCTTGTGGGTGGGGGGCAGGATCTGGACCTGTCTTTTATTTGTATAGATGTGAGTTTTTTTATTGATGTGATTATTTTTATTGGTTTAGTATTTCTGTTCATGTTCACTTTGAGCCATTTTAATGAGTAAAGTGACTAATAAATATTATTAATAATAATGTCATAGTGTAGCTTGAATTTTTTCAAGTATCTTGTGAAGAAGAAGTACAGCAGCTTTGTACTTCCCTCTACAGCATTTGAAATAAATTTTCTGCGGCCATCTTTCTCCTTACTGGGTGGGGGAGTTGGGTGGGGAAAATGCAGAATGGATATTCTGGGAACCAGAGAGAATAATTTGAATTGAAAAACTTTTTCGCTTCGTTGATGAACTGATTTCTTAGTTCATTGTTTTCTCTGTTTGCTTTATGCAAGCGAGAGATGCAAAAGAGTCTCAGAATAGTGACTGGTTGCTCTAGTGATGAGTACTCAGTCAGCCAGCATAATTGGGTTGTCCAGATTCATTGCTCTTCCTTGTGTGCCACCAAATCTGATCTGTGAGCTACTGATGCCTCAGCTGAATCTGAAGTGCTACTGCCATCTTTTGCTTTTCTGTAAAGATGCTATTTTCCCCTCTGGTATATTTGAATACATTAGCCAACTCTCTCTGAATATTTAGGATGAATGCATTTTATAACAAATGTTATGGGGAGGTAGCATTTAGGTGGTTATTTTAGTTTCTGAAAAAAGATATTTTGGAAGTATTTGGCCATAATACAAGTTGCTTATTTTGGCCGTTGTTGAGGATTCTTGGGTCATGGCTCTTGTTTTTATTTGTGCCAGTTGCATGACAAAGCTTAAAATTATTTCTATTTTCAAACTATTGTACCAAAGAAATTTGTGTATAGGTTTAAGAACCCACCTGCAGCTGTTCTTTGTTAGAGGCACATTGCATGGAAGCCAAATAAACTTTGCCTAAAGCAGCCTCTTTTGGATTTCACACTTCCGTAGTTAAGATTAATTTTTTTTAAAAAAATGTATATCACCCTTCACCCAAAGATCACAGGGCAGTTCGCAGCATAAAAATAGAAATTGAAAACACAAAATACATAATAAAAACAAAAACAAAAAACCAATACCCCCCTTCTCACAAACACATTTAAAAGAACATTTTAGCTACATTGAATAATATGCAAAGTGATTGCTTGCCATCCTCTTAACACACCTAGTAGGCAAGCTGCTGTGCCCCCTTTTTATGGGAGAGGTGGAAAGAGACTGAAAATGAATTTCCCAAGGCCAGCAAGTGACTGTTTGCCTTAGCAGAGGTATTAGCACACACCCCTCTCCAATTTAAGGCTCTTTTGACAGTAGCTGTTGCTGCAGAGCTTGGAGGTGAGGGAGCTTTTTGTGGCTGCTTCCATCATCTTTGCAGCTGTAGAGGCACATGCATCTGTAGTGTTTATATGGGCAACTCTCGCTTGGGTTAAATACCCATGTGCCTGGAGACCTAGGAAGCTTGCTGTTTTACATACCTTGGCAAAACTTAAGTGGCCTCTTTGAAAGCAAGTTGGGTAGGTAACTTTAATCTTGTGTTGCTAGGGTGGACTGTGTTGGAATACTGAAACTGAGAAATGCAGATGTTGAAGCTCGAATAGGCATCGCTGGCTCCAAGAAAAAAAGCACTCGGGCCAGGCTAGTGTTCCGTGTTAACATCACTCGGAAGGATGGTTCCATTCTGACCCTGCAGACGCCGTCCTCACCAATTCTGTGCAGTAAGTTGTAAAGTCAAACTCTGAGTCCCATCTTGCTGGGGCTTTGGGTCTCCTGTTAATTCAGTTGCCCTGCATTTCATTTTCTGCTTTAATAACAAAATAGAACGAACAACCCAAATAAACCAAATAAATTGCCTAGACCTTAGCTTTCATGTGTGTCTGTGTTGCTAGGAGTCCTCATGCTGCTTTAAATGAAATCACTTTTTCTGTGTAGGCTTATAGCATATCTAATTGGTTCCCTCATTGATCTATTTTCAGTGTTAACCAAAACTTGGGTGTAGGGGATCTGGCCTACATCCAAATTAACAGTGTGCCCTGTCAATCCACCAAGCAGTGCACATAGTTGAAATAGGAGTGTGGCATGTATCATAGGACTTTGGCAAAGGAAAATTACTGTTTCTAGCCTGAGATAGCCTGCTTCTGTGGTTTGAATTATTTGTTGCTGGCTTGAGGCTTAAAACTACAGTTGTGTTTAAAATGCCAACTTTTTGCATCTGGGCAAAATGACTAACTTTTGTGTACTAGTGATATAAAGCTTATTTGTATTTGGAAACTTGCTGAAGACTGTATGTACATGTCCAGCCAATTGTTATGGACCTTGTTGTGAGACAAATTTTAAAGGCCTCTAAGATGTTGCATATGACAATTGGTTGATTTTTGAAACTCCTTGCACTAGCCCATTTATAAAAGAGAGAACTAGTGCTATTTTACTTCAGTGTTACCTAGGGGGGAAATGCTATGATGAACACATTCTAGTAGACTACAGTCATGTGCCAATTCCTAGGAGAGTTGCGCTGTGCTTTTCTCTGATGAATTAAAGGATGAGCATGCTTTGCTACACCCAAGCAGAATCGCTGTAAGTTCTGCTTTCCTATATGCCATGCAAGCCAAATGACCAGTTCCAGATTGAGACCTTGGGAGATGATGCCAACTTTTTGCATGTTGTCAGTTAAACCACTTAGAAGCCCATTTTGGCATTAAGTTGCAGGTGTGGGGGTGTATATAATAAACATCCCTTCTCTTTTTCAATTTGTAGCTCAGCCAGCTGGTGTACCAGAGATTCTAAAGAAAAGCCTGCACAGTTGTTCTGTGAAGGGAGAAGAGGAAGTCTTTTTAATTGGCAAGAACTTTCTGAAGGGAACAAAAGTGATCTTTCAAGAGAATATGTCTGGTGAGAACTATACATACATACTCAGGCTGAGAATGGAGGTGAGGGGTGGGGAGACCATTGTGGATGGAGTTGGGCTAACGACTGCCTCTGCAGGTAGCCAAGGAGGTAGGTGGTTCCTGTGACCAGCTTCCCTGATAATGAATAAACTTAGCTGAGCTTGTGCAGTAATTCTACTCTCTTTTGCTTTCAAACAGATGAAAACTCTTGGAAAGGGGAAGCAGAAATTGACATGGAGCTGTTTCATCAGGTACATGCTTTTTAAAAATGCACAGAAATCCAGATATAAAATCTTCCTTGTTCATAGTTGGGATACAGTTGTTCATTTATGCCTGAGGAATTGCTAAATAATTTTTCCTCTTATCATATATTTGGAAGGGAGGATTTAGAAAGCATATATGAAGTTGAAATACGAGTTCCAAGCACTTTATGCCCAAGTTTAAAAAGGTAAATTTGCTACAAAAGCTGCCTTCATGTGGCTTATTTTTTTGTCAAACAATCATATGACCAACAAACTGGATCAATCTTCATGGACAGATATTTTGACATAAATAGTATCTGGCTGGGTCACCTTTTTGTGTGTGTACAAATAGTTTGCACAAAGTTGTCATTTATTCTCTTAATCCCTACTCCTTAAACCCGAGCTGCAAGACTGTGGTACATTTCACATTTTTTCACAACCTAAGCAGTCTCTCCTCTTTTGTGTAGTGGTAGCCATTGCAGCCTTTAAGCATAGAGATTATGTGAGTGAGCACTATACTTGTTCTGTTTATCGGGGCAATTTCTTTCTTCAATTCCCGCCTCTGCCCTGCTTGTGAGATACAGAACAGCAAAGGTTCCTGTGCAAGCAGCAATCAGTCATTCCTCTTCTAGGTGTGCTGACCCTCATTTTGGAAGTAGGATGATCAAAAATTGGCTTTTGTGCAGCTGCTACCATAAGGACTGCCATAAATAATGGTTAACTCTCTTCTAGTCTTCTAATGATGGGAATCCAAACCCAAATCCATTGTTGCACTAGGGTTAAATATGCATTAATTATCTCTTCCTTCAAGAAATCTTACTGTCACCAAAACATTTTGAATCCGTAAAGTTAGAATCTTAATATCTTCTCTCCTTTTACAATGCTACTTTATGGATTCAAAATGATTTGGTGATGATCATTTCTTGAATTAATGGAGGATAAGCCCATCAATGGGTACCACCTATGATGGGTGTTTACTTCTTTCACTATCAGAGGCAGTATGCCTCTTGACTACCAGTTGTTGGAGAAGCTGGTTGGTGAAAGTACTGTTTCTTTTATTTAGTTAGAAAATTTACAAATTGCTTGATCAAAGTTTTTTCCAGGTGGTATACAAATAAAATTATATATAAAGCATGGTTAATATCCACAAACCAATAAAAACAAATATACATAATACCATCATTAATTAAAAACAAAGATAAAATTGTTGAAACTTTTTTTAAAAAAAAATAGGTAACCATATAACATGTTTTTTGTGCTCATGCCCTGCTTCCCATGGAGGCATCTGATTGGCCACTGTGAGAACAGGCTGCTGGACTAGTTGGGTCAATGTCTGATCCAGCAAGGTGGTGATTATGTTTTTAAGAATCTAGGGTAAATACAGTTGAGAGTGGAAAAATATCTAGAGCAACCTTTCTCAACCTTGGGTCCCCAGATGTTGTTTGACTACAACTCCCATCATCCCTAGCTACCAGGACCAAACAGACCAAGTTACTATTATTATTTTTTAAATGATATTTATTAAAATTTCAAAAACAAAAAATTACATAGTTAAAGAGAGAAGAAACAAGGAAAAATATATTAAAAAAGAGAAAAAAACATACAAAATACAAAGTACAGAAAAATAAATAAAAAAGAAACACTTAAAAACAAATTAATTCTTCCATATCTTACATTTCATTTCCTTGCTTCCCTGACCTCCTCTCACCTCCCTTTTTTGTATTCCAGTTCAATTGGTTAATTCAGCAATTCCTTTCCCTCTTTGTTTATATCTTAGTCCTTTAACTTAATATATTATAACTTTAGATTCTCACCTATTAACCATCCATTTTTACATACACCTTTATGACATTGCTACTAGAACCACTTAATTTCATTCTAACATCATTCTAACATTCATTAATTTTACAATATTTCTGTAAATAGTCTTTAAATTTCTTCCAATCTTCTTCCACCGACTCTTCTCCCTGGTCTCGGATTCTGCCAGTCATTTCCGCCAATTCCATGTAGTCCATCACCTTCATCTGCCATTCTTCCAGAGTGGGTAGATCTTGTGTCTTCCAATACTTTGCAATAAGTATTCTTGCTGCTGTTGTGGCATACATAAAGAAAGTTCTATCCTTCTTTAACACCAATTGGCCGACTATGCCCAGTAGAAAGGCCTCTGGTTTCTTCAAGAAGGTATATTTAAATACCTTTTTCAATTCATTATAGATCATCTCCCAGAAAGTCTTAATCCTTGGGCACGTCCACCAAAGGTGAAAGAATGTACCTTCAGTTTCTTTACATTTCCAACATTTATTATCGGGCAAATGATAGATTTTTGCAAGCTTGACTGGTGTCATGTACCACCTGTATATCATTTTCATAATATTCTCTCTTAAGGCATTGCATGCCGTAAACTTCATACCTGTGGTCCATAACTGTTCCCAGTCAGCCATCATTATGTTATGTCCAACGTCTTGTGCCCATTTAATCATAGCAGATTTCACCGTTTCATCCTGAGTATTCCATTTCAACAGCAAGTTATACATCTTTGACAAAGTCTTAGTTTTGGGTTCTAACAGTTCTGTTTCTAATTTTGATTTTTCCACCTGGAAGCCAATTTTCTTGTCCGAATTATATGCCTCCATTATCTGATAATAATGAAGCCAATCTCGCACTTTGTTTTTTAGTTTCTCAAAACTCTGCAGTTTCAATCTGTCTCCCTCTTGTTCCAGAATTTCCCAATATTTTGGCCATTTGGCCTCCATATTGAGCTTTTTCAGTGCTTTCGCTTCCATCGGTGACAACCACCTTGGGGTTTTATTTTCCAATAAATCCTTATATCTTATCCAGACATTAAACAATGCTTTCCTGACAATATGATTCTTAAATGCTTTATGTGCTTTGACCTTGTCATACCACAAATATGCATGCCATCCAAATACATTATTGAAACCTTCTAAGTCCAAAATGTCTGTGTTTTCAAGAAGCAGCCATTCTTTCAGCCAGCAAAAAGCTGCTGATTCATAATAAAGTTTAAGGTCTGGCAGGGCAAATCCACCTCTTTCCTTTGCATCCGTTAATATTTTAAATTTTATTCTGGGCTTCTTGCCCTGCCAGACAAATCTAGAAATATCTCTCTGCCACTTCTTGAAGCAATCCATTTTGTCCAAAACTTGCAATGTTTGAAACAAAAACAAAATTCTAGGCAATACATTCATTTTTATCGCAGCCTAGCAGTGAAAGCTTCAAATTTGACCAAATTTCAAAATCTTTTTTCACTTCAGCCCAACATTTTTCATAATTGTCTTTAAATAGATTCCCATTTTTAGCTGTCATGTTAATCCCCAGGTATTTCACTTTCTTAACCACTGTTAAACCTGTCTCATTCTGAAACCTCTCTCTCTCCATCATAGTTAAATTTTTCTCTAAGACCTTTGTTTTTGACTTATTCAGTTTAAATCCTGCAACCTGACCAAATTCTTGAATCAGTTCCAAAACCCTTTTAGTACTAGATTCTGGCTCCTGTAACGTCAATACTAAGTCATCTGCAAATGCTCTCAACTTGTACTGTTTAGCTCCGACTTGTATACCTTTAACCAACTGGTCCCTTCTAATCATATTCAGCAGGACCTCCAGGACCGATATAAAAAGCAATGGGGAGATTGGGCAACCTTGTCGTATCCCTTTTTCTATCTTAAATTCTTCCGTCACCACGTTATTTACAATTAATTTAGCCTTTTGTTCTGAATAAATTGCACTTATACCGTTTTCAAAACCTTGGCCTACCCCTATCCCCTGTAGGTTCTTCTTCATAAAACTCCAAGAAATGTTGTCAAAAGCTTTCTCCGCGTCCACAAATATCAGAACTGCCTTAGTATTTATGTTCACTTGTAATTTTTCTAAAATATTGATTATGTTTCTCACATTATCAGATAGATGTCTACCCGGGAGAAAGCCTGCTTGGTCTTTATGTATCTCTTCCACTAGCACTCTTTTTAGTCTTTTAGCCAAAATGTCTGCAAAGATTTTGTAATCCACATTGAGCAGTGATATGGGGCGGTAGTTCTTAAGCTGGGTCTTTTCAGTCTCTGTTTTCGGTACAAGTGTGATATACGCTTCTTTCCACGACTCTGGTGCCCTTTTCCCACCCATTATTTCATTACAGACTTCTTTTAAAGGTTGCACTAGCCATTCTTTTAAAGATCTGTAATATCTAGAAGTCAGTCCATCCGGTCCTGGAGATTTACCTAGTTGCATATTCTGAATGGCACCTTCTACCTCCTGTTCGGTTATTTTATAGTTCAACATTAATTTATTTTCTTGAGAGATTTTTTTGTAATCCATTTGTTTTCAAAAATCGGTCTACGTCAATTTCTTTCTGTGGCCCTTGTGTATATAGTTGTTTAAAGTACCTCTGGAAACAGTTTCTAATCTCAGCTGGGTTCTGTATATTCCTTCCTTCCACTTCTAAATTTGTAACAGTATTTAATTTTTGTCTTTTTTTCATTTGCCAAGCCAACAATTTCCCACATTTATTAGCCGACTCAAATGTCTTTTGTCTCATTTGTTTAATTTTCCATTCTATCTCCTGATTCATCATTTTCATATATTGTACTTGATATAACTTTATTTCTCTCAATATCTCTTGCGACTTTGGTTTTGCTCTCAATTTCTTTTCACTTTCCTTTATTTTCTCCAATATTTTATCCTTCTTCTTATTTTGGGTTCTCTTCTTTAATGCATTCTGTTGTATCAAGAACCCTCTCATAACAGCTTTGCTTGCGTCCCAGATTACTCTTTTTTCAACATTGGTGTTCATATTTATCTCAAAATAATCTCTCAAGGTTTTTTGGGCCTTAATCACTTCTTCATCTCTAAATAAGGTGTCATTCATCCTCCATCTGAAGGAACCGGTTGGTGTTAGTTTCATTTCCATCTTAACAGCATTATGGTTGGAGCAGGTTTTTGGGCAGATTTCCACTTTTCTTGTCTTTGGTGCCATTCCTCTAGTTACCCATATTTGGTCAATTCTTGTCCATGTCAGTTTGGCTTCAGAGAAGAAGGTTCCCTCTCTAGCCAAGGGATTCTTTGTTCTCCAAATATCAACTAAGTCCAAGTTGTCTGTCATCTCAAAAAAGGTTTTCGGTAGTCTACCATCCTTAGTGACTACCTGTCTTTGTGCCTTGTCCATATGTGTAGATACCACTCCGTTCATATCTCCCATCAAAATCACATTATAATCCAAATAGTCCATCAAGGTCTCATGCAACTTTTTAAAGAATTCAGATTTCCCCTCATTTGGTGCATAAACTCCTACTATTAAAAATTTCTCTCCTTGTATTTGAATTTCAACTGCCACAAATCTTCCTTGGTCATCTTTGAAGATAAATTTTGGTAATAGTCTCTCCTTTGCATAAATCACTACTCCTCTTTTTTTAACTTTATCCGAAGAGATAAATTCCTGGCCCAGTCTTTTATTGATCAATACTTTCCTGTGTAGCCTTGTTACATGTGTTTCCTGTAAACAAATCAAGTCCTATTGTTCCTTTTTTAGTAGATGAAACACAGATTTCCTTTTCTGAGGGGAGTTCAGACCATTACAATTCCAGCTTAGTAGTTGCAGAGCCATGATGTAGTTACTTTACTTCTCCTCCAACTGCACCAAGTGCTTGTTCCTGTTCTGTAGGTGGCATCACCTTCTCCAGGCGGTCTCTTAATTCAAAAGGTAGTTTTGGTATGTCTAAAATTCCTCTTTCTAGTATTCCTGGCTCTTCTCCAGCTTCTTTCTGGAGGTCTTCACCGTGGTCTCTCAAAAATCTTACTTTGTCGTCCTCTGATCTTATTTTTATCTTTCTTCCTTTGAAGCCTTGGGGGAATTCCCACCTAAAGATGATTTTGTTATTTCTCAGCAGGGCAACCAAATCTCTATAATTGGACCTAAGGTCCAAAAGATATTTCGGAATGTCCTTAAATATCTCCACTTTTGACTGGTGTATTTCCAAAGTCTTCTGGAAGTGCAGACTCAAGATTTTGTCTCTCTCCTCTTTTGTTCAGAGGGTGATCAAACAGTCTCTCACCCTGTTCTTCTTCCCTCCTCTTCCAAGCCTGAAAGCACTCACTATCTTGAAGTTATCCTTCTCCAAATCTGGGTTCCAAAAGTCTGCAAATTCCTGCATAAGAAAATCAATCAAGTTGTCTTTCTCAAGTTCAGGTACAGCCCTGATCCTTAAATTCGTTTGCTTCTCCTTCAATTCAATCATAGACAATATTGACCTATGCTCTTCAAGTTGCTTGTGTATCGGTGGTAACTTCTCTTCTACAGTAGAAGACTACAGCAACTGCTGTTTCCTTTGCTTCTTCAGCTGTCTTTCGGGTCGAAGTAGATTCCTGTAGCAATTTCTCAATAGTTTCTGTGTTGGTATTTACCTTCTGTCCCAAATTGTTAATGCTTGTGGTATTTTGATCAATTTTATTTGATGCTTCAGCTACTTGTTTATTTAATTTTTCCAAAGATTCATTAATTTTACCTAGTGCCTGAGCTAAAACATCTTCGGCTGCCATTCCTTTGGGTTTAGATTGTACCAATGCAGCTCCTGTTGGTAAACCAGGAGGGCCAGATGTTGATGCTCTTCGCTGCAGCCCAACGTCTGTGCGGAACATTCTACCAGACCTCGTTGCTTTTTCCTGAAGCAAATCTATTTTCTCTTTTCCATTTGCCATAACAGTCTAGATAATACCCAAGGTCAGTCTCACGATCAGAGTTTGTTATGAAGTGGAAAATCCCCTGGCCCAGTTGTTATTGTAACAATCTCAAACTTCCTCTAGGGGGACACAGTAACAGGCAACAGTTGTTACCTTAAAATAAATAACCTTTTTCTTTTAATCCCCCAGCTCACAAAATAGATGACAGTTTTAATTTCAGTTATTTTCCAGTTACTTTAAAACCAGGGGAAGCCAGCCAGAGATATTGTATCTCACTTGTATCACACTTGCGGAGTTAGCTGTCAAAAAGTACTTTCACCAACAGCGCATTTCACAGTACAGCATTCTATTTTTCATTGGCAGTCCGTTCCCAGGTTTTAAGCGGTGGATTTTTAGCTTCCTTTTCTCTCTTTTTACAGGAAAATACAGTTCAGACCTTTCCCCCCTCCTCTCCTGCAGTCAAGGGGGGAAATCGCTTGTTTTAGATTATAGAATTATAGTCTTTTTCAAGCGTCTTTCAAGGTTTTAGCTTACAAGTTCATTGCTTTCCTCTATTTACAAAGAACGGAAGGCAGACTTCCTGTTTATGCCTCTCCGCTTCGGTATCCAATTACTTCTTTTTTTCTCTCCTTTATTTCCCCAATTAACCTACTCACGGATCGTTGTTTTGTAGCCAAATTGTCACAGGAAAAAGGTAGCGCTCTCCGGTAATGGCTGTGCGGCTTCGCTCCACGGAAGAAGCAGTTGACTCACAGCACCGTGCCGCTTCCCCGCTTCACTCCGGAACCCGTAATCGGGCTCCTTTGCAAGTTGGGGGGGGGCGCAAAAGGTGCCCGCCGAGTCCCACGGTCACAGGCTTCACCCGCCTGTGATTTTTGAAGGGTCCCCGCTTCACGGTAGCGGTACAGACCTGATTCCCGCAGAGCCGGTCCCCTCCGAGTCAGAGGGAATCCGCCATTACCGATGGCGCCACCCCGGAAGAGACAGACCAAGTTACTATTAATTATTTCTATAAGATTCTGTGATGATAAAGTACCCAAATAAAGATATCATTACTTTTCTATTTTGCATATATGTCATATGCTATTTACTACTTAAAAACATAATATTTCTGTTTTCCCAATATTTCTGGCTATGATTTAATTTTATAACCTGCTGTTATCATGGATCATAAATTGAGCTTCGGTTTTTGTTGGGTGAGGAAATTATTTCAGATTTAGTCACAAATAATGCAGATAAACTGCTGGGTATTATGTCTGCCTCCCCATCCCCAGCAAAGTTATCTATAGAATTTCATATCACAATATGTGGTAATGGCTGTCAACTTTGACAGCTTTAAAAGGAGGCTAGACAGATTAATGGAGAATAAGGTTATTTGTGGCTACATACTACCTCTGGTCTGCTTCTGAATACTACTAGTTGCTGCAGAACCTCAAAATCACCTCTCTGTAGTTATTTCATTGCTGCCACTGCACAACCTAAGTCCCTGACTGGCATTTTGGTGGATGAGCAGTGGAAGCTATAGCAAAGCAAAACAAGGAAACAGTGACTTGCTGTTTATGTGCAGGTTTTCTGAAATTAAAAAGATTGTAATAGCAGAGATAGGAAGATTATGTTGAGTAAAGACTTTTCTCCTGTGTGCTCTCGCTGCTGATAGGTATGTTCAAGAGATTCAGCTTTACAATTTGTAGCTGGGTAGATTTCCCAGCAGATCCTTGGTACCTCCAATGCAATCTTTACTTCTTATGATTAGGTCTTGTAGTGTTAGTCTGTGAAGATATAAGTTGGTAAGGTGTCTGCTCTAACAAACTTCTTTTTTTTGGATTTAGAATCATCTAATTGTGAAGGTGCCGCCATATCACGACCAGCAAATAACTGCCCCGGTTTCTGTGGGGATCTATGTGGTGACCAATGCTGGAAGATCACATGACATACAGCCATTTACTTACACTCCTGATACATGTATGTTGAAAATGATGAAGCTGTAGAGATGGCCCTTGGCAAATATTTCTGCACCGTTTTTCTTGTATTTAATTGTTATATCTTTGGAAGAGGCTGAGGAAGAAAGCAAGACTGTTGGGTGGGCAACACCTCTTGCACTACTTGACCTGATAGCTGCACACCAGGGACTTGCTCTCATTCTTTGAAGAGAGCCTGTCTCGCTGAAGCTTGAAGGGTTTATGGGAGGAAGATGAGTTTGGGGCTACACCGTATTACAAAGATCTGAGTTAAGGTCTCCCCCACCACTGCGCACATGAAAATAGAGATAAACTTTTAAAATGTACCTTTCACCTTACGGGGGAACACTTTGCTTTACATCTGTTCTGAAAGTCAGCAGTGTCTTTTGCCTTTGCAGCTGGTACTCTGAATGTGAACGTGAAGCAGGAAATACCCAGTCCAACCCAGCCTTGCTCTTTTGATGATGCTATCAAAGGTATCTAATTCTTAGCAGTGGTATTAATCTCTTTGAGTTCTAACTTACACCAATTTTCTGCAGACCTTTCAGAAAGATTTTCGTAAGAGCTTTATTGTGATCACAAATTAAGAGTGTAGTCCTTTGCATGTCAACTCAGAAGTAAATCGCTTTGAGCTCAGTGGGGCTTACTCTTAAGTAAGTGTGCATATGATTGCAGCCTAAGACTCCTGGTCGCAGAGACAGTGGTATATGCTGGGGCTTTAATCTTGCAATTACTCTAGTGTTGCTGTTTCTAATACATATTAATTCCACAAGTGGTTAAAAGTCCTGACTACACATGAAGTTAGTGCAGATAACTTGCTAAACTGTTTCATGAAAATGTTGACATAAGAGTTGTATTGCTAGTGCAAAGCTCACCACTCAAATAAAAATAGAGAATAAATTATTCATAGTACTTGCTTTGCAGTTGTCTTTACTACTCTGTGTGTACTATAGTGGCAGGCCCTGTTGGTTTGTGTGCTCTTACTAAGTGAATTGTTTGCTGAAGCTAATTAAGTTTCAGAAGCTGCTCAAGAGCATGTGTTTTTGAAGCAAAGCAGCATAAATAGTAAGGTCATGAGTTTGTCAGGCTTCCAGGGCTGCAGCTGGAAAAGATTCAGCATAGCTGTTCTGGAATGTTTCCAACTCACTAGGAACAGGAGATGTTCTCATACATTCACTGATTATTTGTCGATTTAGCTCAGCAGTTTCTACACTGATTGGCAGCAGTTCTTCAGAGTCACAGACGGGATTCTTTCCCAGTCCTACCTAGAGATGGTGGGGATTAGACCTGGGACCTTCTGCATGCAGAGCAGCTACCATTGAATTTATGACACTTCTCCCATCTTGGCTTCAATTTTGCATTTGAGTGTTTCCCATTCGGCTTGTTGTATGTGTAGGGCATATTCGTTCTTTCCCCAGAACTAATTTATGTATTGACCAGTATAATTGTGTGACTTGGCCTACATGAAGTGTGTGATGATAAATATGGCAGTGTTGTACTTAGTTTGTTCTTCATTATGCTTTGAGTCAAATATTTCACCCACTTTTCTGTGTGCAGGATTATGTTTTTGATCCCAATTCATCCCTTCTCCTTTCCTTGTATCAGCCTGGAATTCTTGCAGTTAATTACATATGCTTCATCAGTCACAGTGAAATGCTGATGCCATTTGGCTCAGACAACTGGTGCTCATCACTTGCAGGCTTGTACAAGTTGTTTGTTGGATTATTTCCATAGAAAACTATTCTTCAGCTGATAAAAGACACTTGCAAATTACTGCTATTTCCTTCATGCCCTTATTTTACTACTTTCACCTTTACTTAAAACCCTTAATATAAGCAAGAAGTTGAACATTTGATGTGTTCTGGCAAAAGCTGATGCAATTTGAAAGAACAGATTGGGGAAACTTGGTGGCTTGCAAATGGATGGACATCAGAGATCAGGGTGATTTTTCCTGTAATAACAACTTTATGGCTCTTCAGAAGATGAGCTGTCGCTCAGTGGTAGACCATCTGATTTGTATAAAGAAGGTCCCAGTTTCAATCCTTGTCACCTCTAGGTAGCGCTTGGAAAGTTTACTGTCTGAAATCCTGGAAAACCATTAGTAAAGCTAAAGTACTGTAGATGGACTAATGGTCTCACTCTGTATAAGGCAACTTCCTAGATCCCTGTTTGGTAAGGAGAGCTGAAAGCATCAAGATTACTCTTTCCATCAAATTACTCACAAAACAATCTTGTAGCATCTTAAAGATGAACACACTTACTGTGGAATAATGGGCTTGAGATCACTTTGTCAAATGTGAGTTGCCACATGGCCTTGTATTTGTTGTAGCATACTAGTATAGTCCTTGCCATATAGGGACTTATTTTACCAGATGTATTACCCTCTCTGTGGCAGTGCTATGTATTCAGATGCTTGTTGCTGTTTACAACCTAATTTCTGGAGAGTGGAGGGGTAGCCCTAGCAACCAGTCCTCTTATTCTCAGCCCCTGTGGCTATCCTTCAGGAAACCAGTAAGACTGTGTTTGTTCTCTGCTGCAGTGAACACCAGTGGCTGTAACCTGGACAAGGTAAATATTCTTCCCAGTGCCTTGATAACGCCACTCAGGCCAAACTGTGTGATCAAGAGTGAAGAGGCTGCTCCCATGGCACTTACAGCTGAAAAAAGGGCTCCTCCAGTCTTTAAGGTAAGTGGTGGCATAGAGAGCTGGTGATTTGGGGGGGGGTTCTGCAAAACTTTTATTTGACAAAACTTTTATTAAAAGATCAACTCTACCCCTCAAGTTAATGATCTTTCAGACACGAGCTTTCCTCTTCCCACTGCTCTCTGAGCCCAAGAGTGTCTGGATTATCATTTTGCTAAATGCATACCATGCTGAGTGCTGAATGGTTGGTAAAACAGCATCCACCACAGCCTTCTTTTGCAGCCTAACTTGTTGCAGCTGAAACAAGATGTGGTGTGGGTCTTCCATTGAGTGCTTTACTTTGATGTTGAACCAGTCAATTTCACCCTTTCTGACAAAGATAATCAGATTCCTGATTCAGGGATTTGATATCTTTTTCTTGGGCTCTCTTGATTTTATTGTGATCAACTACAAATCTGTGGTGAGCTGTGGTGAGCTGGTCAACAGCATATCTAATGCCCTGCATAGCAAAATTATTTATTTCTAATATGTTGTACTCTGTCTTTTTATTCAAAGTGGAAGGTATACTTGATTTTTCTATTGCCAGTTCATAACTTCCATCATTTCCACCTTGGCTATTATTCATTTCTATCAGCCAAAAAAATTATTTCATTTGATGGTACTGAAGCATCCTGCTTACTTCTCTGCTTATATTTAGTAAGCCGCCTTCTTGCTGCTTGTGCTTTTTTAATTGTCCATTATGCGGGGTCATATATAACTGCAAGTACTTGGCAATCATTTTTTATGATATTCAATTTTACACACATTTTTACATATTTTTTATAAGAAGCTAAAAATTATAGGAAGTTGTACAAAAACAAAAGGTCAATATTTTATGTAGTTAGTTGCCAAGTAAAACTAAATCATATTAATTTAATCAAAATATCTTTTGAATTTCCAAGTCATTTTACAACTTTTTAGCACCCCTCATTTTTGGAATTTGTAAGTTGAAAAATTCAACATGCCTTAATGGGATAGGGATCCAATGTTGCAGTTGGTGTGGTTTAAATGTTAAACAGTTTTCAGAGTGTTGTTTCATTGAGGCACCATGCAAGCTTATGATTGTTCTGTCTTATTACTGTGTGCTTTCCCCCTCAGGCAACAAGTGTAGTTGGACCACCCCAAGCCACATTGGAAACCAACATGTCCAGTATATTGGGCAATGGCACTTTCTCCTCTTCTGCTTCTCACTTAGCACCAGAGAGTGAAAATCAGCAGCTGCAGCCAAAGGTATATACTCCAGAGGCAATGCCCTCCCTCCAGGCACAGGACCTTGCCCAGCCTGGCAGCTTCCCTGCAGGTTCTGGTCCCAATCAGCTGCAAAACAGTGACACCTTGTTGCAGCAGGCATCCCAGTTCCCCACCAGGGAGTCCCAGCCGAGAGAGGTGTTGCAGCCAGACAGTGCAGTCATGACTTTGTCTCAGTTGACAGAGGTGTCCCAGCAGCAGTCACCACTCCGGGAATCGGCACAAGTGTTGCAGCAGCAGATGTCGTCAAACCTTTTCTCATCGGCCAGCAGTGTGAGTCAGCTGCAGAACACAATTCAACAACTGCAAGCAGGGAACTTTCAGTCTAGCACTGCCAGCAGCAACCATGGAAGTGTAGATTTGGTCCAGCAGGTCCTGGAAGCCCAGCAGCAGCTGTCCTCTGTCTTGTTCTCTGGGTCTGACAATGAGGATGTCCAAGAGCAAATCAATGTAGAGATTTTTCAGCAAGTTAGCCAGATCCAAAATGGAGTCAGCCAAGGGATGTTTTCCTCCTCTGACACTGTCCATTCAAGGGCTGAGGACCTTCTCTCTGGGAGAAGTGAGAATGTCCATCCACAACCTGAAAGTTCTTTGTCCAGCCAGCAGCAGCAACAGCAACAGCAGCAACAACAGCAAGCAATGGAGACTTCTGCAGCTATGGTGATTGAGATTCAGCAAGGCCTCTGCCAGGCAGCAAGTCAGATGCAGTCTGACATGTTCTCAACCTCCTCTTCGGGAAATAGAAACATGCAGCAGTCCCCAGTGTACCAACAAACTTCTCACCTGATGGGTGCACTGACAACAAATGAAGACATACAGATGCAGTGTGAGCTATTCTCACCCACCAGTGTTTCTGGTAATGAAGCTGGTACGCCATCGCAGCAGCAGCAACAGCAGCAGCAGGTGGTGCCTGCCAACGGCCCTTCCATGTTTCAGTCTTCTGGCTCTGCCGAAGGTGAAGAAGCTCCAGGTCAGACCAAACAGATGCAGAACAATGTATTTCAAGCTATGGTTCAAATGCAGCACAGCGGGGAGAACCAGGCGCAGGTCAGCCTCTTCTCCTCCTCAGAAAGCATGATGGCCGTTCAGGACAACGGAACACAGCAGCAACAGCAGCAAACCGGGAGCCTCTTTCAGCAGAGTGGGGAGTTGATGTCTCTCCAGTCTGGAAGCTTCTTGCAGCAGGCTCCCCATTCACAGGCTCAGCTTTTTCACTCACAGAGCCCTATTGGGGATGCTCAGAACATCTCGCAGGAGACCCAAAGTGCTCTCTTCCACAGCCAGAGCTCTGCCTCTTCCTCAGAGCAGCTGCAGCCTCCAATGTTCCACTCCCAGAGTCCCATGGGTGTGGTTCAGGACCAGCAGGCAAGCAACCTATTCCTTCCCCAGAGCTCAGTTGCACAGGAGGAACAGATGCCCTTCTTTGCCACACAGAATTCCATTTCTCCACTGCAGACATCTGCCAATGCTGAGCAGCAGTCGACATTCCAGCAGCAGCAGGCTCAGCTCTCACACCTCCAGAGCCCTATGCTTGCCCAAGAGCAGTCCCAGCAACAGCAGCAGAGCATGTTCCAATCACAGGTGCCCCAAAACCAGCAAGGAGCCATGTTCCAACCACAGCATTCTATGGTGGCTCTTCAGAACAGCACACCCTCCCAAGAGCAGCAGCAGCAGAATTTGAGGTTCAGCAATCAGAATTCCATGGGTCCTATGACATCTCAGAAGCAGAACATGATGTACAACCCAAACCCTAACCCAATGGCCAGCCAGGAGCAGCAGCAGCAGCAGCAGCAACAACAACAACAACAAAGCCAGTCTCTCTTCCACCCACAAAGCAGCATGGCACCAATGAATCAGGATCAGCAACCCATGCAGTTTCAGAACCAGAGCCCAGGGTCTAATCAAGCTGAGTCACAGCAGCAGCCTGCCTTATTCCACAACTCACCCCAGATCCAGCTAGTCCAAGGATCCTCCAGCTCTCAGGAGCAACCTGTCACCCTCTTCATATCATCGACTTCCATGTCTGCCTTGCAAAACAGCATGAACCAGCAAGAGTTGCAGCAGCCCCCCCTCTACTCTTCACCAAACAATATGGCTGGCATCCAGGGAGCTTCTTCACCCCCGCAGCAGCAGCAGCAGCAGCAGCAGCAGCAGCAACAGGCTGCTTTGTTCCATAACACACCTGGAAGTGGTTCCATGAACCAGCTGCAGAACTCCTCCGCTTCATCTCGGCAGACCTCTGGAATATTCCTGTTTGGCATCCAAGATAGTAAGTACAGAGTATCCAGAATTGTCATTGGCTAAATTTTAGTGCTTTCTTCCCTTTGTGAAGCTTGTGTTGGAGGCCACATCTGTGCAGCTGTGAAAAACTATCTAAAATTGTGTTGAATTATGACTTTCTGTGTAAAGCCCATATAATCTGGGAACACACTACAGTGTTAACAGCAATTTTGACATAGACTGCTTACAGTCTAAAGCAAGGATGGGGAACTTGTGGTCCTCCAGATGGAGTTGGACTCCAACTCCCCCCATCAGGCCCAGCCAGTATAAAAGTCGGTGATCAGTCCATTCTAAGTGTATAAATGTGTACAAAAGCATCCAAATTCAATTTGTTCACTCAGTGGCATTTATGTAGCATTTTCCCAGAAGTAGAGATTCTGTAACTGTGGCAGAGCTGCTGTAAACCTATCTGCATGCTTTCAGAGCATAGCACAGCACATAATATGGTGGGGGAAAGCTCTCTAGCTATGCAGTAGATTTTATATATAGACAAAGAAGAATGAGCCAAAGGGCCTGTTAACTTCATATGAGATGCTTTGTGCATCTGTCGGTGTCTGACTTCTTTCTACTGGTTTCTTGGGATACCAGCACCCTGATCCTAAATGCCTTAGGGGAAAATGCTCTGTGGGGACACTCTAGATGTTTATGAGGCCAGTACAATGTGAAATGCAATAGGCTTCCTTTCACTGCTCAAGAAATTTGCATGGTGCTCTGAATGAATCTTGTCTTTCTCAACAGACTGTGGCCAGCTCTTAACATCTGGACCCACTTCAATGTCAGATCAGATGATCACAATAAGCCAGCCACAGGGTGAAGCACAGTCATCAGTCACAACTCTACTATCCCAGCAGATGTCTGAAAGCCCCCAGCTGTCTTCTGCTATGACCACCAATCAGAATATGAAGAAGATTGATGACCTACTAGTGTCTCTACAAAACCAGGGGAACAACAACATGGCTGGCTCCTTCTAACTGTCCAGGTGAGTTGGAGATGGGAGTCAAAGACTCTAGCCAAGCCAGCATGTTCTCTTCTTATTTCTTGCAGCTAATAAAAGTCTGTCTTTTCTGCTGCTTCCCCAGAATGATAATAGAATTAGTGCCTGTCTTGAGAGTAAATAGAGCTTCACAGCCCTCATTCTCCTGGCCCTTAAGACACTTGCAGTGGCCTCACTGAGCTTGATTACCATGGCTCAGAAATCCCAGGGTGGATATGGGGTCGTTTGCCTTGACTTCAGCTCAAGGCTGAAATATGCAGTTCCAAGGCAGCATGGTCAGCTGTGTTTACTCCACACAGAAATAAAGCCTTATTTTTCTGGCCTGAATAAATTATACAAAGGAAACAGGGGCTTTTACATAATCCTTTTTCTACTGGCAGTGATTGGAATCCTTGCTCTGCCTCTTGAGACATAAAAATGTCATCCACTTGTCTGCAACAATGCTTTCAGCCATTAGCGCTCTAGGAGCTTTCTTTACAAAAGCATTAAATCTTATTATTTTAGGATGTTAAATCCTACCAAGTTCTGTGCTGCTGGTGCAGTTACAAGAGAGAGCTCAGCAGCACATGGCCCTCCCCAAGCCATAATGCTAGGAGGGGCTCTCTCACACTCCAACTCCATAGTATACATCCCCTCTTCAAGTCCCAGTCAGATTTCACTGATGGGTGGCAGTAATATTACATTCAAAGAAGCCATCATTGGTAACTTCAGCATAGAGGGAAATAACCAGCTGTTGGATGCTGTTTAATTAGAGTGCTTTAGGGGGAAAGAATGAGGCTCTTACTACGCTTAACTTTTGTCTTTGTGTGTTCTTTTAGCTTGTAACTTCAGAAATCCTGTAATGGACAAGCAGATTTGCAAGACTTTCATTCTTGTGACTCTGGAATTTAGGATGTTTGGAGTTAAATTTCCTGTGTCAAAGTGCGGCCTTGGACCCAAGGGGAAATGTAGCCTTCACCATCACTTTGGAAGAGTACCCATGCTAAGCCTGATGAGAAACGGCTGCTGAGTGAGAGCATCAGAGAGAGACTTCTTGAAGCTGGAAGAGGCGAAAGAGGCTCTACTTTGGACAGTTGCCCCCATCTCTAGTCCAGCTGTGGGGATGCAGAGTGCAGCTGCTCATTTATCATTGCAGCTTGGCACTGAAAGAACCTGAGACTGTGTCTGCTCCTCTCTTTCAGCTCTTCTTCACAGCTCTTGGAACAGGCTGCAAAGCACACAGGGATATGTGTCCTAAAATAACTGGGATATACAGATGGTTGATTCACACATTTGTGCTCATCACTTGAAGACTCAATCACTTGATTTGCAGGTGTAAATGGTTTCCAGTGAAAAATGTTGCTTGGGGGAGGTGAAGGTGATTCAAGTGTTCAGTCCTCAGTTGTGCATTTCACTCATGCCAGTCATTGCTTAATGGTGCAGTTACCAAGTGTTGAACATACCAGTGTGAATTAGTGACTCTTTGTTAAACGGAAGCTGCTGTCAGCTTCATAGCAGTATGGAGAAAGCTGTGAATTAGCACCTAGGAAGGTGGCATATACTGGCAGAGAGTCCCCTAAAGCCACGAGGGGCGGGGAGTGGGTGATATCCAAGAATGTGACTACAGCTTCCTGGGAGGCTGGAAGATTGGCTGCTCAAACAGGGACTTCTCTGAGCCTCTGGTGATCTGCCCATCTCCCCTTTCACAAGGGGGCAGTTTGCTATGCTGAGCAATATACCCCCTCTTGAGTCCTGCCTTGATAGGCCATAAGCTGAATTTTGTTCCTCTTAATCCCTTTTCTGTCTCTTTCCTCTTGTGTGAAATATGCTGCCACCTGTACAAATCTGAATTAGGTTTTTTGGAGACCAGAAGGTCCATTGTAGTGGGGCTGGAATGACCAAGCTGGCTGATACCTTCTTGGTCTGTAGAGGAGGGGTGAGAGAATATTTTTGGGCATGCTGGTTTCTGCTCCTCCACCCCTTTTCTAATTGGTGCAGGTTTGAAGTCTTAAATTTAAACTCACATGCGGGGAGGGGGATTTGGCAGCTTCCCCTCGGGGCTTGAAGGGGTGCCTCTGTATACCAGTTGCTGAGAATTGCAGGTGGGCAGAGTACTATTGCACCTAGGTCCTGCTTGTGGACTAGGTATCTGGTTGGCCACTGTAAGAACATGAAGCTGGACTAGATGGGCCATTGAACTGATCCAGTAGGCTTTACTTATGTTCTTACATAGCTCCTTTAGCTCATACGAGACAAGTAACGTCACTCTTTCAAAATGCAAATGCTGGTGATGAATTTGCATCCATTTTGGCTTAAAAGGCAGATGCTCTTGTGTGCTGTCAGCACCAAGGGGCAAACTCAATTTCAGGTGCTCTCCAGGGATAGCTACAGTTTCCCTCTTCTGGATTTTTATTTCCCTCTCCTCCTTTCCTGCACATCAAATGCTGTGCGTGGTGTCTGTCACCCAACAGCTGTTGTGTGTGACTCTTGTTGGCATTGGGGAGTTGTGTTTTTTAGTAAGCATTGGTGTTCATTTTTGTTACTTTTGTGTAGAGAAGAATTTAGCTTGTACCTGGTTTTTTAGGCTACCCCTTGTGTGTTTTTTCTAACTTGTGCTCCACCTTGAGCTATGTAGAGTTGTGCTTGTTTTTTGTTATTGTTTTGTCCTGTTAAATGCCAGTCCGTCTCTGATGTTTGCAGTCAGTGATTCGTTCTGTTTGTCCGTCTCTCTTTGAGAGGCTTGAGTTATGTTTTCAGTAGTACAGGCTATTTTGCCGATATGAAGAGAACTTTTCAGAAAGAGACCTGCTCTAGGTCATTTAATTTTGAATACAGTTTTCAATCGTTCAGGTTTTGGATGGTTTATATCTAATGTGTGTTTCATTTTTTTGGAAAGCTCTATTTTGTATTTAGAAAATGATAAACTATTTTGCTATTTGTACTGAGTGAGTACATTGGCATAAATAATATATATATATATAAATATATATATACATATACATATATTCACACACATATATTCTTTTTGCCACAGATTTTTGTGGTAAATGTGTGAGTTTTGTTGTCTGTTTTCCCACAACATGGCATCTAGGAACCAGGGGAAGGGGGGTTGTTGTTAAGTCTTCACAAAGTATTTGAGTACTTTTTGCAGCAGATGTGATTGGTTCATCTCTGGCCGTTCATATAATCAGGCAGCCTCTGTGCTGATTGGCTGTGAGGGCAACTTCACTGCAGAGGTGACACATGTGCATCTTCCTTTGCATGGGAGTCCCTTGACATGAGCCATTCAGCTGTTCACTCATGGTTAATGTCTAATATTTTCTTGCTAGCTTTTTAATTTATAACAACACTACAAATTCACAATTGGAACCTTCTTTCCTCATTTCATGATGTCTGTAGCTGCATTGAGCTTGCTTCTCTTACAATGTTATGTTTCTTTTATTTGCTGAAAGAGTATTGAGAATGGGAAGGAGCAGCCATGTGCCTAACTATGAATGAGGAGGCAGAAAGGGATGTACCAAGCCAGCGGCTTTTGCTTTCACTTCTGGGGATCCTGCAGTTGGGCCTGGGACTGCCTGTGTCTTCTGGAAGAGGCACTTAGTCCCAGGCCATGGCAGGAGCTTTATGGGGAAGAAGTGTGTGGAGAGGGTTGAGTAGGAGCAGGTTGACTTGTACGCTGCTGTGTCTTGTTCACTTCGGTGGCATCAGGACTGTCCTCGGAGGACAGTACTAAGTCACCAGGGACCAATCCTCTATTGAACCAAGTTTCCTGCTCAGAGCTGCTTCTTGTCACTTCTCCCCACATTACTCCAGCCATACAATGCAGGCATCTGCGTTCTGTTTGTTAAAAGGGCTCCTGCTGCTGCTCTGTTCAAAACGGTGATGTACATGGGTTTTTGGGTTGGTTTATTTCTGTTTTCTCTTGGTCCATTTTAGGTCAATATTTAAATGTGCAACATTTTTAACGTGATTTGGTTACAAAAAAGTATGTATTTGGAACAAAGGTCTGCTCAGTGGCTGGCTGGTGCTGCACTTTCCTACACCCTTTTTGTTTGTTTTGCGGGGCCTGCATTCTAGAGTTTCATGGAGATGGGATCTCAGCAGCCTTGCAAGGTGCATCTTGTTTCCTGTGTGTTCTTGATCCCCACATGGCATTTGGAGCTCATGTTGTCCCCATTCATTTTACCCTCTGCATCAGTCCACAAGAATCCAACTGAGCCTTTCCACCACAAAGGGCTTCAAACTACAGGAAGCAATCATTTTTATGTGCAACTCCCTCCTCAAACACTCTGGATAAAGCCACATTGGGAATCAGATTTTGTAGAACTGTAAAAGCCCTTGTGGTTTCAGGTCCCTCCCTGCATATTAATGGTCAAGAGAGAGCTGTCCTTTCAGGCATCCCTGACTTGCTTTCCTTCCTCCTATTGTGCACCACTCCAAACATGCCTAGGAAAGTGTTTGTGTCTTATCCTGAGTAATCTTCTAGCACACTGCATCAGAGCAGAGCCTGAAAGGCCAGGAAGTACCTCATTTGGTCTTGCCCACCCTGGCAATGAGCAACTTGGTCATAGCCACATCCCATTTGAAAAGGTTGAAAGGACTAGGTATATTTAGGCTGCACAAGAAACAACGAAGAGGAGATTTGATAACCATCACTAAGTATTTGAGAGGCTGTCACTCTTGATCATGGGAGCAAATTTTTTGTTGTTGTTTTCTCCAGGGCTTCAGTGTTAACCAATAGGTCCATTTTGCAAGAAAAAGGATTTAAACTAAATGTTAGGAAGAACTTCTTGTTTGAGCTCATAGCAGAGGATTTCCTGCATTGAAATAACTTTTGAGTGTAACCCTGACCTCTGCACCAGACATGGCCCATGTGGATGCTGCTGCTGCCACCACTGCAGTTTTCTTTCAGTCCCTGCCACCACTGCCACTTTGATCCTTAAGCCCTTAGGTAGCTTGGCTGTCATCTGGGGTCCATTGTTTCCTCTTTTCAGCAGCTTTTGTATTGGGGCTCTGGCCCATGGAGTCCAACTTGTTTGGAATGAAGTCCCATTTGGACAGGGCAAGGTTTTGTTCTGAACAGTGTGGGCTTGGACCTGCTGAGACCAAGAATCTTGTTGCGCCCATCTGTCCCAACAGCAATTTGTGTGCAACTAATGAAGGTTTTCTCCCCGAGCTAGGCCTGTTAATATCACTGCAGTCCTAACACACTCCCTTCCCCTCCCCTTTCTTGCCATGCTCGCTTAGAACAGAATTCAAGACCAGCCAGCCACCAAGCAGCCTTTTCCAATATCCTGCAATGTGAATGTAGCCTCAGATGGCCCCTTGTGCATTTTGTGTCCCTGGCTTGTGTAGGTGGGTTTCTCAGAGCACTGATAATGGTTTTGTTTATTCTATTGGAGGGGGCGGGGGGGACTCATTTGCATTTGTTTTTAGCTATCCTGTGATAACTTGTTGAATATTAAGAGAGAGATATTTTGCTTCTATTGGGACATTTGTATACTTGCAACTATATTTCTGTACACAGCTGCAGTCAAGAATAAAACTTTGAAAGTTTTCATTTTGCAGTGTATTGCTACTGTGCTCCATTCTTTTCAGTATCTTGGAGTCACTTGGTCCTGAAGTGCAAGGCTAGTGTGTTGTCTGCTGGGCCCTGCGCACACTGGCTAGAAGTTTACTAATGATAGCTCAGTTGGTTAGGGCATGATGCTGGTAACACCAGGGTTGCAGGTTTGATCCCCATATGAGGCAGCTGCATATTCCAGCATTGCAGGGGGTTTGGACTAGATGATCCTCAGGGTCCCTTCCAACCCTACAATTCTATACATCCCTTTTTGCTCTATGGCCGATAAGCAAGCCACCACCAGCGTATATGGATCAGGTGGAGAGGGGTGTCCCTTCACTGGACTGATGGGAAGGTAGAACCTTCTTTGTGTAAATACCTCCTTTGCAGAACCCACCATGTCTGGGCTGGCTTGTGCCATATTACTGTGTCCGGTAGAGCAGCAGACTTAGGCTTCTCCCTTCACCACCTCTCATGGAGACACAAACAGGCACCGTTCCCCTCTGAGCAGTGCTGTCATGAGATAATCCAACAGGTGTAATAGGTTCAAACTGTATAAATGCCTAGCACAAAATGTGGCCCTTGACTCAATAGACAGCTGCAAGAGAAGGGTTTAAAGTATTTTATTCTAAATTTCTCTGCTGGCGCAAGAGAGACTTGTATAAATCTACATGACATTCCAACAAACCTGACTAATAGAGGCAACACCTGGCTTTGTTATTAGTACATGTGAAAGTTATTACCAAAGTACAAAAATCTCAAGTAGTATTAATCCCTACTACCAGCAAGTAAACTAAGAGGATTTAAAGCAACCCTTCACCTTCCACGCCAGTTAATTACACTTTTTCCCACCCACCACCCACCCCCTGGAGCACCATTTATTGCCAGGGAACTCTGCCCCTGCCTTCCTGTGCTGTGGCTGATTCCAGCTGGGGAAGGTGGGAGCCCAGTTGTCTTTACCACTCTTCCCAGCTGCCCTCTTTTCAGCTGCATCTGTGGCTTGTTTTGTCTTCAGACAGATTGCCACTGCACCTCTCCTCTGGCAGCTCAAGTCTGGTGCAAGTGGTATTGACTGCCAAGTAGCTTGTTTTATCCATTGTGGATTGGTGGTTGCTAATGAAGTAAAGGCAATGTACTCCACCCACCCACCCCCACTACCTTGAGGCTACTATGACAAGAAATGGAAGAGCTGACAAAAAGCAGCCAGGTAGATCCATACAGTTCTATACAACTACATTCTACTCTGTGTAGATGCATTGAAATTAGTGTGCCTAAGTTAGATATGCCTTTTACTTTCAATGGGTCTGCTCCAAGTAGCACTAACATTGGATACAACCTATGATACTCTCCAGGCATATGCACTTGGAGAAGTGCAAGACCCAAGCTCTAAGTACTTTGCTCTAGGGTTGGACCTTCCTGCCAACTCTTCTGTTGCTCAAGGCAGTATGGTGGTACTCTTTGCTGAGATGGGGGCTGCAAAGAGGAATGTGAAAGGCTGTGGTGGTTGCCCACCTGTGGATTATAAGCTAGGATCTTAAGGCTGCAAAGAGTAGAACAGTAATAATGCAGGCTCCATTGTGGAGTTTGGGTTTCAACTCCCATCATCCTTGTTGGGCTGATGGGACTGGAATCAAACACAGCAGAAGGGCGCCGGTTTGGGGAAGGTCTGCCCTACAGGGACCCTATGAACCCAGAGAAAGTGAAAGTAGGAAACTTTTACTGCTAGCATTACTACAGAAAGGCCTTTTTTTGGTCCCAATTTACCAACAGAATTTGCTATTTCTGCTGGGCTTTGACTTGATTATCAGGCAGGAGTGGCTTTCCCAGATGCTGGCCAGTTGTCAGCCCATATTTTTTATCTTCTTGCTGTTCCTGGACCTCTTTCTTCAGAAGAAAGCCCCCAGCAAAGCTCAAATCAAAGTTGTAGCTTGGGGCAAAGCTGAGGGGCGTCTCCTCCCAGATAGTGGCCAATCTCTTCTTCCACATCTCCAGGATTTGGGAGCGGGCCTCTGGTGGTGTATGGCCAATACTGAAAGCGATCTGGGGTGCCAAGACTTGGAAACCACAGAAATGGAGAGTGCCACTCTGGGGAGTAGGAAGAAAGAACATTTGCAAATCAAATACATATTCAAATAGTGCAGGAGGAATGTAATTAGAACAAGTTCAGGACCAACAAAAAGATCTATAGTGACATTTCCAGTACAGTATGTGTTTTTGTTACCATACTAAATGTCTGCTATGACATTTTTACTCATTTTAAAAACCTAAAATTTGTCTACAACTTTGCACACAAGGGATGTGGGCTTTCTGCTAGGATTCAGTAAACTACAGCTCTTGAAAAAACAGTCATCTCGCCAATTGGTTGGAATGCAGGATTGTAAACCTCTGGATTACACAAAGGTTCCCAAACCAGACAAGTACAGGAACCTGTAAGAATTCTGTGTAAGGCAGAAGCTTGCACCATCTACTTAAGTATTACACCTTTTAATAATAATTTTTAAACTCTCTTAGAAATAGCTATGGGTTTGACAATAAATGTTGCCTTGTTACCTGTATTGGCCAAAGAAGGATGTTGATGTCCCCATTGATGCCTTCAGGGGTGTACATGGAGCCCATCCCACCAGTGGTGAAGGAAAGTAGAGTCTTCTTATTCTGTAAGTAACCAAGTATGAGTTATGCTTTACACAGCAGCTGAGACACTGTCATGCAGAGAGCAACTAGTGAACAAGGGTCATTTTGCAGAGTATTGTGAAAGCCCAGCTGATCATCATCTTGCCACAATATGGAGGAAAGGAACTGCACCTTCTCTGTCCCACAGAACACCCTTCTCTAAAATACCAAGAGGCAGGGTCATTGTCAGAATCCTCTGTCTTTTCCCACTACCACCAGAGTCTGCCATATTGTTTCATGCAGAGCACCAAAGAGGCTGACTGCAGGGCTCAAATGCACAACAGAGGCTGCAGCTACTGGCCAGTTGGAGAGAATGAAAGGTGGTGGCGGCTACAGCATCAGCAAGACTTCACTCCCACCAAATCCCCACTGCATACCTACCTTGAAGGGCCCCTGGTCATACATGGCACTGTAGGAGTAGGCAAATCCACCAGTGAGGACACGCTCATACCACCCTTTCAAGATGGCCGGGACACCAAACCACTGGAGAGGGAACTGCAACAGAAGCAGAGCCATAGGATAAGGGTTGAGGCCCTTGTTGCACATTCATTTCATGGTACTTTAGAGTCCAGGTACCATTCCCAAAAAGCTCTTCAGTGCCCATGGCATTCCCTTAGAACCACTAGTTCCGGAACTTTGTTCCAATGTCAAGCTCTAGCAGGTGGAGTCTCCTTCTTTGGAGGTCTTTAAGCAGAGGCTTGACAACCATATGTCAGGAGTGCTCTGATGGTGTTTCCTGCTTGGCAGGGGGTTGGACTCGATGGCCCTTGTGGTCTCTTCCAACTCTATGATTCTATGATTCAGGGGGTTAGAAGCATATTGTTTTCCCCCTGTGAAGTACAGGCCCTATGTGGACAATTTCCATGTTTGCCAGAATCCAATTTTTAAAGCCTGAGCTTTAAAAAAGTGTTGCTCCCACCCTCTTTACTGAATTAGGACTTCCTAAATTTGCCTCTCCAGAGTTCACTGGTCAGCAAGATTCATGGCCAAAATTCACACTCAGGTCAAACACTACAAGCCTTCTTGCCTAAGGCAAGAAGAGGCTTATGATGCAGGTGAAAAGTCACCCCCCTCTAAATCCCCTCCCAGGAAGCCGGTGCCCATCTATGATAGTTGGAGAAGGGCTGTAGAAGGGGTAGACTCATGCCTGAAAACCTGGAGAAACAGTTCACTTAAACAACCCTAGGCTTGATGGACCAGGTGGTCTGACTCCTTAGCGTCCTATGATCTGGGAACCACCTGGAAGATGACAAGATCGGCAGCGTCCAGCTTTTTTTGCTCCTCTACGATGTCCTTGCTCAGGCGGCCTTCTTTCCATGCCAGCCCCGTTTCGGCCGGGTAGCTGAAGTGCTGCGGGTCCTTCGGCTTGCCTGAGGGAGGGGGAGAGGGGGAAGGGTGGGTCCAGGCACGCAGGCGAGGCCGAGCCCCCAGAGGCTCCGGGAAAGGAGCGGCAAAAGGTCCCGGGTACTCGCCCCGACGACAGTTCCTCCAGGCAGGAAGGCTGGGGAAAGCGCCCCCTCCCAAACGGCCTGAAACCCAGCCGAGCTGGCGCCGCCGCCGCCAATCTGTGCAGACACACCTAGCGGAGCGAGAGGGACCCAGAGACCTATGTACCGGTGACGTCGTCCCGGGAGAGGACCGGGTTGAAGCGCATGGCGTAGAGATCCGAGACGGTCACCTTCCACCCACTCTTCTGCAGCGCCTCGACAGCCGCCTCTTTCATGGCATAGTTGAAGGAAGTCCGCTCCGGGTGGGCCAGCACGATCAGCGCCTGCCGAGCTGCAAGGAGAGCAGGAGGGCAGAGCCTGGCAAGGCAAGGCGCCTCGGGCGGCCAAAGCTCCGGGAGAGCCGCCCTGCCGCCGCGGCTGCAACAGAGGCGGACAGACTCCCGCCTCGGCGCCTCCCACCAGGGCAGCGCAGCCTCGCAGGCCCCTGCCTGCCTTTCGGGGGCCCGCCAGGTGGGCGCCACCCGCCTTCTTGCAAGTTGCTGCCGGCGCTGCGGCAGGGCCTCGGGGAACCCGAAGGGAGACGCTCTCGAGGCGGGAAAGGACTCCTGCAGGGGGAGCATGTGCCTTGGAGACTCGACTCGATCGATCCCACCCACCCCCGTCCTTCCTCTCTTTTCGACCTGCTCGCTTGGCTCCGCGGGGCAGCCTGATGCGTACTTTAGGGCCCATCAGAGTAAGGCTGGGCCGAGGAGATGAGCTACTTACCAGCCATGGCGATGCAAGCCGGGCAGCAGTTGAACTAAGCCGTCGGCGCCGCGGGTCTTATAAGAGGCGGAGGAGGAGGCGCGGATTTGCTGAGTCACTGGGGCGGGGAAACCACACTCCGGCCAGACCCAGCATGTTGCCTCTCGGTGCCCCGAGGGGAAGGCTTCGCCCCGAGGGAGACTGCCTCTGTACCGCGAAACTCATGACCAGGAGCCATCGAGAGCCCATTCACTTCTCCCTTAATTTGGCAGCTCTCCATCTAAAGACACGCCTCCGGCCCAGCATCCCGCTTTCTCCCAGTGACCAACCACCAGATGTCCGAAAAGGAAGACGCAAAACCTCCTGTCATTTGTGCCATTGGCATTCAGAGATAGACGCTGAAGGGTCCATTTAGCTGTCATGCTGTTAGGGGCAAGCGTCCACTCGTAGCCCTCACAGGGGAGACTGGTGACAATGCTTAATACAGTAGCTTCATTTCCAACATGGGTGTAGCCAGGATTTTTTTTGGGGGGGGGGCAGGACCGACACCCAGCTTGCCCATGGTTTCCAACGTGAAATGTGCCCGTTTCATTGATGCAGTCCCAGCTTGCGGCTCTATCCAAGGCAAAACCCCAGACAGAATTTATCTCACTGGAAAGCAGATAAAAGGACACCAGAGTATGCCATGCTGCTTCACCTGCCCATTTGCTGGCAGAAAGCAGAGAAAAATTGACGATAGGAAGCCTTCTGCAAAGTGAACCTGGAACACCTGACATAGTGCAAATGAAATACACGAACCCAGCCTTGTACTCTGCCTTTCCTTAATTCTGCATGACTCCCGACCCCTGCTGCAAATGAAGACACAAGCCCCAGCCCTGCCTCAGCTGCCTTCTCTGGAAAACATACATTGAAAAGGTGGAGAAATTGCCCTTCTAGCACCTCTTAATAAGAGTCATTGAAGTGTTTGCAAACTGGCCACAGCTGCTGGCCACAGCACAGCCAACCAAGGTACTTCATTTGGTCCAGGATGGGGCAAAGGTGAGTACCAGGGTAGATGCTTTAGAAGGTGTGTGCAGATGGCAGCTTTGGGGAAGGATCAGTGCTTGCCAAGGACTCCTCCCATTCTGGATCTCTTACTGTATTAGCAGATCCGTGTGGCAGGCCTGCACAATTTAACCCCCTCCCCTGCAAAAAAAAGAAGAAAGGACCTTGCTAGTTGAAGATACCCATGTTGGTTCAGTGCTGAAGTGTTAAGCCACGCTGCTAGAAAGATGCAGTTTGAACTTGTCTTTGGTGATGAAATTACAGAATGTGAATTTTACAAGAATCGTTCACAGGCTTCCAGCTAGGCATTCTTGCTGGTGGCTTTTGACATCTCAGCAGCCCTTCCCTTGCCCACAGCATTTTGGGGAAGGACTTTTAGCTCTTTTTTTGAAATGAGCAGAATCCCTCAATTATTGAATGTGATGGGAAGATGAGCTGCTTGTGCGTAAAATCGTATTCCCTCAGTGTTTGTTCAAGTCCACAAACCTCTGTCTGTGACGGAGCCCCTCTGACATGGCTCCTCTAGTCACTAGAAGATTCCGACAGTGGTTGCTTTCGTAATCGCTTCCAACATAAAAGCTCCTTAACGGAAACACGTCTTCTGGACTCTCTGCGTGACAGTTTCCGGCGAGGAGTGGGTGTCCCTACAGGAGGTCCGGAAACCTCACCACTGTTTTCGCTGGAAGTATCTCTGAGCCATCCCCCAGCTCCCTTTCCCTCAGTTCAGCTTCTCTCCCCTGCTGGTTTCCTCTTCAGCTGCTGAGTCTCTTCCAACCTGTCTGAGCCCTTTCACCTCCCTCAGTTCAGCTTCTCTCCCTTGCTGGTTCCCTCTTCAGCTGCTGAGTCTCTTCCAACCTGTCTGAGTCCTTTCACCTCCCTTCCTTCCGATGGCAGTTCCCTGACATCCACCTCCCCTCCAGGGCCCCCTTCACCCCCTCTCGCCCCTCCTCTACGGGCGGTGAGGAGGCAAACCCCGGAATGAACTTCCTTCATCTTCCGATGTCTCGAACACTTCTCTCCACCTGTTGCGGTTCCTGGTCTCGAAGCACTCCTCCTCCTCCGAGTCCATCTCCCTTCCCCTTCCGATTCTGGGAATCCTTCCAACTCCTCCTCCTCCTCAGTGGTCCCAAAGTATTCCCTCCGGAACCTCTCCACAGGCTGAGGTTTCCTCGGGAACCTTTGATGGAACGTTTCTATCAATACCTCGTCATTGATATCTTCGGCCATTACCCACGTGTTTTCTGACTCCGGTTCTCCTTCCCACGCTACCAAATACTCCACCTGATTCCCCTTCCACCTGGCATCAAGGATTTCTGCCACATGACTGCTGCATTCTCTTTCTTCTATGACCGGTCCCCGAGTGGCCATCCCTTCTCGTCCCTCCTCGTACGGTGACAGTAACGACCTGTGAAATACTGGGTGCAGTTTCATGTGGTTGGGTAACCGGAGCCTGAAAGCCACTGGGTTGACCTGTTGAATGACCTCAAAGGGACCCAACCTCCTGGGTCTTAATTTCTTACAACCTCCTTTGAACGGCAACCCTCGGGTTGACAGCCACACCCTATCTCCAACCCTTATGGTTTCACCTTCCCTTCGGTTCTTGTCTGCCTGCCTCTTGTATTCTTCCTTCGCCCTTTCTAAGTTGAGTTGGAGCTGACGGTGGATTGCTTCCATTTCTTCTACAAAATGCTCGGCTGCCGGTACGCTCCATCTCTCCCCTTCTCCCCTGGGAAAGCCCTGGGATGACACCCATAATTAGCCAAGAAGGGGCTCATCCCTGTGGACACATTCTCGGCATTGTTGTAGGCAAATTCCGCCAGCGCCAACTTTTCTACCCAGTCATTCTCTCTGTCATTGACATAACACCTCAGGTATTGCTGGAGGACACCGTTTGCTCTTTCCGCCTGCCCGTTGGTTTCAGGGTGCCGGGCAGTCGAAAAGTTGACCTCCACCTGCAGTAAGCTCATGAGCTTCCTCCAGAATCTGGAAGTAAATTGTTTTCCTCGGTCTGAGACCACCCTCAATGGCACCCCGTGCAACCTAAAAATGTGTTCTACAAATAACTTCGCTGTCTCTTCCGCCGTGACTGCATGCGAGCAAGCTACAAAGTGGCACATCTTTGTTAGTAGGTCTACCACCACCATGATGGCTGTTTTCCCTTTGGACTTCGGCAGATCAGTCATAAAATCTATCGACACTGCCTCCCAAGGTCGTTCTGGTGTTGGTAAGGGTTCTAATAGCCCCGCCGGCGCCCGCCTTTCCCCTTTGGCTCGCTGGCACTGCTCGCACCCTCTTACATACTCACGTACATCCTCCCTCACCTTAGGCCACCAAAATTCCCTGGTGACCAACCACATGGTTTTGTGTTGCCCAAAATGCCCCGCCGTGGGGCTGTCATGCAACTGCTTGAGTACCCTCCCCTTAAGTCTCCTTCAGGGATATACAGTGCCCCTTTGTAATACAAAGCTCCATTTCTTTCCTCGAAACCCCTTGATTCCTCTCCCTCATCCCTAAGACCTCTGAGCTTATTCTGGGCGTATTCATCATTCTCTGTTTCTTCTACCAGTTCTCTTTGTCCCACCAATGCCGCCCCACACACCCAGCGGTCCTCTGGAATGACATGTCTCTCTTCGGGTGCTCCCTCCCCCTCCAAATATTCAGGTTTGCGTGAGAGAGCGTCCGCCCTAATGTTCTCTGGGCCTGGCACGTAACAAATCTCAAAGTTAAATTTGGAGAATTCCTGGGCCCACCTCACTTGCCGTTGGTTGAGCACTCGTGCCGTCCTCCAATACTCTAGGTTCTTGTGGTCAGTGCACACTTGCACCTTATGTTGTGCGCCAATTAGCAGGTGCCTCCATCTCCGGAACGCCTCATGAATGGCTAGTAGTTCTCGGTCATACACCGTGTAGTTCCTCTCGGATTTGTTCAGCTTTCGCGAAAAAAAGCACACGGTCTCCACTCTGACTCCTCCTTCCCTGGCTGGAGAAGCACCGCCCCAACCGCTCTGTCTGATGCGTCAGTTTCCACTCTCATCGGTTTTTGTAAATCCACATGCAGGAGCTGTTGTTCCGAGGCGAAGGCCCTTTTAGTTCCTCAAATGCTTGCTCCGCCTCCTCCGTCCAAACGAACTTCTTCTTACTGCTGAGACAGTCCGTAATGGGCGCCGTCAGGTGGGCAAAGTTTGGGATGAACTTACGATAGAAGTTCCCAAATCCTAAAAACCTCTGCACATCCTTCCTTGTTTTGGGTGTTTTCCATTCCAGTACCGCCTGGACCTTGCCGGGATCCATGGCCAACCCCTTGTCAGACAGGCGATACCCCAGGAATTCCACCTCCTTGGTATGAAACTGACACTTCTCCAGTTTCACCCACAGCTGGTTGGCTTGCAGCCTGCTCAACACTTCTCTGACGTCTCTCACATGCTGCTCCTCATTCTCAGAATACACCAACACGTCGTCTAAGAAGGCCACACAATTCTTGTAAAGCAACGGCCCCAGGACGTGGTTCATAAACGATTGAAATGTTGCGGAGCCTGCTTGTAGACCGAAGGGCATAACTAAGTATTCAAATGCCCCTAAAGGGGTGAACATGGTGGTTTTCCATTCATCCCCTTCCTTATTCGTATCAGGTTGTACGCCCCCCTTAGATCCAGCTTGGTGAAAATCTTTCCCTTCCGCACCCTTGTCAAAATGTCGTCAATCCTGGGCATCGGGAAGGCCACTGGTTCTGACACTGCATTTAAGGCCCTGAAGTCACACACCAGTCTCGGCTTGTCCGAGTTTTTTTTGTCCACAAAACACACTGGGCTGCCCCCCCCCGCCCTGGACTCTCTGATGAACCCTCTCTTCAGGTTCTTGTCAATGAACTCTCTTAGCTCCTGCATCTCTCTGTCTGACATGGCGTACAGCTTGCCCACAGGGAGCTGTGCCCCAGGGAGCAAATTGATTTGACAGTCAAAGGCTCTATGCGGTGGTAGTTGGTCAGCTTCCCTTTCGCTGAAGACGTCGCGGAGATCTGCGTATTGTCGTGGTACCTTCACGTTCTCCGTTACTTCAGTCCCTGCTAGGGTGGCTAGGGCCCCTGCCAAAACCTTTCCCTCTTTGCAGTGTTCTAAGCAATGTGCTGACCCAAAAGAAACCACTCTTTGATGCCAGCCCACCAGCGGATCATGTAACGCTAGCCAGCTCATCCCCAATATAATGGGAGCTCCTCCCAAGGTGGCCACATTAAACGCTATTAGTTCGGTGTGCCTTGCCACCTTCATTATCATTGGGACGGTCTGCAAGCTGACTTCTCCTCCCAACAGCTCCCTGCCATCGATCGTGGTTACCTGCAGGGGTTGCTTAAAGGAGCGTCTGTATCTGGTGTTCAGCTGCAAACTCTTTGCTCATGAAATTGCAGGAGCTGCCTGAGTCCAACAGCGCCTTTATCTTTAGAGGGTGTCCGTTTGGCAGCTCTAGTGTCACTTCTATCACTAGGGCGGGTTTAGGAGGTTCTGGCGTGGGCACTTTCACTGCTCTTTGGCCTGGCTGCTGTGCCCCGACAATGGCAGCCAGGCGTTGGCTTTTAGTTGCTCCGGTATTTTTTCCTCTCTTCCCTCCACAGCTCCCACCATCCCTTGCCATTCCTTCCTCTGGGGGCAGACTCTGGCAAAGTGCCCTGGCTGTTGGCAGAGATAGCATTTCCGGGCGCCTGTTCCCTCCTTTTTCCCCCCCTCACTGGGCTTTGAAACTGCGCGCGCGCGCTGTTCCGATTTCCATCGGCTCTGCCGGCGGGAAAGTTGGCTCTGGAATGTCTGGAATGCGGAACTCCTTCCAACGTTCCCCTTTCCCTTCCCGCCTCTCCAATGCTCTCGCCTCCTGGCGCGCTCCTATGGCCAGCGCTGATTTGGTCAGCTGGTCCATAGACTCCGCCCTGGGCGCCCGGGAAAGTTCATCTTTCACAGCCGAAGAAAGCCCTTCTTCAAAGAGCATTTGAATGGGTTCCGCCGATAAGTCCCACCCCAATCTGTGTATCAGCATGGTGAACTCAGTCCAGTACTCACGTACAGATCGGCTCCCCTGTTTGCAAGCCATTAACTGTCTGCGCACCACTCCCTTTTCAATATCGCTGGAAAACATCAGATCCATGGCGCGAAAGAACTTCATCGTGTCCTTTAGGACGTCACTATGCGCTGCCATCAGGGGTCTAACCCAGTCTCTCGCCCCCTTTTCAAGATGCCCAATCACAAAAGCCACTCGTGATTCCTCATCAGGGAAATCATCAAACTGCAGATTGAGGGCATATTGCATTTCTGTCCGAAAGCTATGATAGTCTTTGGGCTCCCCCCCAAATTTCTGCACCAATCCTGGTACCTTTCTGGCGAGCTGGGTGGCTTTCTCCCTTGTGTCTGCATCTTGAGCCCTCCTCTCCTCCAGCCTCGCCGTCTGCAGCGCCAGCTGGACCTCCAACACCCGGTACCTTTCTTCCAGGCTTGGACCCGCTCCAGCCCCTGCTTCTCCGGTTCCTGCTGGGTTGCTCATTATGCCTTCTCCTGCACAAGCTGCGTTCAAAGACTGTCGGAATGCTGTGATGGGAAGATGAGCTGCTTGTGCGTAAAATCGTATTCCCTCAGTGTTTGTTCAAGTCCACAAACCTCTGTCTGTGACGGAGCCCCTCTGACATGGCTCCTCTAGTCACTAGAAGATTCCGACAGTGGTTGCTTTCGTAATCGCTTCCAACATAAAAGCTCCTTAACGGAAACACGTCTTCTGGACTCTCTGCGTGACAGTTTCCGGCGAGGAGTGGGTGTCCCTACAGGAGGTCCGGAAACCTCACCACTGTTTTCGCTGGAAGTATCTCTGAGCCATCCCCCAGCTCCCTTTCCCTCAGTTCAGCTTCTCTCCCCTGCTGGTTTCCTCTTCAGCTGCTGAGTCTCTTCCAACCTGTCTGAGCCCTTTCACCTCCCTCAGTTCAGCTTCTCTCCCCTTGCTGGTTCCCTCTTCAGCTGCTGAGTCTCTTCCAACCTGTCTGAGTCCTTTCACCTCCCTTCCTTCCGATGGCAGTTCCCTGACATTGAATGAAGGCTATCCCTATTAAACAATTCATGCCCTAAGTTAGTGGTACATACAGTACAGGAATGAATGTAAAAAATCCTACATTAGTGCAAAGACTTAAGTAAGTCTAGAGATGGGCATTCATTCTGGAGGATATGGCATTTTCATTCAATGAAAATTGAACTGTAGACAATGCAAAAACCCATTTAAATACTAGCTGTGAAAAAAGCTGCTGTTAATCCTCTTCAGAGGCACCAAATAGCCTAGTCAGTTAGTGTTTGAATCTGTACCTTTTGTGACATCTGATGATGTGCAGCTATTCTTATATACGAAGTCAGACCGTTGGTCCTTCAAGCCTAGCAGTATTTACTCTGCAGGGTGTAAGGACAAAAGATGAGGCTGCTGGATCAGGTCAGTGAGTCATCTAGTCCCACATCCTGTTCTCATAGTACCCAACCAGATGCCTGCAAGCTGGACATGAGTGCAACAAGCACTTTCCCCACTTGTGATTCCCAGCAACTGGTTTTCAGAGGCACGATAATGCAGGTACAACATAGCCATTGATAGCCTTCTCCTCCACAAATTTGTCTAATCCTCATTTAATGCCATCCAAGTTGGTGGCAATCATTGCCTCTTGTGAAAGCTAATTCCATAGTTTAACTATGCGCCGTGTGGAGAAGTCTTTTCCTTTGTCTGTCCTAAAACGACAGTCAGGGCATGTATCCACAGCAGTGAGCAGAGGAGAAATGACCGCTGGGAGGGGCGCAGAGAGAAGAAATGCCATGGTGCCTCTGCTGTACCACAACCAGACATCTTCATCTGCCCCTGCTGCAACAAAACATGTTTCTTCTGCATTGGTCTCTACACCCAAAGTGCTGTAACTCTCCCGCAGTTTGATTTTACCCAAAGGTGCCCTTTCCCATTGTCTCCCAAGACAGACGATGCCAACAACTTATTCCCGCCACCCATCCACTGCATCATTCATCAAGCTCTTTGTACAGCTCAGATTACTGCTTGGATCTTTGGAGGGAGAAATTACCAATGAAAAAATGGGAGCATGTGAAATAGTAAGCACATGAAAGAATTAGCTCTTGCTCTTGCTGCCACAATGGGGAGAAGGCTAGGCAAATACACAAAGCCTTACCAGCTCAGGCTCCTATCAAGGGACTACTGGACTGCTGGCATTGACAACAGGCAAATGGTATCCAAAGCAATCAGAGAGAACTAGGACTCTTTAAGGGGGTCCCCAGGGCCCTAGATGTTGCTGTAGTCCTTAGTCCAGTCATAAACAAAGGAGAACAACATGCTAATTAGACTCCAAGCAGGCCAAGAGCTTTGCTAAGAGGTATCTCTGTGCTCGGCATGGCACTTGGGTCCTCACAACCACATTGAATCAGTTTCCTGTGAGGCTACTGGTGTTCCCCAACAGCCTCTGGGTGCCACTACAAAGAATCCTGTGGACAGTATTTGGAAGTAGTAAAATGATTTCAGGCTGTACCAAACTAGCTTCTGTTGCTGACCATGGCTATCTTCTATATCAGTACTGTAATGGGATGGATCCAGAGGCAGCAATGTCACATGAATTTTGGGCGATGGTCATTTCTCTGAATGCTCTGCTCTGTGGCAAGATCACACACCTCCTGGGAGTATTTTCAATACATATGGGAATTCATATTAATTAATTAGTAGAATACAATTCCAATAGGAAGCAGCAGTGTCTGCTTTTGGCGAAAGGTGTATGGGAACAGGTAAAAGAGAAAGGTACAAGTCACCAAACTTTGCTAAAAGTGTGTGTGTGCGTGCGCGTAAGCCACTCCTGTGTTTATTAAGTCCCAGCCACCAAGGGCAGGTCTTTGGTGTTTGCACGGCAGATTCAGAACAAAGCAAGCAGGCTAGGCATGCCTATGAAGTTGGCAACTGCCTCCCTAGAAGATGGCAAAGAATGTTTTTGACAGCCCTTTCATTCAAGCTGCAAATGCCCAGATTAACTTTGTGTGGTACCAGGGTGGGGCACTGTTAGCGACTTAACTAGAGCTATGCAAGGACTGGGCAGGGCCCTTTGTTTGCACTAGAAATCTATCTAATCAACTTTCATTTACTAGTCAGTTTTGCTCCCAGGTATATAGTGGGCCTTTGTTGCATGTTGGGGCATAGTTAGGAGGAATGGAACAGGGGCCAGTCTGCAGCAAACTGGCTGTTAACCTTTTCTCTACAAGGAAAAGGCTTGTTAAGTGCAAGGAGGATTTGCTGTAGCCCAAGGCAGGAAGCAGTAGAAAATGTGATACAACTTGTCTTGCAAGGGGACCCACCAGAGGGCTGGGGGTGAACACCTGCCACTCTCCCTGTGAGTAGGACATAGCCTTATGGAGTTGTCACCAGCTCATTGCCAGGCATTTTTGCAGTTTTTTGTGACATTCCTGCAGTTGTCCTTCTCATGGCTCTTTTAGCCCCTTTTCACAAAAGAGAAAAGATTTTAAGCAACCTATTGTCATATGCTTTGACAATAGTGGAAGTGATCTTTTGAGTTAAACAGAGGCCTATTCCCCAGCGTAGGTATTTAGACCAAAAATTACAGGCTTTTACAGGTTCCTACTCTTATTAGCCCACATGGATGTGTGTTTTGGGGTTAATCAGCTACTGGGCCGTAAACTTTTCTGTTTTTGCTTTGAACAGCCACTTCTGAGGAAGAGCTTTGTGGAACTCAAAAGTTTGCAGCCAGCAATGTGATAGAAGACAGTCAAAGAGCAGTGCTTCCAGTCTAGACATCCCAACCAGCTTACTGTATGGCTGAAGACCTGGTAGAAAAAGGCCAAGGCTTGTGCTCTTGACTGCTACAAGGGAAAGGCTCATGGGAGAAAAAGGGTCTAGTTGTCAGGAAAGGGACAAGCTAAACCACAAAGAGCTGTGCACAGACACCAAATGTGCAGACACCCTGGTTTATTAAAAAACAAAACAAAACATGCAGCCACCGCTGCTGAGTCTTTTGCATTAGAATGCACCCAAGACCTGAGCGCAGCACATGGATTCTGCCACACGAGGGCCACTCTCACTTTCCAGATCACTTTGTCAGTCTGCCTCCCACCTTCCTGCTGCTTGCCGTTTATTCACACTAATGTCTGTTGCCTTGGAAGCAGTCAGGAAGTAGCGCCAAGGGGCAAAGTCCTGCCTTCACACAAGCTGTAGGAAACAAAAGACTTGTCCTCCCTTCATTGACAAGTGGGACAGGTGGGTGGTTGCATCTCTCCCCACCTCATCTCTTTTTCACAAATTTTTTGGAGGCTGTGTTGGGGTTCAGACGCCTCCTGCCTGCACCCAGCGCCGTATCCCGGATCTGTAGATTGGCCGCCCGGCTGTAGATGTCGTTTTCCGCAAATGGAGAAACTCCTGCAATATAATCGGGGTCAAATACGTTTGTCTTCTGCCTGGCCTTGCGAGAGAGCCGTTGCTGGGGGAAGTGCTGGTCCTCTGTCAGGTGGGGATTGTTTGCGTGTTTCCCACCCTGAGGAGCTGGAAGAGAGTACTGTGGAAAGAAAGAGGCACACTGTGAAGCCAAAAGGCCCAATACACCCTGCCCCACCCCCCTGACAGGGAGAGGCATCTCACACTTGACTTTCATCCTTGCTGTATTTTTTCCAAGTTACGGTTTTACATTTTTACTTACAGTGGTATCCAATCCACTCATGGTCGTAGCATGAGGAGTGACAGCTGCACAACGGACACCCCCACATCTTCTCCCCCCATAATCTGTTATGGGGTTCCCTCAACTCTTTGGAGAAGATTTGGGAAGGCGTAGGACACATGCAGGGGGAAATTTTGTTGCACAACCATAAATCGTTGTGCTAGTGGATCAAGTTCCTTAATGCTACACTGGATAGAACTGGCCACAGAACTTTTGCCATTGGGAGGAAATAAATAAACCCAGAGAAGATTCTTCTGCTGGCCCCAGAGGCCATCATGGCCTGCTGCAGACTCTTACTTCTTGCCTCAGGTGCTCAGCTGGGAGCACGGGCAGCCAACAGAGACGACAACAAGTGCGGAAAGCCCATAAGAGCACTGGAGCCCAGAGCAGAGCTGCTCACCCGGAGGCCACGGGGGTTCAAGACCTTGGGATTCCGGGAAAAATGCATGTGGATGGTGCCATCGTCGTCTACGCTCACCGCCACCTTCTTAAGCGTCTTGTTCCCGCAGTGGGGGCAGAAGAGCCGGGTCATTTCTGATGTGGTTCTGGAGGAAAGCAGAGAAGCCAGTCAGTGGCTTGACAACCTTGGCAGCAGCCCATTGCCCAAGCCCAGGGGGCATCTCCTGAATACAGCTAGACACAGGCCCAGCTGTTGCCCATATGCCAGAGATTGCAGCCCAGCCACCAACTCATCACATACTTGAAGCAGCCGTGGCAGCGCAGGACGTAGCTCCGGGTGTGCCGGATCAGCATGCCATTGACTGCCAACACATGCAGGCCCATCTGCAGCAGAATGTTCTGTGGGAAAGAGACCAGAGAAGGGGAGGGGAGCCCAATCAGCACCCAATGTGCCCCCATGATGCTGGTGCAGGGCAAGTCCCTCTCAACAGACTTTGGATACTCCATAGGCCGGGGTCTTGGAAAGGGCTGGAGCTAAAATAAGGCAATGCTTGCTCTCCTTTTTAAAAAACACAAAATGCTGGCTTTGGAAGTTTGCTCTTCTTTTGCTGCTGGGCTGACCAAGCTTCTCCAGTTGAAAGAGAGCCCCAAGTTTCCTCTCCTTCAGGTCTGCCAGGTTGCCCAACTCGGAGCACAAAGCGCTGCTTCCCCTCTCCCCTTCCTGTTTTTGTCCCACTGCCTGTTTGCCTTCAGTCCACCTCCTGGAGCTTCTCGTCTCTCTCTCTCATCCCTCTGCTCTACACCTGACCACTTCCATTCCCTCTTCTCAGCTTCCTGCTGCCACCCAAGTCACCCCTTGCTGCTCATGAGCCACCCTTTCTGTCCCTCCTATTCTCATCATGTTCTTCCAACATAGACCATAAAACCTCTGCTGGGCCTCCAGGCAGCTGTAGCAGGCACAAGAATGTAGCAGGAGGCTTACAAGGATGAAAGGGTAAGCATACATCTTTCTCCCTCCCCTCAAGCCCTGGGAACCACCTGGTCTCACACAGCCCACACTTGCCTGCATGGCAAAGTCGGTGGTGACACAGCCAACCTGCACACCAGCTGGCTCTTCAGCCTGGCCCATGCCCTGTTGGATCTGCTTGATGTTGCTAGGCGTGATCCAGCCTTCCTCGTCATCGCTGTCCTCTCCACTCTGCTCCTCTTCCTCACCACTACTCTTGTTGCCTTTGGGGTCCTCCGGCACAATAACAACAGCATCCGCTTTCTGCGAAAAACAGACCAATTGGGAGAGGATCCGCTGAGCACGGAACCTTCCCAGGCTATGGAGATGAAGGTGGTGCCCGTGTCCCAGTGAGGCAGGAAGAAAGGAAAGAATGCTAGACTTCTTACCAGCAAGTCCTGTAGGTCCTCCTCAATGCTGGGCAGAGGGTTCCTCCAGAACAGGAAGGAACCAAACTCAGACGTTTCAGGGCCTGTGGAGTCTGCAAAGTTTCTGCTTCCCACCACGGAAGGACTCTTCTCACCTCCTGGGCACTTGGTCTAGGAGAAAAGTTGGGCAGAAGAAAAGCTGACATGTATGAATTGCCAGAAGAAACAGTCTTATAGAAGCTCCAGATTGCTTACACTGACTGGCAGCAATGACTCTCTGGGGTGTTTACCTGGAGATGCTGGCTGGGATTGAACCTGGGACCTTTTGCAGGCAAAGCAGGTGCTCCACCACTGAGAAATTTGCCCATCCTCCATGGCCCTCTTAGAAAAGCCGTGTGTGGCTACCTCTTCCTTTAGGCTTCTGGTAGATGCCGAATGGTCACTGGATCCTCACACAAGCCAAGGAGGAGATGCTGCCTATCAAGGACTCCCAGCGCAAGGGCTCAACTGGCACACCTGGTCATTCCCAGATTACACCCCGTGCAACCAGGAGGAGGGGAGGGGCAGTGAGTCATCAAGGTGCGCTACCCTCTGCTCCTACTCCTTCCATGAATAGTGGGGCAGAGTTTCAGATTGCTCACAGAGGCAATTACCTTGGAAGGTAGATGGAAGCCAGCAACATGAACAGGTGTCTCAGGGTGCTGCTTTGTTGAGCTGAGTTTTACCTGCAAGGATCCAGGGTGGGGAGAGAAAAGGAAGTAGGATGTGGGTCAGGTAGGGCATATTGTTGATTTTTGCAGCAGCAGCAGCTGCCTCACAAAACCTACCTTCCCAGAGTCTGATCAGCATTTGAGCAGCAATGGCAAGAAGAATGGCATTCAAGCCACAGCAGAGCATAGGACAGGATTCAGGCAGTGCATAATCAGCCTGTTTGGCATTTGCAGCAGCAGGAAACAGACAAAGACAAAACATAGGTTGCTAACACATGCAGCTGGTGGCAAGAGTGTCCTGCATTCATGTGGAACTGGATTGCCCCCTCCTACTGGATAGGAAGAATATTGCAATAAGGGGCCTCCTCGATCAGCCACAGAGGGAGTTGACTTCCCTCCTCACTGGCAGAAAGAACCCTTTTCAATTGTCCTAGGAGTGCACAGCTGAAAGGAAGGAGCAAATGCTGACATCAGCCAGGGGAACAAGGGCTGCAGGGTCATTTACAGCATCTCTATCCAAGCAAGGAAATATTATCTTGGCCCCAACTAGATAGTAATGCCTGTGCCCACCCCACCACTTGGTTCCTGGCATTATCCATCTGGTCAACAAGCCCCCCCCCCCCCCCGCTTCCCTTATTTCCCCTTCTCTTGTGTGTCTTGTTTTTTTAAGTGTGTAAGCCTAAGGGCAGGACCTCTCTCTGTCTGTCTTTTAAATAATGTGAGTTGTTTGGAAGAAAACATTTGCCTGAAAAGCAGGATACAAAACCAACATCATAGTAAATAAATATTTTGCTGGAAAAGGCCCCTTCAAAAGAGAAATCATAAAAGAAGGAAGATCCACCTTCTGCTCTGGCTCTTTCTTCAAGTGAGCCACACCAACATTTTCTGCTTCCAGCTGGTAGGTCAAGGCCAGAACTTGGATGTCTGTGGCTGAAAGACTGGGGTAGTCACCCGTCTTCTTGGAAAACTCCGTCACTAGAAACAAAGGAGGATTTCACTGTTTAAGTCCAGAGGCAAAACTAGGAAATCACAACCGCTCATGAGAAAAAGTGCTTCTCTAATTCCAGAGGGCACTAGGAAAACATATCAAAGAGCAAGTAACAATGAAACAATTGTAGGTGATCAACTTGATTTCTACTCCTGACTGTGTGTGTGTGTGTGTGTGTGTATCACATGTTAGTTGGGGTTATACTCAACAAAGCCCCACCCAGAGTAGATCAATTGAAATTAATGAAAGTAAGTCATGTCCATTAATCTCAATGGGTCTACCCTGAGTAGGACTAGAATTGAATACCACCCTTTGCTCTCCAGTCAAGAGCTCAAAGTTACTTACAAAAAGAAAAAGGCAAGTCACGGAAGAGGGGATGGGGTGGGAGAGGGGCAGGAAGAATAGACCACGAAGCAGAGGCTACTCACCAAGCCTTACATATTCAGGAAAAGGCTGCTTGAAGTGGAGCTCATAGGGCAGCACTGCCAACCGCCTGCGGGTCTCCTTGTCTCGGATCTCAGTCACCACCTCTCGGATTGTGTAGATGTTCTTGCCAATGTCCTGCCAGTGGGGAAGACACAGCTGAGACTGTTGCAAGTGGGTCAGGAACCTGAGGGCTGGAAGGGGGCTGGGCCGGGGTGGGTGGGTGTGCAACTAGGTTAGGGAAGAGAGAGGCAGACCTATGGCCACACCTCTCCTGACCTACTAATCACACTCTAGGAGCAAAAGCTAATCTGGGGGTTCTGGGATGCCCACATACCGAGAAGCATAACAGGGCCACCTGCAACAAGGGAGGGGACACCAGGAGTCCCATGCAACATTCTAAGGAGCCACCTTGGCTTGGTAGACGGGTGTGTGTGTGTCCCCAACCGCCTGAAGCTGTCAAGGGATAGGGAACAATCTCCAAGCCCACAACCCCAACCTGCCATGCGCCCTAAGGAGAGTCTCTGTCTAGGCAGCTTTCTCTCTCTACTCGGGATGGCCTAATAAGTCTCCAGGTCCAACAAAAATCTACGCAAAGTAAAGCATACACCTGGGCCTGTGGACCTTTCTCGCGCGGCTCCCCAGTGGGCCACTAGCCAAGCTAGGCAGCCGCTCTCAGCCTTTTCCCACTGTACCTGAAGCGGGGCTCCACGCAGGAAAGCTCCAGCATCAGCCACGACGTGCTCCACGGGAGCCATTTTGCCCGACTTTAGACTGTGACTCCCAGGGCACTCTGGGAAGTGTAGTCTTTCCACCCGCTCTCCATTGTGGAGCATGCTGGGAACTGTGCGGCCTCACACAGGATAGTTCGTGGAAGAAAGGCATGCTGGGAGCTGTAGTTCCCATCTAAAATCGTCCTTTCTTCCTAGACTTAAAAAAGAATAGAAAGAGCATTGCATTGTTTGAAGGCGGGGCTTTTCATCTAATACTTTTGATGCCGCCCACCCGCCTCCAAAGAATCCCGGGGAAATAAACTTCCACTTCCAGTCCGACAATTTCCACTCCTGCCTCATCCCGACAACCGGAAGTCGGAGCCCCTGCAGCCACCGCTTCCTCCGCCATTCCGCTCTAGCCGTCCCGGCTCCGTAGCCTCCCTTTCCACTTCCGAAGTATGTGTCACGTGACGTGTCACTTGTCACATGACCCATGACTACAGGAGGTGGAAGTGGGAAGAAGCTGGGAACCGTCGCCGGTAAGTCTAGAGATTTGAGGGTGGGAAGCGGGGGGTCTGGCCACTGCTGTGATTGACACATACGGATACTCACACCCGCTTGCTTGCTTGCTTGCCTGGTTTCCTTCTCTCCAACATTTTGAAAATCAGCTGGAGCTTTAAAAAGCAAAATACTCCTGAGTTTCTCTTTTTAAAAACAAACAAACATTCGTTTGTTTATTTATTTTTAGGGGTTGTTAGTTCCATCCCGCTTTTCAGGTTATAACAGCAACAACAACCCCCGGCCCGCGAAGCTACAGGAAAGGCGAAGGTGGCAAATGAAGGGATGAAGTAGTAAGCCAAAACCTTTAGAAACGGAAGGCCTGAGCAAACCCCAAATATTTTTACTGTATGTGTGTGTATATAATGTCGACAGGCTTGGAAACCGCAGGCACTCTGGGTCTCCAGCCCCACTGCCTGTCTTGTCCCTTTAAAGCTTTAAAGAGGGCAGGGGTTGTCTCTCTGAGTACCTCAGCAGCTAAGCTCTTCTGTTCAGAAGGTGCCCTTAAGATATGTACTGTCTATGAGGCGGACTGTTCTACGGTGAAGAGGGCCTCAGGCCCTTTAAGGCAGACTACATTAGCCTACTGCCTGCCCTTCAGCAGTTTTGGACTACAACTCTCATCATCCTTAGCCAGTATGGTTGTAGTCCAAAACAACTGGAGTATTATACTAGGTTGGTAAGAGCAGTGTTCAAAACTCCCATTGTTTTAGGCACATTTTGTGACGGAATTTCATTAGTGTGAACAGTTTCTGAGCTCTGGGCACAGTACTGCACCTAAGATTTCAGATTAAAACTGCGGAGTGGAAGGAAAGAAGGACCTTTTTCTGCCTCCCCACTTCCAGCTACTCTCTGAAGACTGGAGAAGAGACCCTCTTAAGAATATTAATGTGAGCATAATGAACATAATATTTTAGCTGCAGTTTGTTCATTTTCAGCTTTGTATTGTTATTTTAAAAGTGTGCCGTTGTTGCACCCACAACCTAGGTTTAAGATGCCATTTAGCTCCTAGCTTCATATCTCAGTTTCTAACACTGGGTAAGAGTTGCTTTCATATCACTATGGACACCTGGACTTATTTTTGGGCAGTCACTGTAGAGTTTTCCCCAGAGAGCTGGGCTGCCATTAACCTACTCAGCTGTGGGACAAATTGCTACGTTTTGTGCCAGTGGAAGTGTCTAGACAGTCTATATGGGGTGTGCTTTTCAGTTGTGTTGCTCTACAGTGCCTTGCTGTAGGATGAGGCTGAATCAAGCCATTGGGTGCCCTTCCTCCTTTTCTGAGGTACCCACAGAATAGCCTTTGGCTCTACTAGGGGCACCATGATCTTCCTTGGACACATGCTAAGGAGGTTCATCCACCTATTTGCTTTGCTCAGATTATAGGGAAGTTTGTATTGCTTCTTTTATTGCGTTGCTTATTGTTTGGGATTCAGCTTTTCTGTTGGAACTGCTGTTTATGTGCTCACTATACATAAGCGCAAGGACTGAGGCAGGTTTGCTTCTTGAATTGGCTGATTGCTGCAGCTACTTGTAAAGATATACTGTAGCCTGAGTGATACTGTTTAAACAAAGGGGTGTGTGTGCAAATGAATTGTGTAGATTCTTCCTGGTTGTGGCAAGGAGCTCCAGAGAGTTCTACAAAGAAATATGGGAGTAAAATCTGATTCCACAAAGGAGAGAGGACAGCACTCTCTGTCACGCAGATAACAGCTGATGTAGACACGTCATGAGGCATGTTGAATGATTTTTGCCACTGCCTCTTGCATTGCTGTGTGTGAACTATTGGACTTCTTGTTTGCATCTTGCTCATTTTGTTGAAAGGAACTACCAACATTGATGTTCTCTGGGTACACTAGAACTGTATCCATATGTGGGATTGATCTAACACCATCCACCTATAATTTACCTTATGTTCTGTTTAACTCAATTTTTGGCTCATTCTCAGTGCATCTGAGACCATAGAGGGAATGAAGTGAATTGGTATGTGTGTCACCTGTCACCTTCACAGAATGCTGGGTTTGAAGGAGAGTAATAAATATGCAATGATTGAATGTGTTAATGATTAGCTGACTTTGTTTGGTTCCTCCTGAGCAGCTTGCGTGGTTGCTAGACTCACACTCTGTTGTGAACCAACTCTGTCTTCCTGCTCTTGGAGATCTGTAGGTAGTGCAAATCAACAAACTCACTCTTCTGTGAGGGATAGAAAATGAGCGAGGAAACTCATTCAGGAGGGGGTGTTCCTGCTTCTTCTTCTAACCTTACCTGCCCACTTGTCATTCAGAGACTTAAAATACAAAACTTTTTATGATCCAGAAGCTCAAGCATGAAGAAGTTCCTCCTCTTTGCTGAACGAAAAGCTCCCGTAGGGCTGCTGCTGCTCTTCATCAGAGCTTGCTGTGTGCAAACAAATGCTGGCAGTCCTTAACTGAGCTGTTCTGCACCCACTTCCTCTTTGAAGCTCTCTTCTTCCTTCTGCCTTTGCTGTCTTACTCAGTGAGGGGAATTTCCCACACTACCCCCTGGGGCCTCGTTTTTCCGGAACTGTTGCTGGATTGGGGCTTCTGATGGTTCTCTTCAAGCAGCTCTATCTGTTCCAGGATTCAGAACTCAACAACTGGAAAAGTTCTAAGTTTGGAAGGTGCAGTTATCAGTATGGCTGGTGAGAGCAAGGTATTTCCTGAGCCAAAGAGGCAAACTTAGAGAAGCAGCAGGAAGCATGAGTAGCCAAACTCCTAGCATCCCACTCCATCAGGCCATGCTAGCTGTGGCCATGGGCGTAGCCAAGGAGGGGCCGGGGGGCAACTGCCCCCCAATCAATACAAATCAATACAAATCTGAGGTTCTGTCCCCCCTAACAAAAGCCTGCCCCCCCTAACAAAAACCCTGGCTATGCCCATATCTGTGGCTGATGGAAGCTGGAGCCCATAAACCAGGTCTCCTCCCATTCCCTAGTGCTGATGCTCCCAGCTCGGTGTCCAGTACCAGAACTTGGAGGAGACTCGCCCCGACTTTTCAGACAATGTGTCACCTGTTGCTCTCTCACTTTCATAGGCATCCAGCGATGAAATGGCTTCTGTGGGGTTGCCTGGAGAGAAATCTCCACTTACTGTGAAAGGTGAGTCCTCTGGTCCAGGAGCAACTCTGTGGAGTTTGGCAGCAATTGTTGTTTCTGGTCTGCCCCTCTGTCAGCTCTGGATGTCCTTTCTCCTTGGCTCGCCTGTGAAATTCCCATCAGCTGCAAGGATTTTTTGTGTAAGCGTAGCTGCGCCGTGGGGTTGTGTTCAGTTAATTTACAAACCTCTTTCCATGAAGCATCTTAAAGGAATTTCATAACACATTAAAAAACACATATAAAAACAATCACACATATTAAAAAACAATTTCCGATGCATTAAAGATACTGACTGGTTATCAGCCAAGTTCAGATCAGAATATTAGGAAGCTTATAGAACCCACAAAACAAGTGAGATTCTTCCTATGAGCCGAACAAACATTTATATTGCTTTATGGGTGCTGTTCTGAGCTATTCAGACTCACAAATAATTATGCTGAGCAAAAGCTTAAAAAAACAACAGTAGGGAGCAGAGCAGTCTGGATGAGAACATTTCATGTATCCCAGGAGGTGCTAAATATTCTCTAAAATGAAGAGGAGGCTAGTTTACATTGAGGTGGGTAATTTGTGGCCCTTCAGAGGTTGTTGGGTTCTCATTTCCCTCAGCACCAGCCAGTGTGGTCAGTAGTCAGGGATGGTGGGAGTTGTCATCTGAAGGGCAACAGATTCCCCCCCTTTACACTGCTTTTATTTTAAGCAGCTGCCAGTTAAGAAGAGCTCCAGAAAGCACTGTAGCCAGCATTTGGGTGGTCCCATGATAGTTCCTTGACTTGTTTGCTGTGGTCTTTCAGTCATTCCCAGTCATTCCCACTTGTGCTGTCCCCAGCGTAGGGATGACTTCTTCTTTTTTAGCATGACCCAGAATTTCCTTGCCTGCGAGAAAACCCCTGCCAACAGGATGACTGTGTGACCTTCTGATCTTTTCCCTACAGCTTGCCAAGGTGGCCTGAACTTTAGCAGTCCCCACTCCTAACTACTGTCAGTTCAGGGTGGGGAACAAATGGGTTCTCTCATCAGTATTTGTTTGTGTGTGTGTACACACACACACACACACATGCATATATATGCAAGGGTGGGTGTGGGAAGAGAAACAGCTTCCCTACCGTCTAGTCATAACAGCAATGGACTTTTACCTGCTGATCCTGCAAACTTTGGATCCAGGCCAGAGAGGCATGACTGTGGTAGGGTTACTTACCGGGTCCTTCCGCACCCTGAGAGCCATCACTGCCATCCCATCTCACTGCAGGAACTCAGCTAACTACAACTGCTTAAATTCATTCTACAAGGAGGAAGGCTGGAAGTTGCTTTATACTGAGTCCATATAGATTAATATTGTCCACACTGAGTGGCAGCAGCTCTCCCGGGTTTCAGGCAAGGGTATCTCCCAACTCTACTGATATGTGAGTGTTTAATTCTTCACATTGCCCTCCAGTCTCAAGGGTTAAAAATGAGACCCACAAGCTTTTCTCTTGTCTTCTGGCCTGTTGTGACAGCAATGTGCCATTGGGTCATTGCTCATAAGGACTGAGAGGCAAGTCTCCCCTTTCTTCCCCCCCACCCCAGACTTGTTTTTCTGGCTAGCTGGTGCCCCCCCCCCAACATGAATGCTTTGGTTGCACCTCAAGCAGCTGCAGGGGGGGAGCGTATGATGGGGCCAGACGGCAGCCTCTTGCGGCTGTTAGGTCTGGCCAGCTGCACATGCTGTGCCACCAGGGGGCTCCCAACACTGGCCGTTGCAGGAGCGTTTCTGCACAGGCTGCAGCTGCTCTGCCTTCCTCTCGTGGCTGAAATGTCAGTCCCTGGGTCTGTAGTCGGCACTCATCAGCCTTGGCACTCTCCAGCTAGGGCTAGACTCTGGGTCTCAAGTAAGAGACCCTCTGGAATGCCAAGGGGGCACTCTTGCCTCCTTGTCCAGTGCAAGCTCCCAAGGTGGGGAGGGGAGGAGAGTGGCTGTTTGAACCAGCAGTAGCCAAAGTGGTGCTGTTTGGCTCCAGCTCCAGTCACCCCCAACAGCCACCATAGCCAGTGGTCAGGCATGATGGGAGTTGGAGTCCAGCAATATCTGGAGGGCACCACATTGAGCTGCCCGTATTCTAGCCTTTGTTTGGATGGGAAGGGACTTCTATCACGCTACGGGCCAGCAGGTTTGCTTCCCAGGGTTCTTTGCGGGAATCCAGGGCTCTTCATCTATTTTCAAGTGAGGGTTAGGGTTAGATAGGCCCTTTGCCCTGCTTGTTCCTTTGGCAGTCTTGTGCTTGCATAAAGGGTGGAACCAACAATGGAGCCTCCTGTGTAAAGCGGAGGGGTTAAAAGGGCACAGTTGGGTGGCATTGTCACTCTCCCTGGCATGCAAGTAGATCTGGCTACCCCAAAATCCCTACCAGGTTAGCCTGGGGCAGGCGCCACCCACCACTCCAGCTGAGGAGCAGCTACTGAACTTCCTCCACTTCCTCCCTCCAGTGGTGTCAGCAAAGCCCAAGGCACAGGGGCGCCAGGCTCGGATTACCTGCTTTGTGGAGGTGACGGCGGATGGGCTCACCAGCGAGACCAAGAAGACAGCAAAGCGGATTGGGAGCTCAGAGCTGCTCTGGAACGAGAATCTTGTGCTGTAAGAATTTGGGGCTCTAGGGAATTGGGGTGTGTGTGTGAAACAGAGCTGAGGCAGGCGCTGGCTTTGCCCAGGTGGGTCTGCTCTGGCCCCAAGGGCTTGCCCAGGCTAGCAGCTGTGTAGGAGCAAAAGTCGTGGGATGGGCCTTAGGCTCTGTGGCTGCGGCAGCTGCTCTTTCCATGGTGAAGCAGGAGACCTTGCAAGGGACACATCTGCATGTTATCAGCTGTGTTTCCAAACAAGGGAAGGCCCTTGGCTCCCCCTGACTTGTCATCTTAAGCCTGTTTGCCGAAATGACTAGGCCTTGGAAGGCCTCTCACTGGGGCCTGGGATGACCTAGTTTGCTGTTCTTATGTTTGGGAAGCCTAATGACGGGTCGAGAGCACTCACATTCTTTTCATTTATTTCTGCAGAGCCCCCTTTTCACCTTTTAACGTTTAGTTTTGTCCCCAAATTGGCTTTTACTGAACGTCCCTCATGCTTGGCACAAGGCAAACTTGATCCCACCGCCTCACCAACCTGTCTTCTTTTGCACCCTCTTCCTCCCACAACTCCACTGCAGGAATGTCACCTCACAAAGCCACCTTGACGTGAAACTCTGGAGCTACCACACCCTGCGGAATGAGTTGCTGGGCACAGCCTCCATCAGTCTCCCCAGTGCACTGAAGCAGAGCAAAGGGAAAGGTATGTCCCATGGTAGAGACTCTCCACAGCTCCCTCCGCTGGCCTGTCCTCCTGTTTGGGCATCACCAGGTTTTCTGCGTCCTCTGGCAGGGGGAAATAAGGCATACCTGGTGGAGGAAATGCTCTGGCCTTGGCAGAAGACAAGGCCTCATTGTGAGCGGCTGGGAGGCCTGTCAGGCGCACAGGGCTGCTGCTGCTGGTGTGTCTGATGGAGGCCACCCCTTCACCAGCCAGGAAAGCAGAGCAGCCCGCCCAGCAACACGAGGCCCTTGGCTGTCTGCTGCCATTTGTGGTTGCTGGAGTGGCCCGTGGCGGCAGCCGCTGCTTCTGCTGCTACATAAAGGCCTCTATTCAGGGGGCTCCCGGCAGGGAAAGGCTCTCTCCGTCTCCTTCAGCCCAAACTGCTCCCCTGCCCCCACCATGGCCCCCGCCTCACAGAATACAGACCTCGTATTGAGAAGTGCCGGGCCTGGAGATAGCAGATGGAGGTGGGGGCAAAGTCAGAGCAACAGCCAGCTACTTTTCTGGGGCAGTCTCTTCTCCCTGGGCTTAGGCCTGATGGTCTGGTCCACTAGCTTTGAGATGTCTGGGCCTTGGTGAGCAGGCTTTGACTGGAGGTGAGTGGAGAGAGACCCCCTGCTCTGGGTCAAGAAAATGAGCGGAGGCTTACCTGCACCTTCCCTTGCAGTGTCACAGCTCCTTGCTGCACTGGTGTCTCAGAGCAAAAGGTGGCAAGGGCTTCATGGTTGCTGGAAGTGGCTTTTGTGTGTGCGCGGGGGGGGGGGGTTAACATTGGGGCTGCCCTTTTGGGGCCTTGTGGTGTGGTTGGAGGGCGAGTGTTTGAGATCCTGCCTGAGTCGCCCTCCCGCCCTCTCCTCGCCCACCTGAGCTGCTCCTCTTCCTCCTTGTGTGCCGGACACAATGCTCCTTTCATGAGGCAAGGCGTAGTTTTGGGCGGCAAATGGAAAAGGCTCCGCTCGGTACCAAAAAGGATGGAATTTTCCCTGGCACTGGCTGCGAGGGGAGGCTTCTTAAAGCGACAGCACAGCCACTGCCGGTGAGTGTCAGAAGATCAGGCTTTCTTTCTCCCTGCGGCTCTGAGGCAAGGGCTGCTCGCTGTGGTTGTTTTCCTGGATGAATTGCATAAGAACATAGGAAAGGCTCTGCAGGATCAGGCCAGTGGCCCATCTAGTCCAGCACCCTGTTCTCGCAGTGGGCGACCAGATGCCTGTGGGAAACCTGAGCAAAAGAGCACTCTCCTCTCCTGTGGTTTCCAGCAGCTGATAGTCAGAAGTTACTGCCTCTGATGGTGAAGGCAGAACATGGTCATTATGGCTAAGAGCTGTTGATAGCCTTGTCCCCCATGGATTTGTGTAACTCTCTTTTAAAGCCACCTGAGTTGTTGGCCATCACTGCCTCTTGTGGGAGTGAGTTCCATAGTTTAAAGATGTGCTGTGCGAAGGAGTAGTGTCTTTTTCTGTCCTGAATCTTCATTCCACTTCATTAGATGTGCTCGATTTCAAGTGCTATGAAAGAAGGACTTCTCTGTCCACTTTCTCCATGCCATGCATAACTCCATATTCTTCTACCATCCCTTTCTTGCCTTTTCTCTAAACCAAAAAGTCCCAAATGTTGTAACCTTTCCCCATAGGGCTGTTGCTCCATCCCTTTGATCGTTTTGCCTTTTCCAACTCCACCATATCTTTCTTGAGGAGAGGAGGTTACTCCAGGTAGAGCAGATTGACAGCTGGCACTGAGAATGGCCACTCTCACTTCTCCTTGCCATGGGTGTGGGTGTCTGCTCCCCGTCAGCCTTCCATTGAGCAAGCACCCAAAATCACCCTCCCTTCCTCTATGTCCTGGGCAGGAGAGAAAGGGCAGCCCTTGTGAGCTGCCGATCTAAAGAGTGGGGAGGGGGGTCCTATTGGTTTAATTTCTATCCTGCCTCATTGCTAGGGCTCTGCACCCATTTCAGGATATGCAATGCACAGCTAATGAGAAAGCAATACCCTGAGATATCTGCAAAACCAGCTACAATGGCCACCTGGTTCTACCAACAGGCGCCTCAGATCCAAATGCCTTTCTCTGTGATGCTCTGGCTGGGGGTGGATACAGTCTTGAAGGCACAAGATGGGAGATTCATGTGGCTCATCTCTCAGGTGCTTGTGTGTCCTCCCTTCTTCTGAGGAGCTGAGAGTGGAGGCTTCCTCCCTGTGAAGTAGCATCATTGAGAGGCCTACCTGAGGCTGCCCAATGAGCCTCAGGGCTGAAGAATGATTTGAACTGGCCTTGCTGGGCTGCACTGGGAGAGGAGGAAGCCGCAGCTCCTTCCTGGCACTTTGCCAGCTGCCTTTAGGCCTCCTGGAGTGGATGGATGGGCACACCTGAAGTTTTCTTGGGATCTCCAGCTGGGTCAGCAGCCTTTGTGTGCCCTGAAGATCCCTGCATGTTCCTTGAGCATCTTCTGTCCTTGTCCCAAGGGTCTTTGCTGCACCAGAATGGCAGTGGTGGGGTGGGGAGTTCTTCCCAGCCTAGCTGTGCTCCTTGGACATCTGCTCCAGAAGCGCTCTGCCAGAACCAACGTTTTGGCCAGGCAGCCCCTGCAGAGCTCCAGTAGGAGAGGCTGTTTGGGGAGATGGAGGGTGGGGTGCAAATTAGTTCAATAAGAGCCAGCCGGCTACTGCCTTGGCTGCAGCAGCTCCCAGTCCCTCATCGGATGCATCGATTGCAGCTCCAGATTCCCACCCACCCGCAAGGGACTCTTTGTTCTCAAGCCTGTTCTGGGCACAGGTTTACAACCCCCCCCAACCTGGAGGCTGATCCCATTTCTACTGTGTGAGTGCAGCAGCTTCCTTCGTATGTCCTCTCGCCTGCCAGCCAGGCAGGGAATGGGGCCTTCCGCCAAGGCTCTTGAAGCAGCCAGCATCTGAATCAAGGCCGGACCCAGAGCAGGGGGTGTGGCTCAGAAGAAATCTCTCTCTGTGTGTAAAAACAAATCCTCATGTGGCTGCATCAATTGAGTGTGAAAACAAGGGGCCTGGAGCCTTTCGGGCTGCAGTGTGCAAACAACACCTCCCCCCGCCCCTACAATCATCACCCTTGTTCTCAGGTTGCATCAAGAGGTTCTTGTTTAGGGAGCCCCCTTCTTCCCCCCCCCCCAATGCTTTTACAGCTCCTGCAAAGGTCTGTGACTTTGCTTCTCATTCTGCCTGGCCCCAGGCAGGGATGCTGGAGCTGCAGCCACAAAGAAGTCATTCAGAAGGAAGCCAGCCCTGATTTCTGCTCCACACAAAGTAGTAGCAGGATCCAAGGAGGAAGTTGTAAGGATGGATGGATGGGCTCCTCGTTGGAAAGCCAACCTCAAAGACGGCTTCACTGAACTGTGGCCAGGCCGATGCTGGGAAAGAGTTGTGTGGGCAACCATGTTTTGGGGTCCCACGTCCTGCTTTGCCCCTTCCTCTGGCTATCCCTCTAATAGTAGCGCCTCTCCTTGCAAGCCAGCTGGCAAAGCTTGTTCTGCTGGGTGTACAAGGCTTCTTCCAGAAAGGTGCCTTGCATCTCAGCGATTGTCCTCTTTAAACCCTCAAGTGTCCTTGACTAGCCTGCAGGGCTCTTTCCCCTTCCCTACCAGAACTCCCTCCCAATCTTCTATTCTCGTTGACAGACTGCTAGCATGTAGGCTAAATGAAGCTACTGCTTGGTGGATTTGTACCCAGTAGGGGCATATGGAAGGTCCCTGGTGTCTACAACACCCTAGAGAACCATGGCCAATCAGTGTAGACAATCCTGAACTCCACAAACCAACTTTCTCTGCCCTCTTTCCCTCATCAGACAGCTTTCTCTGACCCTATTTCTCCCTATGTGTTCCTGTGCACCCAACCAGAGAAGCACTCCCCTCATTGGTTAGAGTGGTGCTTTTCCCTTGGCGACTGCTATACTGTAGGGAGCCACTGGCTGAAAGGCCCTGCCAGAGAAAAAAGGGGCCTCCCCTTCTTCCTTTCTAGGAAAAAGAGGCAGGAACTCTGGGATCGCATCCCTTGCTTTTGCTGGGAAAGCTCTTATACCCCAAGCCTGTGCAAACTGACAAGGATTGCCTTGGCCAGAGAGCCTTTGGCCTTCATTCGATTGGCCACCATCTTGATTTGATTTATTATATTTCTATGCCACTTTTCATTCAAATGATTCCCAAAGTGGCTTACAAACAATAAGCAATTAGAGCATGATAGAACATATTAAACATCACAAATACAGGCTCCTTCTGTTCCCTGAGGGCTCCCTGCTCCTGGTGCCCAGAAGGTGGAGGCGGAGCTCTCTCCTTCCTTTCCCCTCTGCATCGCTTCTCATCCATGTTAAGCCTTGGGCTGCCTTCCTCTTTGCTGTCTTGTTCACATCGCTCCAGGCATGTCCACCCTGGGGCACTGGGGAGCCTGTCCAGCAGCTGGAACTTCCTTCCTTTTTCCTTCCCTTCCTTGTTCCTGCTCCTACTGGCCTGACTGCTGGAAAGCGCAGGTCCTTCTCATGTCCTGGCTAGGAATTCCCTGCCAAACGGGAGCGCTGAGGCTCCAAGCGGTGCAGCGGAGGTAGTGAACTGAGGAGGCCTTATGTAAGGCTGGGGCAGCCCCTTCCCCCAAATGATAACAGCCCGTCCCCCCTGCACACAAGCTGGCTTTGTGTGCGGCCGCAGAGGGACCCTCGGCTGCTGCAACAGCAAGGTCCCTTTATGTGTGCCTGGGCCATGGGCCGTGGTGGAGGGGCCCGGGCGTGTTTATTTTCTTAAAGAAAGCAGAGGGAGGGGAAAGTGGTGTTCACTGCCCTGCCTGGAGACACAGGCACCTTGTCTCTGCCAGGGGACAAAAGGGCTCTGTGCAGCCTGCAGCAGGAGCAGAGGGCTGCCAAGGTGGGGCAGCGGGGAGAGAAAGGGGCGAGGACAGGCTCCCTGCATCACCAAAGGCATGCTGGTGGCCCCTTGGCTGGGCCTGGCTCCTTGTGGGTCTTCCCAAGAGGAGATGGAAGGCCAAACCCTCCTGCTCCTCTGGTTCAAAACCTCCCCCTCCCTGACTCTGCTGTGCTGCACTTCACACACCAGGAGCTGCCGCCGCCACTGCGGACAGAGAGGCTGGAGCCCTGTGTGCAGCTGGTGAAAGGGAGGCCCCCAGGCAGCTCAGGTGTGAACTTTGGGGGCCTGCCCAAGGCGCCTGGCCCTCTCTCTCCAGGGGCCGAACATCAGTTGCTCTTTGTCTTCTTGCCCTGGGTGCTGGGGAGGAGGAGGGGCAGGTCACCTTGATGCCAGCCTCCTCTCGGGGCATTTGTGCTCATCACCTTCCTTTTCAGCCAGCATGAGGAGACTGAGGCTCTGAGGGCAGATTTGGGCCTAAGAAATGTTCTGGGGAGTAAGCGCAGCTGCAGCAGCAGGAAAGGTGTTGGGCCTGAAGTGGGCGGCCCTGAGCCTGACTGTTCTGCTGAGCATCTTCTGGGCAGAGCAGCGATATAGGTTCAGCTCCCTCACATTGGAAAGCCTTTAATGTCACAGAGGAGAGTTCCCTGCGCTGCTCCCTGGCTACAGAGATGGTTCTGTCATCCGGGGTGGGGAGCAAGGCACTCAGCATACACTCCTGCCCTCCCCAACCCCCAACATTACAGTTCCCTGCTGAGGGGCTAAGCTCCAACTCTGCCACTGGAGGAATGGTGTGATTAAAGTGTTGGGGGTGAGGCTAGCTAGGGCTGGAGTGCTAGGGAGGTCTAGGGAACGAGGCTGCCCGACTGCCCCCACTTATGGGCCTGTGTCCACCAGGGCCACTCTCCCGGTGTAATGGCTTTCCCCCCTCTTGTCACTCTCTGTACCTCACAGCGGAAAACAAGCAGCTGACCTTGAACCTGCAGATGGAGAACAAAGGCTGCCTTGTCTCTGGTGGGGAGCTGACCATTTTCCTGGATGGGCCCAGTGTTGATGTGGGAAGCTTGCCTAACGGCAACATCATGACAGAGGGTGAGTGTGGCAGGGTGCGGTGGGGGAGCCGCCTGCCACTAGGGTCCTGGGCAGCCAGCGGGGCCTTTGATGGAGGTATGTCCTATGAAAGACGGGAGCTGAGGCAGATGGGTTCAAGCTGGGGGTGGGGGGGTTGGGCGGGTCTGAGCCAAACCGCCCCTGTACTCTACTCCCAGCCATGTGTGGTCTGGTGGCAGGAAACGGGAATCACTCTGTAGCTGTGCAGAGGCAGTGTTTACAGCAGCATCTCAGGTCCTTGAGCCCAGCTTAGAGAATGGGAGCAGGTTCTGAGGCTGGGGCCAGACTCTGAACTGAGCCCCACAGCAAATGTTGCTCTTCAGACCTTTAGTGCCTGAGTTGTCCTGAGCAGAATGGCGAGGAGCTCTTGTGTCCAGGGAAGTGAACCTCACCTGGCAGGCATGCAAAATGTTAATCAGGTCCTCCCATCCTGGGGAGGCCACCTCTCTTCCTTCCTAAGGTGCTGGTCTGTCTTTTCCTGCTTGCCCCCCCCCCCCCCGGAAGGGACCCAGGGCTCCTTCTCCTCACCCATCCTAGCCAAGTCTTTCCTGAAAGTGAGAGGAACTGCCACAACACCACTGGCAGATGGAGGAGGTCCACATGGGCAAAGCTGTGTTGTGGGTGTTGCCCACCAGCCTCTGCTATAGTTGCTGAATCTTCAGAGGTGGGAGGAGAGCTCAGCTCTCCAGTGGCCCCTGGGATCATCCAGCTTCATGATTCTATGAGGTTTCAAGTGTCACAATAACCTGTATCATTTGCTATGGTTTGCACCCTTCCCCTCCACCTCAGCTCCAGGTTACAGCGGCTTGTATATATACAAAGGCAGGCTTAGAACAAGCAGCTGCCTCCATCCTTGTCCAGCCATCCCTCCCCTTTCCCCACAGCTGACTGGCTGTTGCCAGGGCTTGGCTTTTGGCCTGCCTGCCAGGGTCCTATTCTGACCAGTTCTTTGCTTCCTTGTTCCTTCAGGGTCTCAGGCAGCTGGGAGGGATCCCTGTGGTCTGGCCTCATCCCCAGAGAGCAGGCACCAGGCCCCCAGCACCAACTGCTTTGGCGGCAGGTCCAGGTAAGTCTTCCCCTCTGCTCTGCCGTGGCATTTTGGATGGCTGCAGGTGGCCACTCTGGAGCCTCTGATGGTCAGCACACAGGGCAGGGTAAGCCATGATGGAAAGAGACAAAGAAGAGGACAGGGAGATTGGGAGGTAAGCCAGGACAGAGGCAGGAAAGAGGCTAGAAAGGCCTGGGTGGGCAGGGGGAGACTGGGAACTGCCTTTTTTGAGGAGTCAGGCTGGGCCATGTGCATGTGGGTGAGAGTTGGGAAGACCAGATAAGGGCTACTGCATCCCTCTGTGGCAAGAGGAGCATTTGGTAGCAGGAGAATTGCAGCTCCAGGACACGGTTGGTAGTGGGCTATACATTTGGTACCCTTGCTCTAGCACCACCCATTATCTGGTGTGTGGAAAGTGCAGGCAATCATTGAGGGGTACTTTGGCTTTAGAGAAGAGTCCCCTGGAGACTGATAGTTCTCCTTCTCCTTCTAATCAGAGCCTGCTGACCCTGGCAAAAAATGCTTGCTCTGAGCAGCTGCCCAGAAAGCAGGGCAAGGGGCTTGCCAAGGGGGCTCTGCTTGGCCCTTCCTTCCACTCTCTGGCCGCAGCTGTGTCGTGTTTGTGTACTGTTGCTGGTCTGGTGCTGAATTTAGCACCCCACTGGCATACTGCTTCTCCCGAGATGATGGGTGGCCAGCCAGCCTACCAGCTTCCTTCACCAGGTTCCATTCTTCCCTGCATTGCAGCACTCAGCCCCATATCCAGGGAGGACTCTTCCCCAGTGTCCTTTTTCCTCTGGCTGCTTCGTTGTGCCTTCCTGGCTCTGTTTGTGCAGGGCCCCCAGAAGCCCCCGAATCCTCCACCAAAAGAAGTTTGATTCCCCTGAATAAAACATATTGGCTTCTGCAGATGGGAAGAGCTTTCAGGGAGTTGAACTTTTGGCCCTCACCAAGCTCCTAGAACGGCCCTTCCAAACAGACACAGGCATCTTCTGCAGCCTTCATGTGGTTCTGCTCAGAAGAACATCCTCAGAAGAGCCTGGCTGGTGGATCACCTAGTCCAGCATTCTGGGTTCCACAGTGGCCAATCAGCTGCCCCGCTGGGAAGCCGAAAAGCTGGATAGGAGGGCAAGAGCACTCACAGCATTCTTGGCTTCTCCTTGATCCCATAAGGTCTAGAGACTTGCTTCTTTTTAAAAAGGGCAACGGTGTAAAGAACCTTATGCCCTGAGGGGAACAGCAAATTCTTTCAGTCCTGGCTCTGTGCAGCTGTTGGATCTAATCAGGGTGCTGGACAGATTCTGGATGAGTTCTCTGGAGCAGTGAAAACCTCAGTCTGTCCCATGATTTCTCCATTGGACACATGAATGGGCCATGAGCCTTCCTAGGCCTTATTTAGTCTCCCATGGAATAGGCAGCTCTTGCAAGGGAAAGTTCAAGTTGACCTTTGGATCACAAGACGCTTTGCAGGGATGGCTGAGTGATGGGCCAAGAGCGTCTGGAGCAACCTTGATTTGCATCCTGGTCTCTCCAGGCAACTAGCTGCGTGACCCACTCTAAGGGTTAAGCCTCTACTTCCAGGGGAAATAAGATTATTTATTTATTTATCATCATTACTACTACTGACATTGCTGGTCAAAGGCAGGCAACAAGGAGTTTAGTTTTTGTCCCTGGCCTGTTTCTTCATTGTTCTGCAAAATTGGGCCCTTGCAGGAAAACTTTGATGCTGGGATGCCAAATTCCCTACTGAGCCGCACTTCCCTCCCTGGATGGCTGCTTTGGGGTGAAACTGGTGTGGGTGGGATTAGAGTGGGATTTGCTTCCATAAGCAGCTGAGGAACATCTCAGGGCAATTCGCAAACAGGCTACAACAAAGGTGCCTGCTCTCTCATTTTCGTGCTGTCTCTGATCAGAGAGGTTCCAAGGTGACGTGTTTGGGGTGAGTGTGTGTCGTCCCCCCCGCCCCCGCCCCAGATCTGTGTGTCTTGGGAAACAGTTTCTAAAGAAAGGAGAAAAGGGGATGGGAGGGGGAACCTTGGGCTCCGTTTTCAGAAACAAACACTTGTGGCTGGTGGTCCTCCCTCCTGTTCTACCACCACCACCACCACCTTTTGCACAGATCAGAGGAATTTCTCAGCCTTGTGTTGACTGCCTAGCACTTCCCTGGCTGAGGAGGGCTGGCAACACCACCCTGTGACCAGGATCGATCACTCGTGCCTGTTTGCAAAGTGCTTCCCTGCATTTGCACAGCAGAGATTGGCCCTCTCACTGCTGGGTCCCCTCATGGGCTGCCCCTCCTCCACTGTCTTTTTCCTGCTTCTCCTTGGGCGGGGGGATGGGGGACCTTCTCCTTGCTCTCTGCTGTCCTTGGTGTCGCCTTCCCCATTGTGCCCCCTTCCCCTTGCTACTTCCCTGAGTCCTTCTCCCAGTGGGGTTGCTCATTCCTACCAAGGTCAGCTTGGTGCTGGTTTCCTTTCCCCCTCATGCCTTTTGCTCCTACCCCCCCCCAAACTGCACTTGGAGAGAAACCGGCAGGAGGGAGATGCTTAGACAGTGTCTTGATCAGCCAGCATATCCTGGGGATCCTGTGGTTCTGGTTGGGCACTGTGGGAACAGGATTAGATGGGCCCTGTTTGACTTGTTTGACCTGACCCAGCTGCTGCAGGGCCTTATTTTGATCTCGCCTCCTTGACTTTGAAACAGCCTGACTCTCTGGACCCCAGGCCAGAATCTCTGGAGCTTTCTCTGCATGCGTGTTGGAAGTGGGGATTAGGGCCTATTACAGGTCGTGCCTCCCCTCTCTACCCAGGATCAGCCCTGCTCCCTGCCCCCCCATTTACTCTACTTATGGGGAAACTGCCCCATCGCCTGCTGTCCCCAGCCTGTTCCTCCCACTGGTGCTGCCTGCCCCCTTTTCCAGGCTCCTATTTTAAGCAGCTGCTGTTCCCCGTGAGCTCTGCCATGTGACCTCCTCTGGTTTATTTCCACACGTCTATTAAAAGACGATGCCAAGTTAGGAGCCCCGTAGGAAGACAGCCTTGGCAGGACGGCTAATTTGGGCCTACACGACCTGCGCAACACAGCGGAAATGGGCAATTTGGGTTTCTAAAAAACACCCCTGGAGGTCCAGAGGTTGTTTATCCCCAGAGGGTGGGGTGGGTGAGCCATTCCTAGTGATGTCTGCGCAAGTCCTGTGCCAAAAACCTTACCATCTCGCTTTGCGTGCACTAATATGAAACTGTCCAGGATTTTGTCCTGGTTTTGCGTTGTTCTTCTAACCCTTAATGTATTTCTTTAAAAAGATAAAAAAAATCAGACAAGCACATGGAAGCTTAACGCAGGTCCAATAAACTTGCTCTCCACATTTTGAACATTGTATAAGAGCACTATGAAAACAGACACATGGAGAGTTTCCAGCTGAGGTGGAGGTAGTATTATAGCAGCTAGAGGGTGTCAGGCTAGGACTGGAGAGGCCCAGGCTCAGATTCCCACCCAGCCGTGGAGCCCCCAGAACGACCCACCTCCGCTGAATACTAATTGCTGGGAATCGCAGGTGGGCTGAGTGTGGCTGTTGTACTTGGATCCAGCTTGCAGTCTTCCCATAAGAGGCATCTGGTTGGCCGCTGTTAGAACAGGATGCTGTACTAGACGGGTCATGGACCTCATCCAGCAGGGTTCTACTTACATTCTTAGAAATGTAAGCATTCTTACATTCTTACAAACTTGGGCCAGTCATTCTCTTTCTCAGCCTCACCTACCTCACAGGTTTGTTGTGAGGATAACATAGTATGACTTCCACACATTCCTGCTGTGTGCAGAGATGCGGAATGTCTCAAACCAGCGCAAACTCCTCTTGTCTTCTGTTTTCCTCCTGGCATGTTTCTAGTCCTTATGTCTGTTGACAGAAACCTGATGAAACCGCAAAAACCTGGGGGGGGGTGTCAGGTCCCTGTAATGTTTGCTTACCCTCTTCCCTCCATTCCACTTGCAGTTGTGACTATTATGTAACCGTAATTGCCATGATCTTGCAACTACATGTCCATGGACTCAGTTTGCATGACTGATCTGTGCTATTTTGGTGCAGGATGAGGTATGCAATGTCATGGAGAACAGGCCCAGCCATCAGCCTTCCACCCTCCTGCCTACAAGGAATATAATGATCTGTGGAAACTCAGGAGACACTCCCCTCACCTCTTGACTATTTCTTTTGCAGGGCACACAGACATGTGGCTGGAGTGGCCAGGCAGAGCACGGCTAACGGGGAGCAAAGCCCCAGTCCCAGAGCCCAGCAGCAGCCAGCAGGCAAGACCCAGGGTGGCACAGTGAATGGCACAGGTGAGAGTGGAGAGAGAGGAGAAGGAGGAGGTGATGGTCTCTCCTCTGAAGCTGTAAGGCCAGCCCTGTGTGCCACCTCACTTGTGGAGGACCTGCATTGCTCTCCCACCTCCATTAATGTAACTTTGAGGTGCTACCTGTAGATGAAAGATTAGCTCCCCCATGTCACTTCCCCAGTTTTACTTGACCGTCTATGCTCTACAGACAGAGGTTGCCATTGGGGAAACTCTGGGCCCTTTTCAGGGTGGTGGCGACGGACCAGCAATGAGACTTTGGGGTCCTAGTGGAGAGCTTGATGAAGATGTTGGCCCAGTGCGTGGTAGCTGGAATTGATACTAAAACGGCCCATGCTGTTATCAAAATCTATGATGCAACCACATTTGGAATGCTGTGTATACTTCTGGACACTTCACCTCCAAAAGGATATTGTAGATCTGGAGACCGTTGGGAAAGGGGCAGCCAGAATGATCAAGGGGATAGAGGAACTCCTCTGTGAGGAAAGGTTGCAGCATTTGGGGCTGCTTAGTTTAGAGACAAAATGAGTAGAAGGTGATGCAAAAGGAGTTTATAAAACTGCACATGGCATGGAGACATTGGATAGAGAAAGGTTTTTCTCCCTCTCAACACAAGAACATGAGGCTACCTAATGAAGCTGGATGGTGGAATATTCAGAACAGACAGAAAGAAGGACTTCTTCACACAGCAGGCAGTTAAGCTATGGAATTTGCTTCCCCAGTAGGCAGTGGTAGCCACCAACTTGGATGGCTTCAAAAGAGGATTAGACCAATTCAGGGCAGGGTTACAGTTGGCTACTAGCCTAAATGGCTGTGTTCTGCCTTCACTGTCAGAGGCAGCTGGAAACTGCAGGAGGGCAGAGTGCTCTTTTGCTGAGGTCCTGCTTGCAGGCTTCCCACAGGCATTTGGTTGGCCACTGGGAGAACAGGATGCTGGACTAGATGGACCCTTGGCCTAATGGCTCCTGCTATGTTCTTAGGAGGCATCAGCATCCCCTCAACTCTGCCATAATTGCTCCCCTCTCTTTCAGTGAATGGTGAACCTGCCAGTTCCACCCTTGATGTCCCTGAAGATGAACAGGCTGTGCCACCTGAGGCTGTGTCAGGTGCGACCTCCAGCTCTGGCACAGCTCATGACTCTCCAAGGGCAGGGGAATCTGCCCCCAGCTCAGAGGCCCAGCCTTCTCAGCCAGCATCCCAGACTCTGGAGGTGCTGCCCTCTGGGTAAGTGGTGTCCTGCTCTCTGTTTGGGCACCTTGGCCATGGCATGAATGCCCACAGCCTTGGCCAACTAGGGGGAGGTTGGGATGGGTCACCAGGGAGTCGAAACCTTTAAAAAGTATGGTTCTGAATTAGAGGCTGTTTGCTGGGAGTAGAGTTTATCCTTGCGGGAACTCCTGCTCTCTTGTCTCTTCCAAAGTTCTCTCTTTCTAAGCAGGATTGGGCCCCAGGCCTACCTCACAAGACAGTTTCAGTGATTACTGTGATCATGTCTGTGAATCCCCTTCTGCATTTAAGAAATATGAATGCTAAGTATTATCATCCTTAGAGGAATGTTACAGTGTTTTTGCAAGACCTGGAGTTTTAGGGAGGAAGGGGACTGGCTGAGACTGAGGTCCGGCTCTGAGGATGCCTGATCTGGGACCAGAGTCTGGATTACTAGGGTTATGATTCAGTTGTGAACTCGACAGTTGTGACTCCTCAGCTGCACCTGTTCCCCTTCCTTCCATCCTTCCTGGTCCTGCAATGTGGCTATTTCTGTTGAGCCTTCCAATGCCCAAACACCACCTCCTGACTCCTGCATTTCCGATGAAGGGAGCCATCTGTTTTCCTTCTGGCCTCTCGGTTCAGAGTCTCATGTGTGTGTTTGCATCACTTGCAGGTAATTGGGGGGCCAGCAGCTCAGAGCGTCTTTATGCCGGGTGTGTGAGCGCTACTGTTTTCAGGCCTCAGCCACTTCCTGTTTGCAGACAGCTGGAAAAGTCCAGGGCGTCTCAAAAGGCTCTTTCTTCCTGCTGGTGCTCTCCCCCCTTCCTGCTCACGTACTGCGGTGTGCCTGGGGTCCAGGAGGCAAGGGGGGCACCTGACGCCTTTATGCAGAGATGCTCCTGAAATGGAGGGCGCATCCCACAGCCTACAGCTGAGACACCTTTCCTTTAAGGATCCTGGTGCTGACGGTCCCCTGCTATATAGCGAGAAGCTTGTGTGGGTGTTGGGTGGGGACTGCGCTGTGTACAAGCCAAGTTTCCCCTGCTTCTGTGGCTGTGGGATCTCAGGGCCTCTGGCGGGGCAAGTCCACAGGCACTTCCAAGCCCTGGTGTGAATGTGTGCGCATGCAGGCCGCTTCCAGCTCCTCCTCTTGGCAGCCCGGCAGTGTTTTGCTTGGCTGCGTCGGGCGCCTGCTTCAGGCCACTCCATTTGCATGGGCATAAACAGGCTTGCCGGGAGGTAGCCCATCAGAGGGGCGGGGGTGCTGTAGGCTGCCTTTATGCTGCTCTCCCTTAACATCTGCACTCAACGTGGCAAGCACAAAAGCCTCTCACATACATACAGCTGGAGCGGGGAGTGCAGGAGGCTGTGGAAAGCCATGGGACTAAACTGTTCCATATGCGGGGTGGGGGTGGGGTGTTCATGTTCCTGGGAGACCCACGACATGGCCCTCAGTGAGGAGGACCAGAAGGGGTGCTGCTGTGCAAAGCTGGGATCCTTGTGGGGAAGGGGCGTCCTGCTGTCACACACAGGCTCTCTGGCTCACTCCCTCTCCCTCTGGGCTGACGGCAGAACAGACACCTCCTCTCCCCCCACCCCTCCCCGACCTGCATCTGGTTCCTATCAGCGTTGCTCCTGCGTCGGGGACAGCGGCTCTCATTAACACGGCGGTGTGTACACTAGTTCGCGCCTCGTCTCGTGCATACAAAGAGGTGCATTATGCTCCCTTGCAGCAGGCGCGGGCTGTGGTTCTTTACGTAAGGCAGGGCGTCTTGCTTGGACGGCAAGGTGACCTCAGTACTGCTATTTTGCTACTAGCAAGCCTCGTCTCCATTCAGAGCAGAGGTAGCCCGGGAGGATGGCAAGCTGATTGCCTAGGCAGCCACCTTCCTGAGCCACGTCTTGGCTTTATGGCATTCTGGAGTGGAAGGCATTCCTTCTTGCAGATTGGTGGCCATCTATGATCCTCTGCAGAGCCTCCTGGAGTTTGGCTGGGGATATTTAAGAGGTGCATTTTGCATCTTCACAGTAACATCATCTCATATATCCTGTTTTGTTTTTTAAAAAATAAAGTTTCTAGCCCTTATGAGTTGTTGTTGTTGTTGTTTAAATGGCAGACTGTTCTTGGTAAAAGCGTTGCCCAATCAGGGATTGCTCCTTAATCTTGCTGTGATTGGCCAAAGCAAAACAAAGATGGGCTGTTATGTGTGCCTGCTGATGCCTTTTGGAAGCTGTAGGTCCTGCAGAAGTTATTGGGGCCCCCAAACCTTGACACGCACCCTTGGATCTGGCTGGAGTATTGCTATACAGTTGGAGCCAGTGGGTGCAGAGGAGGGGGTCCTGTGCCTTTGCTCATAGGGCAGCTTGAGTAAGCCACTGTGCCTACTTTACGGGGCTGTTGGAGTCATAGGCAAAGTGAGAGTCACAAAATTCTTCATGCTCTGAAAAATGCTAGAAATAAGTAATAGCAACACGGGTTGCCTTGGCTCACAAAATGGGCCCTCCATCCCCTTCTCACTCTGTGTCTCCTCTCTTTCTTTCTGTCCTTCAGGTGGGAGCAACGAGAGCTGCCAAATGGGAGAGTGTATTACGTGGACCACAACACAAAGACCACCACCTGGGAGCGCCCTCTTCCGCCAGGGTAGGTGCTCCGACATGAGCGTGCTTTGCAGGATCTGGTCTGGAGATACTCAAAGGAGGGTGGCTGGGTGTGCTGTGAGAAGCAGATGCTCTTCACAAGATCCTAACATATGTGATAACATATATATACACATACACATGCTTTATACCGTATATCTCCAAGGCCATAATTCTGCAGCAGGCTCAGTGTTCAGCTGCCCAGGGCTCGCAAAGACAGCTGGTACAAGAACAACCTGCTTGATTGTTTTCATTACAAAAGTGCACATTTTGCTCTTTGGTCCAAAGGCTTTTAGAGCTACTCGCTCTTTAAAAAATGCAAATAACAGCATTAATTAGTTAAAATAGCTGTAGTAGAATAGTCGCGAAAAGCACACCTACAAAACACCAGCTTTGAAATACATTTAAATCAGCTTAAAGGTCCACTTGGCACTGGAAAGAGAGCAGAGTGTCTAGCAGGCAAGCCTCCTTGGGGAGAGCATTCCACTACTTGGACGGCCCTTTCCTTCCTCACCTACCAACTTTGCTTCAGAAGATGGGGGAGCTTGGAAAAGCATCTGCCCTGGGCACAGGGCCCTAAGCTGTTTAGGGCTTTGAAGGTAAGAACTAACACCTTGAGCTGTGCCCAGTGCAGATGCTTTTAAGACTGGCCAGGTGTCTTCCATATACCTGGTCCCAGTTGCCATGTTCTTTACTAGTCAAAGTTTCTGAGTCTTCAAGGGCACATGGCCAAACAGTGTGGTACCTGAGCTCAGCTCACTCTCTTTCCAAGAGGGGCATCAAGCTGGCGCTCTAGCCATCACTGGTGAAAGGGGCTTCAAGCTGTGAAAATTGCTTGGGGTTCTAAGGACAGGACTGGATTTAACAGGACATGCCCCCCTCCCCCATATCCTTCAAGCCTAATCCTGTAAGGGGAGTGCAGCTCTGGCCAGAGAAGGCCAAACTCCACCTCCCAAATCTGTTACCCTAAAGGGGTGTGTGGGTTGAAAAGGGTTAATTGCTTGGATAATGGCAGAATTATGGAAGAACATCTGGGGTGCCTGAAGAAGGGAAAATTCTTCATCCAACCCCAAAAGCCACCTCTGGCCCAGAAACGGTCCTTGGCAAAAGAAGTTCCCATGATGGTAGAGGAGGATTCATCTGCCACGTATGTGTTTGTGTGTGCGAGAGAGAGACAAACAAAAAGATTAGGCTCTTCTTTCGCCCCTGCAGCTGGGAGAAACGAGTGGATCCCCGTGGCAGGTACTACTATGTGGACCACAACACTCGCACGACCACGTGGCAGCGACCCACCGCCGAGTACGTGCGCAACTATGAGCAGTGGCAGAGCCAGCGCAACCAGCTTCAAGGAGCCATGCAGCAATTCAGCCAAAGGTTTCTCTACCAGGTGAGGGTATTCCCAGCCCCAGCCAGCCAAACTGCACAGAGTGGCTCTGCCGCCTTCCCACAGCCACCAGTCCCTTTGCTAGGCTGCGAGAGCAGTGCTCTAGGCTGCAGAGAAATAGCCCAGGAGAACTGGGTACCAGGAGGGCCTGCATCAAAGATGCCTACTAATACCTGCTGGTATCTACAGCAGAAGAGACCCAGAGGGAGAGCTGCAAGGGGACATGGTTAGCTTACAGACAGGCCCCTTCCATAGCCCCTTCTTTTTGCGGCTTTGGTAGCCGTTGCCTGTTGGCTGCCTTGGTCCTGCCCCTGCTGCAGTCTAGTGTTGCTCTGGAGCCTTCCCTTGAGGGCTCTGAGAGCCTGATTCCGTTACTAATATCGTTTGTTTCATTGTCACTATCCATAGGCAGCCCTGTAACAGAGATCCCAGGGCCGCTTACAGCAAGTAATAAAAGACAATGAAACAGTATATATTGAGAAAGGAGCAGCCAAGAGTAAAACAACATGAAACTGAAAGAGAAGGCCCCGAGGTTCCCCTCCTGGCTGCTACTCACAGGGCCCCCTGCCCCTTAGTGAGGCCAGAAGCAGGCATAGCTCTTGAGCTCATGGGGCCCTGCACAATCCCTCTGCCCAATGGCCTTGTAAGAACACCACTATTCTGTGTCTAATGTACCCTTAAGGAGGCCTTGTGAATGTGGTGCCTGTGGCTTGGAGTGTGGAAAGTGGCCGGTTTTCATTTAGGCATGAGCAACTAGAAATGTCTGGTTGAAATTCAGGGGATTGGGGTAAGGAGAGACTGTGTTTCCCTAGTCCTGTGAACAGATCTGGTGTGAAGCTCCCTTTTTTTGATTGCCAGTACTGCTGGCTGTCCTGAAGGAAGATGCCAGTCAGGCTCCCCTCCTGCCACTCTTGCATTAGATGGTGATGGGCAGGACTCTCCAAGAATATATGATGCAGACCCCAGTCTGGGTGCACTGCAGGGTCAGGACTTGTTGTGAGAGCCTGCTGGCCTTCCTTGGGTTGGGATCCTGCTCCCCACTCCACAACACAGGAGCACAAGACCCTGGCAGCACCGTGGTGGTCAAAATAGAGGCCTGCATCTTGTTGTTATTCCCTTCCGTTGGGCCGATGGCTTATTCTCTGCCTCTACAGCCACCCCACAGCTGACCACACATTACAGTGTGGAGAAAACCATTCTTTGCCACACCAGAGCAGCTCCCTCCTCCACGTGGAAAGGTGTTCAGAGGGCACCATTGTTCGCCTTGTAGTGACTTTGCTGGCCAATAATGGAGTTGCTGTTCCCAGGAAGGCGACCCCAGCTTTTTGAGGGGTGTGACAGAAATGGGACTCTGAGCGAAAAGTCTTTTGACATGAGCCTCCAGGTCCCAGGAGTTCTGTCAGGCCTGGCTTTCTCCAGAGACGCGTGAGGGAGGGGGCCTAATCTAAACAGCGCGCTGCTGAGGAACTGTCTCCCCCTCCCCAGCTTGCCCAGCAGGCTTGAAATGGGTCCCCCGGCCCAGCCTGCCTGGAGTTGGATAAAGGTGCTTTGTATGGGGCCTGGACCTGTGGGGGGCTGTGGGGGAAACGCCTGTCTGTGCGGCATGAATGTTCCCTCAGTCCGTGAGCATCTCGCGCCCGGCTGTTGGGTTTCACGGTCCTCTGTGAGGGAGGCAGGGCAGGGAGGGAGGGGAGGGAGGAGGAGGAGGAGGCAAGCAGCCCGCAGGCCCAGCCAGGAAGCTCTGGGCGTGGACAGGGCTTGTGGGAATGATTTCATTGGAAAGGCCTGCAATATCCCCCCCCCCCCCCCGGTTGTGTGTGGTTCTTGGAGGAGGTTGGAGGTGGGACTGTGGTGGGGCTCTCAGTCGCCTCAGCCAGCACAGGGGCAGCAGCAGCTGCTTTCTTGCTTCCCTCCCTTGCCTGCCTGCCACCTGGGCTTTTGCAGCTCCTTCGCTCCTGTCCTCTGCCCCAAGCCGCACACATTCAGGCATTTGCTGTTCCCACAGTTGGTTGGGACGTGTGTGCTGTTGTTTTTTTAGCCAACCTTGGCGGGCGGTGGGAAGAGAAGGCAGGGTGGAGGGCAAAACGGCTGGACCCCATCCTGCCTTCCAGCACTCTCTCTGGTAACTCCCGTGGTGTTTGTTTTGCCCCCTCCAGTCGTCGGGTGCCCCGTCTGACAATGACCCGCTGGGCCCCCTTCCTCCTGGCTGGGGTAAGTACTGCCTGGCTTCTTGGGCTTGGGGCTGACCTTCCTGCTGCTTGTACTGCATCTGCCTTTGGTGTAGGTGGGGTGGGTGGACTTCTCTTCCTTAATGCTGAGGGCAGGGAGGCACAAAGAGTTTGTGTTACTCGGCCAGCAAGACCTGCCTGGGCTCTGAGTTCAAATCCCGTATCATGGCAAAACTATCTCCCAAGTCCAGCGATGCTTCTGCTGCTGCTGGTGCATTTCCAACCCTGGCTTCATTTGTTTCTCTTTCTCTTGTTTGGAGGGAGGGTGGGAGCTGCTCTGCTCCCTATGTGGTTGGGCCGCTTCTGCTGGGCTCCCCTTGGAGCCTGCCTTGTCCCTGCTGCATCTGGGGGAGAAGGGGAGGTGATGCTAGGCAGCACAGGGGATGGAGAGAGCTTTGGGAAGCAGGTAGAAGTGGTTCTTGGGATGTAGAGCCACTGTGGAGCTTGGGATGTGCCAAAGGAGTCAGGGGTCACTGATCTGATCCTAACACCCGGGGAAGGAGGGAAGTGTGTGTGCATGGGGAGAGGATGCTGCCTCCTGTTGGACCCTGGGACAATTAGAACGAAACCAAGGGATGTCAGCAGTCATTCTTTCCCTCCCCCTGCCCCCTACCTTTGCGAGGGAATTCAGAAGAAGCCCAGAGGGGCTGCAGGGGCCAGATGGGATCTGTGTTGCTGACACTGGACTGTGTGTGTGTTGTGCTCTTGTAAAAGGCCTAGCAGAAATGTTGTGGGAGGCCACTGGACTGTCCAGTGGGTTGGGGGAGTGGGGTCTGGAAGTCCAAACATCAGGAATTGAGAGCTCCTTTTTGAAACTTAGTGTGTGTTTGGTCAATTCTCCACCCCACCCAATTTGGGACTCAGGACCTTGGCAAGAGCAGCCCCAGGAGAGGCAGGGACTGCCTGCAGGGATTCAGGAGCTGAGAAACAGGACTGGATGGACTTGAGGAGAGATGCTCTTGGATGCCAGGAGAGGGGCAGCTTTCACCAGGGGGACCCTTTGCAAACAGTCTCGAGAGAATTGCAGCTTGGGTCAGCGATGCCACTGTGGGCTGCTGGGATCTTTGCCTGAGCATCAACAGCAACTTCACTTTGCTGGAGACGGAGGAGAGGTTGTCAGCTGCTGCTACTACTACAGCGGGCTGAGCATCCAGCCTCATTGAAACTGGGTCTCGGTGTCTGAGAGAGAGACAGATGTCAAGGTTTGGCTCTTGGCAGTCTTGCAAGCGCCCTTGTGGTGGTGGGGGGAGGTTGAAGAGGATGGACAGACGCAACTGTCAGAATTCCCTATAGCCAGACACCTGCTGGCCATCTGCCGGATCATCATGAGGACCTTGATGGTTTTATGTGACCTTTTGCCCCTCCCTCAGCACTCATCCTGGGCAGGGAAAGACAGAGAGGGATGGCCCTGGGGTTAAGCAGGGAAGGGGCAGTGGTGATGCACCTTCTTGCTGTTTGGATCCTCAAGAGCACAGGCTACCACGGCTGTGGGTTCTTCTTGCTCTCTCAGGGTGGTGATGGGGGTGGGAGCAGACTCTCTCCCTAGGAGTCAACAAATCTGCTTTGCCCTTGGCTGATCCTGCACACACAGGCCAGGCTCCCTACCCAAGTCGCTGAGTCTCCAGGACAGCCCTGCTGGGGCTGAGAGGTCAGAGGAAGGGCCAGCTGTTTGGGGGCAGTTCAGGAGTGGGGGTGCACTGAGCCCCTCCCCACCTTTTGCAGGCCTGGCATTAGGTTGCTTGCTGTGGTAGAACCATCAAGGGCTTCAGATCTGAAACGGGGGGAATGAGCAAGCGTTGTAGTGGGGTAGAGGTGAGCTTGAGTGAGCAGGGAAGGGGGAGAGAGAGGCTGTCCTGCTTGTGAGCTTGCAGAGGAAGGAGGTTATCACAGACTCTCATTCATGGGACCACCTCCCTCTCTGGGAAATGGGCACCTAAGGCTAGGCCTCTGAGGCTGGGAGATGAGCTGTGCCTGAGCCAAGGGGGTGCTGACTGGCATGCAACTTGTGTTCCCCTAGAGGAGGAGGAGAAGTGGTCCCCAACCTGAGACCTTCCAGATGTTTGAAACTCCAGCTCCCATTAGCCCTAGCCAGCGGAGTAGAGGGTACCTCCAGCTGGAGGGGTGCCAGGTGGGGGAAAGATGGATGAGGGGCAAGGCTGAATTCCTTGTGGGAAGAGGCTGGCGTGTCTTGGGCCTCTTCCATGCAAGACTTGGAGGCACTATTCTCTGCTGTGGCAGGGAGCATGTTGGAAGACCCTGGCATGTCAGGCTCGTCCCATCAGAGCCTGGCTGCTGTGTGTCTGCTGGTTCTGGATTCCCCATTAGATTTCCCTGCTGAGCCCCAATCCAGCCTGGCCAGAGAGAGGGAAACTAACATTACCTCTCCATTCTTTCCCTCTCCTTCCAGAAAAAAGACAGGACAACAGGCGAATCTACTACGTGAACCACAACACCCGCACCACACAATGGGAGGACCCCCGCACCCAGGGGTAGGCTTGGCTTCCTTTTTCTGGCTTGCACTCCGGGACTCCTATCTAGTAGCCTTGGGGCAACTGTGAGGTCTCTTCAGCCTGCAGAGGGGCATAGGAAGCCTGCAAGGGGTCTCAAGCTGTCCACCAGGCCCCACAGATGGACCTGAGTTGCATCATTCCCAGCGGCTGTAGGAATGTTCCTCCTGGGACAGGCAGGGGAGGCTCCTTCTCAGGCCCTTGGGCATGTGCCCTGAGTTCCAAGCCTGGTGAGCAGGCAGAATGACTGTGCCCAGCAAGACTGTCTCTGCCTGCTCCTGGTTCCTGCCCAAGGCTGAACTGCAGCTAGCATACTGGGCATGGGTGAAGCATTTTGTGAGCTTGGTTGAGGCCGCCAGGAGCAGAAACTGCCGCTGCCTCCAGCTGCAGTGGGTGGGTCTGGGCAGGGGAAAGAGATCAGGCCAAGGTGTGTGTTGCCATTGAACTTCTTACTCTGCTCAGGATGATCCAGGAGCCAGCGCTGCCACCTGGCTGGGAGATGAAGTATACAAACGAGCGGGTGCGTTACTTTGTGGACCACAACACCCGCACTACCACCTTCAAAGACCCCCGTCCCGGGTTTGAGTCAGGGTAAGTCCCTCCGGTGTGGTGCTCTGCCCTCTCAGCACTGCCCAGCATAGCCTCCAGGTGCCTGTGGGTTTCTTCCCAGATGGAGGATTCCTTGCAAGGGGGGTTTTTTGGCCATCTGACCCTTGTTTGCCAGCCAGGCTTTGAGGGGTCGTGCAGTGCATTGTGGGAGCTTTTAGGACCTTCCAGATACAGTGCTGACGATTGTGGGATATCCACTCTGTGTTCTTGGAAGGTATCTAATGAATCTGGAATGTTCACACAAACTTAAACTGTGGGAGAGAAGGAAATCAGTCAGTCTCAAGAGCCAATAAATGTGAATGTGGCCAGGGCCCCACTAAGGCCGTGTTTACTGTTGCAGGAGTAAGCAAGGTGGGTCACCTGGAGCATACGACCGAAGCTTTCGCTGGAAGTTCCACCAGTTCCGCTTCCTTTGCCATGTGAGTTGCTCATTCACCATGTTCCCAGCAGGGCAGGAGGAGAAGCTGCGAGATTCCCAGAAAATCTGTGGCTCCCAGTGGCGGGCGGTGGGTGGGGACGAGGATGCCCAAACCTAGACAGGATGCAGGGACTGAATATGGGTCGTTGGGCCTCTCACAACCTATATCTCCTTCACAGTCCAACGCGCTGCCCAGCCATGTCAAGATCAGTGTCTCTCGGCAAACACTCTTCGAAGATTCCTTCCAGCAGGTGACGTGAGGCCTGGGTCAGGGGGAGGGGAGGGGAGGATGGTCACCCCTTGGGCAGAGCACCCTTGTCCTCTCCCCACTGCACCTGCCAACCTCACTTCTCTCTGCTCAGATCATGAACATGAAGCCTTATGATCTGCGGCGTCGACTGTACATCATCATGCGTGGGGAGGAGGGTTTGGACTACGGCGGAATTGCCCGGTGAGTCGGCACAGCACAGTGGGGTAGGGGTGGGAGATTCAAATTTCCACCCTCCCTGGTCCTTTGGGATTTATCCCACCCTGGGAAAACTGCTGAAGCAGCAGCATGGAGGTGACTCAGACATCGGGGTGGGATCGACAGGGCCTGGCCTTCTGCAGAGAGCATGAGAGGGTCCCCTGGTTGGCTGGCTGTGCAGCCTGGGACTTGAGAGGCCTCCTGGTGGCCTCCTCTGCAGAGCTTCGAGTCCAGCGTGTCCCAGACGGGCTGCCACTTCGGCTCCAGACAGCAGCCACTCCCGCCCTGCAGGAGCTTCTGACGCATCTCCCTGTGTCCTGCCAGTGGTTTTACCCTATGGTAGGTTACGTCATGCTGTTCTACCACAGGGTAGAACCACGGACAGGATGCGGGGGCTCTCTGCACCAAAGGAGGGAGATAGCCAAGAGAGAGCAGTGATTGTGGCTGCCGAAGGAGCGTGTGTGCGCAGGCCCCCGCCCACCCTTGCGCAGGACGGGTGACAATGGTTGGGCCTGAATGGCTAGGCTGGGCTGGCTCTCATCAGCCATCCTTCTCTCCCCCCCCCCAACAGCGAATGGTTCTTCCTTCTGTCCCACGAGGTGCTCAACCCCATGTACTGCTTGTTTGAATACGCTGGCAAGAACAACTATTGCCTGCAGATCAACCCTGCTTCGTCCATCAACCCCGACCACCTCACCTACTTCCGCTTCATTGGCAGGTTCATTGCCATGGTGAGCATCTCCTATACTAGCACCTGGGGGGGTGAGGGTGGGGGCTCTGCCTCTGAGGGCTTTTGTGCAGGGGCTGGGTGGGGCTTCTGCTGCCTCTCACTACCTCGGGAGTTCTGCCCTTCACCTTGACTGCTTTCCGTAGCTTCGCCACTTGCGTTTCGTGGGTGCTTGCTCACAGTGTAGGCAACTTTTTCTCTAAACTCAGGTTGCCAACCTAGAAGTGCAGGTCATTGCACAGCAAGGGCCATAGCTCAGTGGCACTGTGTCTGCTTTGTATGCAGGAGGCCCCAGGTTCAATCCTTGGCATCTCCAGGTGGGCTGGGAAAGACTCCTGCCTGAAAACCTGGAGAGCTGCTGCCAGTCAGTGGAGACAGTACTTTGTTTAGGTGGGCAAGTGGTTTGTCTTGGAATAAAGCAGCTTCCTGTGTTCCTATGAAGCTGCTTTAGGTCAAATCAGGCCACGGTTTGATCTATCCTAGTATTGCCCAGCCCAGCAGGTGCCCTCCAGATGTTTCAAACGGCAGATCCCACCACCCCTAACCATTGGCTGTGGCTGATGAAGGGCACCAGGTCAGGGAAAGCTGCTGTTTTTCTTCAGGAGGCTAACACAGCTACTACCTCTCTGGGATTTGATACTGAGCTATAGTACTTGTGGCATTCAGGAGAGGCTACTGCGAAATCTTCAGGAGCGATGCATCAAGTCTTTGAGGTGAAAGGGAGGCACCCCCATCCTCTCCCAGTAGCACCCATTGCCATTAGCGGCTGCTTTGCAATGTTCATCCTGTCCAATTCCACCCACCTCACCTGGCCAGCCAGTGCTCTGGCAGCATTTTGCTTCTGGCTGTGCTTCTGTTTCTCCACTGTATTCTGGCCATTCGTGGATCACGTGGGGAAGGACATGATGGTGTCATGGCACTAAGTGGCTGAAAGCAGCTTAGAACTCTCTGGTTAAATTGGGGTGGGGGGGGATGTCTGTCGCCAAGGTAACCCTGTTGTGCGTTGGCCTGGCTCCTTTGGCAACAGGGACACATTTCTGCCCCTCCAACAGTTTTGCTGGGAAAAGGTGTACACAGGAAAGAGAAATCATTTTTTCCCCTGGAATAAAAAAAGAAAGGGAGTTTTGCAGAGTGGGAATCAAAATATTTGCGTTCTTCAAAACTAAATTTAATTCTGTGGCCAAAGACGGCTTTGTATCCATTGAGTTCCGAAATGGCACGTCTGTTCTGACTTTGTTGAGCAGAAAGGAAGCAGCCAGGAAAAATGGATCAGGTCAGGTGGCCTCTTTGTGACAAGAGTGTGTCATGGAACACTTTCTTCCCTTGTTTTTTCCAGAGTTCTGTATTTTTGTTTCTTAGCAGAGAAAGGAGTGTAACTTTCCCCCACTCCCTTGATCCTCCAGGCAAAAGGGGAGGAGAACTTGGGCCTTTGGCCTGGCCTGAGAATTCTACAGGAGGAAAAGGCAGCTGCCCACACCCAAAGAAGGGGGCTGCTTGGGAATTACCAAGAGGGCAGGCGCTGCCCCTAGACCGAGTCTCGGGGCCTGATCCCTGGGTGGGCTTGCCCTCCTTTGGCCTTTGAAAGAGCAGGAAGAACTTTTCCCAATGGTTTCCCCTCCTGGCTCCCCCTTCCCCTCCAAACCCTAGACTATTACTCACCACCAGGCTGGTCTTTTCCAGACGCGCAAAAGCGTCTGCGTTATTCTTGGCTCCCAGAAGACCGTTCTGTGGCCGCGGAGTTTTGATTAAACAAACGTTGCTCCAGAACTGTTTGGGGAGCAGGCTGGCTGCCTCAGCTCCCCAGAGGGGGACATTTGGGTACCCGCTGGAAAGCAAAGTGTGGGTGGGGGGAGCTAACAGTCCCTGTGGCTCTCAGCCTTCAAAGCTCTTTGTTGCTTCAGGCGCAGGTACTGCCGAGTGCCACCAGAAACATAAGGACCCTTCCTTGGGTCATCTGGCTGAGTATCGTCATACACGGGCCGGCAGCAGCTTTCCTGGATTTCAGGCAAAGGTCCTTCCCAGCCCTGCCCAGAGATGCCATTAGGGATTGAATCAGGAACATTCTGCATGCCAAGCAAGGGCTCTGCCACTTGTGGGTCCTTATTGTTGGCAAAGGAAGAGAGGGCTTTCTTCTTGGTGACACCTCAGCTGGAGTGCACCTCCCTAAAGAACCATGCCTAGCACCCATTTTGTTGCCTTTTAGGCATCAGGGTAAGGCACCCAATTCTCTGGGCATTGAAATGAGTTAGAAATGGAGTCCACACACACACAACCACTATGCTACTTTATGTGATTTTTGTCGTGTTGTCAGCTGGGATTTCTGTGGGACTTGGATTCCAAATGAACACGGGGCTAAATGTTTCTGGTATATTGGCACCTTAAATTTTTTAAAAAAAGAATAACCTTGGAGCCTAGTGTGCAGTGGAGGTGTGTGTCTGGGGGAATGCAAGAAGAGAGGTGATGGGATCAGCTGCCCCTTTGATGTGTGTGTGGGGGGGGACATGTTGTATTTTTGCTTTTCCTCTGCAGTTTGGTGCTAAGCTTGCTCTAACATACTTTTTTGGGGTGGGTGGGTGTCTCCTTGTGCTGCAGGCTTTGTACCATGGCAAGTTCATTGACACGGGCTTCACACTGCCCTTCTACAAGCGCATGCTGAACAAGCGGCCGACCCTCAAGGACCTGGAGTCCATTGACCCCGAGTTCTACAACTCCATCGTCTGGATCAAGTCAGTGCTAGCAAGGGTGCTGCTTGCCCCCCCCCCCCATTTCCTCATGAGCCCGTGTCCCATGGAGCTGCTGCCCCAAATCCACTGATGGCTTGCACAGCCACTTTTAACCTGTGGTGATCTCATAGCACCCAGCAGTACAGCCCCCGCCCCTCCTATTGCTGTCGCTTGGCACCTTGCCCAAGTGTGCAGCGTTTAGTTGCTCTAATCTTCTGTGTTTCATGTGCCCCAAAGCCTGAAGGCTGAGGTTTGCAGCGTAATAGCAGGAGGGGCAATCCGCCAGCCCAGGGGCCAAATGTAGCCCTCCAGACCTCTCTGGGAAGTTCCCCACAAGGGGAAGTGACCCTCCAGCTGAAATAGGTCCCACCCCGGTGTAAAGAGGGAGGGTGACAAACAAGACAGAGCAAAGGGGCAAAGCAAAAGACCTTGATCTGAATGGTGCTGTTATAATGAGCAGAAGAGGGAGGATGAAACAGGCGGGGGCTGCTTGTGGCATAGCGCCAAGGAATTGTGGTTTGCAAACCAAATTAGGGCTGGGGATGCTGAGAGCAGGTCTCGTGATATCTTCTGGGGGGGGGGAATTAAGCTACTGAGACTGCAGGGGCAGTTTTGTCCGTCCCAACTAGGGACGCCATGCACTCCTGGGACTCGGGATATCCTGCCATCTACAGCAGCCACTTGGCCTGTGATCTTTAGCCCCCAGAGCATGATTCTTGTAGGTTTCGGTGGCAGCTGCTGAGGCCCCCAACTGTCCTCCTAGTGAAGATTCATCTGCTGCTTCTCTCTCCCACCCTTTGCAGAGAGAACAACCTAGAGGAGTGCGGCCTGGAACTCTACTTCATTCAGGACATGGAGATTCTGGGCAAGGTGACCACCCACGAACTGAAGGAGGGTGGAGAGAGCATCCGGGTCACTGAGGAGAACAAGGACGAGTACATCATGTGAGTTCCCGGTCTTCGCTTTCCTGAGGCTTAGAGGTGCTTCGAGAAGCAGCTTGGCCAAAGGCTCTTTCATTTTGCATGGCATTTGGCTCCAGGAATTGCCTCTTTGCTGGGCTGCTGACCAGGCAGGGTGGTAGGCCACGAAATTAAGCCCTGCGCTCTGCTGTTATGCTCATCAGCTAGCCTTGGGCATTTGGTGCTCAGTTCCCCATCTGTAAAATGGGAACGTTGTGGACCAACGTCACTGGCTGATTCTGAGAATGAATGCGATACAGATGATAAGGCATTTGGGATACTCAGTTGTGGTGTGTGTGTTCATTAATCCATGAAGAACAGGAAATAGGGTCCTCCCAAAATCACGTAGCTGAGGTTTGGATCAAGCCAGGGCCAGGTCAATCAGCTGCAGGTCTTTAGGTGCCCAAGGGGTGCTGAGTGGCTGATCTGTCTATCCTTGCAGGTTGCTGACGGATTGGCGGTTCACCCGGGGTGTGGAGGAGCAGACCAAGGCCTTCCTGGATGGCTTCAATGAGGTGGCACCTCTGGAGTGGCTGCGGTACTTTGATGAGAAGGAGCTAGAGGTGAGCTGGGATGTTGGAAGCGTGGGGGCCTCCTCTCCTACCCAGAGGGGCCTGTCCTCCTGCTCTGGGCTCTGCCTTCGTACATTGTCAGGCTGTGCAGAGGTCACGGCAGTTGAGTGATCTACTGTCTGGCTTCCAATGAGCCAACTACATGGTCATCTACCATCTTACGTTCCTGCAGCCCCTCGATAAGGCTGCCACTCCTTGCGAATATGAGACCTCTGACTGTTACTTGTCAGTGGAACAATTATTGAGAGAAAGGGACATTTCAGAGGGATCTTGGTATTTACTCAATTTGAATTTTTTAAAGAAGTTCTAATTGAATCTCCCCACTGCCCCTCGCCCTCTGACTAACCAGGAAGTAAATCTTGTAAAAAACACACACATATTTTAGTCAAGTAGGCAGGTCAAGTTTAGCTTCCAGTTTGCAAGATGCCCAGGTTCCGCAGCCGCACTCTCAAAATGATAGAAGCCTTGCCTTGGTGGGTCTTGCCTCTGGACTCTCCTGGTGACCCGGGCTGGGCCCCCTCTCGCCTTCTCCTCCCTTCTAGCTGATGCTGTGTGGCATGCAGGAGATTGACATGAGTGACTGGCAGAAGAACACCATCTATCGGCACTACACCAAGAACAGCAAGCAGATCCAGTGGTTCTGGCAGGTGAGCCTCCCAAGGAAGAGCTCCTGGCCAAGGGGTCTCCCCTATAGACAGGGGGAAAGGAAGGTTTGCCCTGGACAGACCCTTGGATGTGGCAGAGTACTGACACATGCCTCTGATCATACGCAGAGTGCATTTGCCTCATCAGTAACGCATGACCTGTTTGCAGGACCTTTTAGTTCTGAGGATCTGACTTCCAACCAGATGTCTCTCCCCGCACTTAGCTGTCATTGTTATTAACGCAATCAGTGTTGCTTTGGGCAAATCCCTGTCCCTGAGAGCCTGAAATATTTTTGGGAAGGTGGGAGCCCGGTCTGACATCCCCCAACCATGTTGGCTGCAGGTGGTCAAGGAGATGGACAACGAGAAGAGAATCCGGCTTCTACAGTTTGTGACGGGGACTTGCCGGTTGCCAGTCGGAGGATTTGCTGAGCTTATTGGTATTTGTGCATTTGGCTGCCTAGGGAGGGGGAAGCAGGGGATGTCGCCGTCCCAGTTGCTGAGTGACTGGGGGAGAACTTCATGGTGGGGGGAGGGAGGGTCGTGTGGTTCTGTCTGTCAGGTTTGGAGCAGGGCTATGGGGGCACGTGGAAGTTGTTTTGAGCCCGTTTGGTTGCCTTTGCTTGTGGTGAAGGAACTCAGCTCAATCTACTTCTCAGCTCTAGTCTTAGAGGTGGGGTGGGGTTGCCAAGATGGTTTGCAAGCCAGTTTGCATTTGAAGTGCAACTGTGTGTTCTTGTCACACCCCATGGGTACTTTTTGTGGGTTTCTGATGTTGTGCTTCTTTTCTGACAGGCAGCAATGGGCCCCAGAAGTTCTGCATTGATAAGGTTGGCAAGGAGACCTGGCTTCCCCGTAGCCACACATGGTGAGTTCGTCTGCTTTGGCCCTTCCTGCCTATGCTTTGGATGGGTGGGAGGGCACTTCCTTTCCTTTCCCCCTGCTGATTGGCTGCGCTGTCTTCCTTTTGCAGCTTCAACCGCCTGGATCTGCCTCCCTACAAGAGCTATGAGCAGCTGAAGGAGAAGCTCCTTTACGCCATTGAGGAGACAGAGGGCTTTGGGCAAGAGTGACTCCAAAGAGATCCTCCTGGGAAGCCATCCTGAATACCTGGAAATGGAGCCAAATCTCCAGGAAGGAAGGAAGGTGGAAGGAGGTGGCTTTGTGGAAGAGGGATTGCCCAGGCCTAGATCTTGTGGTTGGAGAACTAGAGGCTGCAGAAGGTGCTCCCCTTCTCTGCCCCCTTCCCCCCCCCAAAAAAAATATTTAGTTGCTTTCCAGCAGAGCAGTGGCTGCAAGTGGTATCCACTTCCTTCCCTGTGGATTCCTTGTACCAGTTTCTGAGCTATGCAGCCATTCTGCCCCACCTATGGGCCTCATGGGCTTTTGTCGTAGCTGCCTTTTAAAGCAATCCAGACCCACCCCCCACTGGTACCAACCCACCAGGACATCCTGAACATTATGTCAAGGCATTCTGCACAGGAAAAAAGAGCACTTTTGAGAATTGCCCCCTTGCCAAGGACACTGGAGTGTGTTGCGAGCCCCTGCTCCAGATAGCCGCTGGGGATCAGTAGAGATGGGTGGGATCTAGAGGCAGGATTCCCTACAACTTTCCTAAACCCACCTCCTCTTTCCTGAGGCCTTTTCCCACTCCCTGTGCTGGTAGGTGAGGCTTCTGTGCCCTGCAGCCATGCTGGTTTTCTGCTGAGAGCAGTGGGCAGGATTTGGCCCACATCCCAGGCTCCACTCCTCCCCAAACCCATGAAGCAGAAGACAGGGCAGGGCCCCAGGCAGTCCCCAGCTGTGTCATGGAGCAGGATCTGGGCTGTTCAAAGCAGCAAATGGGTACCCCCCTCAACCCCAAAGGCTATAGACAAAGAGCCCTCAGGAAGAGAGAGGATGCCTTTGGCCAGATTGCAGGGGAGGCCAAACCAGGCTTCCGCCAAGTATGGAGAACCTGAGTCTCCTGATCTGAGCTGTTCCAAGTCTTGTTGGAAGTGGGGCATCTTCTTTTTCTGGAAACATTGGTGCCCAGTGAGCTGCAAGATTGTAGGGGGAAGCCTTTACCTTGAATGTCTACAAAACAGGTTATCCCAAGTGCAGAACTCTGAACTTTTTTGCACTAAAAGGCAGGAAGAAGGGGCAGGGGGCGAACCAGAAGAATCCCCTGTCTTTATTTCTGGGTGTTTTTTTTTTAAAAAAATCCTCTGATTGGAGTATGTGTGGCTGGCACACCCTGAGAACAGGGACCAGATGCAAGAGTGGGAGTGGCATACGTCTGTGTGTGTGTCCTATGGCTGCATGGCGGACGGTGGGGATGCCTCAAGCCTCCACAGCAAGGTGTATGTCTGCATATGAGAGCTGGACTGTGTGTGCGCGCGCGTGTTCGTTTGTAAGTGTGTATATAAAATGTGTATAAAAATGTGTATATAAATGTCTGTGGATACAAAGAATTGCAATAGCTTTTGATGGGGATCCTGGATAGTTTTGTACTGCATCATCCTGCCTCAGTGACGCCAATTTCTTGTGCAATAAACAATCCGCAGCTGCTTGTGGGCTTCATGTGTCCCTCTGTGCTTTGGGACCCTGATGTGGCTTCTCCTGGGTGCTGGGTGGAGCGGTTCCCAAACGTGTACATGGCGAAGGTGGTTGCTGTGTTAGAGCCACAGGTGGGGGCACCGCAGCTCTCATCGCCCTCTGGTCTGTGTGCTTCCCCCAAACCCCCACTGTAGGATGACCCAGTTGAGAGTTTGGCCTGACTCCTGCCTGTTTCTCTGCTTGCAGGTGGAGGTCTTTGACCCCCTGTTCCTAATGCTCTGGCTTGAAAGGGAGCAAGGGGAACATCCTGTAGACAGGCAAAGAAGAAGAGCCCTAGGCAGGCCTGGAAACCCAGGGCGACCAAAAGGGGTTAAATTCTCCTTGCTTTTAAGCACATCATCCAGCCCACTGCTGTGCTGCAAATACTTGTGTCTGTCATTCAACTCAGTAGTTAGACGAATCTCCCCATCTAGTCCACTTCAGCAGTGCAGAAGTGGCACACATTTTCGCAGCCCAAGAGGGGAGGCATAGCAGCTCCTGCCACCACTGCTCAAGGGCCTGCAAAGATTTGCATGCACTCAGAAGAGTGGAGAAAGGACCCCAAGGGGCTCAGTTGCAGGAAGGCTCATGTAGGCTGCTTGGACTTCAACGTTTTTCCTGTTCGGGTTTTGAAAGTGTGTGCCCAGAAGAGGCTGGGGAGAGTGGTGTCCTTATATGCAGGAGTGCCATTGGGCTTTCCAGGATGGGCACCTGGCAGGCCACTGTCAGAACAGCAGGCTGGGCTAGATGGGGCCCCCTTGGGTCTGGTTTTGTTCTTCAAATGCTCAGACGGGAAAGCCACATTTTGCAGCAGTCCCAGGCCGCCGCCACTGCCTTCCCCAGCTGACTTGTCTCCTGCTCCAACCAGGGAAACCAAAGAGGCCCCCAAGCTAGCCTGGCGCCAAGGGAGCCATTGCAGGCCTGGCACACAGGCTGCTGCTCTTGGCATTTGGAAGCGAAGGTGGGGGGTGGGGGTGGGGGAGGTGTGACCACTTCCTCCAACTCTTTAGCGCACAACCAGAGCCAGAATGGCTCTGCTGGGCAGCATTTGGTGCCAAAGACAAGCCCCCTGTGTTTCAGAGGAAGTTTCCAGGGCCTGGGGGGAGGGAATTTGCAAAGGCTTCTACCTGAAGGACTGTCAGAGGGGAGGGGTTGGGGCCTGTAGCGGAAAGATTTCCCCTCCTCTCTGCCGGCTTTAAAAGCATGGCTTTGTCCCTGAAGGCAGAGAGCAGCCTTGTGTTGTGGGCAGAAGGAGGGAGCAGCAAAACATGTTTAGCTTGGCCAAGAGGCACAGGCTGGCTTTGTGAGCTCTGCTGCAGGGAAAGAAGATCACCCTGTTCTCTGGGGAAGCAAAACAGCCAGAGATTCCCACTGCTGGGGGAGTCACTCTGGGAAACCAGGAGGGCGAGCCCCATGCCCTTGTTTGGCCAGTGAAACCCTCACACATTCCAAACTGGAGGTGAGTGGCCCCTGCCAGCATTAGGGTGTGACGGCTTGGAAGGTGTTGGGGCAAGCTTTGCCATCTTCCAGGCTCTCAAGCTAGTTTGCTTTCTGTTCCATTTCCCAGGAGAAAACAAAAGCAATGGAGCCAAATAGCAGCAAAGTGACGGAGAGGAAGGCTGGGCCAAAGACAAGAGGGCAGTGGCTATTTTAGAAGCAGTGCTATTAAGGCAGCTTGCAATGGCTCTCACTTCCAAGATAACTTAAAGTGGCCAGGGGGTGGAGAGAACCTGTGGGTCTCTAGCTGTTGCTGGACTACAACTCCCATCATCCCTGGCTATGGTGGATGGGAGTGAAGTACCAAAAATAGCTGAAAGGTCACAGGTTCCTTGCCTCTGTTGGATTAACACTTTTGAAAGCAGGGGGAGCACAGGTCAGTAGATCAGTGGTCCAACTGACCTTCACCCTGCTTGTAGCTTATAGGGCTGAAAAGCCTGTGCCCCTGTGGAGCCACAGCCAGGTGAAATAGATCATACAGGCCAGCAGAACTCTCATGAAAGGCAACTTCATCTTCTACTAGGGATGGGCCATAGCTCAAAAGGTGAAGCACATTTGTGTGCAGAAGTTCCCATGCCTATTTTAAAGGCTCAGTAGGCAATGGGAAAGACCTGTTGCCAGGAACAGACCCTATTTGGTTAAATGGACAGAGCCTGGTCTGGTAGAGGACAGCATCCCATTTCCCCCCTCTTAGACTCTGTATTGTTTGGGGCATTCTAAGCAGAAGCAGCAGGTCGCTCTGAGCTGAGGCAAATGGCTGTCCACCCTGTGCCATGATAATCCTATAAAGTCATTCAGATGAAAAATGACACCCAGCAAACTTCCAGACTTTTGCTTTTTTAGCACCAATCTATTTACCAGTAGTTAGTGCACATGTTACAGGGACGTGGGTGGCACTGTGGGTTAAACCACAGAGCCTAGGACTTGCCGATCAGAAGGTCGGCGGTTCGAATCCCCATGATGGGGTGAGCTCCCGTTGTTTGGTCCCTGCTCCTGCCAACCTAGCAGTTCAAAAGCACGTCAAAGTGCAAGTAGATAAATAGGTACCACTCTGGCGGGATGGTAAACGGCGTTTCCGTGTGTTGCTCTGGTGTTGCTCTGGTTCTCCAGAAGCGGCTTAGTCTTGCTGGCCACATGACCTGGAAGCTGTACGCCGGCTCCCTCGGCCAATAAAGCGAAATGAGCGCCACAATCCCAGAGTTGGCCACGACTGGACCTAATGGTCAGGGGTCCCTTTACCTTTACCTTAGTGCACATGTTAATTCCTTATCCAAGCGCGCAAAGATGTTGGAGAGCATCCAGCACAGACAGCTGTGAAACAAATCTGGTGACTTCCCTTGCAATTAGGAGCCTCTCCTAATCCGTGCATGTTGCACACAGGTCTGGAGGTAGGTACTTCATCTCTCTTTCCCTAGCAAAACACAGAACTTCAGCTATTACTCTACAATGTTCTTCACTCTACCAAAGGCAATTACAGTACTGAATCAACTCATGAAACCAGATGTTTTGGACATGATCTAGTCTTGCAATAAGCAGCAGCCTACTGGCTTCTAGATAGTTCTGTTCAACCATTGTCACCTTGATTCTCATTCCTTCCACCATCAGCTACTGTGTTCGTGTTGAATTTCTCATCTGACTAGCCAGGACTCCAAGGGGGTGAGGGGAATGTCCTTTTTCACACAAGCAGCTTTGGGCTGCTTGACTGTCTGACCTCCTTCCTAGTTTGCAGAAAAGCCCTTCTGGATTCCATCAGCATCTTGCCAAAGCCACTTGGGAGAACTGCTGCCAATCCTTAACAGGCAGTTTCCTTTGTAATTAGAGGGGCTGCAGTGGGGGCTGAGTTTGAAGTCACCGTTGTCACAGGCTTGGCTGCTGCTGTATCAGAGCTCTGCTCTTGCTGCTCTGGGAATTGGAGGGCGGCAGTTGTCATAATCTCCAATTTCACTGGTGGGCCAAAGAGCCTGTAAATTAGCAATTCTTGTCTCAGGAACAAACATCTTCCAGAGAGGTTTTGTCCTAAGCAAAGGGCCTACCTGGGTATCTGACTTGCTATAGAAAAGCAGATAAAAAGACTTCACAGGAAAATGCAGAGGTTGGTTGTTTCCGCACAGGTTTGAATCCCAGTTTCAGGTCTCCCTACAGCAACCAGGCAGCCACTTGAAAAAGCAAAAGCAGAAACAGAGTAAAAGTTCTGCAAAAAAGGGCCTCAGACAGATGTGTGCAAAAGCAATGAGAGAGGAAGAAACAAAAATCAAGGATGCTGTGCTGGAGAAAAGTGCAAATCTTTTCCCCATGTCTCATAAAACAAGACCTCAGGCTCTGGAACTGATTGGTAGCTGACCTAAAACATGCAAAAGGAAGTACTTCACAGAATGCAGAAATAATTCACAGAATTCACTCCAGCAAGGTGTACTGATCACAACAGCTAGGTATTTACATATATTTATGCATATTTATGTGTGTGCACATGCATGTGTGTCTACAAAACAACAAACATAACAAAAAAGAAATAAAACAGGAAAATGACAAAAACAGAAGTGGTATGCCTCTGAATACCAGTTGCTGGAAATTACAAGTAGGGAAAGTTATTGTTGTGCTCAGATCCTGCTTGCAGGCTTCCCACTGCCGTCTGGTTGGCCACTGCGAGAACTGAATGCGGTGTCAGATGGGCCTTTGGTCTGATGCAGCACCCAGAGTCTGCCCATGTTCCTTTGTTTCATCTCTCTACGCTCTTCCCAAGTAAAGATTTCTTCCTTAAACCACTATGTCTGTGAAGCGGAAAGCAAACGACCTGGTCAAGGCTAAATATCTCCCCTTCATGCCACCTGTCTTGAAAGAGGCTATGGGTGAGGCAGGTTCCTAGTAAAGTAACCTCCTTTAGCCCCAAAAGTTTGCCAGCTTGTTCTTGGACAAGGTGGGCATACGCGGCAGTGGTAAGCAATTAATGGTCATCTCACGAGCAAGCAATCTCTCCAACCCTCTCCTATTGTGCAACGGTCAAGATCTTGCCTCTTTTGTGGATAATGTGCAATTTTTACTCTCTTATTGTTTGATGGTTTTACTGTTGATGGCTTGTTCAGTGGTGCCCCGCAAGACGAATGCCTCGCAAGATGATAAACTTGCTAGACGAAAGGGTTTTTCGTTTTTTGAGCTGCTTCGCAAGACGATTTTCCCTATGGGCTTGCTTCGCAAGACAGAAACGTCTTGCAAGTTTGTTTCCTTTTTCTTAACACCGTTAATACAGTTGCGACTTGACTTCGAGGAGCAACTCGTAGAACATGGTGTGGTAGCCTTTTTTGAGGTTTTTAAAGACTTTGGTGATTTTTGAAGCTTTTCCAAAACTTTCCCGACACCGTGCTTCGCAAGACGAAAAAAATCGCAAGACAAAAATCGCACCACTGTATGTCATTTAAACTTTTCCCTACTTTGGGGGTTGTATTGACGAGGATTTCTAAAACCAGCTGCGTGAGTGTTTGCTGCCACCTGGCGGCTGAAGCTCATTATTGCATGAGCTCTGGCAAAAAAGTACCAGTACCTCAGGTTGTTGTTGTCTTTGCTGTACTTCAGAACAAATCCAGGCAAGAGCTGGCCTGTGGTCTACCTCTAGCGTGTGCATCTGGGGGTGCATAGCCATACATGCCCCCATAACAGACTTTCTTGGTTATGGAATTAAGCTTATGGTCTCACTGGCCAGACTGGATAGTCCAGTTTAGGGTGTGCGTCTGTGGGGCCTGCTTTTGAACACTGTGAGCAAACAAGACCAAGACTCTGTCTTTGTAGCTGGCTGAAGAGGCATTATGCCATGCCAGGGCTGACAGCTTTTGCTAAAGCAAAGACTAACCAGGCTGTCTGCCCTAGTGCCATTTCTTGCTTCAGGCTGTATACAGATCAAGGACAGGGAACCTTTTTCAGTCAAAGGGCCACATGGCAGTGGTAGGCATGGGCAGAGGCAAAAGTAGGTGGAGAAATTAATATACATTTCCCCTATATGTAACAGCTTTTATTTCTACACACATTCCTGTCTCTCATTCATCCAGGCAATTAGAAATATTAAGAATTCTGGGACACGTTCCAGCCAGCCAAAAACACTCAAGGAGACTTCAAGTAGAGCTGGTGAGAATCTCATAGAATCAGAGTTGGAAGGGAGCCTAATGGTCATCTAGTCCAACCCCCTGCAGTACAGGAATCTCAACTAAAGCATGCATTACAGATGGCCATCCAACAATTGCTTTAAAATCTCCAGAAAGCACCTCAAGGGCCATGCAAAGTCCTGGAGGTGCATTTGGCCTCATGGCTTATTATCATCCCTGCCATAGATGGTCCAGTTAAACAGATATTGCTCAGGTCATCTCATCTTCTATCTAGCTACCCACCTACAAACCAAGGCAGTTCTGGGTACCCCCCAAGCCTCTACTAACAAAAAAACCCACAGCCAGCACCAGAGTTGAGTTTACAAGGTTTTAATATACAAATACAAAATCCTACTCTACTTCTTCTCTTTTTTCTCCTCTTTCTTGCCATCACTCTTCTCCTTATCTTTGTCTTTCTCATCCTTCCTCTCCTTTTTGCTCTCCTCTTTCTCCTGCCCCTCCTTCTTCTCTGCATCTCTATTGGCGATCTTGTTGTTTATGAGGTTGTGGAGGGCAACCACAGAGCGGATGAGTGAAGCCAAGTAGACCACCACCATCTGGTCATTGGTCTTCAGATAGAAGGCCTTGACAAACTCTTGCAAGTTGACGTCAGGCAGCAGGTTGAAGACATCCTGGAGCTGGTAGATGATCTGGTGGTTGATGGGAAGTTTGCCCATGGCCACTTTCTCCAGGTAGCTCCTGATGTCTAGAAGCTTGGAGTTCAGTCCCTTCAAGCCGTGGACCTGGTTTGTGATGCGCTGAGAAAGGGTGCCTACAGTGGTATCTTTAATATCCCTGGAACAGCCAAGAAAGGGGTCAGAACAAGAGAACCCAGTTGGCAGGAAAGGAAGAATAGAATTATTTTTCTCTGCCACATCACGGAAATCAATGCTGGGCATTTCTACAGTTGGATTAGAAATCTGAATCTCCTCTGGACCAACCAACCCATACAAAGACATGGGGATGTAAGCGAATACCAGTTGCATTGTGGGGAGGTGCAGGTTCTGCTTGTAGGCTTCCCCTTAGAATAAGACCAGATGCTAGATGGGCACCCTTTGGCCTAATCCAGCATGGGAAATATGGTGGCACATTTGCATGGCTAAGGGACAGGCTACCACTAGATCCCAATGAAGGGTGGCTGTCAGGATAAATTAAAGATGATGCCTCTATTAAGCTGGCGGGGTGTGTGGCCTTGCAGGGGTCAAAGGCATTCTGCATCCATTATTTTATATCTGCAAGATGGGAATGCCTGCCTCCCTGTATTATCTTGAGGAGTAACTATGTAAGCAGAACACAAGCTCAGAAGTCTGAAGTGACAGGCGAGAAAGGTATTTTTTTACCGTAGCAGGTGCTCCACCCCAACTTCCTCCGCTTCTTCTGCTCCAATTTCACTGGTCACATGTTCAAAGGTCTTAGAGGTGGGTGTCCCATCCTTTGGGGTGCAAGCAGAGACCAGGCATGAAAGTAATCACCTTTATTCAACTTCTGGGCAGTGTGTGTGTGTGTGTGTGTGTGTGTGTGTCTGAACCCTGGAAAAACTTACAATTGTTGCATAAGAAGCCAAGAGTTGCTGAAGAATAAGAACAGATCCATAACTGGCCAATGGAAGAGACACACTAACCCTAAATTACCTCCATAAGGAAGTGTGAATTGAATTAATAATAAACACTGGCAAGTTCTTTCATCCTAAGCAGAGTTTTTTTCAGGTACTCTGTAGGGTGCTGGCTGCAAAAGGAGTGACATGAGCAAGGTACAGGCAGCATTCCTGTTATTGGCTCAGCCTGTTTTAGTCTGGTCCTTTGGTTGACACTGAAATGTATGAGGGAAAAGCAACGTGATGTGCATAAACCCAGGATACTCACATCGTGAACTTCTTCCACAGAGATGTAGGCTTCAGTGGGCAGCCCCAGGTCCTTTGGCTTTACATCGATAATTACCAATACCTGTTTGAAAGAAACCCATTAGTGCCTATTGGTGGAAAACAAAACCTACCAGTCTCCTTCCAGTAACTTGCAGTCTGCTATTGCATAAAGGATCATCTTGCCATTTCCAACTTGTTCTTACAAGTTGCAGTAACATCAAATAGCAAGCCTTGTCAGAATTTGTAGGTTGTGAGTGGCTCTTACCGAGTTTGAGCAGTATCTTTTCATTAGCTCATTGATAGCAATGTCATTCTTGTGCAGCTTGGGACCTGTGTGGTACCATCCCACAATTCTTTCCCTGGCTAGGAAAAAGACACAGAAAGCAAAGCAAGAGTCAGAGTACATGAAGCAACTGGAAGAGGGCTCAACTTCCAAGAGACATTTCCTTCTTCTACTGTTTCACTGGAAGTGGGACTTTGCAGGAATAAAGCATGGTTCTACATGCAATGATATTGTATAGCAAACGGGATGAGACTTTAGAATTTCTCACAAACTGAGCCTATCATTCATACTGGACATTGCTTACATCCAAAGTTTACTGGACTTGGACATCAGCTTCAAAATAAATTTTACAGGTACAGAATACTACACTTTGAATGTTGGCAAAATAGACAAGATATGCCCAACCTTGAGGACTTTGCCAAACGACTGAACAACAAAAAGCCTATTTACTGCACACACAAGCTATAACAAGACCCTTCCTTCAAGTAGCATGTAGTCTAAAATATGGTTTCTTTGCTGGGGCATTAGGTTAAAACATGAGAGGTTTTGCAGAATCTGATGTTGAAAGGTGACCCAGTTCCTTCATTTTCTCACTAACAGAGGTGTTCATCTCCAAAATGAAAAACTTTTTAATAACTAAGCATCTGTGAGCAGTCATAGCAAAGTTATTTAAATAACATCACTTTTTGGCTTTTCCTAGTGATAGATTTAGCTGTGACTTGCACTTCTAGCTAACCAAGCATTGCTTACCATTTACTTTCTTGAACATCCCATACATGTTCTCCAGATAGTCATGGTCCAAAAACCATACAGAGTCGTCTTTATCATCTTCGTCAAAGGGGACTGTGAGTAAAAAAAGAGAATCCAAACCATGGCATGAATTTCCAGCCTTTAAAAAACCCCCATGGAAATGGTTTATTGAATATTTACAAATAACCTGTAAACAGTAAGAACATTGGCAGGATTATTGTAATAACCTGCAGTTTTACAAGAGTATTATATTTAAAGTAGATGAATAAATTAGAAAATTAAGTTAATTTGGAATATGCAGAAAATATAAAAAATAAATTTAAGGGACCACAAAGAGGGGGAATGAAGTCGAGTTTTGAAATGTTAAATTGATTGTAAAATTACTGAAATAAAACTGAAAATCATAAATAAATTTTAAATAGGAAAGTGACCATTTTGCCAAGTTGCATCCCATGTGGTGGGAATTAAGAGCAGGCCAAAGAGGGTCCAGGTAGTCCAGCACTTTGTTCTCACAGATGCCTCTGGGAAGCTGGCAAGTCACTTAGAATGGGATCCAGTCTTCACATTACAGAGGTGAGGATGATTTAAATTTCTATTCTACCCTTTATGAGAGGATCACAGGGTTTTTGAAAATAGCAAGTTATCATGCACTGAGTAAGATTACTGGACTATCCAATCCCAGTACTGGTCTCCTGAGTAGCTACCCAGCGTCTTAGGCAGGGGAGTTTTTTTATCAGCTGCCACTTGGTCCTTTTTAAATGGAAATGCCAGGGACTGCACATTCTGTGAGCAAAGCATGCATTCAACGACTGACCTACAAAAGTTCCCCAAGGAACAGAAGATGCCATTATTATTTATTATATTCATATCCTGCCCTTCCTCCCAAAGGAGCCCAGGGAGACAAACAGCATGTGGTGAGCAATAAAAGCATCTTTTTAAATACAGTAATGAAGTCAATCTCTTTACCTAGGGTCTCAAAACGGGGGTCTTTCAGCCCCACCTAGAAATACCACTGGGGATTGAATCTGGTATCTTCTGCAAGCAAAGCAGAAGATACTCTACCACTGATTTAGGACCTCTTCCTACTACAGTATTGACCGTAGTATGAGGTACATGTAGTTGCAGCCCACAAGATTAATGACTAGACAAGATCACAAGTTTCTAGAACTGGGCAGACTCAGATTTAAACTAAAGGTAGATGAAAGAATGATGATTCCCTGGAGCAGACTATGGAATGCTAAGGATGGCTTCCGACAGCCTGAGAATTCGAGGGACTGCATTTAAGCTTTTAGCCAAACACAATCCAGCAGGTTCCTAACTGGGCTCCTTTGGGTTATTATTTAATCAGAGGGCTGTTGAAAACTCAAGACTATCAACCAAGTTTCAATTGAGATTTATGACTCAGCTTTTCTGGGTCTCTCACTTTTAAGACAAAAGGTGGGGAACCTCTGACCCTCCAAATGCTGCTGATGGAACTAGGAGTCCAACAACATATGGAGGGCTACAGGTTCCCCACCAACAATTTAAGGGACAAACCCCAAATTCCCCCAAATCCATTAATGGGGTGGAAAATGTTAGGGTAGGAGTGTACATTACAACCACATCTGGCTTGCTAGACAACCATAGAGATCTCAGGCATCACTTTACCTGCAAAGCTGTTGGAGACATCCAAAATCTTCTTCTGCCATGAACCCAAGAGAACCCCCACAACTCGCTTCTGATTTCCAACTTTTCCTATCCTAAAATAGAAAGGCAAAATCAAAAGAAAGATGAGATACATTGATGTGCAGCATAAACTATTCCTGAACTGAATCAACTCAGGGCAATGAACACCAGCATAACTAAGGTGGGAGGAAAAGAGTATGTAGCAAATTGCCAAGACTCCCAACAGAAGGAGTCTTGATAGTCATCAGGGAGGAGGCAGCTGAGTGTTGATGGCTTGTCTTCTTCTGATGGTTAATGGAGGAAGTCAACATACAAAAAGCTGACTTAGCCCACCAATCCACCTAGCCCCAAAGTGTCAGCGCTGCATGGCCTGGCAGTGACTCTCCAAGGTCTATGTCAGAGCATGGCCTTTCCCACCACCTGCTTCTGAAATCCATTTAGCAGGTGTGCTTTCTGGGGGAGAGATGTTGTTGAACTGGAACCTGCTGCTTGTAAAGCAAATGCTCTGCCACATACCTACTCAGTCAAGTTGGCACAGTCATGCGCTGCTTACATGTCTTTCATCCATGCAGCTGTGGCTGCTACTTAGGAAGGAAGTATATTTTAAGTCATATCAGTTCACTTATATTCCGCTTTTCCACTCAAGAGTCTGGAAAAGCAGTGGCAAAAGATGAATCTCATCCTCGCTCCACCCGCGGTAAAGACACCGCGTTAAACATAAAAAGCAAGTCGGCGACAAGTAGCATCCAGCCCGCCTCCATGAAGTCTCTGGCCGAAAGGCCCGTTTGTTGGGGTGCAGAGGGAGAGAGCAGCCGCTTGGCCTGCAGAAGGAAAGAGGTTCCGCGTTCAACCCCCGAAAGCTGCTCCGAGGAGGATCGGGGAGCCAGGCAGATAAGACAGGCCTCTCCCCTGGGCTCGACTGCCTCACTCCGCGATAAAGGCAGCCGCTTCCTTTATTGCTCCGAGGCCTCGCCAAAGCCAGAGGGTCTCCCCAACCGAAACCCGGCGTAGGGGCATAGGCGGGAAGGCGGCTTCAGCCCGGGCCCCTGACTAAGCTGTCTTTCCGCGGCCTCCACTCCGGCGCTTCTTTACACTAGTTTCCTCGCAGCTTGCTGCTCCTGAGCATGTGCAAAGCGCCACCCCAGCCCTACGGCCACCCTGCCTCCCTAAGCCCTGGCCTGCCGGCCATGACTCAGCCCGGCCGGCCGGCCGCCGCCTCCCTCACCGGTTAAAGTGATCGACCACGCTCAGCAGCACCAACGGGTGGACCACCACTCGCTCCACGGCCAGCTCCGGCATAGCAGCGGCGGCTTCGCGGCCTCCACGTCCTGGCCTAGTTCCTGGCCTCCTTCTCCCGGTAAGCAAAGCGCCTCTCAGTGACTCAGGGCACCGGGTGTGAAGCAAGCGATGCTGAGGGAGGAGCTGGGCAGCCGCGCCATCTTGGGAAGGGCAGCCGCAGTGACGTCACGCGACTTCCTTTCAGCCTGTGGGCGGGCGAAAGCGACGCCATCTTGGGATGGTCTCAAAGGGTACCTCACCGGCAGTTCGGCTTCCTGTGAGAAGATTTCCATCTTGGCGTCGTGGGGCGGTAGTGTCGCCATATTGAGAAGGGCAAAAGGAGGGATGCCATTATGCGAGGGTCAGTCGCCTCCAGAACACTCTGGAGGGAAGCCGTTGATGAATGATTTAAGCGTCCTTTTCGTTCACAACCTAAGTCTGGAGGCGGCTTTAGCATCCACCCAAAGATACTTTTTCTACGTTTTTTAGGAAATTTTGGGAAATTTGAGGAGGGAAAAAACCCGAGATTTGGTTTCAGGGAAGACACTGTATCGCTGCTAACACATGCAAGACACATTTTGTTGTTGTTGTTTAGTCGTTTAGTCGTGTCCGACTCTTCGTGACCCCATGGACCAGAGCACGCCAGGCACTCCTGTCTTCCACTGTCAAACTCATGCTGGTAGCTTAGAGAACACTATCCAACCATCTCGTCCTCTGTCGTCCCCTTCTCCTTGTGCCCTCAATCTTCCCCAACATCAGGGTCTTTTCCAGGGAGTCTTCTCTTCTCATGAGGTGGCCAAAGTATTGGAGCCTCAGCTTCAGGATCTGCCCTTCCAGTGAGCACTCAGGGCTGATTTCCTTCAGAATGGATAGGTTTGATCTTCTTGCAGTCCATGGGACTCTCAAGAGTCTCCTCCAGCACCATAATTCAAAAGCATCAATTCTTCGGCGATCAGCCTTCTATATGGTCCAGCTCTCACTTCCATACATCACTATTTGGAATACCATAGTGTAGCCTTATGAGGCTTTGCCCTTGGGTGGGAAAAATATTGCGTCCGGGAAAGGGAAGTGGGAGTCAACAGGCACTCAAGGAATAGTTTCGGAGAAAAAGCTTTATTTCTACCATCCATGAACTGGTAGAAGGAGCAAGTGTGATAACTCACAAAAAGCATGCACGAGTTCACAGTCATGTGCACAAACATATATACCCCTTCCAGTTCCCTCCCCCTTTCTCCTCCTTCCAGAGTCCTGCCCATGAGTTCCTCTGAGCATGAACAGAAAGCTGTCTTGGGACTATTGGACTCTTGGCACCCTTCCCAGGAACGGGGGGTGAGAGCCAAGGGGTCTTCAGCATGTTCAGATGTGTTGCAACTAGAGTGAGATAAGATTCGTTTCTCAGGCCTGCTTTGAACAGAGCCTATTCATTAGCTTTTTGAAGCCTTCTTGTACTGATAAAAAGCCTTGCAACAGCAGAGCAAATGAGCAGATGCTTAGCTGCTGAGAAAATGATTTTGAAAAGCTTTGAGAAGCTTTGAGCCTGCTTTAGGGGGGGTGACTTCGGGCCTAGATGGGGTCACCTGTCCTTCATTCTTTATGGTCCAGCTCTCACTTCCATACATCACTATTTGGAATACCATAGCTTTAACTATAGGGACCTTTGTTGGCAAGGTGATGTCTCTGCTTTTTATGATGCTGCCTAGGTTTGTCATTGCTTTTCTCCCAAGAAGCAGGCGTCTTTTAATTTCGTGACTGCTGTCACCATCTGCAGTGATCATGGAGCCCAAGAAGGTCAAATCTCTCACTGCCTCCATTTCTTCCCCCTCTGTTTGCCAGGAGGTGATGGGACAAGTGGCCGTGATCTTAGTTTTTTTGATGTTGAGCTTCAGACCATATTTTGCGCTCTCCTCTTTCACCCTCATTAAAAGATTCTTTAATTCCTCCTCGCTTTCTGCCATCTAGGTAGTGTCATCTGCATATCTGCATATTTGAGGTTGTTGATATTTCTTCCGGCAATCACATGCTCCAAATGGAGGGCTTCCTCGGTTATTTGAAATTACGCACACGCATGCACACAAACACACATTTTCCACAATTGAAGGAAACATTTGCAACATTAAAGATTTCTATCTGTCCAGTGCTGCATTCACTCTGGAGTCATCTGTTGGGGGAGCCACATGTTTATTTCCAGAGAGAGAAAACTAGGCAGCACAAAACAATTTAAAACAAGAGCTTAAACCGCAACCAGCAACAACTTTTTTATATCTACAATAGTCATCCACTCCAACTCCAAAGTATTAAGGGAAGGGCTGTGGCTCAGTGGCAGAGCCTCTGCTTTGCATGCAGACGGTGTCCTACCTAAGGCTCAATCCACAGCAGCATCTGCAGGTACTACAGGGAGAGAAACTCTGAAACTTTGGAGAGCTGATGCTGCCAGTCAGCATAGTTAATTCTGGGCTGGATAGACCAAGACTATATGGGGTCATTTCTTATGCTCCTACTGTTAAGAGGGAATTGAGTGGTGGGCCTTTGTCTCAGCCCACTTCTTCCAGAGCTATTATTAATATGGGCCACCTTGAGACCATGGCAGTAGAGCACAACACTTTGGTTTGAGGCAAATCACTCCGAACAGCAGAGTAGTTTAGAAGCACATAAAATAATCCACTGTGTCCTCTGGCAACCATGAGTTGGCAGCTGCAATTCATTCAGGTTCTTATACTTATTTAAACCACTCCTGAAGAACTTTGCTTTACAAGGTGCTGTGCAAATAGCATACAGATTAACCAATACTGAGACTGAGGTGGCAACTTGCCCAAGGTCACCCAGAGGTGAGACTTATTCCCCAGGTCCAAGACCAGCTCTCTATTGGCCCACACTGGCTGCTGTCTCTTGTCTTTGTTTGGAATTTTTCACTGTTGCTGAGGAAAGTAGATGTTATAGAACCACTTAATTGGTCATAATTTTTGCAGAAAATACCAGCGTGTTTTCTGGCTCAGTGATTCAGAATGTGTGTTAATTAATCCCTTGTAAGGCATGATCTTGATTTATAGGGATGGCTTCAGATAAGAGAAGATACTCAGATACATTCATTTGGTTCATTCACAAATATATTACAGGTCTCTGTTGCTGTTCTTTTGAAGCTCCCCTCACCCCCGCCTTGAATGGCACCTCATAAGAAAGATTAGCTTTTATGCTTTATCCTCCTTGAATACTCTTGAGTGACATCGCCCACTGCAAAAGCCCACAGAGAAGTGACTAACTTCTTTCAATGTGTTCTGAATTCAACCTCCTTCTGATGAAGGAGAAAACACATGCCAGTCCCAAGTAGTCTCTCCAGAAAGCGCTCTATTGCCTCTACCTTCTCTTTGATAATGAGAAAGATCTCAGGTGCCTCTTCTCATCTCACCTGCTGCATTGTGGCATGGGAAGAGAAGTGGCTTCTTAAGTAAGGAGATCCAAGGCTTTTTAGAAATTGCAGGTAAAACTCAGTACTCTGAGCATTTGTACCTGGGGACCTGGAAGACACCAGCGTAGATCACAGGACACAAATAGGAGCAAGAGCCTTGAGCTGAGATGTGATTTGTAATGAAAAGTGTGCTGCAGATGTTGGCAGCTGCTTTGGCTTATTAATGGGAAAGGGTGGTACCTCAGTGGATAGAGCATCTGCTTTGCATGTAGAAGGTCTTCAGTTCAGTCCCTGGCATCTCCAGGTGGGAGAAGGAATGTTCCCTGTCTGAAACCTTGGAAAGATGTTACCACTCAGTACCACTCAGTTAGCACTCAGTACCACTGTACTGAGTTAGAAGATGGGCCTCTGTTATAAGGCATCTTCCTATGTTCCTACGTAATGTGCAGATGTAGTTGAAAGAAGAACAACTATCATGGTCTTGAAGTGATGGGCACATGAGTGGCTGTTCTCAAAATCTGTTTGTGGCCTTCTCACAACAAACACCATTGGTGGGCCATGGTAATTTATGACCAAACATTTCTTTGTTCCATGACTGAATGCTGAGTATTTGATAGGAAACCTTCTTGGGAACCTTCTGAATCAAAGGAAAGAAAGAATAACTAAGTTACACACCACCCACTCTCACAGTATAGGCTGTTACACACCACCCACTCTCAGTTGGCAAGCTTGAAAGTTTGTGTTGCACTGCTTGCTTTCTGAGGATTGTATGTGCTGCCCAAAGTACTTTGCTATATCTTCTTACCCATATCTTGCTATGCCACAGTCCTCTTCCTGTCCTGGTCTTGCAGCTCTGCACTGAGTGACATAATTGCGCCTCTTAACAGATGCTGTTTCTTACATCCCAGCTTCTACTAGTAAGAGCCAAAGAAGAGGAAATGGGAGACTGCTTGCAGAAATCCCGGCCCCTCAGACCCTTAAAAAAAAAAAAGTTTCTTAAAGCAGCACTGCAAGATTTCATACAGATTTATCTACAATGAAGAAAGTCCTTTGGCCAGTAGTTCAACCCCGACAAGGCACTGCAACAGGAATTCGCAATATGAGGTCTTATATGGATCAATTTTAGTCTCTTAAGGGAAGGAGTTGACCTTTTATGATTTGGATTTCTGGTCAGAGATTATTCCTCATAAGAGACAGAAAAAACTTGCTACCTGATGAGACCTGAGGTTATCACTACAGGGTCCTTGCTCAAGCGCTGTTGGACAGAGGGAGGTTGAAGAAAATTCCCAGAGCACTTAATTTATTTTCTTTCTTTTTTTTAGTTTTCAGTATTTTTTACAGAGTGAAGTTCAACCATGTATTTTTTTTCTGATCCTCACTGCCATTGGGTAAAATACGTTTTCTTTGGTGTTTCAGAGACACATGGATGATTCTGGAGTGTGGCTAGCTTGTCAGCTCCACCACTCCTGTTGCTGTATGGCCGACAGAGGGGATTCCTGTGACCCAGATGGGAGCTCAGGCAACCAGTAATTGACCTTCTATGCTACAGCTGGAACATCAGGGTTCAAAGTAATGAAGGATTCCTCAGGGTTGCTGGCAGTGCTGGTGTTCTGGTGTGTGTGTGTGTGTGTGTTGCGATCCTGCTTCCCCTGTTCCTCCACCTCTAAGGAGACTCTGGTTCATAGTCTGGGTGTAGCTGGACCCTGACAAATACCTGGCTTTTCTGGTTAAAAAAATCCCATAGCAGCAGATGGGAAAGGCCTCTGCCAACTTCCTAGAGAGCCACTATAAGTCAGAGAAGAAAATATTGGGCTAGATAGTCCAGTGGACTGACCTGGGATACGGCAACTTCCCATGACATTCTTAATTTGCTTAGTTTGCCTGCTTGGATGGAAGTGAAGGGAAAGGCTGCAGGAGGGAGCATGATGTCTGAATAGGACCTTGTCACAGTTGTGCCTATGGAACACTTCTCAAGAGGGGCCTACCTGGAGCCTGCTTTGCTCTCATTTCAGCACCAGGCTAAAACCTATTTTACCCCCCCCCCCCCGTAATTTCAGTATGAATTATGGATTTTAGACTGGTTTGCCATTGCTGTTTTATTTTTGTAAGTTTTATTTGCCAAACGGATTTTACTATTCTAACATTGCTTTTATGGTGCTGTGTAAGCTGCCCTTGGACACTTTTTGCAGGACGGGATACAAACCCTGATTTCCCCCCCAGGAAAGATCCACGAGCAGAATACTATATTTCTGTCAGTGACGGCTCCTGAACCTTTCTCTTTAAAAGTTTGAATGGCTTTAATTTTGTTTACTGTGTGTTTTTGCCATATTGATTCCAAAACGGCTGCTATGGAAGAAGACGTTATGATGCAAAGCACTTCTGTTGTTTATTTACTTTATCTTATTCTATATCGTTTGTTACATTTATCAGTCACCGCATTGCAATGAGCCTCTAGGTGATGTATAACCCTGATACAAAGAGTTTAAAAAAGCACATAATAATCCAAGCCATACATTGTGATATACAAGCCTAGCAACTAAATAAGTAAGCATTAACACTGGCACAATCCAATAAAAACTAAAAGACCCCCACACACTAAAACTGAATGATCGCTGTCAAGTGAGCAGAGACTAAAATCAGATGATGTTAAGGCAGCGTTAAAATGCAAAAAGGTCCGACTTCGATCCCTGGCAGCATCTCCAGGTACCTGGTGATGGGAAAAGCCTCTCTCTGCCCAAGACCCTGGAGAGCTGCTGCCAGTCAGAGAAGTCAATACTGGGCTAGACGGGTGAATGGTCTGACCTAGAAGAACGCAGCTTCCTCTGTTCATAAGCTGGAAGAGCCCCCTAAATAGCCCTGTGTGGCCTGTGCTGAATCAGTTTGAAGTTATTGTTGTATAGTAAGGGCAGGGACCTCTTGTGGCACTTCTAGACCTTACATCACACAATTTCCTAAAACACAGTACAGTATTCTATTTTCCTTCTGGGTGGAGTCTTTTCTTCTTTCCAGCAGGGGGAGACATCTGACCATATAACAGAACTGATAATGCTGCCTTTGGAAGCTTCTTTTATCAATATACATATAAAACTCAATGCTCAAATTAACTAGTTCAATAAGTAATTTAGCTCATTGATTTTTGGGCATATCCTAAGTGCCATTACAAGCTACGGATATTTTAAATGCCATTACCTAATAGAAGGAATGTTTTAAGCACCTTCTATTGATTTTATTACTGCTTTATTTTGCTGTCTTGGTTTAAAATCATTTTAACCACTCGGTAATCAAGAAGAAATATATCGTTGGTGAAATACAGTCAATTTCCTAAAAACCTTTGACATCGTTAAATAAGGAATTACAGTTGTTAAATCATGTCAGGCAATAACCAAGGGACAGAAAAGATATACAATTCGGAGCAGCGGGCCAGCAATACCAGTAAGCTGTTCTGACCTTTGCCATCCAGACTCTATGTATGTGACAATCACACACCCGGCTTCTCTTCTTGGCTCTTACATCAGCGTTTTTGGCAAGAAGTGTGGCTGGGAACATTCATCAAACTAATCGGCATGTTAATCGATTAATTCATTAATCGCAGATTTAGAATGTGGATTTTAAATCAGAGGAATCGATGCTGGCTGCAGCTGGAGGGTGTTCACTGCTGATGCTATTAATTATCATTTCTTATATTTGGGATGATTTTTTTGAACAGAATATTTCCATCTGTCTTTGTTAATTACGTGGGAGGAACTGTTATCTTCAATACATACCCTTAACTTGTTACCTTTATACAGGCAGCCAGGCTGTTTGCTTTAACTGGATAATTAAACACTAGTCTGTTAAACAGGATGACAGTTAATTTGACTAAAAATAGTTAATCAGTGGATAGTCTTAGTAAGAAAGTATTTAAAAGCTAGGCAGGTTACTGAGTGCTAACCAAGTATGACCAAGGGAGAGGTAGTCAGTGTTTTCATTACCTCCTGCACCGTGTTGTTGAAATCACTCTCTAGCTTAGCAAACAGGCAGTTGCGTTTGCTTGCTGATATTGCTCATAAGGTTGCATGGTGACATTATGCCCCAAAGATGTAAACAGAGCATGCTCCTCCGAGGAATTTGATCCTCCATGCCTTTGAGACGAACAGATTAACAGGACCACTGAGCTAATCACTTGGCAGATGCAAACTGCAAATACAGTCTATATGTTGCCTAATCAAAGAATTGCAGAAGTATGTAGTGAGCTTTGAAGCTCAATAAAAGCCAGCTAATGAGATGATTAAATTGACATTTGATGTGATTTAACTATAGAGCAGCAAACATCAATACCTATATGATTTGGCAAGTGATTCTCAAATTATGATGTGAGCTTTTCAAGGGTTTCCACCATTGGAGAACACCTAGCTGTAAACCAGCATGGGGCGGGGTGTGGTGTAGATTTTGTAAAGTCAAGTGCTTTAATCATCAGTAGCTTTCTATTCTCTTCTGCTGCCTAAACAAACATTTCATTTAAGGGAACTGAATGATTAGGCCCAGGTTTGTGCATGAATGAGCTCTGAAATCAGTGGACCAAAACAGAACTCCTTGGTTCTTAGAAGCTATCAAAAGGGAAACTGGTTTTCCTAAGTCCAGGGATTGCCCTGTGTTTGGGATGGCTTCCTTTCAGAGCAAGTTTTCTGCACGTGCAAAATCTCACCGGATTCCACAGCGTAGAAGAAGAAAAGCAAATCCAAAGCACTGTGTGCCAGCCATGCTCACAAGTTGTTCCTGGGTGCTGCCTTTTGTTAGCAAGATGCAAACCTGACAGCACAGCATTTGTCCCATACATGCTTGAGTTTAGTCCTGTGTGTGCTCATGGTCCCAGCAAAACTGCTGCGGAAGTTTGAGCCTGCATCTTCCCTGGTGTCTCCCAGTTTAAATGTGTATCCCAAACTGATCTCCATACCAGGTGGGGGAACCTTTGCCCCCCCCCATGTTGCTGAACTTTAACTCATAATCTCTGGCCATTGGCCATGCTTGCTGAGGCTGATGGGAGTTGTAGTTCAGCAACATCTGGAGAGGGCCACAGATTCCACACATCACCACATGGTGTTCTTGCATGCATTACCACTACTTGTTATGTAATATGGGCTATTGGGGGCGGGGAAAGATTGGAAGAGAGTTCTAGCCATATTAAGTTACTGTTATACCTACAATTGCTTTTCTTCTTATAATTTCAGATTACCATGCTTAATGCACATGAGCTGACGCATGGAGATACATTTGGGGTAATGCTGTGTGTAGTTATGCATGTCGTATTATCACATGGCTAGATGTGGTCTGTCATCCCCTACTCAGCACATCTGGTACAGTAGATTTACATGCAGAAATTCCATTTCCACATGGAGATTGCATTCACTGAACTGGGGCAAATCACTTTAGAATGGAGGTCCATTTGTGTTGCCCAGGATGAGGCTGTCACCGTAGGAAAAGATAGGTGTCTAGTATAAATTCAGGATATGGATTATCCTATCATGGCAGCTGCCTTCTGTGGTATCTCCTTTCTATAGATTAGAATAATTTTGTTGTTCCATGCAGGAGGTGAGCTGGCAGTCAGTGTCACTCTCTCTGACCAGTATTTGGAATCATCACTTTTAATAGAAACCCAACCATCACTTGCTTTGTTTAAAAAAGATACCAAACATAATTACCCAGTAATTAGAATCCTGGTCCTTTCCACTGCATTGCTGGAAATTGGGTTTCCAACATCGCTCTCCTCCTTCCCCTCTGCATTCCCAGCCCCAAAGCTTAGAAATACCAGAGCCAACGCCTGTAAGACAGAGGCATTATGCTCTGGTCAGAAAGACAAGTTAAAATGGCTATTTGCTTATTTTATTTGACTCAATTCATATACTGTGGGATTGTAGTAAAACCTCTTAAGCGGTTTATAAGAAATATTAAAATCATCAATAAAAACAGTTAAAAACAATTAAAGATAATTAAAACCAGCAGTAAAAGAAACCGAAACACAACATGTCTGGATTGGCTTCATCATCTCATCCTCCTAACACATACTCCCTTTTCTGTATGAGAAAGGAAACACAATAAAAAAAAACCCAACCAGGTTTCACTTGCAATAATTTTTCCATATCTTGAGGACTAGCAAATTCTTTACTATGAGGCTTTATTTGTACAAAGCATAGCAAAACTTCAAAACCACTCAAAAGCTTTCTTATTAACTGCTGTCAGTCCTGTGATTTACAAGGGCAATAAAGATCTGGAGGGGGCACATTTATCATGGACTTCAGCGCACCAGGAGCCATTTTCTCAAGCGGTAAAGCCAAGTGATAAAATGAGTTCTTTTGTTCCATAACCTTCTTAAAATGTGTGTGTTGGTCTTTCTGGCTTGTAGCTTGGCTCTGCTCCTCTAGCCCTCCATCTCCCTGCGATGATGAATTGCTCAGACACAGATGCTGATGATGCTTCTAGAACAGCAGATTCTCTGAGTGATACAAATTTACTTTCCGCTTTCTATTAGTTGCCAGCATTATTTATTCCTCTACTCCTAATTTTTATTTTATTTGCATGACACTTTTGAAATTGGGTAGGAGAAACTATCATATACCCTTCCTTCTTAGGAAAACTCAGATAATTCTGATTTAGGATAATATAAAATCCTCATGTTTATACCAAGAAACCATTCTCCTGATTTGTGGTGTGCATGTTGGGAAGCAAAGTCCCATTGTTCTGCATTTGACATACTCTCATAGGCAGATAATAACTTTTGTGTCTATCCTCCGTTCCTTGGCAGGAGAAAGAGAGAGAGAGAGAGAGAGAGAGAGAGAAAGTTAATTTGTTGCAAAAAATAGACAGCCCAGTTGGGGCTTGCTTTGTACATGAAAGAACAATACCAGTGCAACTGTTCATTGATTAACATAATTGAGCCATAGGTAAATAGTCAAGGCTTAAGCTAATCAGAAAATAAAATAAGCCTTTAAAAATGTACCTAGGCTTATTTGCAACAAAACTGAATTACACTATGACTGTTGGAAGAAAGAAAACAATGAGTACTGTTCAACTTTGTCTTCATGTTAGTCATTCTAGTACATCACAAAGATTGTCTAGTTTTCTGCAAATGTATTTCCTAAAATAATTTCCTTCTTCAGGACATTTTTTGAAATGCACTTGACTTGGCCTAGCTTTGTCAAAAAGAACAATTTACATGTCTTACAAAAATGGGAGAAGTAAAATTTCAAGGCAAATGACTTCTAGATTAGATGATGTGCGACTTGATTTACACAAGTTAACTAGCATCATGTTTGTGAGGTTTGTGTTTTTAAAATGGGGGCTGGGGAAATGACAGAGTACAATGGTCCAGTTAGCAAAGTGGGTTGGCTTGCTCACAGCATGAGGATGAATTGGATGGAAGAACAATCAGCTTGGAAATGTCTTCCAATTTGCTTTTAAGGCTCAGGGCAGGTGGGTGATTTTGACCATACTTTCCAACCTTTTCAAGCTGGGATCAGGGACACGGGCACCTCCGAGAAACGATGTAGAGAAGGACCAGCGGCGGTGGCGTGCCTCTTCTCCTCTGGGCTCCGGTACACTGCATGTTCACTCCTGGCTCAGGTCTGCACCAGGGGCAGAAGCAGTGCAGAGAAGGCGTGGTAGCGTTAGCCCTGCGCCGCATCTCTCCTCCTTTGAGCTCTGGTATGAAAGGGAGGAAAAGGGTCACTGTTGAGCAGCTGCCACTGCCAGAGAGCACCCAGAGCCTTTTCACCTCCTGCTACTACTCACGCCCCGACTGCTGAGTCTCATTCCTTTCCACATGCTCAGGCTGCCTTCCTGCTGGGCTCATGGTCCCCCAGGGCCACACACACTGTGCACTCTGGCGAGGCTGGGCAAGGCAAAATGGAGGGCTGTCCTCCCTTCCTTGCTACGCCATCATGCTCTGCCATCACATCAATGTTGTTGCGCTCCCTGCCAGGTGCTCTGATTGGTAGAGAGCCAGATTTCTCCCTGCAGCCACCACAGCCATTTTCTTTCCCTGCTTAATTTATTAAGAGACTGAGAAGGGGAAAGTTGTTCTCCTGTGCAGTGGCCACCCAAGGAAGGACGTGTGGATCCTGGGACATTCTGGGATCCAATCAGAGACTGGGATGCCTGCTTTAAATCCGTGATGTCCCACTCGAAACATGACAGTTGCATGGTATGTTTGCCACAATCCAGCATGATCTATTCCCTATGACTCCAAGATCTTGTTCGTAGTTCCTCATCGCTTAATTCAGACCCTATAAGTGTATATAGGAAATTAATATTTCTTTTGGTGGGTTGTGTTGTGATGCTTGCATTGGTTGCCTTCCTCTGACCCGAGGAGGATACACTGGATGATTATCATTGCACTGAACAGCAGTTGAAACGTTTGGTAAGATATAGGGGCTGTTTTAGAAAGAAATTGGTGCTACATAGGGAACCTCAGACAATTTTCTCTGGCGGCAACTTGCTGCTAAAGCCAGTTGGGATGCTTTGGGGAAAGTAGTTAGAGGACTGTCGTTTGCTAGAGATGGCTGAACCATCACTCACGATTTCCCCCAAAGGAGGCAGCTGTAGTGCTAGCCTTAGGCACACCTCTTAACCAGCTCTTAACCAGCATATGGAAGATGTTGGCCTTCGCTAGTCCATCATGGGTATATCAGCCATGGCAGAGAGATTTTTTTCAGACCTGTTTGCTGTAATTTTATGGCCATACTTAAAATATGAGTAGGAAAGATTTTTACCAGCCGACCAGCCTCTTTTTATATAGCTGCAAAGGGAATTGTGTGTTATTTCTGATACTTATCGTATTGTTAAATCTTTTGTCTCTGATATTTTAAGTTGGAAATTATAAGTGTTCTTTGTACTCTAGGGCCTCTTTTATACTGCAACTTCTTTAAAGTTTTTAAAGATCTAAAAAAAACAAAAAAACCCTTTACTTTATGAAGCAGTTTGGGGGTCAGTTTTTATAAAAATGTGTGCTTTTATGTTGGATCGTTTAAAGACCATCTGTTAACTGAAGCCAACCATAAGTGAAGTTGCAGTTATGTTTCCTATTAGTCTTGTATCTTTCCTATTAGTCATGTATGAGAGAATACAGAGGTAGCCAACAGAACTCCAAACAAGAATTGAGAAAGCAGATGGTTGCCATCATTTTACCTTGTTTTCTTTTACAAGAATGAAAAATTATTAATAGAACAGAAAACACTGTGCCCAGCTACTTTTGCTAACCACAGCTGAAAAATCACACCAAATATGCATTTCTGAGCTTTTATTTTATAATGCAATTGAAAATTTGAACTGTTTAGCTTAAGAGACATTAAGAAGAGGAGAGGAGAGAAAGCAAAATGAAACTCATGACTGAAAGCATAGAATGAAAGACAAAATGTACTGTTTGAAATAGGTGTGTACTTTCTGGTCAGTGAAGGCTCATTTATTATATTGTCACAGTGAACTGTGATTTTTTATTTTTTTTAAGAGGAGGAGGGTGAAATTTTTCCTAGGTAGTTCTCTGGCTTACTGGCAGCTGCCTTTTCAAAAGTTGTCTGTTGACTTAAATAAAGATCCTTGAGAAGACAAATCACAAATTGTTTTTCAACTAAATTCAGCTACAAGCTTCCAGGCATGCCCACGTCATACCTGGCCACAGGACTGCCGCTCTCATATGCCGCTGAGGGAATAACACTCACTTCTGCTTCACAATTCCTGGGCAATTTCAGACAGTTGCTAAGAATAGGAAAGGAAGATTTAAATTGACCAGAGAAATAAATTATGACGTTTTTATACCTGATTATATAGGAAAGTGTGTGTTTGTGGTAGGAATTAGCACATAGTAGATATGCAGATCCAAGGCTCGTATTTCATTTGAAATGTATTTATACATTCCTATCCTCATGTTAACCCTATGACAATTTTTAATTGGAATATCAAACTATAGTAAAATGTACAGGCAATGTCTGATTTCACCCCAGTCCTCCACAGTGTGGGTAATAATCTTTCTGAAGCTCATTAATTCCATTTTCAGAGGGGTCAATGAGACTGAGGGTGTTTTCACACATGAATTTTTTAATCACTTCTGGCTTTAGTGAGAGTTCTAGTGCAAATTGCCCCCCGCCCCATGCATGCATTGTCCAGAATGCCCATTCCCCATTACAAATGCCTCGCCCCTGCATTGACCCCGATCACCTAAATAATCCTCTTCAGAGCCTCATGTATCCACTTGTAACTGGCTTGAATGCCGCACAGTAAAGCTGTAGCCAAGCAAGAATTTGCACATACCGGTAAGTGTCCCTGAGGTCCTAGGTAGCATGAATAATGGGTGGTACCAGTGACTCCGTTTCCTAGAGTGAGCCCCAAGTCCTCTTTGTCCCCTCATCATCTAATTGCCCATTGTCAATAATTTTGCCTGCCGTGAACATGTGGGATGTGGGAGCCAATTTTGGTGTTGGATTTATGTGCAGAAAAGTAAAAAGAGGACCCAGTAAGAAGGAGGAAGGAGAGAGCCTGGGCTGGCCAAAGCGGAATACTACTTTGCCATTGTTTGGTTGCTGGTTTCCTCCCTACGAATATCAAACCTTGATCTGCCCTTTCCACTCCTTCATGCACAAATATTTGCCATGTTTGCTGATATAGAAATGCATATGGATTCTCTTTGAGATTTCTTCTTCAGTTTGTGGAGAAATTTCCTCCTCATCTGTTTTCAGACTTTGATGCTATTCCGTTTAGTTTCCTCTTGCTCTTATTGGATTTTAGAAAAGGTTAATTAGCTATCCACCAAGCTTGGTGGAAGAAGATTTTAATATTAGGCAATGTCCTATTGGGGTATGAAGGTAACACCATGAGGGGGTACTATAATTTTATCACATTTGTCCTGGTAAGTTGGTTTATTAAGGTGAACTGATTACAGCCCGCAGAGTTAATTTTTATATGCTAATACACCACAGCAAGTTGGGAACTTAAATAAAATGATACAATTAATTCAAATTTATGACAGGCAGGGAAGCTCAGTAAGGTCATCTGTAGATTATATTAACACTGCATCATCCAGACATTTCATCCCATTTTGTCTAACGTCAGGTGGCTGCTCTGTGTATCTTAATGCCCCTGGAATGTGGAAGGAAATGTGATGCATTGTGTACATTGGGTGAATCTTGGCTCAGTTGCTGCATGCAGAGAAGACATACACAACTCATGAGGTACTCTAAACACTGTACACATCTTATGATTCATAGTGTGAACCACAAACTTCGCAATTTTAGAAAAGTGTCTGCACTAAACTTCTCAGGATTTTAATTCACTGGGGAAAATGTATGCCAAAATTATTCTGCTTTTTTGTTTGTTTGTTTATTAGCCACCCCAAAACCTCTTTGGGTGACATGCAAACAATTTGAATAAATGGGTAAAAACATCAAAACAATGCAGTGCAATCAGATACAGCACTAAAATTCAATAAACAAGCACAAATATATAACTGGCAGCCACAGCCATATAAAAAATCCTACAGAGAATTAAAATATCTGCGGTATGTCCATGTTTTTCAGGCATATGAGGTGATAGTCAGTGCTGTTGGGTTCTTGATGTCAGGCATTGTAGTCTTGACTTGGACACGCACTGGTGAAAAGGACATCGTTGTATCTCCTAAGTAATTATTCAAATTTTGCTTCTGAATGAGAATATGGATTCCTTTTCTCTCTCTAGCTTATAAGCATTGCTTATGTTTTTAATTGCACAACTGAATCTTCCTGATATTTTGTGTCTGTTATCATTGACGTGATCCTTAATTGCCTTGTCTACAGCAAGGCAACATACAGAGCTCCCACTAAAGAGGGATCAGGAAAGAAAATGAGGGCGGGGACTTCATTGTGCTGCCCAGGAGGAAGGTTGGAGGTGGTTCTTCCTGCATTTGGGATGGATGGATATCCTTATCGCAATAGCGTATGTGTACCCATGGTTGATGACCTAGAGATGGTAGGGAGTGTTTTATGGAAAGCACTGTAAATTTACAATGCAATCCTAACCACATTTACTCAGAAGTAAGCTCTGTTGCATTCAGTGAGACTATGGCTGCATATACATCAAGCCATTTGTAGCACAAAAATTTAGTTTTTTAAAAATCCAGAATTGTTCGTGCTTGTCCTCAACATGGTGTTTTCAGTGTAGATTGTTTTTAGAACCTGGCATCCACAGGGATGGGCATGGTTGCTTGAAACCCATTTGAAAACCGCCCCATTGGGTAGTTAAGCTATGCCTTTTCCTCTCTGCAGCTGCATGAAGAAAGAAGTGGTGATTGCACTATTGGTATACGCTCACCCACAACGTCATTGGGGAGGTAGGGATACACCTCTCTGCCCCACTGCCAGGACTGCTTACAATCTGTTTTCCAATGGACACACTGCAGGGTAATGCAGAATCAATCTGCAATGAGCTTTTATTTTTGGAATGAAACCATAAGCACTTTTCAGGGGCAAAAAAATATACAACAGATGTAGCTGGCGTGTACACTACATGGAAAAAAACAAACACGTGCTCACTCTCCACTGATTTTGGAATAAAATGTTGTGTGTACGCAGCCTTACTTCCTAGTAAGTGTGTTTTGGATTGCAGCCTCAAATGTGGAGGCACCACATAGGTGAGTTGGTGTCTCTTAAATGAGCTTTGGTGCACTATTCTTTTGTGTGCTATTGATTTTGTGTCATTCTTTGGGGCCATCATGACAACTCTCTATATTAAACTACATAAAACAGCATCTCTGTGGAGCAAGTCAGCCTCGCTCTGCTCCTGAACCACCACATGGAGGCTTTTTTATATTAAGCAGCTACAGCAACTGCCCAGGAGGGAAGAGAGGAGAGAAAGTGAATCAAAAGGTAGGACAAAACTGGAAGGGGGAGGAGAAAGAGCATAGGAGGCATTTTCTAGGTAGATTGGGACTCAAGAAAAACAACAACATGTACATAAAGCAGGCAGTCTTGTCAGGAGATTATGGCTTCCCCTTTGATTTACCAGCTCTTGTTATCAAAATGATTTTGTAAAAATATAGGTCATGGTAGCCCAGAAATGTCTTAATATACTACACAGGGGTGGGAAACTTCTGGCCCTCCGGAGGTTGCTTGACTCCAACTCCCATAGTCCCCAAGGACTGGCCATCCTGGCTGGGATGATGGTAGTTAAGAGCCTTTTGGAGGACCACAGTAGGTTCCTCATCCCCGCCGAAAGAAAAGCCTTCCTGCCTGACACCACAGACACTTCCCCATGTTGCAATGGTGCTTAAGGGCAGAAGGCCATTAATCAGAACAAGAGATTGCTTAAAAACTTTAAAAAATAAATAAATTAGATGTGTATTGGTCATGAATTCTGGTAGTTGAATGTTTTCCCTTTGAGGAAAGACTCCATTTTTGGGAGCCTGAAATCTGGATTATGACTCCAGAAACTAAATTTGGAATACACACAGAGTTATCATCCTTTTCAGTCTGACAATTACATCAGCATGAAATTCATCAGGCTTGCATTTGTGTTAGTTTTTTTTTGGGGGGGGGAGCGGGGTGGGTTTCTAATTGCAGAACAGTTTCACCATAATCAGTATAATGTCAATAATAATCAGTTTTTGAAGTAAACTGGCCCTGCGATTTGGAAGCTCATCATTACCAAGAGCAGTAGTTTAGTGTATGTGTATATTTATGACTTTTAATTTTAAAAAATAATTCAGGGAGGCCGATGAGAACTTTTATAAAGGCAAATTAAGTCATTCTAGACTGGCATAACAGACAATATGTCATTATGAAATTACCAAATTACATGGACAATTAAATTTCCTTATTAAGCAAGATATAATGCCAACAATGTTACAGCAATTTATAAAGTTGAACGTTATTTTCAGCAGTAACAAGCCCAGTGCCTCCAAAATAAAAGGGGCTTGTTTTAGAAGCTTGGTCATTCAGAACTGGAAAGGGAGCGATTACAATTCGTCATGGGAGCAATTTAAAACTTGCAGGTACTTATCCCAGTTGTGTGGCTTTTAGTCACATTTGCTGGAGATTCTCTGAGCTGATCGCTCTATTCATGCCCACTTTGAATCCAATTTGGCAAGCAGAAAGGAAGAATTGTCTGGCAGGCAAATTTGCATAGCAGCGAAACAGTGTGCCAGGGGCTTCCCAGGACTTCCCAGGGCACACTAGATAGGTTGGCCTGCGAATGTGAACCAAATCAAATTTGTGCCCCCCTCCCTCTGGCTGTGTCCGAACCGGGTGCCTCCTGCCTGCCAGAATGAGCCTGCTCAGAGTGGTGGTCAGAATGTTCTTCTCTTAAGACCCAGGAGACCAGGGTTCAAATCTCCACTCAGCCATGAAGGTCACTGGGCAACTGTGGGCCAGTCACTGCCTCTCACCCTAACCTACCTCACAAGGCCGTTGTGGGGATTAAATGAGGAGAGGGGAGAACCATGTATCACCAACTTGAGCTCCTTGGAGAAAAATGTGGGATATAAATAAATAAATGCAAAATAAAGAGCCAGCCCCCTTTTGGCTATCCACCATGGTCCTTGAAGTGAGCTTTCCTTTTAGAGATGCTTATTAGCGTTTGCTGGAGATAAAGCGGCACACCCGCAGCTGCTGTATTAAAAGGTGAGAAAACAAATAAGAACAAGTGTTAATTCACATACACAAATCCCCTGTCTGCACAGCAGGTGGAGCGGCTGCCTCCATGCGGGGAGGGCCCTTTCCTGCTGCGAGGCTTTTCCTTCCTGTTTTATTGCCTCAGTGTTTGTTCTCGAAAGACTGCACCAGACTTATGAGTATGTTATCACTGTGGATTCCTCCTGATTATGATTTTACTTATTTTATTTTTACAAAAATGAAATGTGATTTGCTGCAGATCGGCATCTATGAAATATTCGAGTGAAAGCAAAATAGGTGTTGCTTTGCTCCCCAGTGGAATTCTTTTGGCTGGGTGAAGAAGGGCCTCTCCGCTAGCTGGGCTTTGATGGAGCTGTTTCATTTGGGAAGAGAGAGGTGTTCCACAGTAAAGGGACTTTGATATGTGCTGGCAAGTGGGGCAAGAGAAGGAAGTTTGGTGGTGCTCTGCTATCAATGTCCAGTGTGGATAATTCAGTACTGGGTAGTTCTGGACAAGTTGCTGTCCTATGGCCACAGATCCCATCTGTAAAAAAATTTTTTTGGGGGGCAGTGGAATTGGTGGTCTCCTTCCTGAGGCTGTTTTCAGGCTCTCAAAACCCTTTACAAGCCCAGTGGGCAACCATGGAGAGACAGTCATCATTGCAGCAAGATCAAAAGTAAGCCATTTAACTAACATATATCCTGACATTTCTGTAAACTCTTCCAAACTATAGGATAGGGTGAATGAGAAAAACAGTAAGTTACGGTACATGAAAAGAGCTCTTTCTGTCCCTTTAAAAACCAACTTTAAGGATGTCCATGATCTTCATTGTCTTGCTTTTCCTCTTGAATTATTTCTGTATTCCTGTAGAAATTGGATTCATCTAAAAAATGGGCAGAGGATATATGCCTCCTATGTCTCACCTCCTCAGTCTTCATAAGTCACCACTGTGGTTTCAAATAATCTTCTTATTGTGCTGTTAAACATTTTCAGTTCATCCACCGTTTGGGAGGCCTGTTGTCAGGCAGAAAAGCAGGATATAAATATTTTAAATCAATAAATCTACCTGTTCACAAGCAAGTTGTGCACTTGCCACTAATGACAACATATAAGCTGTTTGCCTTCTTAAGAGGTGGCTGTTCCAGATAGCACTGCCCCTTTTATTGCAACCCTCACAAACCCCCAATTTACCTTATAATGCTTGAACTGATAGCTGACTGTGAAGACAGATAAGTGCAAAATCAGGAAGGGTGTATGTCAGATTAGAGCACTTTTTCCTGATTTGGGAATATGCAAAGCTTCTAGTTACACAGGACCCTTCATCAGGCAGAAGGCTAAATTCCAGGGAGAAGGAAAGAATGTGTTCCAGCTGCAAAGCTGGTGTTTTAGCCACTGCATTTGTATTGTAACCTATTCACTTCAAACTCACTTAATACACTGACCACCAGCAGCAGGGCAATTACTATTGCAGTGACTCCTCAGGAATCTGAGGTTTCTGTTCATCTCTTTGTCCTCAGTAAGACAGTAAGTTTTAATTCCCAGGCACGTCTTTTAAAGGTGTTGTACATGTCATTTTCCAATCTGCTCAGATTCAGTTGAACATTAAAATAATTCCATTGTAGCTCTTGTGCAGAATGTTCATCTACCTGTTTTATTAATGCTGCAAAGTCCTTTGGGAGAGCCATACGACAGCATATGAATGGGAATCTTTTTTAAAAATCCTAAATGAGCACAGCAGATGTATGAAAGCAGCAGATGCAGAAAGAAAGATGAATTGAACATAATTCATTGCATTTTTGGGGGGAAAGTTTATCCTTTAGACTGTTCTGTTTATGGCTCACATTTTCTGGGGGGGGGGGAATACATTTTCCTTATGACTTTTGATTTATGTCGTTTGACACATCAGAGGGCCCGAAGCTTGCACTTTTGTATACCTGAGTCACAAAATGGGATTTTTATTTAAAGTGTGTTTTTTAAAAAAAGTTTAATGCAATACAGTGGTGAACTGATACTGTGGCACTTTAAACTGACAGATCAATAAACTTCAGTAATGACTGTAAAATTACATTACAGAATCGTGGATTTATTTTTCTTTCCATGACTTCAGAATTGCGCAGCACAAATTTTAAACACACACAAACCTATTTCCAAACCTCTACTTTACATCTCTTAACTTTCATCACATACCACAGTTAAGAATCAGTGGATGATCTCCTGATATCAGAGGTAGTCCCAGTTTGTTTGAATATATTGGGTTTGTTTGTTTGCAGGAATGAGCAGAGTAAACTGGGTATGAATTAAGGAGGTTGCAGAGTAAAAAAGAGGTATTGTCCTACACTTTCGTAACATGGCCATAATATTCCTCAAAGAGAAGGCAGGTGGAGAGCATCTGCCCTGATGCCAGAAACCCTCAACACAACAATGCAGGGGTGTGGGGTGTGGGTGTGTTTGTGTTGTGCAGGAATGCTGGTCACCTTTCTTAAACTACAGTCAATTCAATTTATTATTTCATTTATACCCAAGCGTTCCTCCAAGGAGCTGAAAGGTGGCATAGACCTCCCCATCTCCATTTTATCCTCACAAGAACCCTCTGAGGAAGGCTAGGCCGAGAGTGAGTGACTGGCCCAAGGTCATGGCTGAGAGGAGATTTGAACCCTGGTCTCCTAGGCCCTAGTCCAGCATTCTAACCACTGCGCTACACTGGCTATCTTCTGACACGTTGCAGAAGATAGTTTAATACCCCTTATGACCTATCTTAAAGTATCCATTCTGTGTTTTGCTACAATATTTAAACCTGCCATTGAAACCCCGTTTCTTAGAGCAGAAATGCTTACCAGAGAGGTGAGCTGTTCTGTTGTTTTCTCTGCATTTCCCCCACTAGGGGGCAGAAAAGTCTGTCTCAGGGCTTTAAAGACAGTGCCGCATTTCTTCAAAAAAGGCTCTTTAGCAGAAGGAATCATTAATTTATTTGCCCTTTCTGGAACATTAGAGTATTAAAACAGACTGTGAATTCTCAGACAAATGGAATGTCTTAATGGTCCTCTGATTCTTCTGGTCACTGGGCACCATTTCTCCCCATCTCCACACCCTGGAGAGAGATGCTCATTCGCTGGGCCCAGCATCTTGTGCTCTGTGCTTAACTTGGGGCCTGGATGGAATGTGTTTTTAATATCCAAGATTGGTCCTGGGGCATGTGGTAAAGGAGGAGAGTGCATTTGAACATGTGCAGAGTGCCTTGCAGTTGCCACTGAATTACCACAACTTGCCCCACAAACAAATGAATGTTTAGGAGTCAGGGTTTCCACATCTGCTTTCAAGGTAGACAGGACCCTGGCATTTATGCATTAACTACAGGCAGGACTACCTTGCTTATGTGTTTGGACCTTTCATCTTTCCTACAAGCCCAAGGCAGCTTCTAGCATAACGGCAGCAGAATAGCAACAATAATCAGCAAGAAATTATAAAGTGCTTTAGCCACGCAGCACAACCGTATTTTGGGACCAAAAAACAATCCAGCTATTGAAACTCATAAAGCAAAGAAAATGGCCTTTGCTTCCTTCTCAGAATCCTCAGGGAAGGGAAAGGTGACAGCAGCGGCAACCACATGGTCATAAAAACTTATTTTGGGTCTTGCATCAGGAGCAGGAGCGCCTGAGTCAGGGGTCAGGTGTTCCTCCACTGGACAGAGGCAGGGCCTGGTCTGCACCAGCCCAATCTTGGAGTGAGCGTGGGAGCCAGCAAGCAGCCTGGGGAATTGCTACAGCACTGCCCAATATGCACTCTGCTCCCTGCACATGCCAAGGAGTGAGGGAGATGTCTTAATCTGCACCTTCTGAAATGGCTCATGTCCAGGGCCTTGTTCTCAGACATGAACAAGGAGATGGAGTGCTTTCTCTCTTCGTTCTTTAGTGCTACCCTGTGTTCTGCAACTGTAAGACCTACACTGACTGGTGTGTACAATGCAGGGGAAGGGCTGACCTGGTGCCCTCCAGATATTGTTGGACTACAGCTTCTACCCTTCCTGGCCATTGGCCATGCTGGCTGGGTTGTAGTTCAAAAGATCCTGGAAGGGCTCCCAAGGGTCATTTAGTCCAACCCCCTGCATGGCCAAAGCTGAATAATCCCTGACACACGGCTATCCAACCTGTTTAAAAACCTTCATGAAGGGGAGTCCGCCACATTTGAGGTAATCTGCTGCACTGCCAAACAGCTTTTGCTCTCAGAAAGTTCTTCCTCATGTTTCGTTGGAATCTCCTTTCTTGTAATTTGAATCCATTGAAGCAGCAGAAAACAAGCTCGCTTCATCTTCCGTGTGATGGAACCAATTATTTTCCCACCCCTTTCTCTCAGCATTAGCATTCGCAGACGACGTTCATAAGAAGAGCCCAGCTGCAGAGGGATCAGGCCAAAGGGCCCTATCTAGTTTAATAATAACAATAGTAATAATAATAATATTACTTATACCCTGCCCATCTGACTGGGTTGTCCCTGTTTGTACACAATAAAATGTCCCGTCAGGAAGACCACTGGACATGAGTACAATTGCATTCTCCCCAGCAACTGGCATTCAGACACCTACTGCCTGTGACAGAGGTTGAACATAGGCATCATGACTTGTAGCTGCTGATAGTCTCATTCTCCATGAATTTATCTACTCCTCCTTTAAAGCCACCTGCACAGTGTGGGAGAGAGTCTACCACAGGGGTTCCCAAATATTCCCCCCACCGTGGGGAGAAAATTGCTGAAGGTCTTGGCATACCACTTAACGATGTTCCTGCCTGCTGCAGCAGTTGTAATTCCATAGAATTCAATCTGTAACACAATAAAATACAATATAAGAAATAAAACGGAGCAATAAAAATACAATTATGAATATTCCGCGTGACGGATGTGCTGCCTCCTTTCTTCAACCACAAATCCACAGACACGCCATGGATCGCCTGAACGAAGCTCACAGACCACTTGTGGTCCACAGACCACAGTTTGGGAATTCCTGGTTTATGACACAGTTGGAAGCCTTTTATGTTCTTCACTGAAGGCAAATGTCAGGGATAAGGAAAGCAGTGTTCGTATAACACGTCTGAGGAGACCAGCCCAGTTGCCTCAACCAGACCTCCTCCATGGTATCACTTGCTCTTCCCCCATTTCCTTATTCTTGGAAGGACATCAGTTGCTGCATGTGTTCAAAACGGCCCAGGTGTGTGATCTGCCGGTAGCAATTCTCCCACGGAGATTGTGATGGGGTGGCGGGTGCTGTCAGGCCAAACCACGCTGCAAGGAGAACCAGGGAGGCTGATCAGAGCAGCCATCTGCTGAAACTATTGGTATGCTTCAGATTTCCCAGGGTTATCATATGTGTGTGTATGTGTGTACACAGTACTTATTTTCAGGCTGTTGTTGCTTTTAATCCAGAAGACTCCAATCAGGTTCTGATCAAATCTCCTTTCTATAGCCTCCTCTCCAGGTAGCAGCAGCTTCAGTTGAGGTACCTTTTGAGAAGCACGTTACGCAGCTGGGAAGCTTTTTTTAAAAAAAAGGCGTGTAAAACAACACATGAAAAAGACTCAATTTTTGTTTAAGCCTGGTGGTGATTCCCCACTCCCTCTTCTCTCCACCCCCCCCAACAGAGCATGAAATTAAAATGCATGCACAGAGCTACATGATTGCTACAGCGCTGTGGCTCAAGCTGTGGTTCTCTGGTGGATGTCATTAGTCACGCTAAGACAGACTGGGGTGGAACGGGAGTGGCAAAAATTTGCGGCAAAGAGGATGTTTATATGGAACGATTGACTGCTATGGACCTAATCTCCTGGCATCGGCTTGCTGATAGGCATAGCAAAGGGACGTGGGAAGGATATTGTAGCACTCCCACAAGGGATGCTGTGTGGCCCCGGAATGTGAGTCGCGCTCAACTGTAACCAATAGAGGCTAATGCACCTTTCTGAGGGAAGTCAGTTTGCCATGTCGGCATCGGTGCCTTTGCGGCCACCCACAATCCTTACTCTTGACTTGGTATCTCTGCCCAGAAACAAACAAGCTATTCATAATCCCTGCTTGTAAGTACCAGAACAATTTGCAGCTTTAGGCAAGATTTATTGCAAATCCCTATTGTTTTCCCTCGTAATTGCAGATACAGATGGCTCCAGTGGTATGGAAAGAAATCTTAAACCATATAAAGGGTGGGATATCCTTAGTTTTTCGCTCAGATCTCACACATTTTTTTGATGCTAACCCCAACTCTCTAGCTTCCCCGCCATGTGAAAAGTAATAATCGACAAAGTGGTCACCTGTTTGAAGATTAAATGTTTCCTTATGCAGCAAAGGAGTGGAGTTTGCTGCTGCACAATGGCCATAGACTGGCTGCCCTTTTGTTACTCATTTTCCCTGCTTGGTTGTTAAGATGCTTAGCTGCGCCTGAGTGAATGAAATCACAGCCAACTTGGAGGCTCCCCCAGCAGCTCAGCTGGCCATTTGCAGATGGAAGAGAGACAAACCTGGTTCATAAAGCCAGAGCCGGGAGAGGAATTCACTAAACAGATTTCCCCCCAAAGGAAACATGAGGAAAAGAGCTTGTGTGTGTGTGTGTGTGTGTGTGTGTGTGTGTGTGTGTGTGTTCAAATGTCTGGGAATGTCCTTCAGCTCACATGCCACCAGGAATAAACATTAGCTTTGATCTTTCTTCTCCCCCAATTCATATTAATAATGAGTCTACATTGTTATAAACAAGCAGCCCCAATTGTGGGTGGAATCCAGCATTCTTTTACGTTTTGATTTTGCAGAGGAGTGGTGGTTATGGTCAGGCTTTCCCTCCTTTTTTCAGTAATTGTGTTTGAAATGGGTTGTGAGTTTAAACTACTATTACGGGGTTAGGGTGGTGTTATAAAAGGTGGATAATAAAAAAAGTAATTTCTCAGGGATCTCTGTGTGTGTACATGCACATTAAAATAAAATAAAATAGGATACATAAATGCTGCTGCTTATATAATATACAAGCCAGGTTCCATAATGATGTACCTACAGTCTATCAATTTTCCAAACCAAGCAAGGAAGGCACTTCCCACATCTTGGACTGAGGAGGTAGAAATGCTTCCCTCAGCTTCCAAGGATGTCCCAGGATGTGGTTTGTTGGACACTTGCGGCCGGCCCTCTCCTTAGCCAGAGGAGAGATAAGTGCCTCTGATGGCAGGACAATGGAGGGAACCAGCCATTTCCCTCTATTTGATGACAGAGCCCTGTGTATGTCACCTAGCCGGTCCTGCACCCCCAAAACCAGCCTGCTTCACTAAGGTGTGATGACGATGAACACTCTCTTCTCGCCAACTGCAAGCCCAGTTGGGTTCTGTCCTTGGAATGGAGGGATGAATATACCACATTGCCCTCGGCCAGAGGCAGTGAAATAATTTGGGCCTGCCCTGGGGACAATCCTGCCCCCTCCCTCAGTACAGGATTGAGTGAGCAGCCTTGCCGCCTGTCTTGGCCAGTCCAGTCCTCCTGAGCCTAAAGGTTTCAGTAAAGTAGACAGGGGTATGTGTGGGGGTGGAGGAGGGTCACAAAATACTCTGCTGAACAGAAAACAGATGAAGATGGCTTCCAGAGCATGTAGACAATTCTACAAAAGGGCTGGGCTGGCTTATCTGACAGGGAGGTGATTCAGCCAACAAATCCTACCACTGATGGTCAAGGAATGTGAAATATCTGGCTACCGAGGACATGCCCGGAGATTGGGAAATTTTGGGGCATGATCCATGAAGAGATAAAGAAAATACTAAGAATTACTTATAGTAAAAGTCCAGAGGCATTCCTATTAGGAATATTAAACGATGACATTCCAAAAGATAAAGTTAAAATATTCTTATATGCGACATCAGCGGCAAAAATCCTGGTAGCTAAGTACTGGAAAGGGAAACAAATACCTACCAGGGAAGAATGGCTATGTAAACTTTGTGAATATGTGGAGTTAGCCAAACTGACGGACATAATAAGAATGACCTCTGGTTGAGTTTAGAAAGGGGAAGGAATACTCACACACACACACACACACACATGTGTATATATGTGTATATATATATATATATATATATATATATATATATATGGATTGAGATAATAAGGAAATACAGAAAGATATAACGAGACTGAAATGAAGTGTTGTGAGATCAGTGAAAGTCTTTGATTTATCAACTTTGGTTATGTAACGATGAATATGGTGTTGGGAATATGTTTGTTTTTCTTTTTTGTCTTATCTTCGTTTCTTTTCTTTTCTCTTTCTTTTCTCTTTCATTTTTAGTTTCGTGTTTTAATCTGTAAGATTTGAAATTGTTTCTTTCTTGTTTTGGCGTATTGTTATATTTTGTTATTAATATTAATAAATATTTATTAAAAATACATAGCATTAAAAAAAAGAAATATACGGCCACCGGAAGAAGAGTTCAGCCCCCCGGCCCAAATGTGATTATTTATACTAAAAAGGCAAAGGGTAAGGTGGCACACACATACACCCATTCCAACCAGTTGCCGGCCCCTTATGTTGGACAAATGAGACAACAGCACGTAGATTTCTCTCTCTCTTTTGCCTCACCCAACTTTAAAAATTAATAATTACAACATGCTTGCTTTGTTTTCATACGTTTGCAGTCTGTGCTTCATCAAGGGTTATTATAGGTTGCCTTTGCCATCAGCCTTTAAAACACAGACATGATGAGGAAAATGGAAAGAAATGAGAGCTTTCATCTGCCTAACCTCAGGATACTTCCCTTGCAGAGAGGGAGGAAATGAGGATGGGAATGGCTGTGGGAGCATGTGCTGCCCCTCCACACATCCACAATGAAAAGTAAACTCAAATGCTAGCAGAATTATTTTGCCAAAGGCTGACTTCCTTCTTTTGGAGAAAAACTGTCTAAAGAATTTTTTCGCTGGGTGCCCATTAGTAAAATGCCCACCGAAGATCCAGAAATAAAATGTGTTTCATTATAGGAAGCTGCCTATAATGTTTACTGTAGGGGTGGGAACCATTTTCAGGCTGAGCGCCATGTTCCCTTCTGAACAACTTTCCAAGGGTGGCATGTCATTGGTGGGCAGGGACAGAAGCAAAAGTGGGTGGAACAATTAACTTGAATTTCCCTTTGTACTATATAATGGTTTCAACACACACTGTTCTCTATCCATCCATTCATCCATCCATTCATCCATCCATCCAAGCAAGAGCCATTATCAGAGTTCAAGGACACATTCCAGCCAGGCAGAATCACTCAAAGAGGGTACAAAGCAGGGCAAATGAGGGCTGTAGTCTACAGAGACTCCTGAGCTGGGATGGGAGAGAAATTTGATTCCATTCACATTCAAAGCTGAATTCATCATGTTTGTACTTCCCCCAAAATATGAGAACCAAAACCAGCCATCCTTCGGAATTCACACTTATGCGAATTTTGCAATGCAGTTCTCCAACCAGGGTTTACAAAAATGCAGATTAGAAGAAAGTGTCCATAAAAAGGAATATATTCAAGAAAATAACTTACAAGCCTGCATTATGTTAGGAGAATTTGCTTACAAAATTAGTTAAAACTGCATAAAAATGTATTTATGGGGAGAAATTAACACTAAACTGCTAAAGAACTTTCAAGAGCATTTTTAAAAAGATATTCACAAATTGCTACGGAAATGTGGAGAATCAAATTGGAAAAATGGAGCAACTGAGAACTGAAATTGACAGATCCTTCTGTTTCTGCTTCCGAGGGCCAAATAAAGAGGCTAAGGGTAGTGCTGTAGATCTTGGCATTACAAGAACAGCACAAATTATACACTATTGTTTTGTATTAGTAAGGAAGCAAATTCCTGTTCAGCTGGTTCCATGTACTGAAGGGGCAGGTTGTTCTGGTCATAGATTCTTTCTCTTCACCTCCTGCCCTGTCACTTGGCAACACATTTTTGGACTGGAGGGACATTTCAACAGCAGTTTCTGAATGAAGCAGCCAGCGACAACATCAAATCCACCTGCCACTGTCCGTTGAGTAACATGCTGACAAAATTCTCCTGCTTTTTCTTCTCCCTGTATGCATACACACCATACATTATTTTAAAGCATAGGACATATTCCCAAAGAATCCTGAGAAATGTAGTTTGTTAAGGGTGCTGGGAATTGTAGCTCTGTGGGGTGTGTGAACTACAGTTTCCAGGCTTCTCTGCAGGGAGCCATGTGCTTTAAATGTGCCTTAAGTGTATTGTGTGTTTGCAGCCTTACAGGAAGCTGATGGAATTCTGTAGGAACAGCTAAGTGATTCTGGAGGTTTGTATGTGGTGCTAATGAAGGAGGCTAATGGAGGCCAGTCTTGCTGTTGGAGGAGACCAGCAAAGCTGGAATCTTGTTTGAATTAAAACGATGTCTGCTAAGTAAAGGAGCTCTCCAGGGCATAACAGACCATCGCTTCCAACAGTCCATACTGTCCGTACTGAACGGCATATTTATATCTTCCAGACTTGTAATTAATCACTCAGTAGGACTTTTAGAGATGTGCTTTCACAGAAGAACTTATTGTACTGCCAGGAACCGCAAGGCCAGGGCACAATTAAAATGCTGATTTAATGTATTACACCGAGGCACGGAACAGGGATGTTTTAAGTGATGTTGACAGGCCAGAATTTCAAAACCACCTATTTTTGAAATGAAAAACAAATGCTCCCCCTGCCCCCCACAATTAAATTACATTAATAGAGGGGCCCTAATAAGTTTTCTTGGAAGTGAAACAAACCTCTAGACAATAATGAAGGCTTGAAGATGCACCATCTTTAATTAGATATTCAGTGCTTGTTAGAGGAATGAATGTTGAAATAACCTGTGCATAAAAACCAAAAAGAATGTAAAGTTGTGAATGAAACAGCCAGCATGTTCATTTTGTGTCAGGATGGAGGCTTTTCAGAAAGAAAATCTGTTTTTGTTTAAAGAAACTTTTGTAAATATTTCTGGGTTGGTTTTTTTTTTAATGTAATGATAAGTTTCTGGTGTTTCAGGGATTTTTTTTAGAAGGGCCATCTTAACAGGAAACATTTTCTTTGGAGAGGACTGAACACACTGGACTCCATTTGCACTACTAATACTACGAATACTAATTTTATTATTTATATAGTGCACACTAAGCTTTTGATTGCCCCTTACAGGAGCATTGTGAAGGGGTCACCTAGGAGGATAGAGCATATACCTTTGTACCAGGCCCTGACAGTGTGGCTCTCCCCACACTTTGCAAGTTCAATGGAAACTTATGTCATGTGCCTGTGCCTGGAGGATTTTGAGGATCAAGCCATGCCCATGCAATCGATGGGCAACTGGCTTCTTAGTGCGATCAGAACCCATTGCGTCCTTATCCTGGATGAGCCATAGCTCAGTGGCAGAGCATGGGACGCAGGTGGTGCTGTGGTCTAAACCACTGAGCCTCTTGGGCTTGCCAATCATAAGGTTGGCGGTTCTAATCCCCACGATGGAGTGAGCTCCCGTTGCTCTGTCCCAGCTCCTGCCAACCTAGCAGTTCGAAAGCACACCAGTGCAAGTAGATGAATAGGTACCACTGCAGCAGGAAGGTAAACAGTGTTTCCATGTGCTCTGGCTTCCATCACAGTGTTCTGTTGCACCAGAAGCGGTTTAGTCATGCTGGCCACATGACCCAGAAAGCTGTCTGTGGACAAACGCCAGTTCTCTTGGCCTGAAAGCAAGATGAGCACCGCACCCCAAAGTTGCATTTGACTGAACTTAACCATCCATGGGTAATTTACCTTTACCAGTGGAAGCGGCATCTCCAGGTAGGGCTCAGAGAGACACCTGCCCCCAAAATTGGACAGGTACTATTGCCAGTCAGCATAGATAATCCTGATCTAGATAGACCAAGGCTCTGACTCGGTACCGGGTGGTTTCTTATGTTCCTACTGTTGAGAGGTGAAGGAATTATCCCTTCTTTGGCTCAACCCACCAGAGCATATGTGTGTGTGTGGGGGGGTGTCCCTGGCATGTCTTCCAGAGTCATTAATAACATGGGCCACTTTTGAGGCCACTGCTGTGGGGCCAACACTTTGGTTTGAGGCAAGTAGCTCAGAACAGCAGAGTAGTTTAGAAGCACGGAAAATAATCCACTGTGACCTTTGGCAACCAGGACTTGGCAGCTGCAACACATTCATGCTATTATTTTAACCACTCCTGCGGAACTTTTGCTTTACAAGGTGCTGTACAAATAGCATACAGATTAAACAGTAGTGAGTCTGGGAAGTGGCAACTTGCCCAAGGTCACCCAGAGGGATGATCTTCAGTCAGCTCTCCCTGCCTGAAACCCCAGAGAACAGCTGCTGGTCAGTGTAGACAATTCTGGGCTAGATGGACTCAATGTGTCTGACTTGGCACGTTCTCTCCTTGCCCAGCTTTCACTCCCATCCTGTTCTGCCACTGAAAGTTGTATCTTATGCAGGCCTCTCAGTGTCTTCCCCTTGTGGCCCTAAGCTTGGGAAACAGGCTCTCCTCCTGCACTTGTAACAGCCCTGATGCTTCTGCACTTCTGTGGGGCACAAAGACCATGCAAGGAAAAGGAGGTGAAGCAGCAGCATTTTGTGACCATTGGGAGTTGGAGCCAGGGTCTCCCCTTTACTTTTACCTCTGCCCTGCTTGTCTCTCTCACACAAGTAACTAAGAAAAAGTAAAGAATAAAGAATAAATAAGAAATTTTCCACACTTATCTTTCCTCCACGGTTTCCAGGCACAGTCTGTGCTTTAAAGTTATGTGTCCAAGCACCCTTTTTCTTGCTTGGGAGTTTTCCCCATGAAAACCCGCTCTTTACTGCTGAATCAGAGCAAACAGCAACTTGCAGAAAACCAGAATTGCCATTTATTGCACTTCAGCTTTAAAGACTGGGGCAAAAGGTAAGTGTGGATAAAAGCTAATGTGCTCTGTGTTTTCCTTGTTCAGCTTGTGACCTGGTCAGATTTAGAAAAACATTGTCTCTTCTTAGGGGCCTATCTGCTTTATCCAGTTGTCCAATTCATCCAGTTTTGTTGCAGCATTTCTTCAAAGTCCTCTTCAAGGCCCTCCTCCTCCTCCATCTATGGAGATGCAGTGTTGAGGAGAGCCAGAATTTGGGCTGCATCCTTGCAGTTATATATTGGATTCCATCTGCTCTACCATAAGGTGAAAGGGGCACCCCCATTTATTTGGCACCTTGGCTTCCTTTCGCTTCAGAGTAGGCAATCTCAGGATCTGCCTCCTGCAAAGGGTGTGTGTGCTCAAATCTTGAAGAAGCATTACAGAGGATCCATGGCAGGGAAGATGTTGGGTGCTGCAAGTCACCCGTGCCATTTCATCCTTTACTGTAGTGTAAAGCATTCAAATGACACAATATCTCTAGGCTTGGCTGGGTTGGAGCGCTTGTGGTCAAGGGCTCTGTGGACTCATTCTGCATTTGTATCATTCATTCTCAGATTTGGGAACGCATCTTGGCCCCAATGTGTTAGCATATCCAACAAGTCCCCCCCTCCAGCCCTGTGGTTTCCAGAATTCCCCTCACTCACAGATTCTGCCTGCGCTGCCTGCAATTTTTGAGGTTATAAAGTTTCATCTGGAGGTCTCCATTCTGATTCATGAGTTTAGCCAGCTGGGACAAAAGTTGGAGCCCATTTTCAAAAGCCTCATTTACAGTTTTCATTTGCTTTCTCTATAATAGATCTCCTTTTATTGCAGGCGAAATCACAGGAGCACTGATACGATCAGGAGCGGCTGTAGAGCATTAGCAAAGAGTGTCTGACATTACTGGGAGCAAGCTCCACCCCGGCCCTTCTTCTGTTTTGACATTTTACACTTTCCCCTTTGCTCTAATCTAGAACAACAACTTCAACTTTTTTATTTCTTTGCCTTACTGTAAGTGAGATCTAAGTGGCAACATTAGCCTAATGTTACTTTTTTGACATTTAATGTGCCTGCCATATTAATTTGATAAAGGAAACCCACGGTGAGTTTCAGCCAAAGGGGCCTGCAAGAGAAATGCTGTCCAGAGAGGCAAATGCAGTTTCATTTTAATAATCTGCACACATGCGCGCGCGCACACACACACACACACACACACAGCTATAATGTCGGAAGCGGCAGGTCCCACCAGCCGCTCTGTGAATAAGATGTGATTGAGATCACAAAGACACGGCTGCGCTCCGGTGGCAGAAGCAGGCAAACAGTGAAGGGAAATCTTATCGCCAGCCCCAAAGCGCATCTTTGGTGAATGTCTTTTGAATGCTGCTGAAGGTTATCTGGGACTAGCTTGAATTAATTTGGTAATCCAATCACTTTCAAAAGTGACTCTCTGTTTCACAAAGGGAGGAAAGAGTAAGCTGTGGTCTCTCCATCTGAATGGAAGGAGCCGGGTTGCAAAGCATCACTTGCTGCCTCCCAGGCTGCTCTCTGCAGCCTTGACAAATGCCACCTTCCAGCTCTGTCTACTAAACAAGTTGGGGTGACTTCCTGACTGCAGCAAGGGCGTGATTCTCCCAACAAGTATGAAGAAGTGTACCAATGTTTTTAAGCACATGACATATCCCCTACCATCTGTCATCCTGGTGCTAATAATGTCAACTCACTGTGTTTACTCACAGGTATGGCATTCGAAGGCCCAGCTGGTGGGGCCTGCATTCTGGGGGGGGGGGTTGCCCAAATGAAAACAGCTTACCTAATCCAGGTGGGGTGGAGTGGGGAAAGGGGGCCACCCCCTTTGTTTTGTGGTGGCCCCCTCAGGATGGATGACTCAGGATTGGGGACTTCTAAGTGTAATTAAGATCTCACCCACTATCCCCCATACTTCGTTCACTGGCCTCTGACATGATGAGCGGACAGGGCACAGGAGGGAGATGCCCACAAATGATATCCACTGGGTGTCCTGCCCTAAGGCCCCTGCCTAAAGCTCCCTACCCTGCTCCATTCTGCTCAGTTTTGCTCCATTGCCTTCTGCAGGAAGATATGCCTGTTGCTGCTGCCCAGCATGCAAACTTCTGGAGTGGGTTGCATTGGTGTCTGCTTGCCTCAGGGGTTTTTTAACATAGGAAACTGCTTTACCTCCAGCCAGAACCTTGTTCCATCTAGCTTAATACTGTCTCCACTGATTGGCAGTGACGACTCCCCAGGGTTTCAAGCAAGGAGGCCCTTCCTGCCCTACTTGGAGATGCCACCGGGGATTGAATTTGGGACACCTTCTGTTATGCAAAGCAGATGCTCTTCTTCTGAGCCAAGGACCTTCCCAGTGTCACACTGTGGCTGCAGGCAGAGATGCCTGGCAGAGCAAATGTTTAGAACTGGGATGTAAATGGCTTAATCCCATTATCTCTCTCCCCCACCCCAAGATTCCAAGGCCATATAAATTCTTGATGATATTGAAAAATTCTAGACAATTGAAAAATATATATATTTTTTTAAGGAGAAAGCATTCATGGTGACTCAGCCTTAAAAACCATGCAAGGGAATGTCCAGAGTAGGGGAAGGAGGGCTGGCCCAGGCAAGCCATTTGTTTCTTAAAAGCTCTTAAAAGGTTATGAGCAAAACAAAACAACAGAGTAAATGGAATTTAAAAAAAACTAGAACATTAATTGATTTTTAGAAACCAAATTTGCCTGGCATGTAAACCCGTTCCTCTAGCAAGATTTAAACAAACTTTTGGCATGGAAAACGTCAAGGGATCCTTTTGCTATTTGTGGCTTGACCAGATCTAATGTTTGAAAATGAACTGGAAACCACAAACAGATTGTCAGACCTGTCCCAGGATATGTTAAACTTTTCTATGATTTACAAGATTTCTGGAGGGAATACTTCACATCGTAAGACTCGGTTCCTCCCGGGATTTAACAAGGCATTTGTTATAAATGTTTCCGCATTTTATGAAGCAGGTATTATGCCATAGACCAGGACCAAATGGCTTGCTCTGTAAATGGAGGGGCTTTTATTGTGTGGCTGATGTCACAGGTCAGGAGGCCAATAGACACCTGTTTGTTTGGTGCATGGTAAGAGCCTGGCTGGCTGACATTTTTTCAGATTTATCCACAGAGTGGAAATTATATATGACAATCAATGAGATTTTCCTTTTAGATCCAGGCTTGCAAATATTTTTGCTTAATGAGCTGTTAATTCAGACCAGTATTCACCTGTGATGTAAAATATCACTGTGGTTCTTTCCAACCTGGTTTACATTCTATTATACTTTAAGATACTTCTCTCTCTCGTGTATAGTCTGGAGTTATTTCTGCTCAGGGCTCCTGTCTTTGCTCACAGAGTACCTTTAATGGAATCACAGTATTTTTCCCTTAGCTTAATAGCACAGCTTTCCTGAGTGCATAGAAACATACAATCTGTTTGTGCAATATATTGGATTGCATGGAACTTTTCATCAGTCAGAACAGTAAAGGAGCAATATCTCAATGGATAGGGTGAGCCAAGCCAGTTCTGTCCAAGTGCAAATTATCATGCTTATTTTTAAAATTATTTGTTATTAAATATATTCAGTAGTTGATGCATTGTTTAGCTTCACAAGACAAAACAGTCAAAGGAGGCCTGAAAAACAGTTTGTGTGCTTGGACATGCTAGTTGCTAGTGGGACATTTGTACTTTGAATGAGCGCTCTGGACAGTGAAGACTTTACATTTGCATTACTGAGCAATTTGCGGAAGGGGGCTTTTGGAGACGGGAAATCAACCTCAGGTTCCAAGGAGGTGGGAGAGCTGCTTTGACATCAGTAGGAGATGAGTTGCACCCAAATACTTGGATTTGGGCACTGATGGAGAGAGCCTCTCCAAAGGTGGTAGTCCCCATGAATCCTCTCTGAGCATAGGACATTGGAAGAGCCCAACTTCTGGTTTAGACTAAAGGCCTATGTAGTTCAGCATCATGTTCTCACAGCAGCCAACCAGATGCCTCAATATGTAGTGGAAGAAGGATCTGAGTATAAGACCCCCCCCCACTCTTGGTCCCCCCATTTTGCCTCTGGAACTGGAGGCACTACATAGCCATCACAACGAATGTGGCCTATTTTGGAGGTAGGATTCCTGGCTCCAGGCTCTTACTAATAAAATGACTTAAAAGGTGAGTGTTGAGAGTTGTGAAGCAATTTTTGATTGCATGATCATTCACAGCTGAAGTTTTCTTTTGCATGATGGGAAAGAGGAAGCAAAGGACTAATGTTAAGGGAAGGGTTTGGAACAGTGCATATACCAAATGCATATACCGTATTGGCCCGAATATAAGCTGCACCTGAATATAAACCGCACCTTTAAAATTCAAGGGGGGGGGGGGACAGAAAAAAAGACAATAACAGAGTATAAGCCACTCCCTTAAAATTCCGCAGGCAGTCACTCCTATTCTGTTTCACCGTATGTCTGTTTCAGCAGCAATATCGTAAAAGCCAATTTTTGTACGGTCACGAATTTAAGCCGCATTTTAACTTTTCACAGTCGAAATTTTTTTTGGGGGGGCAGGGAAGTGTGGCTTATATTCAGGCTATTGTGGTAATGTTGCTGTATTTTACGTAACAATCCTGATTATGGCATGTCTCTGTGTTGGTCAGATGGGGCCACATTCTGCCACGGAAGTAGCTGTCTGTGGCCAAAGCTGAGCTCAGTAATAACACACTGCTTCTTTCCAGTAATTTTTGCTAAGCAAGTTTGGGAAGTGATTTTAGGTCAGAAAATGATAATCAGGAATTTTCTCTTGGTTTAAAAACAGAATTGCAGTGAAAAATAAATAACCCTATGAAGGACAACCTTGGCATAGCTGTCAACTTTTCCCTTTTCTTGCGAGGAATCCTATTCGGAATAAGGGAATTTCCCTTAAAGAAAGGGAAACGTTGACAGCTATGAACCTTGGTTGGGATGTTCAGTGATATGTAGCATAAAGATGGTACGACAGGTTGTGTGGGGTGGTTTTTAAAGGTTCACAGTTTGGTCCCTGGCAGTGATAACTGACAGCAAAATTGGCACTTGCTCTGGCAGTAAATTGTTGGGTGTCACTTGAGCAGGTAATAGTAGCAATTGGGTAGCGAGAGTTCCGTGGAGCGGGCAGGTATCTGAGCCCCTCTGTCTATGCACATTCCTGTTTTACTATGATCTGGGAAACAGGCTAGGATTTGGGGGTCAGTCTTGCCTTGCCTTGCCACTGATGGAGGCTGCAAGTGGACACTAGTGGTGGATAAATAAAAACCAGAGAACGAGGAGAGTGTGCATATTGGACATCAAAGGTGACCATAAATATGAAAGAAACCAGAGATAAAAAGGATTGTACAGCCAAATCAGTCCATGGAGACATTGCATATTTATGGAGAGGTCTGTCGGAATAAGGGGCATTTACAAATGGGTTCAGGAGGATAATGTGTATTGAAATATGAGTCCAGGGGGATGGTATGCATTCAAAAACCTATCTACTGTATATAGCATAATAATCCCTGTATTTCATAAACTCATAGGAAAGTATTAAATAAAAATAAATTTCAAATGTCTGTGGCCTCATTGCAAATCATTTTGGAGAAGGGATGAGAAATGTGGAAACCATTTTGCGTTAAACAATGCCAGAAAACAAAATTATAATTGTATAAAAAGCAAATGTCAACTCCAGTTATTGCAGCGGCTGTGTTGTTTCCAATAACAATTTGGCATTTTATTTAGTCTGCAGCAATCTACAATTTAAATGTAAAATAAAGATTTTTCTTTTATTTCCCTCTGAGGTTGAGTGCCAAGCAAAGCAAAAGAGAGCAGGACATCTGTAGATGATTAAAACAGGCCCCGAATACAAAGTAAACATGGATTTTATCCATAGTCAACAGCATTTACAAATGTAAAGGGAGGAAGCTACCGAGTTTTTGAAGAATGAGCTGCTAGAGAGGAAATATAAGTATGGAGCAGGCAGCAGATGGCGATAATTAGTTCCATCTTGTGGAAGGCTTCGATTAAAAAGCAGGAGGGCAGGGGTGGGAGCCTGGGGTTTGGTGCTGTTTCATTAAGACAGCCCTTGTGGGCTCCCAGGCCAGCAGCCCTTCCTAAGGGCACCCCTGGGAGTGAACCAGTGTGTGTGCAGGGGGTGGCAGATTTCATCTGGATATGGTAAGGTGTGTGGCACAGAAGCCTGCCCTCCAAGGGAAGAGAGGATGGGCCTGGTTGCTGGACCCCCTCTCACACCAAGAGAACTGAAAAGCCCAAAGCCTCTTAGGCTTTTCTTTCGTGTGAAGACACCACACCAGCCATTGGCCTCTTGGGCTCTGCAAAACTGTCCTTATTTTGCAGGAGACATTCAGTCACATTCTGGAAGTTTAGATCTGCACACTTCTAGTACAGTGGTACCTCTGGTTAAGAACTTAATTTGTTCCGGAGGCCCATTCTTAACCTGAAATTGTTCTTAACCTGAAGCACCACTTTATCTAATGGGGCCTCCCGCTGCCGCCGCACCGCAGCCACACGATTTCTGTTCTTATCCTGAAGCAAAGTTCTTAACCCAAGGTACTATTTCTGGGTTAGCGGAATCTGTAACCTGAAGCATATGTAACCTGAAGCGTCTGTAACCCAAGGTACCACTGTAGATTGAAGTGCACAACAGATCCCCCCTCCTTTTTTTGTGGTTAGGAAAGTTGCAGGAGAAATGTACTGAGATTTGTGGGATGAATGAATGGAACAACTCTTGGGTTGGGGCAACTGGCTAAAATGTTTTAAAAGGTTCTAATTTTGGTTCCTCTGTTTTGTTTTTGTTGGGTTGGTGGTTAAATGTTTAGTTGGGGTTGGCGGTTATTTCAATTTGGGTATAACTGTAAACTTTTTATTCTTATTGTTGTTGCTGTTGTCGTTATTATTGATTTCTAATGATTTCTTGGTTTGTTTGTTGCTTGTATAGGGTACTTTGTTTTTTAATGTTTGATGTTTTGTTGTGCTTTTATATATGTTGTAAACCGCCCAGAGCAGCTGGGGAAACCCAGCCAGATGGGCGGGATATATATATATATATTTTAAAAAATCACAGAAGGAGGTGTAAAAACTCTTCAAGTGCATCAGGATGAATGCAATAATATCTTCGTTGTATAACCACCCCATAAACATATCAGAAGAAATGTTCAAACCATTACGTCAGCTTTGCGCCACCAAATCAGGATGAATGCTGAAGAAACAGGCTGTCCAGAAGAGCCTGTTCTCTGTGGCATTGCAGAAGTTCTGCCCGCATCTTCAGTGGTAAAAGTTTGGTGCTGTTGTTTCAGTGCAGTGAAGTCCGAGGCCTTTGGTGGGTCAACAGAGTGCTGCAGTAGAAGCCAGCTTTGTGCTCATCTCCTTCAAAAGTGATTTGTACTGTGGAAGGCTTGGGAGCGTCTGCGAATCCATTAGCCAGTAATTTGCTCTAAGTCTCCTCCTCTCCTGTGGTGTCTTAGAGACTGAAACTCTTTGAGTGTGGCCTGAACTTCCATAGCCAAGAGCATCAGATGCAGAAATAACATTGTTTATTTTTATGACAGATTTTTTTAAAAATCTGATTCTGCATCTGGATTTTGAAACAGGATATTTGTATGTGAAAAAAAAGGAGAAGAAACTCATTAAAACAGGGCATTACAATGTAGTATTATTATTATTAGAACAGCAAATGTGCTTGGAGAGAGATGGAATGTGGGAAATGAGAGAACTTCTAACTAATTTGGGACTCAGAGGCGTTTGGCTTGTGGCCTTGGAAAAAACAGTCCCACAGCTGTTAAAAGAGAGAAGGCACAATTTAGGGGATGAGGCTCCAGCAAGAAGGTCTGCTGAGGTGAAGAGCCTCTCTTGCCTGTGCCGGCAGCTGCTGCTGCTTTGTGGCTCTTCCAAAAACTTCAGGCTCTGGCAGGCTGAGGCCGCTTGCTCTGGCTGGTGGTGTCTGTACCAGCTCTGCCATTAAGTGCCTCTGGAATTCAAACAAGGAGTCAGCGTCTCCTCCTGGCCCAATTTCCCCTCTTTACATTTTGGAATCAAAGCATCTGGCAACCCTGTCAAATATACCTGTACGCACTTTGCAGTTCATTTGGGCCACATTCTAACAATTCTCACCATCTCCAGTGTGGTTTAAGAGTCAATCCCTCTCCACAGGGAACTCTGGGAATTGTAGCTCTGTGAGGGGGAAAAGGGGTCTCTCACAGCACTCAGTACCCTTAAGAAACTACAACTCCCATAATTCTTTGGGGGAAGCCAGAACTGTTTAAAGTGGAATTGTGGTGCTTTAAATGTATGGTGTGGATGCGGCCTTCATTTGCTTACATTTCAGTGCTCCTGAATTGCAAAGCCTCCATCTACCCCCAGGTGTTGAAGATATCAAGACTCTGTTGATGTATGAAAAGCAAGATAACCTGTTAATCAGTTAGCTGTTGTTCTAACCTAAAACTATGGAGAATGAAGCAGGATTAAAGCCCATGCATGTAAACCTATAAACCCCCTCATTCCCCACCTCCTGATACTGCACTGAATCAGGCTAGTGAGAGTTGGATTTGCAAAGCCAGAGAGAGAGAGAGAGAGACTTGCAGAGCAGCAGCTGTTGAGAAGTCTTCCTGACATATGGATTTTACACATCAGGCTGTTGTATGACACTCACCAAAGCAATCTATGTAAGTGAAAGCTAAATTATTTCCAAAGAGAATATTGGCATTTCAGATCAGCATCTTTCCCCTGGGCCCAGCAGGTACTCATTATTAGCTAATTAATTTATTGTCCAAAGCCTGCGCAGGTCTCAAACTAAGGAGACACCAGCGAACGCTGCTGCACATTGGTCCAGCAGGAGATTATGAAGGCTGTTTGGTTTCTTGCCTCACGCTATCCAACTGTGGGGTGTGGAAGAACAAGTTAGATGTGTGCTGCTTTGTTGCAGGTAAAGGCATAGAAGCCCATGGATCTGATTAATATGGGTGGGTGTGTCATTATTGCCCCCCTCACTAGAACGACTGCCTTTGTCTTCTCTAGATTAGTTAGGTTAGACCTAGAAACTTTTCTTTTGTTATAAGACGTGTTACGTACTTCCTACAATAAACTACTTTGATATTTTTCTAACTCTACAAGCATCTCTGTGTGTGTGATTGAAACAGGTGAAGTCTACCCTCTACCCAGACTCACAATCCTTGTGCTGCACATTTTATGTACCAAAGGGTGTCAATAAGTAACTGGACCCAGTTTCCAGTAGCAAAACTGCTTAGAATGGGTTGTGAAAACATATAATGGGACAAAGCTGAAGAATAAAATATTTAATCCCAAGCCTTGACCAAGGAAGTGAGCTCAGTTATGAAGGTGTCTGGCTGGAAGCCATTTTCTTCCAGGAGAGCCGTAGGAGGGCATTGCAGAAGCAAGATCTAATCTGGGTCATAGTGAACTTGCCTTGTGCTGGTGGCCTTTCCTCTGAGGACGAGCTGCAGCCATAGACTGACAGCCAGAGAGCTTGCACAGGGGGCTTGTCTCATGAATTTGCATTTGACCCACACTCATTTTAACACTCACATCAGCTTCTCTTCCTTGCAGCTTTTCACCTTCATGCCTTTTTAATGTGTAGGGGTCTTAAATATTTTGTATTTCACATTCCCTCTCTGTAGCTTGGCAGAACACTCTGTCTGGAATAGCAGAGTTAACAACTTCCTCTTCTGCACTGATGGAGGATTCTGATCTCCCTTCCCTGCCTCCAAAGAGGAATGTTTTTGTGAATCTCAGGCACAGATGCTGTCCAGCGCTACCCCCACCATGCCCCCCCACCCCCAACCCAATGCAGTCAAAGTATTTGCAGGAAAGTGTCTGCAGGAGCAAACATGCCTGGCAGCTGGGAAAACAGAGGCTGACTTGCAAGGAAGTTTCTGTTTGACTTGATCTGTCATAAACAATGAGAATGCAAAAGTAAATCTCCACATCTGGCAGCCTGAATGGGGGATCCGGCGGCGTGCGATGTCTGGTGTGCATGAAGCCCAGTCTTCCTTAGCCATTGGGATTGCCCTGGTGGCGCTCTGATATTAAAAGAGGCTTTCCTTTGATTGCTAGCCAGCTCCGGAGTCTTGCCCTCTTCCTTGCCCCCTCCAGGTAAATGACTTTACCATCCTGAAAGGCTCCTGCAGCTTTGTGGCAATGGGAGCCTCCTTGTGCCTATAAATGCAAAAACCGCCCCCCGCCCAGGTGGAGAATGTTGGGAAATATTCCCAGCTGCCCCAAAGCCGTGGCCAGCATGTGCAGCCTATTACGTTTGTTGTTTTAAGATATCTTTATAATAAACAGAGAGAGATTCTCAGTAGCAGCAGCAGCAGGGTGTAATTGGAGCCAGGGACTGGCTATGAGCATGCACTTGTATACCCGGCAAGCACATGATGGCTGCACATTTCCCTGGGACTCACCTGTGAATGGAGGGTGATCTCTGACTCTTTGGTCAGGGGAGGGGGCTGACCTCTTGTCTTCTGCAACAGAGGCTAGAATCTGCCTCTCCTCCCCATCTGGATTGATTATTGTGTGGTGTCCAGCCAGCAGCAGGCATGCTGTGGGTTTGGGCCTCGCTGCTATGCACTTGTACATAAACAGGTACAGTATTACAAAAGCTAGAAAACGCAGGCCCTATAGTAGCATCGGCCAAACCTCTCAGGGAAGAGTGAAATAGCATCTTCTAGATGTCTCCATACAGCCAAGCAATTTCTGGGGCCAATGCCAGACAAAGGGGTCTCAAAGTTCAGTGGAGCCCTTTACAGCACCAAAACTCAGCACCCTTTTCACACTCCATTCTAAATAACAGTTGTGGCGTCCCCTGTGGTTGTGCTCCCCTAAATCCACCTCTGCTGGGGCTTCAGTGCTCTGAAGTCAGTTTGGGCCTTGGTATTAAATCCTGAATTTCTGCACCTGCCACTGTAGCATGAAAACCCATTTCAGACATCAGCTTTAGAAAGATCCATGAGCACGTGCAGAAAGCTTTTGCCTTTCAAGTCAGGGATGTGCTGTTCCACAATTCTCCTTGCAGTAGGGTTTGGAGAATAGCCTGAGAGATTAGGTCTTTGATGTTTAGCCCACAAACTACTGCAGCAGGGCCACTGAAGGATATTACTCATGTACCATGTACCAGAAATGGGCTTCTTTGAGATTTTGGAAACTTTCCTTCCCTAAACACCGCTTTGCTAATCACACCCAGACCAACACTGCTTGCTTCAAGTGATAGAAATGACACCATCTCCTTCCTTCCAGCTCCAGATACCATGGGGCCTAGCCGGCTGTGCCCTGTTTGTTTATTTACTGAATTTATATCCTGCCCTTCCTCCCAAAGGAGACCAGGGCAGCAAACTGATGTGCCATTTAAAACAAAAATAAATATTCTGGAACAGATTAAAACATTCTAAACATGATTACAATTAGAAACATCTAAAATCAGTTACAGTTAAAAAACAAAAAGCAGTGAAAAACATTCTTCCATCCAATGATACTGTTGTTGATAGCTTACAACTTTGCAGTTGGTCACTGCCTCCTCATACATGACAGGATTTCAGCTGCCTCAGTGCTTAAATTGCAGGGTGGCTGAGTGGGTATAATTTGACTAAAGTGTATGTAGGAAGTAGGGGGTGAGTCTTGTGGTCTTAATAAAAGGCCTCCTGCTTTTTTACCCCTTCATTTGAGTTGCCTCTCAGTGGAAATTCTTGGGCGTCTTTCTGACTGTTTCCTGACTGAGGCACATTTTGGGATTCCCACCTTACCATTCACTTTTCCCTACTACTGCTACTACTTCCTAGGACAGAGACACAGACAGAAGCTGCTTTGCTCATATGGTTTAGGCTCCATTATGCATTCCCTTCTTCCCCCCATATATTTATGTTCTGCCCCCCCCCCGGCTGCTGTCCAATGAATCCCTTGTTCTCCAGCAGCTTGGCAGGGGGATTATTGTGGGTGGGACACAACTGCTGCTGTCTCAGGATGCTCAGGATTGCCTGACTGGGCAATCTCTCCAGTGAGGTCTGTGTGGTGGAAACAGAAAGTACCCAGGGGATAGGAATCGAGGTTTGGAAGAAAGGTGGAAGAAGAAAGGCCTCTTGCCAGGTCATACTGCTGTGAGGTGGGTGTGGGTGTCCTGCTAACACTCAATGCCTGCCCATGATTGGTTCACACATAACTTTGGTCCACATGAACAGCACCTACTGGATTGTGCTTCCATGAATGACATACGTTATGGAGTGTACGAATTAGCCCCAAAGCTTAAAACACTTGAGGGGGCTTCTGTGACCCTTTAATGCTTTTAAACTTTTCTTTCAGACATGGGGAACTGCCTTTGATTACCTCGGACTGGTTTTCTTAGCGGAGGCCAGTGACTCTCCCAGTTATTGTGTTTGAATATTGCCATTCACATTGGGATCTTAGAGTGAAGGGTGGGGGATTAATAACAAGAACAACTCCCATCAATCTTAGGCAGCGTGGCCAGTCATCAGGGATGATGAGAGTTGTAGTCCAGGAGGTCTGGAGGGCATTTGGTTGGAAGACTGCGCTAGGGCCTCCACTAATTGGCAGTAGCTCTCCGGAGGGTCTTTCCCATCAACAGTTGTCTGATCTTCAGCAGTGGCACCTTCCCGTTTGGCATTTATGAACTATAGTGATGTAGTTCATTGCATTCCGCAGAGTCATTTTTAACATTCAGCAGAGTAGTCTTCAGATATTGGGCTACAACTCCCATTATCCTCTGTCCAAGATGGCTTTATGATGCTGAGGATGATGGGAACTGTACTCCAAAGCATCCAGAAGGCATCAGGTTGTGGAGTCTGCTGCAGAGTATAGGATGGCACTGTCCGCCATATTCTTTTTGTTCCTGTGGTCTTCTTCCACTCACAGCTTCAACAGAGTGGTTCTGGGATGGCCAGACATGGTGAGGAGGACATGCTGTTGTTTCTGCTCTTGCTGACTTTCTAGTTTCCAGTAACGGTGCTCAGGATTAATATTCCATAAAGCAGGCCTGATGTCAAAAAGCGAAGCACACACACACCCTTCATGACACAGTCATGATTAAATTCTTTTCCTGTGCTCCAGGATGGGCACTTTGATCTAAAGTCCTGCCATTTTTCTGGCGGGGACTTGCGTGCTTTGCGATAATGCGCAGCACTCTTTCCCTTATTCCTGTAGGGAACATAAACCCCACATTAGTTCCATATTAGTACCTGACTTGGAGATGTTAAAAAGCGCCAGAAAAAGGTTAACTAGAGTCAAGTACACATAAGAGAGCCGTGCTTATTAGTGTTTTGGGAGCCGTTTGGAAAAAAAGCATTTTGTGCTTTTTACAGAATAATTTATTGGTGTCTCTGCTTCTGCCTGCATTTTGCATTTTAATAAAGCCGCAGCAGCTGTGCAAAGGTGTGGTCAGCAGTTGTGGTTGCGCCCAAGGCATAAGGATGCCCACCTGGCGATGCCACTGCACCCTCCCCTTCCAGCCATTTCCAGCTCCACAAACTTGGTGGCTACAGCAAGACCAAAGAGAGAGGCCTGGTCTGGAGAAGCAGCAGCACCTTCTTCAAAGTGGTGACATTGGGCCCAGCCTGCCTCGGTATCCCCTCTAGGGCCAATTTAATTCAAAGTAACCTAAAGAGAAGTGGACATTGTCAGCAAGCTTTTGGACAAATCCATCACCTTTCTGTGCTAGGAATCTCTCAGCACATTCAGACTTCCGTGGGTTCAGCAGGCAGCCACAGCCAACAGCCCCCACCCCAACATACGCTCAGACTTGCCACCTTTCATTCAACTCAGGCACCTAGATAGCTGCGTGTTACATCACTTGGATTTCATCCCATTAGGTGACTTGGAAATGAAAGATATTTGGGCAGTGTGCCATCCATGCTTGCAAATGGGAGCATGACTAGCCTAGTAGTGTAGCTGGCATCTCAGCTGCCAGCCTTGTGGCCCCATGCTGCATGCAACTGTTCTGTCTTTTGAGCATTTGCTTTCAAAATGTATATGGACACCTTATGAATCCCCAGGTTTTTTGACTTAACTGAGATGCTTTATTATCGCTAGGTGTTTAATTATTTTGGACGCAAAATGTGTGCTGAGTAAAAACTGAAAGGAGTGGCTTTCTTTTCTTACCTGCATGGTTCGGGGTGAGGGAGAGGAGGGAATACTGTACAAAGACATGGCTCACCTGGGTGCTGTGCAAAGCTGAGTGGAATTGTTTTCTCCCCGGACTGCTGCAGAAACTGGTTCCTGGCCAAACAGCGCCTTGCATCTGCAACAGGAATCTTCTCCTGAATAGCCCGTTTAGCTACCCATGTCAGAAGCTGTTGCAAAGCAGAACTTTGGCACCAAACTCAAAATTCTGAACAAAAGGAAATGCTAATTTATTTCTACACATGATACATTTATGCCCATACATGATAATTGGTATCTGACCTATTATGGATAATGTAAGCCAATACAGTAGATTTCAGTAGGCCTGCTCTGGGTATAAGTCAGTATCCAATTACCAATATTTTAAAAGGAGATGTGACTTTGCTGCCTGGTCCCTGGCTTTGGTTCCTCTGCTACACTTTCCTTGGTTGAGCTGAAACTCCCTTTGGGGTCTTCTTGCCTTGAGTGAGTCAGGGGTATCATCCAGGGAGACTTTCAGCTGCGTGTTGGGGCAGTTTCTGGTGAGTGAAAAGATAATATTGCTTTAGCATCTGGAGAAACAGGAGTTAAAGCAAAGTTGTTCTTTTGCTCTTGTTTCTTTTTGAACTCTGCTTGCCTTACGAATCACACTGAGGTTAAAGCGTGCAATGGATTTATTAAACCAACACAACTGAGCACACCCCGAAGGCTCTGATCCACTGATGACACAGATGGCTTTGCATGGAGATTGCAAACATTCCTCTGGAATGAGGACATAACCACCAAAATCCACTTTGTGCAGGAATAACTCATTTTAATTCCTTTATAATGAAGCTGACAGAGGAATCTGCTCAGCTGGGGAGCATGCCAGGAAAGTGCCCCTGCTTCTGAGAAAGAAGTCCTGTGGCCCCTGGCCAGCTTCTTGGCAAATTCTGGATCCAGTTATTCATGATGGTGATCTAGAAAAAGGTGCCGGTCCAAATGTTAGCTCGACCAAGGGCACACTGGGTGGTTTTGATGTAGAGTTTAAGAGTATGGTGCAGAAAGGCATCTTTTTCACACAGAGCGCAGGCCATTTGCCTCATTATTATCTCTGGTCAAACAGGCGTTGTAGGATTTTAAAACACTATAAAACCCACAAAGCCCGGTTGGACCAGATACTCTGCCCATCTTCCATATTTTAGATTGCTGTTGTTCATTTAATTAGCGCAATGTTTTGTTTTTTACAATGTACTTTTGATTTTTGTATTTTCTTAATGTTTTGAAGCTGCTGTAAGGGTACAAATGACAAATTGACTGATTGAGTAATGAGGGCTGAAGAGGATGCAAACAAGTGTGCCAACCTTGTGTGATGACTCTCACAGCCCACTTGCAACACTGTGACCAAAATATCCTCTGTGCCTGCCCAGCCTTTGAGTCTTCATGCTACCTGAATGACTTGAAAATATTTCTACCTGTGTGCATTTGGGTTAGTGCTCTTTCTTGGCCTGTCTTTTGTTAAAGCACTCTCCCTACTCCTACCCTAAGCAAATGTTAACATTGAGGGCTCTCCAGGATGAAGGTGAAAGAATTCCCCCCTTTTCTTTTTTCTTCACCCCACTAGACATTGTTTTGACTTTAAGCAATGACTGTTGGGTTGCTGAAGGGTTTCCTCATTTTTTGCATGTAGTTATTGTGTAAAGTCAGGGGTTGTGGGAGGAGCGGAGGATCCTTAAGAAAGAACAGAAAGAAGTTGCTAATAATTCTTTTTTAGGATCCATCTCCCGCCCTGGGTATGGCATATGCCCTTGCTGAAAGGCAAGGCTGTCTGAAGGAATCAATGCTTCAGTCCGCACAAATGGCCAAAAAGAGTTGAGCTCCAGTGTCAGCAGGTGGGATCACCCCTCACTTCTGCCTTAGGTAACCCTATAAAGGGTTGGCAGCTGCCCCAGCAGTTGTGAACCTGCTTTCCACAGTTGTGTTCATCAGTGTGCATAAGTAGCATGACTAGGGAGAGGTCAGGATAGCAGCTCAGGAGCTGGCCAGGAAATACTGAACATAACATACAAGTCTCTCTCTCTCCCCCCCAATTCTTTCTATTGTGTATTCATGATTATTTGTGTCTATGATGTGATGAACCTGAAATGGGATGACTCTCACTCGGTCCTTTGCTGATTGTGCAGCGCAGGGGAAACCATCTTTCAGGCATTATTGGCATCTAAATTCCCTGGCATCTGATGCTGAAATCAGTACATGATCCAATCTAACGTTAAAGCATGGTTTGTCAACTTTATTTTCTGGGGTTGTGGCCTGAGAGTGTAAAATTGGAATTATTTTTTTATTTACCTGTAATTTGAGATGTTATTGAAAACTGGACAGCTAATTTACCGGTATTTTCTGGATATGTTGCCTTATGTAGGAAAAGTGATCACACCTCAGCTCTTCCTTACCCACATTTTTCTTTTTCTTTCTTTAGATAGATAGATTCGAACTTACAAAATGGGAACACTGACTCTGCATGGCCAGTCCTGGGGCAAGGAATTGTCCCTCCCTCGCCCCCCCCCCCACTTATGCATATTGTTCAGGGGTTATTTATAATAGACAATGTGAGGGGGGGGGAGATTGTTTTGTGAAATGAATTGGAAGATGGCATAATTAGACGCTGGACATTTGTATTCTCACATTATCACTCCGTAGCTGCAAAACTGGAAGTAATTTATTTCATCCTGGTAATGCGCCTTCTTTCTGGTCCAACAATTTATCAGAAATGTTAATCCAGCGGGCAGTAAGTATGAAGTGGGGTAGGGTGTGCAAGACAGAGAGAGAGAGAGAGAGAGAGAGAAGGGATTTAAAATTAGCTTGGAAATATTGCACAACTCATTAAAAATGTAATCATGCGTAAAATGAGATCAATGAAAATTTATCTAAAAGTGCAAAGAGAAGGCATTTTCTAGTATGATCCTGGATTTAATAGACTGGATTTTAATTTAGTCGGTTTGCAACCAAAATCCCTCCAGGCTAAATAAAACAGCTTCCCCTCCCAGTTATTGTACAGACAGCTAATTTTCTGCACCCTTCCTTCTAATATTCAATCTTATCTCTCACTGGATAGAGGTTTCAATATATTGCAAAATTTGTTTTCTTTACATTTTCCATTACAGCTTTTCATTTGCATGATAAATGATCAGAGGTAGAAGCAGGATAAAACCAAGCCAAGCTCTTCTTTTATTAATTTGGGCAGAATAAAGGTAACTTCTCAACCCCGCCCCCCACTTCCCTGCCTTGGAACGAAATCATGTTCATATATGGAAATTATTAGGCGCTATATGTCACTTGCTGTGCTCTTACAACAGACGGGCTTTGCCTACTGACTGAGCATGAGGTGCTGATTCCCCTTTAGAGCTTTAAAAGGGTGATATTATTTTACTTTCCACTCCCTGCATTCAAAGAATTACTAAGGAGTCGGCTATCATTTGCCTTAAAAGCGAGTATCAGAGTTGTCCCAGCATTTATGGTATTCAGAATTGATTTCATTTATTCTTCTGTAAAAATTTATATGCTGTATTTTACCATAATTCAACCGCAGACTGAGTCACAACATATAAAACTATGCAAAAACAACCACAAAGTATTTGAAACATCTAAGATTCACAATCCATTTTTGCATGCAACATCCCTTCATCTGTCATCCCGCTCAGTACATAAGCCAATGCTGAAGATTCAGAAGTCAGACTGTTTTCACCTGGTGCCAAAAACTAACCTCGGGGGGGAAGAGAATTCCACAGCTGGGTGCCATCACTGAGAAGACCCTATTATGAGCCCAGGCTTCTTTGGAGGGCAACGGTACTACTACCAAAAAGGGCCTCTTTGGCAGATCTCAAATCATGCATAGGTTGGTGCAGGGAAAGGTATTCCGTCATATGGCTGTCTCTTAAGCTGTCTAGGGCTTTATATGTCAGAACTGACACCTCAGATTCAGAAGTTGCTCCTAGGTGGTGCAGAGCCACCACAGGACCTTCTTGGTTGCTTACAGGGAGAGGTGGGGGGAAGGGCAAGGTGGTGGGATGGTTGGAATGGTGCAGGTGTCTTGGTGGAGCATTTCATCATCATCATCATCATCATCATCATCATCAAACCTTTATTGGCATCACATACAAACATTCAGAATAAATAGGCCAGGGAGATCTCGTCGCCATTTCAACAGTACAGTCATTTGCCAAAGGGAAGAAGAGGCGAGTAATCTATTTCACCTCTGTGGGTCTCCAGCAAGGGCAGGATCCTGTAGTGTACTTCGGCGACAAAAAATCAAATAGAGGAACTTAGCTACTGTCTTGGTGAGCTCCTGGTCTCTCCCCTGTAATAAGAAGCGTGTAACCTCTGTCTCTGGTTTCCATGTTGGAATACATAGATGGTCTAGAAATGGTTGGCGGAGATCATCATACATTTTACATTTAAGGGCCATGTGAGCTAGAGTTTGGTGGAGCATTTGCACCACACCAACCTTCCTGTCACATCTCCCCTCCTAGTGAGCACAGGCCAACTAACTAGCATAGGGGCTCCACCCTGATTGGCCTGTGCCTTCTGAATGAATTCAAATCAGTAGCAGATAGACAGCTCATCGCCACACACCCCAGCCCCCTGGCAGATCCAAACCATTCATTTAAAGCACATGACTTCCCCCAAAGAATCCTGGGAGCTGCTGCTTCCCCCTCACAGTTACAATTCCCAGTATCCATACCAAACTACAATTCCCAGGATTCTTTAGGGGAAGGGGATGTCATGTGCTTTTGATGTATGGTGTGACTCTGCCCCCACCGCACTCTTGAAACTGTATTACGGCTGGTTTCTATGGGACCCTGTCTTCACCAACACCCCCATTGTTGGGGCAGTCAGTGCAGGATGAGGCCTTGAGCAGGAAGAACGGTCAAGGGTAGAGCAGCCAAGTTGTTGTTGTTGTCCGTACTTTGCCTGTGCATGGTAAGTGCCTGGCTTTCTCCCCCCACCCCCCAGGGCCAAGACCCCCAAGCCATGCAAGGAAAGTGATACAGGCCCACTGCGGCTGACCCTCGCCCACCTGCCAGACCTGCTGCTGCTCCTGGAAGGACCCAAGGTCCTCCTCCCAGGGAATCTGATCCATGGGAAAATCCTAAGCTCCTTGAAGTCCATGCTGCTCTTTGGCTGGGGAGCAAGCCGGCCTCTCGGTTTCAGCTCCTTCTCTTTCTGCATATTTCTGATTCTCCTTATAAATTATGTAAGCTGCTGTGTTCAAATGAAAACAGATACGGAGAAGGAATTAGGAAGCATAGCTGGATGTTGACGAAGAACACATCTAAGAAGGTGAAAGATTTTGTCCGTCAACTGGAACCAGCCCTCGTGTGGAGAGACAGCCACTCGTTGGGCCGCGAGCCTCCCTTGCAGGAAACAGCTGCTTGCTGAGGGGCCAAGAACAAAGGCTCTTTATCTGGACCCATGGCTTCAAAATGGCTCTGGAAACAACACAAAATCTGTCTGCCACCACCAGCTCTGGCTGCGGCAAAATTGGAAGCAAACACATTTCTTGGTACCCCAGTCAGACTGGTTCAAGAGTGGCAAAAGGTAGGATTCTCACCAACCTACACACCTTTCAGTGCATGGTTATGTGTGAAATAGGGATCCAAAAGCATGCAGATAAATGTGTATACTGTTAGTTCCCGGGTCAAAGAGAAGTACCTGAAAAGGGACATTATTTTCTGAAGGAGCGAGTGGGAAGAGGAAGTCCGTGTGGGCCTGGAAGCCAAGGAGTAAGCCTGCCTCCCTGTCTGCTGCACTTAAATAAAGTGTTTCCAGACTGAGTTTACCTGAAGTTCCCGGAGTCTGTTTTTAAGAAAGGCAGCCCTGCTGGGCAAGGAAACATGGCGGCAGCTCAGTGGATTCCTGACACCCACAGCTCTGGAGAAAGTAAAGTAAAAGTATAATAGCCAAAGAACTCGGGATTGTTCCTGTCTGAGAGAGGACGTCCGTTGTCTGTAGTTGAGGAAAATAGCAGCAACTTATTTTTACTGTTCAGTCTCCAGAGCCATTTACCTTTGCAGCCCCAGAGAAGTGGCCTAGATCAGGTTGGGCAACTATAGTTGATTGGGAGGTCTTGCACAACAAACTCACTTCTTCCCTCAAAAATCAGACTTTTTGCAATAAGGAAAGTATCAGAAAAGTTGGCTGTTGTCCTGATCTAGCAGGCTGTTCTTATATTCCTATGATAGGAAAATGTACTGGGACATGTGAGGAAAACACTTGCTTGACGCAACATTACCTAACCTCCCTGCAAACAAATCAGGGTGAATACTTGCCAGGAAGCACCCTGTTCTAGTGAGTCCTGCATTGCAGGGGCTTGGACTAGATGACCCTTGGGGTCACACTAGAGTTATGTGATTCTGTGAAGAAGTTTTCAGTGGGAGACCTGTTTCTCAGCTTCCCACCTTGAAAACAGGAAGAAATAGTGTCAAACAGCCCCCTATGAATGTTGCATAAAATGATTTGCACACTGCAAAGGACTGCATGAAGAAGCAGCTGATTTGAACCGTCCTGTGCAGGTGCTGAGCTATCAAGATTGGGCTTGTGCCACAGAGCAACAGAGAGGATCTTGGTATCTAATCCGTGTTGCCAGTTCATGGTATTCCTGTAGCAGATGCTTGAAAAAAGCAACACTCTCCCCCATTAGCCTATCTCACTTCCAATCATTGCAGCAGAGAGGTGAGGAAGGTAAAGAGGAAACTTTAACTTCTGGTTTCTGATTCATCACTTTTATGGAACTTAAATTCTTTTGTTTTAATGCACACTTGATTGAGGGAGCATTTATTGAAGTGGTTTATGGTTTGTAGAAGGAGACAGCTGAAGAAAGAACAAATGAATCTAATGTAAATCAAATAGTTATAGCTTTTATGGAAGCCACAAAGCCTTAAATGTGTATTCTTAATGGTAATTTTACAAAACTCCACCAGGCAGCTTCAAATGGAGGTGACAGTTTGGAGATGGGCTTCCTTTCACATGCTAATCACCTGCTCATGGTGATATTTCTCTCCTTGGTTGCAGTCAGTGAATTGAATAATTTATGGAATGAATTTTGTTGTAAATTTATTGTGTCACAAGCAGGTTGTAATTTCACTAACAGTATACTTAAGTTATTAAGTAAAAAAATAATAATGTGGATGATAGGATAACCCATTTGCAGGGATTTTTCCAGCAAGTTCTCATCTTCTGTATATTTTCAAAACAGAGTATTTGCCTAATTTTTATTCAGAACATGATCTGGAAAAAGGGAGAGGGCATTAACATAAATGGGGTTGCATTTGCTAAATCTACGGCTGGATCTGGTAGTCGTAAACAAATTACCAAAGACTTTATATAGACAGAAATAGCATTAAACTGCAGAGCTCTGTTGTCAAGGCGCCTCGGTTTCCTATTTGCTTCTGAATAATTGTCTTCAGTGAGGAAAAGATGAAGTGTTGAAGTTGCCAGCGGAAGTGATGCAGGGGGAGGAAAGGGGGCCTAAAATGTATTGAGGGGGAAAACACGCTTGCAGGTTGCCCCTTGGGGAAATGCTCTCCTTCCGCAAGAGGAGGATAAGAGCAAGAGCTACAAGAGCATCCCTGGACCCCTCCAGATATCCTCTTCCTTAGGCATTCATGATTATCATTGTGCTCATGGTGGTATTGGAGTGGCTACATACACAATCCTGTTTTCAATCCTGTTTGTGCCTGCAAAGGTTTTGGGGAGCAGTGTGGACACACTGCCTCGTTTCCAAACTGTGCATGTCTTATAACTTCCTGCTGAAATCCTGTACCTTTTCATACAGCAAATGTTGCAGGTCTGATTGTTTTTGTCCCACTTTTGTGGCACTATAGGGTTGCCATATACTGGAGAGCAAAAAAGACGACGCTATGATGGCCATTCAAAGCCAATGAATGCAATTTGCCCCAAATATTACCCTGAAAAAGAGAGTGTGTCCTGGAAAAAGAGGGCACATGGCAACCCTAGAGGAGCGCCCCTCCAGTTGGCAGTGATGCATCAACACTGAGGAAGCATTGCAGAATAACTGGTAAACAGAATGCTGTGGGGTCAGTCCAGTATAAACCCTCCACTGTTGCATCCATGAAATTCAAAGTGCTGGCTTTAACCTGTGAAGCCTTAAATGGCCTAGGCAAGGCCTGCCTTTTACCCTGTGAACCTGACCATTCACTCTTATCTACAGGCAGGTGGTGACTAGGGACTGGGTCTTCTGTGCCTCTGAAACTCCATTTCCCTAAGATGCAGGGGCAGCGCCAATGTTAGGAAGTCACATCTGGCGTTGGATGCTGTGGGCACACAGTGGCCAGAGGCAGAGGAAGGGGGGTACGGTCGGGGCGGGTCGCCCAGGTGTCACTGAGAGGGGTGACAAAATGCCAGGTGGCATTCACCACGGGGCCTGCAGTGCGCCTGAACCATGTGTCTCTCCTGGGAGAGATGCAGTGGTTTGGGCATGTGCAGGCTCCACACTGCCCAAATGGTCCGCCTGCTGCCTCCCCCCAGCTGTAGGGCAGCTGAGTGGGAGGAGGAAGGCAGACTCCGGAGGCCCCGCGGTGTGCCCGGCCCCTATGGGTGGCTCGCTTTATCCCAGGCGCCTGAGCGGTGTCCTCCGCCGCTGACAGTGGAGCGAGGACATGGCTATGGCTGTTCCCTAAGGTAGCTGGTTGCTTTCAGATGCAGTAAAAGATGCTGCCCCATAGTGTTGAAGTGAGATTCAACTTAGTGTGGGGGGACGGGGTTATTGGGTTGTTTTTGTTCGTTTTTTATTATGCATTTTGTGTTTTCCATCTTGTATTCTTATGTTGTGAACCACCCTGACACCTACAGATGAATAGCAGAATAATAATAATAATAATAATAATAATAATAATAATATTAATATTCCTGCTTGGCAGGGGGTTGGACTCGATGGCCCTTGTGGTCTCTTCCAACTCTATGATTCTATGATTCGAATAATAATAATACTGTTGCAGAATACACTTACAAAAAACATCACCACCAACCAGTCTGGAGGGACCCACTGCTCCTCTGGGGGTCCTCAGGAGGCATGTCCTCTCTCTTTTCCACCTTCCTCTCTGTTGGGGTGTGTGGTTCAGGAGGTCTTTTGCACTGGGGCCTGGATCTCTCCCCCACTTCCCCCCTCAGTGCTGGTGACTGACTCTGAAGCTGCCCAGAGGCATCTATATGTGTGAATTAGCATATGAAAGTTTTATGTAATTTAGTGCTTGCGGCTCAAATCCTTTAAAGCAAGTTCCTCTACAGACTGCTGACTGTGGCTGCATAAGCCCTGAAGCAGGTGGATCAGGCCAGAGGATGAGCCCAGCCTGCTGTGATTCCCAGCAAACTGTATTCAGAGGAACACTCCCTCTGAACGTAGGGGCAGAACATAGCCATTGTGGCTGCTAGCGGTGGATAGGAGGGCAGAGATGGTTCACCCACAAATGCTTTATGGGTTATGGCATCCTTAAGGCTGCAGTTGCATCTGCACGTGAACCTGAAGCAATGTGAACGGTGCTGCACTCTAAAAGTGACGTGCACCCTCATGCTGCCTATGAAATTAAAAACAAAACATCAGACCCTGGCTTGAACATCTGAGGGTTGGGACCCAGCCTGCTTCTCTTATTTTTCTGAGGAGGGGAGGGTATCCCAGCTAAAACAGAGTGGGGGGTTGTGCTTATGAAACTGTGCTGGTCTGTTAGAGATGGCAGCACTGTGCTGTAGCCAAAGGCATCCAACATAGAAAGTTATCATCATTAGTGCCTTCCCCACTAGCCATCTCAGCTACGTAGGCTGGCCCTACCCTGAGGCAAAGTGAGGCAGCTGCCTCGGGTGGCAGATACTGGAGGTGGTGAATGGACAGAGCTGTGCGTGTATATACCGTGCAGCATATCCTGCATCCCCTAGCTCAGCTCAGGTACAGTGTGGGGGCACAGGGGTAGGCAACCTAAGTCCCAGGGGCCAGATGCAGCCCAATCGGCTTTTCAATCCGGCCTGCGGATGGTCCAGGAATCAGCATGTTTTTACATGAGTAGAATGTGTCCTTTTATTTAAAATGCATCTCTTATTTGTTGGGCATAGGAATTCATTAATTTTTTCCTCAAAATATAGTCTGGCCCACCACATAGTCGGAGGGAAGGTGGACCGGCCCACGGCTGAAAAAGGTTGCTGACCCCTGGATATTGAAGTAAGATTCCATGGAATGGACGGAGGCACCCTTTTGTCTTTTGCGTCAGGCAGCAAAATGTCTTGGACCAGCCTTGCATCTCAGGGAAGCCTCAAGGAGCCCCAAGGACAGTGTATTCTCAGGTGGCCACCTGCCCAGCCAATGACCAAGCTCCAAATTTCCTTAACTTGAGACGGCCAATGAGATGAAGCCTCTGCAAACATGGATATGGATATGGTGGTCTTCTCTGAAGTAGCTGGGCTGCCCCTTCACTTTCATTTTCCTGTCACTCTCATAATTTATTTATCCCAGAATGCACCATAAATCACTGATATCATTGTTTGTGTTTGTTATACCATTAGCTTTAAAAATTTATAAATCGCTGTGCAGGCAAAAACAAAAAACAAAACCCCAGAAAGATCCTAAGAATTATTACTGCAGGAAAGGAGCAGAAATCTTTACTCACTGCTGACCCATTAGCATTGCAAGTGTCTGCTGGACTCGCTGCAGGAGCAGCTGCCTGGTCAGGTGCGAAGGTGACGGATGTGGCTCAGACTGAGAGCTCTCAGCTTGCTCCTGAAAGCTGCACAATATGTGGCGTTTTCCCCCTTTGCAAAACAGGAGGAAGATGGTTCATTCATCTTTGCTGCTTGGAATCTTGCTTTTCTGTGAATCTCTGAATCCAGAATTTGGATGGTGATGGAGTGTTGTTTCTTGGGGAGGGGGGCATCAGAGCAGCCCTGGTTCAAAGGTCACAGGCAGTAGGGTGGTTTGTTCCTGCCCTGACCCTTTTGGGCCATCAAATCCAAGGCCACAGCTACTGGAAAATAGCCTTTGCCCAAAGCTGCAATCTGATCACTCTTTGCTTCTGATTCACTGGGGCAAATATGTCACACCCCCTGGCCTCCAGCTGGTGGATCCAGCCCTTAGTGGATCCAGCCCTTAGACTTTCCTCCCTGGGGAATTTCATGACTGTTTATGAAATTGTGTATTTGTTATTTACTTTTTAAGACAGGCCTTTAAGTTATAATAAGTACTCTTCATTATGAATGGAAGCTCTACTTAGACGGAAGATCAGTAGATTGTTGGTTGTAGTTTCTGAGATGGGGCAAGAACCACAATGTTGGCTTTGAACCCTCCTTCACGTTGGCTAAATCTACTCAAAGCGGAAAGCCACACGAGGGGCCCAGCTCCCGCCTGGAGCATCCTGAGTCTCCAGCACCCCAGGGGGCTTTGAAAAATGAGCAGCCATCTCTTCTTTCCATACTTTGACCCATTTGTTTTGCTATTGATCTGGCTCCTTAATGCTCCCATCTGCATGGTGATGTTTGCTGGGTCATCAGAAAGTGCCTCCGTTGTTCCAGAAATCAAAGTTAGCCTTGAGAAGGGGAGAGGGAAGGGGGGAAGATGGTATCTATTTTGAATGAAGAAATTCATTTCCTGATCCACAAATGTTTGCTACATATCATTTACCTCAAGGGATTTGCTGTGACTCACATCTGAGGAGTATTTGAAATGTAAATAGCGTGACTACTTGCTCTCTCCAAGTGCCAGAGACATATTTTTTTTAAAGTGCTGGCATTTTGCGAATGTTGCATCCGTAGCTTGCGGAATGGCAAAAGAAGTCGGTTCTTAATTGCAACAATTGCTTAGCAGTCGTACACATGCCAGGGAGCAGAAAATCAAAAGCTGCAGATTTTATTTTGGATTGCAACCCCTTTTGTCCACCTCCTGTTCACATTCATAGGTGTGCATCACCCGCCACACCAGCGGCTCTCCTAGGAGCGGACTTAGGTGCTCCAGTGCCTCTTGCATCTTGTGCCAGGTTCTCAAATTCTGCTAAGTGAAACTTGCTTTCACCTTTCTGCCCTGTGAGGTGAATGCCCCAAACCAGAGGAGCAGGAGGAGACATCTTCCATCTACTTCATAGCCTGCTGGGGGGGGGGGTGTCTTGAGGGAGATCTTGGGTGGGAGTGAAGTTCAGCTACATAGAGTAAGATGGTTGCCTGTGACCAGTAAACCATCCATGCAAATGGTGACTGTGTTGGGTGCCTCTTCTTCTCCCATCTGGATGTGTATTGCTGTGTGAATGGTGTGTGCCTGTACCCTCAGACTTCACCTGCCTATCATCTGCACATGTGGTGTCATCTGTGCAGGCAAAATGGCTGTCTCAGATGTAAACACCTCAGCATGGCTTATAACTTCAGATGGAAGCTGGTTTGAGGGAAAGTGTATCAAACAGGAGTATTTATCAAAAAAGACCAAAACCCACCCCCATGGATTCTGGTTAGCATCATGTGTACTCGGATTCAAACACAGGAGTGCTCTGGAGCCAAAGGAAAGAGTAATGTGTACACAGTCTTTTGTGACGGCTCCTTTGCAGCTGTGTCACAGTTTTGGATTTTTGCCATTCACAGCCAAGGTAGCTGGATTTCCAACTCTGTCCTGGGTTAATGCTGCCCTCCAGGCCTCTCCATTTGGCCCTCAGAACACAAGCCGGGCCACACGCCTCACTGGCCCTGCTTTGCACCCTCCTTGAGTGCTTTTACCTGACTGGAATGGTGTTTGTGACTTTTGATAGCTCTCCTGGAGGGAGGCTAGAGAGAGGTCTCTGTGTGAGTGTGTGTAGAAACTAGGCTCTTGTACAAAGGTAAGATTTACATTTGATGCTCCACCCACTTTCCCTTCTGACTCCTCCCACCCCTGGCTTATAGCTATTGGAAAGTTGCCCAGAAGCTGGAAAAAGGTTCCCCACGCCTGCCTTAAAGCATGAAACTATTTTTCCTGGAAATTTGGCAGGCTGAGAACAGAGGGGTCCCCTTTCAAGTCTCCGATGCAATCTGCTTAGGAGAGAGGCAGCCCAGTGGCTGGTGTTAACGTTCGTTAACTGCTCCCGAAATTACTAATGCTTCATGTTGCTTTAATCCATTCCGCTGTAATAGCTTTATTAGATTAAACAGCCTGTCGAGCAAGCAAGGAACAGTGGGATTATCAGGCTTCTTTCTGAAGAGCCAGCAAAGACCAAATTCAAAATAGCCACCTCAAGCCAAGCCTCTTTGCTGGTGTTCAGCTCCTTCTGAACCCCCACTCCCCAGAAAAGGTGGAGCTGCAGATAGAAACTGGGTATTCCTGTTAGTCCTCACTAGGAAAAAAAAACCCTTTCAATCAGCCTGGAGTCAACCCCTGAGGCAAGGAAAGCAGGCCCTGCCATCATAGTCAAAAGTTCTTTCCAGACCCCCCTCCCTTTTGTGTTGTGGTAATTGTATTGTGCCCACTGCAGGGGCACAGAGATGGAGACATACAAAGTGTGTGTGTGTGTAGTTTGTACTTTGAATAATATGCCCCTGGTGAGCCGGGGACCATCTTTTATCGAGTATCTCCCAGAGTGCGGAGTCTTAATGACAGATTTATTTTAACACAAATCTAATTAGCTATTTGAAGTATTTTGTCAAGACTCAAGAGGTTCCTGATGACTACGCAAGCACACGCACACGCTCTCCCTCACTCAATGGGCGGCCCTACCGGCTTCTCGTAAAAACACAGTTCCTTCACAGCATTCTCAAAACCCTCGTCTGCTGCAGCAATTTGAATTTTGTTATTAGTGGCTGCTGGAAATCCTAATTCAATAAAGGGTAATGCATTTTAAATGCATTACCCCATGCTGAGTATGCATTAGGTAATATGGGCAACTTTGGAGGCACAGAAAACCAGCTATGAATATTCAGAGCTGCACAGAAAATTGGAGCAGCTCTCAGTATCTGCAGCATCTTCTCCTTTAAATATATATTTAAATAGAGAGATGCCTTTAAAGAGGATATGGCGATCAATGCTTATGATGGACATATATGCCCCTGAATGCCAGTTGCTTCTCCTGTTTGTTGGCCTCTGGTTGGAGAGGGCAGGACTCTCCTTGTGCAGGGCTCAAAGGTGTGTTTTTCTTCTTCTTTTTAAGTCTAGCTAGGAGACCAGACAAGCATTTGTTTGCAGCCACAGTTAACGCAATGTAAATATATTTACATTTCCCCCAAGAATATAAAAATAGTAATCACGGCTAGAGATAATGAAGATGTGCTTGATCGAAGCAACAACAGCTATCTCCACATTTAAATAGAAGCCCTTGTTTACTCCAGGGCTGTCCTCTGTTGCTGATCTCCAAGAAGCTGCTGGACATCTCTTTTTCCTTTTCTCTGTTTATGGAGGTGATGTCACTGCCCTGCCAGGGGGAGAGCTGGCTTCTCCTGGCCTGAGACTTTCACTTGTTGCAATCCTTGACATAGCCCCGTGTTCAAAATGATGCTATCTCCCAACAAAATCTTGCCAGAGGCTTCTCTTTGCTCTCTCGACCTAGTTTTGTCCATCGTAGGTAGTTTGTTTTTTTGTCTTTAAATGCATTTTAAACATTTATTTTATTTCCTTTACATGCCCCATCTTTCTCTCATCTTGGAGCTCAAGGCAGAGTCTGAAGGGGAGACATTTTTATCCTAGAATCAATGGAGACTGAGTATTTGCTTTTTCTATATAGTCCACACACAATGTAGATCCATGGATGTTTTTGCCCCTCAAAAGTGATTCATGAGAAAATGGTTTCATTCTGAAAACAAAATCTCGTTGAGGATTGATTCTGCATTGCCCCACATAGTAGTGGGTCCCAGTGATGCAGAGGGGGCGGGGTGTGTGTGTCCACATTTGCACAATGAACTTGTGGGTGAGAGTATGCCAAGATTGGAAGCACCATGTATGTCCTTCTTCCTTCCCCTGGAGCTGTGCAGGGAGGAGAAAACATGGATAACCTAATCAAGTAACCATACCCACCCTTGTGGGCAGCAGGATCTGTCTTGATTGAAAGCAGCATGTTGAGGAACAAACATGAATGATTCCGAATTGATTTTTGTCCTACAAGTAGATTAGTTTGTACACAGCGTCTCCCTTTCACACATTGGCTGGATCCATATCAGCTAAGCTTTAGAAAGATGGCTAAGGGCTTATCCACACTTACCTTTCCTCTGCTCTGTCTGAGTGACCTTTTTTTGGTTTTGCTCCAGAGATTTCCCTGTGAAAACACAGAAAATGGCAGTTTGCAGAAAACCTGAACTGACATTTGTTCCTATTGAGCGGATGAGCCCCCAGTCCTTTGCCCCAAGTCCAGTCCTTTGCCCCCAGACCAATTCACTTGGTGCCCTTGCTTGGGTAGGGGCTATTTTTCTCTACCAGAGCTTGCTCCATCTTTGAACAGTCACAATGCTTCCTTCTGACCAGCCTCAGTGTCCTCTTATATACTATTGTATGTTTTACTATGTATCTTAATTATGGGCAGGTGTGATTTTTAAAATCTGGTTTAATATTTCTTATTTTGGGGTTGGCTTTTATTTGTGAACCTATTCTGTATGCCATTTTCTAGCAGTACAGTGGTTTATTATTATTATTATTTAAAAGTTTGAGCACCCTCCCATACCCAGTGAAATCAGTAAATACCTGCTGTTCCCAGATGTGCAGTTACTTGAGCTTAGAAATGTCTGCAGGCAAAGCTAGAACAAAAAGCAAAATCAAATCAATTCTAGCAAGTCCACACACCTTTACAGAATACTTTCTGCCTCCATTAAGGCTTTTGGTGTTATTGTTTTAAACTGTTATCTTATCCTAGAGTGGACCCATCATCTCTGCATTTTATTGCTCTGAACCTTTTCCCTCCCATGTTGTTCTCCTTCACTTCCACCCACAACATACACTGACCATAGTTTGTATTCTGGTAAAGTGCAGATTTTTCAGACTAGCAAATAACTCCCACTTTGCTTTAGCCCCCCAGTGCTGCTTTCTCAGCAGGTTTCCTAAAGTTAGGTTGCCCCCTGCTGCTATGGCTCCATTAGAAGATAAAGCTGGATATAAAATCTGTTTTGAAACCTGCCATTATGCACATGTAAACCCCTCCCCCCAGCACCAGCACCCCTGGAACCAAATTGTTTCAGAGCAGGTTGGAATCTAGTAATAAATAGCTCGGATGGTGCTTTGGTGTGACATGATTATTATTATTATTTTTTAAAAAGCAAGAAATGCAAATGTTAAACGATTCCTTTTGTTTTCTAGAAAAGACAATATTTATTGGAAAACACGCTTCTGAGTTCCTATTGATTGAAATGAGAGTGCTGTAAAAGGTGTCTGTGGCCTACACAGGATGCTAAGTGGAATCCTATTAAACAGATACTGTTACCCAAATTCCCTGCTATCAATTAGCCTCTTGCTGCATGAGAGATACTGAATCATTGCCGGTTCACTCAATATATGAACCTCTGGCTCAGAATAGAGGCACGATCCTTCAGGGTTCGGAATAGAGGCTCAGAATAGAGGCATGATCCTTGGTGGTTGCACAACTCCTGCAGCACATATCAGTTGAGCTTGCATAAGAATTTCACAACATGCAAGGCCCTTGACAAAGGACGGGCAATGGTCCAGCAGCCGTGCTTGGGAAGTTGGAGCTATAAATCAAGAGATTTTTTGAGATCTGGCCCCATTGTCCTGGGGTGAAGCTGAACTTTAAGCTGGGCAATGTATCGATACATCATGGTAATGGTTTCATAATATTAGACATAACGATACATCGCGAATCACAATGTGAACGTGTGCTATGTAAAAAATCGTGTTGTGGGAAAAACCATGAAGTCAGTCACCTCTCATGATTCTGCCACCTCTGTTGCTCTGTACTATAAAAGAACAGTTGTAACAATAAGTTAAAGATAAATAAAAAAGTATCAGTCTTAGTTCCTTATGCTTAAGGTTTCTGCAGTTGTATGGAATACATTTTACAACATCCTCCTGCTCCCAATTCTGCAAAAGTGCTCCTGGTGGCAGCCAAACTATGAAGCTTCTTTTGAAAACCCAGCCGCTCTGATGTTGGAATTGAAGCAGAAACACAGGTGTGTGTGGGTGACATTATGGAAATTGAGCTCTTTAGAGTTTGTACCTGCCTGTTGCCCTTGTGGGGACAGCCTTAGCAGAGCTTCCAAACTTGGGCAAGGTGTTGGAGGTGGCAGGAAGTGTTTGGTTTGGTTTTTCCCATTTGTTCCATTGTTTTACATGTGCTTCCGATTTTTTAATTCTTTTATTTTTGTTAAGCTTCTTGCATTATAGACACACCTTAAAATATTAATATAACACCTCCCAGATATATTTTTTTTCAGCTCTAAGGATACTGAAGTGAGCTTTGTGTCAGCTCAGCACAGCCAAGGGCTAATCTCCTGTCCACAGTGTTCGGCCTCTTACCTATTTTAAACTTTGTTTTGTGTTTGTGGGAGAAGTTGTCTAGCATTGCCCTCGCTCTACCCAGTAAACATTTTGCAGGCGGAAAGTTTGGTTTGCACCAGAGAACAGTTGAGCGGATGGAAATTGCTTAATCCCTTGTGCTGTGTAGCATCTGCAGCGCTCACACGGACAGAGCCAGCGTGTCAAATGATGATTCACATGATGGAAAGACTGTAGAAATATTTCTTAGTAGCATCAGAAGCAAAGGAACGTTTTCCAACCCTGCCTAATGAAGAATGGAAAATATGTTGATTTAACTCTTGAAAAATGTTCAGTAGACATGGGGGTGGGGGAAACACCCAACCTCTGTGCCATATCTAATTTCATTAGTAAGCTGTAAATGGCAAAATGATGAAGAGATAAAGTTTCAAAGGGCTGAGGACCCTCACATTTTCTGTAACATTAATCATATGCTTTTAATTTTCATGCAGCGTCACTTGGTAGTGTTCTGTCCTGCTTTCATGATTCTTAGGAACTGGTTTAAAGTATTAAGATGTAAGTGCTTCTCTTATCTCACTGAGTAAATCTGCTCTGCTGCGCAGCTGGAACAGGCAGGGTGGGGGTGAGGTGGGACAAAGGGCCCACTGGGAATGCTGGGATGCCAAAGCGCCACCATCTCGGCCGTCCTGCTCAAACGCCTGAAATTTATGGCCTCATGTGTCCAACGCTGAGTGCCTTTCTACAAAACCCCATCGCATCCCAAGCCTTGCCTTGGCCCCTCTCCTCATCCCGCCACCCGCTTAATGGGCCTTTTCTCTTCTACACTATGCAAGGGCAAAGGAAAATGAATTGTCTCTACTGAGGTAATTAAGCTCCCAGGAAACAGCCTCATTAGACTAATAAAGAGTAAATAAAGCAGTAAAGGACACACTATTCTTTCAGTTAATCAGGCAAATTCAAGGGAAATGAACTGCCCGCCCCCAGACACACTTATCCAGCTGCTCGTGAATTCCAGAGAATCTGTGCAAAAAATAAATAAATAGAAGAGCCCAGCCCAGCCCACCTCCCATCGCCCTCAAAGTTGTTCCTGGCCACTTACAAAGCTTTGCAAGACATTCTTCTATGGAGGATGAAACCTTCTGAACCTATTCTTCTTGGCTTGCGGGCAATATTCTCCCACAGCACTTCCCAATGGGGCTGCTTTCAGGTGGGATGCAGTCACATACTGGCAAGTGCAGGTCACACGATCTCAGTTGATTTGGAGGTCCTGAGCACAAAGAAGTCACCCTCCCGCCCCCCGCAAACTGGACTTTGCACAATATAGAAAGTGATGGAGAAACACCCCAGGAAAGTGCAGGATAACATTCACCTGACACAACAAATCAGAATGGAGCCTCTGTAAAGCACTGGCAGTGCCCCCTGAAAATGTTTCTGCAAACAAATTGATGTATATTACTGCTTATATGCCAAAAAGGCTTCTAGGAGCTACAAAATTGATACATAGTAACAATTCCATTGGGGCATTAAAACATCCTTAATTAAAATATACAATAAAGCACACAATGAAAAAGCATGACAATTGAAACAGTTAAAAAAAAACAGGGAGGGAAGCCTGAATCCCTCGATGTTGGAGTTTCTCTGTCCCTAATTTTTCAGTCTCATGTTCAGTTTTCCACATTTCCACATAAGTTTGCAATTTTAAAAAATTGGTCTGCACTTTTGTGTGAATTTCTCTTACTATACACATTTTTATATGAATTTTTTCCTACTACAGACATTTTTGTAAAGCAGTGTCCCCTAACTTTATTTATTTATCTGTTGAACAGAATCAAATGTCTCTCTACGCGCCCACTGCCACCCATTCCTCTCTGGCAGGTTGTGTTTTTCTGGGCATACTCTATCAGCTCTACAGCCCCTTCCCATGTTATAAGCGCATGTGCAGAGACTTTCAAAAAGTTGTGCATTGTATCCATATTGGCTTACTTAAGCATTTCTGCTTCTTGTGTAGGCCTTCAGATTTACTGAATGTTATTGTTGTGCAATGCATTTCCACACCCCCAAGGAGTGTGTGTGGAGGATGGGCAGCAGAACACACAGTGACTGACTGGGGAAGCCAGCCGGCCTGCAAGTGTCGATGTCAGGCTGTGCCCCTGCTTCTGTACCCCCAAAAGGAGCTTGCCTTGAACAGCCTCTGCAGGTTCTGAATCTCTTCCATGCTCTGCCTGTGGAATGGGCCTCGGCACTAACCTCCTTCCACATTTGTGGACTTTCTTGACCCAGCCCAGGTCTCAGTAAGGCTCTTGAGAAGAGGTGGTCTTAGCGGGAAGGAAGGAAGAAAAACGAGAATTGAAAGAAGATAAATCCATGACTTGAGCCTCCACCATGCAGTGCATTCGAAGCACTGGCGGAGCTCACAAACAGCGATATGGAGAATGAAATTAGCAGCAGAAGTATTAAAATATTGATAGCCACCATTCCTAGGCCAGGCTTTGCCCATCAATAATTCAGCTTACCTTGAAAGATAGTGTAAGATTTTGGACTTTGCTTTATCATGTTTTCGCTTGGCAAGATGGGCTTGTGTTTCTCTCTCTCTCCCCCACCCCCAAATTTTCTGAGCAGGAGGTCTCTGGGAAGTAACACTCATTCTTATGCGGCCCGTAGCTGGAATTTACATTGGGTGGCTTCATAACGGGAGAGAGAGAAAGAAAAGTTGGGAGAGGAGAGGAAGCTTTCTTTGGGACAAGCAGTTGAGCCGCTCATATGTGTGTGTGTGTGTGTGTGTGTGTGTGTGTGTGTAGTGGGGCTGAGATATTTTGTTTTGGCAGCCCCCATCACCTTCCAGGAAACATTAGAAACATTAGAAAAGTTGTGCCACTCATTCCTAAGTGCCCCTTGACAAATCCCCAGCAGTGAAGTTGGACTCACATGCCACAAACCAGCCTCAATGACACTTGAGGAAGCACCATGGGGTGGGGAGAGCCAGAGTGCAGGTTGATGTGTGCATGTGTGTGATTGTGAACATCAGCAAAACTCTCCTGCCCCCTCCTAAGCAAATGTTGTTGCTCCACCTGCTAGGCAGGAAGGAGCGTCTATCCGACTTCACAAAAGAAGGCCAGAGCACAGCTGGTTGTGTGTGGCCTCTGACTCCAACAATTTGGGAGAGTGCCTCCAGTTCAGAGCATTGTGGTGTCTCTGTGTTAGTGTGTACCTGCGCGCGCGCGCACACACACACACACACACACACACACACACACACAGACAGACACGGGGAAGCTTTACACTACAGAAGCAGTCCTGTTGAGAAGGAGGCATTTAACCACACATACATTGCAAGCAGAGGCTGTGTCCACGCGACCCTTTACTCCAGCTCCCCATGTGTTCCCATGTTTGAAGCTGAGTACACATGACAGTAGTCACAACTCATACCTTATCCTGTAGTGTCTTGAGAAACAGTGCATGCAGTGAGTTGGAGTTTGGTGCAGGAAAACAAGCCAGGTACTGCACATCAGGTGAAGACATCCCCGCCCCCTCTCTGGTGTGTGCAGCAACTTAAAAGAGCAGCTTGAAACACAGTGCAGGGGAAGGCGACCTCGCCGCGTTTCAAGCTGCTAATGTGTACATAGCCTAAGTCTGCTTGCACATTAGACTTTTAGCAGACTTTGCTGTGGAAAGGCGGGGACATTCCTCCAGGCGATATAAAGGGGTGGGGAGTATGAGACAGACACACATTCACATTGACTGTGAGAGAGAAGTACACTTGGAGATCTGGGAAGCCACAGAGCTTTTTCTGGAAGTTCCTATGCTGCTTGCACAACCTACTCATGCTTAAATTATTAGTTAAGGCTGTGGTGCTGAACACTGATGTTTGGTCAATGGTTTCCTGACTGCATTTTGCTGGGAGGTGTTGGGAAATTATTTCATGTGCTGCCACGTAATCT